CTACACTAGTGTCGTATTTCTACACCGATTACGATCAAACCAGCAGCAGATTTAGCCCCCAGTAACGATGTTCTGCTTGCTCTCATAGTAGGCCTGATAACAATAGTTCCTCAATATCTGTTGAGCCGTTTCTTTCAATAGAATGGAAATCTGTTTTCTTCAATGAAAGGTCACATTCATTTTTTCATAAGATTATAAACAATACTACGTAAAGCTTTAAGATCATGAAATTGCTTCAATAAATTCTCGGCCACTTCAACAATGCTGGCATCAATGAAGCTGATAACAGCCGTTTTATGCTGAAGATATGAAATTGATTTTGATGGTAATGACATCATTTTTAATTGGCTGCAACACTGCTTGTTAAAAGTTCTGTACACAGACATACATCACTTACTTCCACACACTGCGAATTTTTTTTGGCGGAGAGATTAAGTAGCTGTAAAGAGAAATAAAGAATATTTTTCATAATGGTTTGACACATGCATAATACACTTTTCTCTTTTTCTTTTTTTCTTCTTCTCCTTCAAAATCAGATCCAAACAACTAATGATATGCATTAATTTTTCTTATGGATGAATGATTTAAATGATACGTGTTAAAGCTAAAGATGTTGTATTTGTTTAAATAGCGGAGTGTCAGACGTCATAATAAAAATCCACCTGGACGAGATTAGAAAGTAAACAGTTTCTCTGGACTTTATAATAAAATGTAAATCAAAATAGTAATCTGATTCGAAACGTTGCACTAGAGGCATATTCTTTGACGGCGACAAAGAATATCATGAACACAGTAATTTTATGCCACGCTCATAGGGTAACCAAAGAATAAGACCAGTCAGCTCGAGGGACAAAACAAAGCCAAAGAAAGCTTGACACAAAATCTTGTATATTTTGGTCAAGTGCTACTCTATGTAATCTCTGTCACTAGGAGAAAAAATGCAAAGAGCATTCATTTTTAGATAACACCGCAGATCAATGACATTTGCTCTGTCATTAATTTACATTTTAGTTACATTGTGAAACCATGTTGCTTTTGCTATTGACTCCTTTTCAAAGACTTGCATGACACAAAGGGAAAATTCCTCCTTTTTTCGTATTTCTTTCATATGCAGCAATCTAGATACAATTACCCCAGTGGTAGTTCTATACAACAACCACAAAAACAACATGTTCAATCAAACATCCCATTTTATGCTTCTTCATCAATGTCATCACTTATTGATGAGGAAGAAAAGGGAGAATTAAATAATGTAACCACCCAAAAGGGGAATGCAGATTTTAGAAGAAGAAAGAATTGGTCAGAACGGATTCTTGTAGAACTGACCGGTCTACTTCATGTTCTCTCTCCAACTGGAAAAATATTGTACTGCTCAGAATCAATACTGGAATTAACAGGCTATAGACCTCATGAGTTGGTAGGTCAAGCACTTATGGACTTTTTGCACGTTGACGACATGGATGTGTTTATAAGGGATTTTCAAATGTCCTTTCATACGCGCTCACAGATTAAGACCTACTACCGATTTAGGAAGAAGGATGATACATACATTATATTTGAAGTCGTTGGTCAGCCCAAGACTGAAGTGCCTGGACAGACATCACAGGCATTTTTTGGTATCGCACAGCCAGTGCCGACCAAAGGTGGTGCACTAATTGATTCATTTCTGGAGCTGAAGTCAGAAAACAACTGGTTGAGACAGAGGATTGACGAATTATCAGCAAAACATGGAAAAGTATCCATTCCTGGTGACGAAAAACAGAGCCAGCAGATAGTGTCTAAGGAGACTAATATTGCTCATATGACCACAACACTGAGAGATCCATTTATTCACAGCAGTCATCACAAGAGCGCCATGGACCATGACTCAAGTGACCCGAGAAAAAACGTGGGGAATAGAACAGAGTGGTTGGATGCAACTGAAATGAAAGACATGATGTATAGTGCAAAGGATACCTTACCATCTGAAGAGACAGCTGAGAGAAAGGACAAATCGAAGCGTCGAGTAAGCAATGTTGAGCTGATGAATACTATATATTCTAACACCGTTTTCTATTACAGAAAAAGAGCAGAGGCTCTGATGAATACGTTTGTAAGGATTGTGGTACGACATCATCACCGGAGTGGAGAAAGGGTCCTCAGGGGCCAAAAACGTAAGATATTTAGATCAAATTGCTTTTTACAGGTATACCAACTGTTATCATATAGCCTCTGTAATGCTTGTGGACTTCGGTGGTCCAAGAAGAATAAGAAAAAGGATTTAAATGGAGACTGGTAGGCACTCTTCTATATACAGACTGTTGTGTGCCTTATGCGCGAAGGTCATATAGATATGATATGTATATATATATATTACTTGTATATAATAGTTTTATAGAACAATGTGCATTATAAATGCAACATTTACATTATAATACACTCATCGTTTTGGCTGTACCTACACGTTAATTATATTTAGCAAAAAAAACAAAACAAAAAAAAAACAGACTGTCGATGATCTCTCCGAGGCTCGTTTGAAGGAAATTAAACTGTCTGTCATATTTGCTATTAGTCTTTTTCTTTATTACAATTATTATTCCTATACTTTTTTTCTTTTCTATTCTTTCCCTTTCTTTTTAAATCCATTAAACCATGGAAAGCGTATTACCCACTCTTTCTCTAAATGTTCACGACTTTATCAATTCAGCTCCGTCAAATCACTTTTTACAATACATGTTTGAACAGTTTCTGATCTTTATTCCATATACTAGTCAAGCAATTCATTCATCCAAGACCTTGCCTTCTTTGCCAACTTTTATTACCTTGGTTGCACAACGATCAAGATCAAAGGCCGGTACACTTTTGGCAGCCGTTGTGCTTTTGCAACGATTAAAGAAAAAAATAGACCGAAATAGTACTTTGTATTCACAAGACCTCATACTTCATGAAGTCGTTTTGGGTATCGTCATCCTTACTACAAAGTGGTTGCACGACGCATCTCCTAAAAACTCCCGGTGGGCAAAGTATGTTGGCTGTTATAGTACAAAAGAGATTAATGCCATAGAAAAGAAGTTACTTGGTGCTATGGTAATTGTGATGTTATGAGACAGTATCTTTCTTAACGATGCGGGAACTTTTTCTTTTAAATAGGATTATCAACCAAAGATCCCAAATGAAGATTTTGCCTCTGTCTTTGAAAACTACTGCCGCTCTGTGTCGGTACATTCATCTTTGCTCTCACCTGGTACCATGAATCAACAACAACATTTACCTCGATCCGCTTCTTCAGGTAGTCTTCCACGTTCATCCAGCAACAAGCCATCTTCACTTTATTCACTTGTACAGCATCTCAAGTGGAGTATTGCTGATTTTAAAAAATCTCCTAACAATGGAAAGACAAAGGCGACAAGTAGTGACAGATTGAGGTTACCTTCAAAAGTGGCTCATAGTAGCCCAATGACACGTATTCATCATGGATCGTCCGGAATCGATATGCCTCTTGGATACGAAAACATGCTCTCTGGGAGTAGCAGTAGTAGCAGTAATGCGTCCTCAGTAGATCTAATTCAAGCAACCAGTGATATATTCCTAAGCTTATCACAGCACATATCCTTATCCTCATTGGATTCTGATTCGATTATTGATATCGATTCTATCACTACACCTTTAGGCTATCTCGACAGTAATGATAGTATGGCAATTCGATTATCCAACAAAAAAATCTAAAGCATATTAATTTCCATAACAACGCTTTATAAAACATAATACGTTCTACTCTTTTCTTTGTGTGGCTTTTTCTTTTGATGGTGTTTATTATATACGTGTTTTACACATAGTTACCAACCAGATGTAGTGTTATCTGTGTTTTGATTAGGCAAACCCCAACCTGCATCCTGTGCTTCTGTCGCATCTCCCCAGCCTGCACCTCCTTCATCAACTAGATTGAATCTTTCAAACTGTTCTTTCAAGGTCTCTTGTTCACTTTTTACTACTCGTATATTCTTTGGTGGCTTTGACCTTTTCCATTCTGCAAATGTTTGCCAAATGGGATTGCCAGGATGTTCTGGTGAGGCAATTGTGTTCATAAATAATATCAGAAAAGGAAAAAAGGAAAAAAAGAAATATTTGCTCCAAAAAGACTTTATGAACTGCATTAAAGCCACTGTTTCGATTTGAAAAGTTGCAAGCATTATATTACGATGAATACAAACTCAAGTCGATGTGGTGCTTGTAACTTATTCTACAGTTTACTTACAATCGACACTTGTAGTGTATAGAAATCAGCTTTATTGGATAAGAATTAAAACCCAGGATTGCTCAATTTTCTATTTTTTTTTTTTTTTCTCTCTGTCTATATTTCTCTTTTCAGATCTGACATGACAAGCAATGATAATCAAGCTACAAAAATTGTAAAAGGAATCAAAAACAGCAATCCGATCCAAAGAAATAGCATAGAAAGTTTATTAAATCGCAGCATCAAATTTAGAAAATCTCGTCATGTTGATCAAAAACTAGAACTATTCAAGCAAAAATTTGTGCCTGTCAATGAAACAACAGGTGTAGTATTTGCTTCTACAGGATCTTCATATAGCACAGCAGAAGAAGATAGCATAGCCAGTAAAATAGACGAACATGGCTTTGAAAGTCCTTCAAAAATGCTTTACTCTCCAGACAAGCTTAACTTTAGTTGGTTAAGCATTCTTCCTATTGGTCCTGGACTGAAAGATCTCGGGCAGCTGTCCTCGCTTAATGCAGTGTTGCAAGTAATAACATACACACCTGTACTAGCAAACTATTTTCTTCAAAGGAGACACAGCGCAAACTGTAAGGCTTCACTAATGCTATGTTTTAAGACTAACTCTTTATATAGGTACTATGCAGGAATATTGTTTTGCTTGTGCAGTAGAAGAGCACGTAAGAACAGCCTTGAATGGAACAACCTATGCACTTCAGCCTCGTGTGTTTGTAGGCAAATTGAAACGTAAGATTCACGTCCAAGATGAATACATTTGTATACCAACGGATTTATATTAGAGATAAAGAATGGCTCAACAAAGGATGCCTATGATGTCTGGAAATACTTTATGAATCAAATTCAATCATCACTTTTGGCAGAAAAAGGGTAAATGACATGACAACTAGAGGAAATCATAAGGTGTGTTAACATACAAAATAGATCTAAAGATGAGCTTATACAGCAAACAACCGCTCTATGTCAAACATTTGGTGGGTACATACAGAACGCCTTTGAATGTCTATCATGCAACAAAATGGAAAACAAGTATGACTTCTTTATGGATCTAAGCCTAGATCTTTTACAATGTAGCTCTCTGGAGCGATGTATGACAAAATACTTTAAAGAGCAAGCTATAGCCACTATGGAATGTCCAAAGTAAAGTTGCGCAACGCTCAGATATGAATGACATAAGAGATCATAGTATTCACTTTGTATACATAGTTGCCAAAGAGAAGTTGAATTAAAAGGAAAAAAGAGTGTTTATAGATCTCCAAGAACATTAGCCATTCAACTCAGACGATTCAACACAAATAGTGGTGTAAAGATCAACAAGGACATCAAGTTTGAATCATCATTGGACTTGAGTCGTGTTATTACTAATTCAGAAAAGGACCATATAAAGTCAAAATACGACTTGTATGCTATCATCGCACACACTGGTGAAAGTTTATTCAATGGACACTATGTAGCCTATGTTAAAGGTCCCAACAGCATTTGGTATTGTATGGACAATGAAGTTGTTCAACAAGTAAGCGTTAATAGACTGCTATCGGAAAAGGCATATATGCTCTTTTATACCATACCGCCTGAGCCTGTAAAGCGAGAAAAGCGACTTCCAGTGACAAATACAATTAAAGATATACCTGTTGAGGGTTTGAAGGAAGAAGAACCAAAGGAGCCCACTGTACAAGAAGAAGAAGAATTGGTGACTTTTAAAGAAGAGGATAATGAAGAAGAAGAAAAGCAGGTAGAATATGAAAGATTGAAGGCAGCTCTTGAAGAAGCATCAAAGAAAGAAAAGGTTGAGAATCAATCAGCGATTGTTGTTAGTCATAACGAACGTATGAAATCAAAGAGAGACAAACTTGAGGCATTGATTGAGAAGGAAAGTGTGGTGAGTAAAAGCTTGGAAGTCAAGAGTGTGTTGTTATCCAAGCACACAGACAGCCAATTTCAAGATGATATCAATACTTGGGATGAGGATATTGGAACATCGGTTGAAGATCAAAGGAAGTCAGTTTTAAAGCAGATCAAATCTAAAAGGAAAAAGGTGGATGCCTATGATCTTGAATATGATCGAGGTAAAGTGAAAAAGGTGAAAAAGAAGCAAGATGACAAGTTTCATAAGCCAAACATGTTTCAAATTACTGCTGATAAAAAATTAAATAAAAAGAAAGGGAAATAGCTCCGTGCTTGATGCTACATCACGCATATTGAATCTTTAGGTTGAGTGTTAAAAGAATAGTAGTACAGAGAGAGTCAGGTTGGGTTCCTTCATTACCCTCGTTTCTAAATGCTACGACTTGATTCAGTGTTCAGAGACACATTACTTGATCTACCAGACACTTTACAAAGCGAACTTGACATTCCTCCTTATTTATTACAAATTCCATTTCAACAATGGAAGGACCATAAAACCATCATTAGTACTAGTTTATCACTTTCAAATGACTTCAAAGGTGATGGTTCACTTTTATATAAAGAAGTTTTAAGAACTCTTAAAACTTTAAGTGAACAAGAAAGCAAAGATGTCCCTGAGGCAGTCAAAGAGTACGCATTGGCGTTATCTAAAGAGTTTGAAAAGAGCGAAAGTGATTTTATACTTACTTTTGAGGATGCAAGAAGCCTCAGCATATTGACACAACAAACACAAACGCTTACTATAGAAGAAACCGTTACCTCAACTGTAGAAATAGAGTCTGTAGGAAGTACTGAACCAGAGGTAATGTCTCATTTAAATAACAGACTTATACATGTGTCTGATATGCATATCAGGAAAAAGAAGATAAAAAAGAAGAACCTAAAGAGGATAAACAGAGATGGATAAGCTTTTTGGATAGCGTAGAAGGAAGCCGTAAGCGACACAAACACTGGTACTTGTTATTATTGTCTATACAATAACAACACCTAAGCCTTCTTTTTAAATATCAAAGCTTAGAAAGAAATAGAATTCTCCGTATTGGTGCTGGCATTATGCCCCCAGAGGATATGGATGAAGAGGACTACAAGAACCTACTTGAACAACTACAGGTTAAACCAAAACCTGTAAAATTTAATGATGTTGCCAATCAGTACTATGACAAGATCAAAGGAGCCGTAAGATTGTTTCTTGCTTCATCCTGTAAAAAAGAAAAAGAAAATACAAAACAATTTTACTTAGAGTACCTTGATTGAGCTTGAACGTGCATTCAGGTTTCCTCCGACACCCGTTGACGATGATGATGAAAGACAGATCATTTATATTCAAAAAGTATCAGAAGCAATGTAAGTTTATGAATTACAAGAAAATAGCAGTGACTACAATATTGCCTATATACAGATGGCGAGTGTTCAAGAAGCTACCTTATATTGGTTCTGGTGAATTGGCATATAGATCTGTGTTTGCTCACCCATATATTGAAGCGGTCATTAGCTGTATAAATAATTCTGATCTAGGATACGACACTGGGGAAAAGAGCGTGAAAGCAATGAATGCTCAAATGGATCGTTTGAAGCTGAGGATCAGCAATTATGAAAGTTATAAAGCAGACGGAGTTATTTGCTTTAAAGAAATTGAAGTATTTTTGATGGAAAACAGTGGGAGCTATGGAAATTGTACCAAGCATAAAGCATCAGGCGATCACCATAAAGCTGTGTATGGTGTTTTAGGGATGTTAAAGACTATTGCTGATACTTACAGATATGCTACATTTGATACATTTCAAAGGTTGAAAGTATTCTTTCTACAAACCAGAGGTAAATCAATAAACAACTTTTGCAAGAGTTTATTCTTAGCCGTGCATATATAGGAAAGATAATGGAGCTGTGGTCTATAAGAGCCGAACAAAAGAATAGCTATGTTCTTTACCGTGAAGCAATGATGCTTGTCTCTGTTGACGTTAAAGACAAGAATAGCATGTTGGAAGACAGCTTCACATTTCTGAATATTATGAAGGTAAATATTCAATTAGACCTCATTTTATACATAAGCTCAGTGTTAATAAAACAGGATATGCTCATGGAAACAGCAAAGACACTAACAAAAATAATAGAAGAGCACGAATATTTTACTCAAAGCGTCTCTGCTGATGAAACACAAGCGCCCACTCATAGCTTAAAAGAGATTATAGATCCACCTATTTTTAAGATAATTGTAGAACAGGGCTCGCGAGGCCTGGGAACGCTTGACTACGAAGAATACAGTGTAAAGCCTTCTGTTAAGAAATAAATATACGAATCAATTCTTTTGTTTTTGGATGTATCTTTACAAAAATAAAAAAAATAAATAAAATATTCTCCTTTTTGCTTGGATATTCGAAATTCCATACTGAAAACTGGATGTTTTTGTCTATTATCAAAAGTTTTTAAAGAAATGACTTCTTTTTATTGAGCAGCCAAGTTTGTTATTGTGATTTCAAAGCTATTTTTAGCTGTAAAATAGCAATTTGACTTCTTCGTCATTAACATTCATATCATCAACTGCAAATACAAAAGTAATATTTTTGCAAATTAAATAATTGTAGTAGAGAGTTTCTTTCTTATTCACCATTTATGACATGACCTAGAGCACTTGGTATTTATCAAAAATAAATAAAGATATTTTACAAAGTGTAACGAAGTTGGCAGATCTGAAATTTCCAATATATTTTGGAATCCATGGCTGCTGTAATGGTTCTGTTGCTATAGTAAAGCTCCATGCAAGTTGAATATAAATATACTACTATTCATATATTTCTACAACCAGTATACTATCGATATTCACAAACACTGCGAAAATGCACTAAAGTAAGCCTAGAGTAGCTAGCTTACGCGTTTTTGAATTGTTACTATCTATTTTATCTGAAATCATCCACACTAAGAATAATGACCTTTATAATAGGCATCCATAGAGTAAAGCAAGCAAATAAACTTGTCATTTAAGTCTTAAACAGATGAATAAATGGGCTGGGCGCGCTTATACCCACAAAGTATTGCTTTTGCTTTTTCATTTGATTGATGTCTTGCTTTTTATTGTATTCTATAAAACATGCATAAAGTGCATGTGTGTTTTTTAATATTGATTTTAAAATGCTTTCATCCCTTCGATTCGCATAAGTATAACAAAGCGTGCTTTCTTAATTTTTATTCATTATCACATTAAAATAGTATTTGATAACGTGACAATTATCAACTTGGTATTGATTTCAAGGCAAAACTTGAGCAGACAAGCTTCTTTCTTTCCTTTTATGCACGTCAAAGGGACATTCGAATAACAGACATATTTAAATAATAACAATCTCCAAAAGTACACTTAATTCACTCTGATATGAGTGTTGTGCAATACATTATGTATTGATCTATTGTTAGATTTCTTATAAAGAGCACAATGATTACCACAGTGCCTATTATTCAATTCAGGACAGAAAGAACACAACAGATAAATTTCAATCTCAGCAACATGTCTAAGAGAGAAAAAAAAATACTCGTCTTTTTTCGTGGTTTATTCATGGAAGACAAGTCAATTCAATCAGAAAGCATCTTTCGCCATTCCATCAATACCTTAGATAAAATATACTCCAGGAGTGAAAGTTTAAATTATCTGATTCCACTAAAAGAGATTGAGACAAAGCTATTTGATTATAGTTATAACACGTTGGAAGATTTTAAAGCTGATCTACAAAAAATACCCATTTATAAAAATATAAAAGACTATGGGTAAGAGACGATGATTACGATGATTTATATTTACTCATGTGAACATTATAGACACGATGAAAATCAAGTACTAGAGGAACAGTGCAATACACCTATTTATGACTTTGCCATGCTTCGAAAGGATAGGTAAGCTATATATATAATATCAAGAAACTTTTCCTAATCTATATCATAGTCAAATATACACCATCAACATACAAGATGATCCCTTACAAGCGCATCATTCTCTTCAGCAAGCATTAAAAGAAGATACGAATATACCTTTGCATAGACTGTACGTCAGTAAGAATTCAAATCTGATTTTGGAAGCCAGAGACAGCATGAATTCACTTTTGGTGCTATTTTTTAAAACAAAGATAACGCCTTTTGAAGATAACACGGATATAATGAGACTGACAGCAGATGTCGCAGTTGTGCATCCATTGGGCGAGTTTCACCGATTTGACAAGAATATATCCATAATTGAAGGATGGATCAAGGTGAAAGTCGCGAGAACTGCATCTATCAAGCGGATTATACCTAAAAAGCTAGCCTATTATTTATTTGACGGTTCACCATTGTCAGTCAAAAAGCTCATGTTTGAGGCAGAAAAGGACATAACAGCAGCAAGACATAATGAGATGACACGTCAATTTATTAATTCTATCATGGGATCCTGCTTAGACTTTTTTACTTTATGCTACAACGATTATGTCGACAATATTCTTTCTAAAAATACAAAGACGAATCAAAATTATACCCAAAGCAGGTAAGTCATTAACAGTTCACAATATACAAATATTCATCCCCTTTAAAGATCAATTGACTGTTGTAGGAAAGTGGAAAAAGGATCGTCGACGATTGATAGGTTTTTCGCAATAAAAAGAAAGAGCTTCATTACACAAAATATAACATCTAGTTTTACTCGTTATTGGAGGGAACTGGAAGAATGTAAGTTATGAGTCATGATATGGCGTATATCTAATTTTCTCTAGTTTGTCAGAGTATGGATGTGAGCGTTGTATATAGAAAGAAATATGAATCTGGAATTAATAGAGCTGCTGACGCGGAAGGCTATTTTAAGAAAGTATATTTCATAAACAGTCAAACGGTGGTACAGTTATTTCAACGGTCGACAGTATCTCAGCGTATAAATGAAATAGTCAGTTACTCTACCCTACGAAATAGACATCATATTGGTCGCGTAAAAGAGATTATATGGAAAGATGATGGATCAGAAGTCATTGGTATCACTATGGAACGTTATCACATGACTCTTAAACAGTTTTTACGGCTAAATCCCAAGTTGACGGCTCATCAGCGTCTATATATGATCGTACAACTACTAAGATCTATTAGTACGATCCATGAATTCAATATTGCTCACAGAGACATATCTACTGTAAACTTCATGGTAAATATAAACAAAAGCGAATTACTTGAAGATGGAAGTGCAAAGATCGAAGTGTTCCTGATCGATTTTGGTAAAGCAGTCTTTTTTGATCCAAAGGATGCTGCCAAATGGTGGGTTGACTCTGACGAAGTCAATATTTACCGAGATGAGGTCAAGCCAAAGACTTCTCAGGAATTGATTGTATGGTGTAAGAGTTTACCATTTATGATGGCCAAACCAGACCATGGATACAGATTCTATCGATCCATCAAAACATTACCACGTAGTCGCAATGACCATTCTCTACTTCCTTACTTGATTGATCCAGCGGCAGAAGATATATTCGCACTGGGATCCCTGGTTTGGAAAATACTTTCAGGTATGGAACCATGGCCAGGTATATTTGATACAGACCTCAAGGGGCTTCGTGAAACGGTCGAAGATGATTACAACATACGGTCTCTGGTGAATCGTGAAGTACCTGGTATAACAAGTAGAGCTCTGTTGTATATGTTTTTAAGAGCAGAACCTTATGACCGGCGACCTGCTATTGAGATCCTGTCCTGGTTGGAATCTCCTGGTATAAAGCAGTCGATATTAAATGAATGTAATGGAATTTATGATAAACCTCTTCATGTACCAGCTCCAAAGATAAGCAAAAGAGAAAGGTTAAAAAGAAAAAGATTACAATAAATAGACTCATGTAATGTATTATATAAACATGTTCAATGATACCAAAGAGTGTTTATGTCATTGTACAAGTGTATCGCCATCGTTAATGTACGCAGAGGGTAGTAAAGTACTTTATATCTTACTAGGAGAAGACACTTTACAGAGTCTAGCAATCATGCCTGAGAGTTGCATGATACTTTGGTGACCATCCAAAATACGCATATGTGTCATACCAATCTCTTTCAAATAGTCCAATCTCAGTCCTTCATCTAGTTCATCATAGCTTCGCACTACACGAAATATTGTAGTGATGATATCAAGCGAAGAATATCCTAAATAATATAATTCTTCCATGCACTTGACAGATTCATTCAAGTTTCCTTCAGAACAGCATTTGAGAATATGCTGAATGACGATGGGATGAGGTTGATCACAAATCTTGAAGACATTTTCTGCATTGACATATTTGAAGCCATAAAATGTCGATTGTAAGTTATTGATCGCCTGACGCATATCACCGTCTGCTGTAAATATCAATGCCTCTAAACCTTCGTCATTGTAGTTCACCTATAAAACATTAGACTTTCTTCAGGAAAAGACAGTGCATTTACCTTTTCCATTTGACATATTTCTAATAGTCTACGCAACACTTGTTCGTCTGTTAGCTTTGTATAACGCAGTACGGCACATCTTGACTGAATGGGCTCAATGATCTTGTTGGATTGATTACATGCCAAGGCAAATCGAGTTGTATTTGAATAAATTTCCATGGTTCTTCTGAGAGCCTGTTGAGCACCTCCAGTCATACTGTCTGCTTCATCCAAGATCACAATCTTATGCTTTCCCGGTGGTAATGTCACTTTTTTCTGAGCAAATGCCTTGATTCTGTTTCTAATTACTTCAATGCCTCTATCATCAGATGCATTCAACTCAAGAACAGCGTCTTTGTAGGAAGCACCAAGCATATCGTGAGCCAGGCATGATATACTGGTGGTTTTACCAATACCAGGCATACCCTAGAGCTGTGGTTATCAATCTATCCAATTTATCATTATAGATACGTACGGTTAATATAAGATTTGGCATGTTTCCATCTTTTGCAATAGTCATCAAACGCGCTACGACATCTTCATTTCCAACAATATCTTTCAAGTAAACTGGTCTGTATTTTTCAACCCTAATGCGATCATGAATAAGCTGTGTAATCACTCTTTATTCTTACCCTTACCAGGGAAGAATAAAATCGTCTTCAGTGTTGTCAGATGTAGATTGTTTGGGTATATCGACTTCCATTGCAGTGGCCATTTTTTTAATTATTCTTTTAGGGAAAAAAAGTACGCGACCCTTTTTTGTACGCGATCAGCTGTGGCTTTTCTTATGGATAATTCTCCGAACTGTTCCTATTGAGGTTGTACTATGATGTGATATGACCTTATCATAGTCTATGACCACTTTTGCAATATAAACATATTATCAACATAATACCCTCATAAATACAATATGTACGAAAACTAATATTGCTTGTTCAGTTTTAGTACTTTCAATCTTGTACATAAAAATGGCATTGTTACACATTATGTCATTGTCCATTTTTGCATTAACTTTTTTTTTCTCTACATATTTCGGATCATTGAGATAATTATCGTTTTTTATTTTTCCTTTTATCTTTTTAAAATGGCAAATGATAGCATCATTATTTCAAGATCAAAAGTAGCGATTGCAACAATCATTACTGCCTCTGTTCTAGGCACATTTTACTACCGCTCAAAGCATAAAAAGAAGACCAAGGAATCAGATATATATCAAGAAATCATTGAATCCTTACCAGATACAGACCCAATCAAACAGCAAGAGGATGAAACGAATAATTTTCTTGGAAATTTGTTCAAGAACGCCTCTGATATTGTACCTGCTTCCCTGGAAGAATTCAAATCAAAGATGTCGTCCCTTTATCCCGCTTTTGAACGTCAATTAGAAAATATCCGAAATATGTACTCTAGTTTCTGGAACTACTTGTTCCTAGAGGACTTTCGCAAAATTGTGAAGGAGTCAATGAAAGAGGATACTGATACAAGCTTACATCCTGAGATTGAGCAGGATGCTAAAGTACGAGAAGGACAGGACTTATCAAAAGACGAGATAGAATATGTAAAGAAAAGAAAGGAACGTATGAAGGCAGCATTCGCATTCTTTATTGGAGTTGAAGAAAGTGAAGTAGAGATTGAGGATATACCGAATATTGGTATCGCTTCTAGGTATATACATTAATTTTCCGAACAAAATATGAAATATCTAACGATTTTTTTAGTGGTGGTGGATATCGTGCCATGGTAGCATGTTCCGGGTATTTACATGGCTTTTGTGATACAGGTATCCTTGATTGCGTACTTTATATGGCAGGTAATTTTGTTAGATGTGTGCTTTATAAACTGAAAAACTAATTGCTTTCTCAAGGTGTCTCTGGATCAACTTGGGCCATGTCGCAATTTTACAGTCCCTTGACTGATGCATCCGTGGATACTCTCAAGCATCACTTATCGAGTAGAATTCATACACATATAGCAAATCTATCCAACTTTTTGGCTGTTCTCAACGCATCTCGCCATAATGCGAATATTCTTTTACACGGAGTTATTCAACGCTATTATCAGCAAAACAATTCTATCAGTTTAGTGGATATTTTTGGTATGTTGCTCGGTGGCACGTTATTAGCTAGAAAGGTTGTCGTGGATATGGATGACGGAAAAGACGAAGACGAAGAGGAGGAGTATAGTGAAGCAATCAGTATCAAGGAGAGCACAAGGAATGTTGAAACAGGAACAGTGCAAGAAAATGATGGAACCAAGATTGAGCCAAGGCTACTTCAAAAGAATGAAATCAAGCTATCCAGGCAAAGAGCTTACTTTGACGATGGGTCATTGCCAATGCCAATTTACTGTGCTGTCAGACACGAGATACAACGTCCAGGAATTACAAAGCAGGCTACTCTATCCTCACAAGATGAAGACAATGAAGGCAAGAATGGTAATGACGACAAGAACGACAAGGATGACGATGAGGTCAATGAATACAGTGAAGGTAAAGATGACAAGAATGAGAAGTACAGCTATGAATATAATGAAGACATGCATGACAAGGAGGACAAGGATGACCATGAAGCCAATGAAGTCAAACATGACAGGGACGACAAGAATAATAAGAATGACAAGGTCAGCAACAATGAAGGCTCTCAGGATCTTTATCAGTGGTATGAATTTACTCCTTTTGAAGTGGGAAGTGAAGAAATTAATGGTAAAAAAAAAAAAAAAAAAAAAAAAAAAAACAACAACAACTTTAGATAGAAAACAAGGTACTAGCTTATTTCATTATATTAGCTTGGATTCCTATTTGGGCATTCGGAAGAAAATTTGAAAATGGAATGAATATCGAAAGGTTACCAGAACAAAGCATTGGTGTTCTTATGGGCATGTTTGGCTCTGCATTTGTAGCAAGTCTGGCTCACTTTTATCAAGAAATTCGCATGTTGCTTCCTGCAGCAGCTGTTGAAAAAGCGGATGAGATGATCAAGAATTATGAAAGCTCCGCATCCACCATTCATCCGATCTCACCTGCTTCCTTTCCCAACCCGTTTTATAAAATGGCTTCAACTGTGCAAACAAAGGATGAAAATGAAAACAAAGAAGAAGTGTTGCGTTCAGAGAATTTAGTAGGGTCCCAGCAAATCGAACTTATGGACGCCGGCATGGATAATAACATTCCGTTTTATCCTTTACTCAGAAAAGGCAGAGATGTCGATATCATTATAGCTGTTGACCTAAGTGCTGATATTCAAGATGCGCCTCATTTTGATCGAGCAGAGGGATACGTCAAGCGTCGTGGAATTAAAGGGTGGCCGGAAGGTGCTGGTTGGCCAAAGGAAAAGGATAAGGACAATCAACATGATCCTGTAGAGATAAAAAAGAAGGAAAAGGGTAACAATAGAACACCGGCCGAAACATCCACCGAATATCCCTTAGATACCTGCACTGTTTTCACTTCCAGCTCTACAGAGACTACGCCTGAAGATAAAGATAGCATAAAGACAACATATCCTGAAAACACAAACCCAATCACGCTCGTTTATTTCCCACTTATCGTCAATAGAAATTACGATCCAGATTTCGATCCTCAGACTGCAGAGTTCTGTAGCACATGGAATTTCGTATATACAACCGAGCAAGTCAATAAGCTTCATGGCCTTGCCGTTGCTAATGTTAAGGACAATATAGAAAAGGTTCGGAAGGTGGTAAAAGACGTATGGAAGAGAAAGAGAGAAGAGAGATTAAATAAAGTATAGATTTATTATTTACAATGAGAATTTTCTAATTCGTGTAAATGCTTCACTTGTTCCTTCGATCCTTCATTTTCTATCTTTCGTACTAATTGAGGATATAGATCCCAGTCGTCTCCTTCTTGTTCTTTCTTAGCTTGTGTTGGAAAGGTATTGTTGCCATGCGAGCTTGATGTACCTGATGCCCCATTGACTGATTCACGATATAAGGAAGGATGTGTCAAGGTGTCAATATCTTGTTTCTTGTCAGACATTTTTTTTAATAAAAAACAAAGGAAAGGGCAAATCAAACAGACTTTATATTTATGCAGAATGACATATGACGTCAATATTACTTAATCAATGGCGCATATACCATTACAGCCAATTACGCAAAAAGACGCCAATTCTCCTTTTGACAAACTTGGTTTCCAAGCAGAATGAAGCGACGATCATATCATGATTTATTGTGTTTCCTAATGCGTGCAACTAGAAACTTGAAAAACGCAATAAGCTAAAGATGTCCTTGTGGCTTCATTAATGAGCGCTGATGGTATTGTTTCGGCGAAACGTGAACTTAACGAAGAGGTTCACTGTACACAATAAGAGCATATACGCGCGTATATGTCTTTTTATTTAATAGTAGCTAGGATAATAGGAATATGAAGTCACCCTTTTTCTTTGAGATCTCGTCATTGTTGATAAATGGGAATTGATTTGCTTGTTGCCAGTAGTGCCTTTTGTATCCATTGAATGGGTTCTATGTTTGAGTTGAGATAATCGCTCTGCTTCCCAAACATGCCAGTATTTCTTTCGAGCTTTTTCACTGTATAGAACACACATTGGGTCACTACTGCTGTCTTCTTCTTTTTCACCAATTACTCTACGTGTCTCACCCCACGAGAAGTCATCAAAATGCCAAAAGGAGTAAATAGGCATCACAAAGTTCCAGATGGGAAGGGCCAATATATACACTACAAGAAGAAGATATAAACAATAGATCAAGGGGAAAGAATGAAGCACTTACCAATCATCCAACCTATGTAAGTCATCCTCTTGGCAGTGAAGATAACCAGTAAAGCAGGCGTGCCTACTGCGGCTAACAAAATAACAAGCGTTTGGTACTGCGCTGAGTGTGTAAATATCACGTCTATGAAAAAGAAAAAGATGAGAATTGTAGCAGCAGGAAGTACAACAGAGCTCAAAAGATCTAGCACGACAACAAACTGCATTGAGAGACAAGCGATGCCACAAAGCTCTGATACGAATACCAGCTCCATTAGGTTGTGGATTGTCGAGTTGATCCATCGTCTTCTCTGAGAAAGCAGCACCTTGAATGAGTTGGGAACGACTGTTTTACTCTTTGCTTGAGGTACAAAGATCATTTGACGACGAGGAAAAGTGCGCAACATGAGTGTAGAAAGAAATCGATCTTCGCCAAGTAAAAGTAAGTTTTTGGCATGCAGTGTGTCGACAGAACTTACATTAAACTGTTCAATAATTTCAGGACTGGAAAGGATCGGCACCCATTTGCTTTGCTTGGGAGCCTTGATGCGGTACATAGAGAAACATCCAGGCAGGCAGGTTACTCCACCAAAGACTGATTCAAACGCCTTTGCATAATGATGTGAGACAAAGTACTCAAATACTTGGATGGCGGTGACCCACGATTCAGACTTGTTGGCTATTTTGGTTTCTCCACAGACCCCCATGACTGTGGTATCGTTCTTCATTGCAGATGCCATATGGGCAATACAATCAGGCGCGACTTTTGTGTCTGCGTCTACCATCAGGACCAGTTCAAACTTGTCTGGCGTTACTCCTTTCTTCATCAGTCGGCTCATTTTCCAAAACATCTCATACTCTAGCTCCGTGAATCTCTCATAGAACAGGACCTTTTTGAAAAATGACATCAAAATCATTTGGGAGTCTCGTTTGCCTCGGTTTCCAACCTTAGTCTGTCCTTTTTCATGCTCTGTTCCCGACTTGATTATCACAAGCGCTGGCAATGATCGGTAGTACCCCATGTATACCCGTGCCTTGTTCTTTTGTTTCCAGCCATCAGCAACAGCTTCATATTCGCACTCTTTCCCATCATGATGCATACAATTATCATTTAGGGGAGTTAGCAAACTTAGGCATATATCTGACGTAGGCTTATCGTTTCCTTCGCCTGTAATAATGCCATCAACGACAATAAGCAAGAGCTTGTGCTCGGTGGAATACGTAGTGTCTGCTAATGAATCCAGAGTGTTCTTTATAGAATCCATTCCTTCGGAATAACAGGTGACAAAGAGTATAATATAGCATGGTTCATTGTCAACAATTGATCCATGCGAATGATTGAGAGGCTGCTGAGAGTTCATGGTATCAAATGACGAGGAATTGGAAGCGCGATGTTGCTTTGGGACACTGTTGCCTCTTGTGATAGATATCCATGGCCAAATTCCGTGAGAGCGCTTTCCTTGTCCTATCAGCCAGTGGCTCATGAACCAATGAAACCATATTGCCAAAAGGAGCTTGACTCCTAACAGTGCCATAATGAGTGATAGGAAAAAATTGATGATAATGTCGTAGGCTATGCATCCCATTGTATCATTCGAGATGACGCCCGTTGTGTATCTTGCGAGTACACATTGCCAAGCAGCTCTTGTATCTTGCCATGCACTAAAAAGGTAGGTAGCGTCTTGCCCTGCTGATTGCTTAATCACACCATCTACTCTGTCTCCAAAAGGCTTCTCGTCCAGTGACTGATATGAACGGATATCAAGTACGAAATCACTAAGAACTAAAAAACTAGGCTGACCGTTTGAAGCTAGTTGAATATCTTTCCAATTAAACTCTAGCCAATTATTAGAGGTGTACCAGTTGTTCAGCTGCTGTATAGGAATACATGTACTGGATATTGTTTCTGCTGCATAGTAAGGATTTACAACATTGCAGTTTAATGTACGCGCTATTGGATAAACGGAACATGCCTGATTCACGTCGGCATCAAAAAGTGGACTCAAGTTGGCACCTTTATAATCGTTGGTAAGACTGATATTATACATTGTTTTCAGAAATCTAGCTATCTCGTCAAAGGGGTACAACTTTCCATAAATCAATACATCTTTTTTCCAGGTGATGGTCGTTTCGCCTGTTGTCAGATTGTTGTAAGAATAAACATTGGTCGCTCTTTCTGTTGGGCATAAAGACAGGCGCATTCCAAATGCAATGAATCCTAAACATAGACAGATAAAAAAAATAATGCTACACAATGCAATCTTTGTATGGCTGGGGTGTGAGCAAGATAGATATATGTAGCTTTTCATGATAAGAGATGCCATACCTTCTCTCGCCACGCTTGCTGAACGAGTTTTCCTTTTTTCATGCAACATATTGACAAGAATGAGTTGGGTATACAACACGTTATTAAGAACGTGAAACACGACCAGCAAGAAGGAATATAGCTTTTATAGTCTAAAGAATCATTACTGTTGGGCAGATTTGACATATCCTCTGCTAGATCAATGGGTCCATTAATACTAGGCGATTGACCATTACGTTGCATTGGCTGTAGAGGACTATTACACACGATTGGTTTCCTTTGTCGGTATCTCTCTGGTCTTAAGAATGGTGATAGTCTGCCACCCTGGAGTGATGTAGATGGTTTAAACTGATCAGGCGGGGATGCCAAAGTAATAGAAAGATCATCAAAATATCTGCTGCCTTTAGATATTTTCCATGTATCATTACTAGTGCTTTTAGGTATAGATGATATATATTGAGGATGATTGGTAGTAGCTGAACTTGAAGAAATTGAAGCCATGGGAATAAGAGTAGAAAGAATGTGTGAACAATCATAAAGTCATATTCATGAAAGCACCCAAATATGGGCGTTGTTTATTTATTGTTGTTGAATACTATGACTTGTGTAACAGTTTGGCATTTCCAATTGAAAAAAAAGAGGTTTATTTTAAACAATGAATACCCAAATTGGGGTGAGTCAATGAACCACAAAAGCCTACTCATGAAGAGGAAATTTGAAAAGAGTAGAACCAAACAAGGCCACTGAAGAGTTTATTTTCTTCTGTGAGTTTTAATATTGAAATATACCAAAGATGTCAATGAATTTGTACCTTTAAGAAAGGAAATGCCGCAAAGACAATCTTTCCTTTTATTTTAACGTTTTCCATGAATGGCTTTGAGTGGTATTTCATCACTTTTCACCAAATTCAACGTGTTTATACCCATTTTGCTGTTTCTTTGCTAGAATGTTGGGTAATATACGTATTATGCGTTTTGTACTATCAAATCAATTATTACTTGATAACATTGTCAAATGTCCATGTATCCATTTCAGTACTGAAAAAACAATACTTGTCGTATTTTACAAAAAAATGTTTGACTTTTCCAGAAAGCCTCAGTGCCATAAGCTGATTACTCTTCTTTAGTACTCCAATCGATATGTTCAAATAGAAAAAGTAAAGAAAGAAAGAAAAATACATTGAAAAAGACGTCAGTAGGGTTGACTATAGCTCAATCCAACTGTAATTTTAGAATACATCAAGCGTTTTTCTTTAAAATACGTGAAAGAGTTTGGTACCTTTCCCCCTCTTTATAAAGTTTTAGGCTCTAGTGCAGAGCATCCATCAGTCAAAGTTGGTAGTTAGATCTTTGTCATATCCAATATATGGTATTTGTTTTGCCAAAGGGACCCAGTGAGACTGGTTGATTTGTCAGTTTATTCATTGTTAACAACAACTAGAATAGAATGGATGCTCAATCCAGATACTCAACTATGGGAAGATATTATCGCAAACACTATAGAACTAGACTGGTCAATAGAAAAGTTGACAACATTTAGAAAAAAGGGGTGCGCATAAGCATATTATTATTAAAAAAGGAGTTTTGTAAAGAGAGAGAGTGAAGGAGTGAGAGGGTATTAATAATCTTATTGGTTCACCCTACCAATTAACGCGTAAATTTTTTTCACTCTGAATGAATTCAAATAGCGCTTTAGGCTCGCAGTATAACAATGCAATAGAAACAATTTTTTTTCTTTTCTTTTCTTGTCCCTTTTTTTTTAATTAATCCAAACATGGCTGAAGCAATATTAGACTTTAGTAAAGAACTTGATGTTGCTTTATTAGATCAGGTTGTCATGACCTTTTTTAGTGGTTCTGGTCAAGAGGTACATTTAAAAAGAAATATACTAGTCTTCAGTTCATTGACACATGAGAATAGCAACAATTAGCTCAACAAATTTTGACACAATTTCAAGACCATGAGGAAGCTTGGACTAGAGTAGATGGCATTTTGGAGAAATCGAGCGTTCCTCAGACAAAGGTAACCGTTTGACACCAAAGTTTATTATTATTATTATTATTATTTCTTTGGAGTGTGTGAGTGTGTGTTTATAGACGCGACAACTTATCCTTTTTTAGTTTATTGCTTTACAAATCCTTGAAAAATTTATTCAAACGCGATGGAATACGCTACCAGCTGATAGTAGAAATGGTATTATCTTATAGCTCCCCTTCAAAAAATAGAGAAGGCTTACTAATATAAATAATAGCCATCAGATACTTTGTTGTTAACGTTATTGTTCAAGAATCCTCTGATGAAAACAACTTGATAAAGCAGCGCACATACATCAACAAACTTAATATGACGCTCGTTCAGGTAACATTAAGAATATAAACACAAAAAACCAATGACCTGATAAACAAAATGTATTTAGATCCTTAAACAAGAATGGCCTCATAATTGGCCCACATTTATCCCTGAAATTGTTTCCTCCAGTCAAACAAATCTTGCTCTTTGTGAAAATAATATGGCTATTCTTAAGTTGCTAAGGTAAGTTTATCGATCATCATTCAAAAGTGTCTATACTTACACCTCTCTCCTTTAGTGAAGAAATTTTTGATTTTTCAGCTGAACAAATGACTCAATCCAAGGCAGCCACTTTGAAGCACCAAATGAAGCAAGAGTTTTCCCAAATTTATAACTTGTGTAGGGAAGTTCTCGGAAAAGCAACAAAACCTAGCCTTATTAAATCGACACTCGAAACACTGCTCAGATTTGTTCACTGGATTCCTACTGCTTATATCTTCGAAACGGATCTTATTCCTACTCTTCACTCCAAGGTAAAGATATGAACGTGGTATATATATGCTTAAATATATTAATATCTTTTCTAGTTCTTTGACACACCTCAGTTCAGAAATGTAACTTTAAGATGCTTTACGGAGATCAGTGCTATTGAAGTCACTGAAGCTTATTATGAATCTATTTATTCATTATTCACAAGCGTCATGGCCACCACAAACGTCATGGTCCCACCACAGACCGATATGGCTGAGATATACGAAAATAGCAATGACAATGATCAAGAGTTTGTGCAAAATTTAGCCATGTTCCTTACCACTTTCTTGTCTGCTCACTTAAAGGTATTTTAATTCCATTGATCATACGACATGTATAAACCCTTTTTCTATAGATCATTGAACGCTTTCCAGATACTGCACAAGTGTTGGTCAATGCGCACTTTTATATCATCAAGATTTCTCATGTAGAAGATCGAGAAATTTTCAAGATCTGCTTGGAATATTGGGCTAAATTTGTAGAAGGCTTGTTTGAAGAAGCAGCCCAACAGAATTTGAGTAGACATATGATTTACCACCCTGTCTTATCACAATTAAGAGTAGTGATGATCGAACGCATGGTTAAGCCAGAAGAAGTAAAGATATTCATATAGAATAGAAATCACACATATACTTACACACATTATAATTAGGTGTTGATTGTCGAAAATGATGAAGGCGAAATTGTCAGAGAATTTGTAAAGGAAAGCGATACTATTGTGTTATACAAGAGTATGAAGCAAGTCTTGGTGTACTTGACTCATCTTAACGTTGAAGATACGGTGAACATTATGACAGTTAAATTGAATAGACAGGTATGTGCCTCTTTTATTATCAAACGAAATAATATTAATTCAGAAAAGATGGATGGAACTGAATGGTCCTGGAACAATTTGAATAAATTATGTTGGGCAATTGGTTCAATCTCTGGTGCAATGGATGTAGATACAGAAAAGAAGTTTTTGGTAACAGTCATCAAGGAATTATTAAGCCTTTGTGAAATGAAGCGTGGAAAGGATAACAAGGCTGTGGTAGCATCCAACATTATGTACTGTGTTGGTCAGTACCCAAGATTCTTGAAATCCCATTGGAAGTTCTTAAAGACAGTCGTCAACAAGCTATTTGAATTCATGCATGAACTTCATGAAGGTGTTCAGGACATGGCTTGTGATACATTCATAAAGATTGCCCAACAATGTAAAAGACACTTTATTGTAGTGCAGATGGGAGAAGACATGACTTTTGTTGATGAAATACTCGACAACATCAGTCGTATCACTTCAGACCTTGCTCCTCAGCAAATTCACACTTTTTATGAAGCTATCGGTTACATGATCTCTGCAGAAACTAATCCAGTAGAACAAGAACGATTGATCACTAAGTTTATGTCATTACCCAACTCTGCTGTAAGTCATGAGCAGTTTAAATGGATGTAGATAACTAACTACTCTTTAGTGGGATAGCTTAATAGCACAAGCTAAGCAAAACCCAGAATGTCTGAATAATGCAGCAGAAATCAAGGTCTTAGCCAACGTAGTGAGAACAAATGTTGCTGCTTGTACATCTGTTGGTTCTACTTTCATTCTTCAAGTCAGTCGAATTTATGCTGACCTGTTAGCCTTGTACCGCATTATTGGTGAATTAGTTTCACAGAACATAGCTACACAAGGTCCTATTGCTACAAAAACACCTAAAGTTCGTGGTTGGAGAACAATTAAAAAGGAAATTTTGAAATTGATTGACACTTATGTTGAAAACACAACAGACATTCATACTGTGAACAACAACATGGTTGATCCCTTCTTAGAGGCTGTATTGACCGACTTCAATACCAGTGTGGACACAGCAAGGGATGCTGAAGTGTTAAACGTGATAACCACCATTATCAATAAGCTTCAGGTAATGAAGAAAAGCAGCAGCGCGAAGGAGACAATCTAACTTATTTATATAGTCACTGATGACACCCCGTGTTGCTACCATCTTTGAAGCTACGTTTGAGCCTACATTGAACATGATAACAAAAGATTTTGCTGAATACCCTGAACACAGAACTGGATTTTACTCCATGTTAAGAGCCATCAACCGACATTGCTTTACTGCTTTATTAGAACTTGCCCCAGGTCAGTTCAAACTCTTTATCGACAGTATCGTTTGGGGCTTCAAGCATACGATGCGTGATATTGCTGACATCGGTCTCGAGATCTGTGGTGAATTGATTGACAACATCAGCCGTACAGATACAGCCATTGCTGGAGCATTTTATCAATCTTACTACCTCAGTCTGCTACAGGACATCTTCTTTGTGCTTACTGACAGTGATCACAAAAGTGGATTCAAGGGTCAAACTGAAGTTCTTGCACGTCTCTTTGAATTGGTATCAAGCAATATGATCACAGCTCCACTGTTCGATCCTTCTCAGGTGACAAATCCCAATATGACGAATGCGGAATTCTTACGCGAGCATGTTTCTACTTTACTTCAAAACGCATTCCCTCATCTTCAAAGGTAATTTTATTGTGTATAAAAGTCAAGTTATACTAACTTTACATACTTTAGTGCTCAAATCAAAGTATTTGTTCACGCCATGTTTGAATATAATAGTAATCCTACCAAATTCAAGCTAGAAGTGCGCGACTTCCTTATCCAATTGAAGGAGTTTGCTGGAGAGAATGCAGAACTTTATTTAGAAGAAAAAGAGAGAGAAATGGAAGCTCAACGAAAAGCAGAAATGGCAAAGGCTCTAAGTATTCCTGGAATGCTCAAGCCATCTGAATTACCAGTCATGGATGAGGATGAAAACCTTTAATCCTTTGACATCCACATACACACACTCTCTCTCACACAAACGCTACTCTACATTAATTTGTTTTCGTCACTTTTTTTTAACAGCAATTAAAAAGAAAAAAAATAAAGTAGTTTATAAAAATGATTATTTTAAAGCTAGTATCAACCTCTATTATAGTCATTTTCATTCTCATCGTCATTATTTGCATTATTACTATCTTCTGCATCTGGAATATTGATTAAATTAGAAGGAATAAGTCCATAGGTCCTTGATAATAATAGAAATCTTGCATAGAGATGTGTATCATTCTATAAAGTATATAAATATACTATAATTATCTATTGTATATTGTTACCTCAAAATACTCGTATACTTCTCTATGATGAAAATAAGCATGAGCAAATATACGATAAAGTCTCCTTGCGACAGATTGAAAATGTTTCAATGATGGTTCTGGTATAGATATTCTATAGTACAAGAGAGTCAATATGCCACTCATCCATGAATAACAATATATTACCTGCTTGGAAAATACTTGTTATTATTCAACAGAATCGTAGCTCCATCCAAAGTGTGAATGATATAATCAATTGCTGGACACTATATTTTATGTTTGCTAGGGAGTTATTATGATTAAAATAGCTTTCTATAAATAAAAATAAACTTACAGACTGAGTTGAAGGATGTGCAGCGCATAAATACATCCAGCCATCTGCTTTCATCTCTGGACATACTTGCTTTGTGCATTCTGATTCTAGTGCAACTACCAGTAAACTGAGTTCTAAGCAGACTTGACTATATGTAGTTGTGAGTCATATTGAAAAGGAAGAAGAAAAAATGAGTTTACCGAAGATGCTCATACTGCCAAATGTCCTTCTCAACACTTTCGGGTAATTCTACAATACGTTGTACATCACTACAGTCTTGTCTAATAAGTTGTTGCAAGTATTCCTGTACACTGAATGATGAGTCAAGAGAGTCAATAGGTTCAAATGGCCATTGAAATGTTTCCTAAAGTATTATGAGTACCAACACGTCCTTTTCATTGTCTTTATTTTTACTTCTAAACTGGTTCCAGGATACAGTCTTCTTAATGATGAAGTAGTCGACATGAAGAAATATATATGTATATATCTACAGAGAAAAGGGACAAAAGGTGCCCTCTTTTTGATTTTTGCGGCATGTACACAACCTCCCTTTTTTTTGCATCTCACCGGTCACATAACCGCATGATGCGTGTAACAAACTATTATACAAAGTTAAATAGTAAGAGTAATTCCGTGCATTGATATGAATGATCAACAAAGCTTCTAACAGCTTGAATCCAAGTGACTTTAAAGGCTTCGCTTGGGTATTCTCATATATGCTTGAACAAGTGTTACAACAAACAATCAGTTTGATCTTCATGGTAAGCTCCTGTAGATCAATAAATAAAGCTTGTCTGTTGTACTTGCCTAAAATAGTTGGTACTGTAGGAAATGAAGTATCTATACCTAAGTGTATAATGTTGTGTAAATGACTGAAAAGAACTTAATTCTGAAATACTGTATAATAGAAATCCTCTTTAATTTTTCACATAAATCAATCAAGATTTATCGCGGGCACACTCCCTTTGTAATTTTGAGCATATCATCTTTTTTAGAGGCAACTGGTTAGGATAAAGAATAATGTACATTTATTAAAAAAAACAGTAGAGAGAGGGAGAAGAGACGCCAAGCACAAGATACGTCTAGTAGTGGGGTAATTAGCGTTGGTATCTGTGGCTATCATCTGGAATAGTGCTACAGGGTGGGAGAATAATGACGTGAATTCAAGGAAAAAGAGGGGGTGCAAAGTTGTTAATTTTATTCAGTATGTGTAAGAAGCAACGTACCAATCATCTTGATAGTAGTAGTTATGGATTCTTTGATGGTTTTGTAGACGTGCAGAAGCAGCTAGTAAAATCGAGGTCAAATTTGCAGTCTTGAAAGTAGGCAATACACTTTTCGTCTTCTTTGCAGCAAGCTTGTAACCACACAAATGATAGTATTCTTTCAAGGTTGTTTTTCGGATACGTTCATGTTCTGTAAAGTCAATTGCAGTAAAGATAGTTGATATACCAGGATCAGCAACCCAAATCTCTTCATCGTCAGCTATATCAGTAAAGTTCTTCAGTGTCTTTTGCTCTATTGTTCATCATGGCTTGAGACAGCTTTCTTAAACTTGCTTTTGATCATTACTTGACGCTTTGTATGTGTGTGCGATTTCCACATGAAATGTCGTCACTTGTTAATATCCTCATGCATTTAAAGGCTTTCTAAAACCAGTGCATGGTATTTTTTTTGGTCAATACTACATGCACCAGAAAATAGGCTAATTGTAGTATCCATGCTACTATTCAGTACTTAAATATAATATCTAGAGTTGGGTCTAATGTTACTATAAGATCCGTTACACTTTAATCAAATATAGATTGTGCTATCATCTCTTTTCTCTTCATTTTATTCCGAATAAAGATACACACAGTCTCATCATACTTTTACTTTGTCTAGGTTAGGCAGAGACTTTAGTGATGCGAAGTTTGTGAACTACAGTCTTTTCAGAAAGTAAAGTCGTATTTTTGCAGTTTTTATAATACAATTTATACGAAAAAGCGACAAGTCAGCGCGACATCTCTTTCTGGAAATGGTGTATCTTGAATACTAATTCAATTGAAGAACGAACCACATTCAGGTATTGATATGAATAATGCTGCTGTTGGTCTAAAAACTTCAGGATGTTCTTCGGTTCATATTGTAAATTGCTAATTGCTGGCTGCTGTTTCGTACACCATGAGGTCCACAACGACCATTCGCGATTGTATAATTGATGAGTCCTCTTGTGATGGGCCTGTTGTAAAAATCTATTTGTTAATTCATCTACACCGTCTTGCGTATTGAAGGTTTTGATAATTTCCAGGCGGCCAGGTTCCATTTCTTGTTGATTGGTATTGTTAAGGGAGGTTCTTTCGTTAGTGCTAGAGTCATTGGATACCAAAATTGAGCCTTCCAATACGGCACCATAAGTATGGCTTCCTGTACTTTCTGGCGTTTGAACATGTGAAGTATTTTTGGAATTAGTTTCCAAGGAGGGCGAAGATAGAGGCCCTTCCTTGGCCAAAGCTCCTGAAAGGCGTTCACTGCTGTTGCTGCTAGGTCTGAGTGTAAGCTGCAAAATTTCGGCAATAGATTGTTGTCAACAAAACTTGTCATTATGTAGCACCACGCTAGACTTAGTCAAACACAGACATATTTCTATATTCTTTGATGTCGAATCTGAATTTATAAAATTTCCATCTTGAATTGTTTCTTTTCAAGAAGAAAGAGATAAGAAAAGCTACTGTTGCTGCATTTTAATTTTTTTATGTTGTCAGCTCTGTCAGCAAATATCCAAGAACAATCACGTGCATTTTACATTAAAAGATATCCCACTGGACAGCCTGAAGTTAGCTAGAGACTTTAGCGCGAAGTTGTAAAATGATGTCACAGGTAGCTCTTCGAGATAGCGCTCGTAGCATTAGCAGCTTTGTCGTGAGTTTTTTCGTGCATGTAATGTTTTCCTTTTCTTTTTAGTGGATTGTTGCTGCTGATCATCAAACATAAGCTGCTGTAACACGGGAGATTTCCTTAAATATAATCTTTTATTTACATGATACAAGTGAACACCAAATTGTTAAAATACTCGTCCCGATAAGGTCAATTTGTTAGAATGGTAAGGCTAAAAAACTTATTTTAGGTTCAAAAGTCGCAACATTCATTCTTGGACCAATGCAGTACAGATTTTTACCTGGTATGACTTTAATCTCCTATCACATCACAGTACGATGCGTGTAACGATAGCCATTTTACTAAATTGGGTGCTACTAAGCCCTTATCTCACAAAGCATTTTCTCAATCAATATCGTACTTTTTAATTAATGAACTGTGTTTCATAGCAGAAGGTTGAGCAAATGTCCTCATGATTGGCATAGTCTAAGGCAGCTACCCTAGTAGTAGTTCCTCTCTGTGCACAGATAGAAAAAGAAGATCCTAGCTGTATTGTCTCAAAATGCTAGTTGATTGTTCCAAAAAAAAAAGAATCCTAATCCTCCATTTTTGGCTGTCCTTTTCTATTTGCAATACAATAGAGAAATAAAGTGGCACTTGACAAAGACACGTACGCCTAGTGAAGTCCTTTGTCTGTTCACTTTACCACATATGGCTTAAAATCTGTATTTTGGGCTTATATATTTGGTAAGAGTTTAAATTGCCATTTTTGTATAAATGTTTATTATTATGTATGTAAAGAGAAAAAAGAATGAAAAAAGAAAAAAAGATGGTAATGTACAAGCAAATATATAAGCCAAAGAAAGTGAATAAAATGTTACATGAATCTCGCAATGGCTCTTTGGAATGGTTTAATAGAGGCACACTCTCTACGCAAGTTATCTGATATAGGATCATCCCACTTCTTTTGAGAGATGAATCTACGTGCTAATCGAATACATAATTCTTCCCTAAATTGTGTATACAGTCTTCTATTATAATATCTTTCCACTTGTCTTGCTTCATCAGGGTATGCGTGTGTTTGATGAATGATAAAGTCATTTGGTAAAACATAATAATCTACACCAGAGATATAGAGCTCATAGAGACATGCAGCCTTGTTACTTCCATAGCCAGCGAATCGCTCATCACACCAGGGAGATCCTTGATTCTTATAGATAACATAGGGCTCATAAGAGTGCTGGTAGGTAGTCACTTCATAGATGGTGCCATCATCAACAGAAGTCCAACGATCGTAATCTGTAGGAGCATGACCAGGTAACCAAAATGAGTGGAACATTTCAATCTTTTTGTCCTCGTAGGCTTTTATGAGATCAGGCTTATTCTTGGGAAATGTGCGGTAATCCAAGCCATCTTCTTGTTTTGAAAATTCAAATGCAGGAATCACTAGCGCAGCCTCACCGGATTCAAGTAGGGACATGGCTTTGGGGTTATTCAAAACGCTATTCCTTATATCTGTACAAGGGTAAAAGTCGATGTCAAGTAGCAGTACATAGTCAGTTCTTGCAAACAACTTGGCCACATTTCTCCACAGGTTAAGTTCTCTGTCAAATTCATCACGTACGATGTGAACATCCACATATTTACGCATATCTGGGCTCTTTTCCATGGTTTGCTCCAAGATTTCCAAAGTGTACTCTCCTTCTTCATCATCTGATATATGAATTGTAGTAGATATAGGGCCTAATAGATAAGATTAGTTTCTGCTCCTTCATTTCTATAAAAGTAAATGTATACCTTTATATTTTTTTGCCAATCTTGCTAAATTGGGTATTCTGTTCCTGGTGACCAAGGTAACGATAGTGATGTCTTTGGACTCCAGGTTCATTTCAGCTTTATAGTAGTATGGGATAATCTTAGATTGCCCAGAATAAGAGAATGATTTAGAAAAGAAGGTTTCTATGGGCAATTGATGGACAGCACCTATAATAAATAGAGATCAATATGAGATCAACCTTACTATATACAAGCTTTACCATTGCCATCTGTCCAACTCATCACAGATGTATTGGTTGTTTCTAATTCGGAATCATCTCTATAAAATACGGCTCGTCTATAATAAGAGTAACTTGATGTACTGGGTGTTGTATAGTAGGTTGATAGTAAAGCTATGCTTGATATAAATAACAGAATGCTTAACCATTTGTAATTCTTGCGAGCCATTGAATCGGTACTCATGTTTAATAAATAAAGAAAAGAAAAAGGGAAAAAAGCCTATTATTCGGATTCGATCTTTCCCTTGGTCTCTCTTTTATATTTCTGTGTTTTTTGATCGGTTCTAAAAATACACAGTATCAACTGACTTTGCCTCTTCGCCTCTTTCTGGTTACACTAATGGCCCTTTTTTTCACTTTCTTTTTGCTTCAGCCAAACAAAAATACGGTGCTACTATTAATAAAGGACTTCTCTTACCTTCAAGGAAAAGTGTTGCTATGGGAATAAAAAAAATTATTTTGACAAGGTTGGATATGTTTCTGATAAGCATACCCTTTCCCTTTCTGGACCCGTGAAATGAGATATTAACAATCGATTATAATTCAGATCTTATCTCTTATTTGCACAGTTTCATGATATTGATTCTCTTTTATCAACCATTTCAATTAATTCCATAATGGCTATTAATTGGCAATGAAGCAGAGAACTACGCGCTTGTATCACAATAACTGACAAACTCAATTGTATGTGGCTGCAGTCTCTTCCCTTTTTCTCTTTCTTACCCAGATGGTGAGGCTGTGCAGTCTTTGTTTATGTAATATTCAGGGTAATATCTATTTGCTTTATTATACACTCTTAAAAATGCAAACGATGCTACTAATATCAAATCTGTTACTGAGCTAATACTATATTAAGTAACCATTCTTTCATTTTTCAAGAAAGCTTGAAGGGGAGTGTCTGAGTTAGAAATAAAGTAGAGCAGCATCTGTGAAGGGGAAGTAGGGGTCAAAATGTTACATTGACTTTCATGCATTTTTTTTTTTTTTCAGGCGACACTTTATCTGACAATATGATCTAGTATATTGATTGTCGATTTAAATGATATTTGATATGTCTATTCATTAGCGGCTTTTATTTATTATGAAATTGTCAACATTATAACACGACAATGAATTTATTAAGTGACATACCAACAGAAACACACAGAAACACACAGATATACACTTGTACAGCTTGTAGATTGTCATATAGCAAAGTAATGATCCTAGTGCTCAACATAACCTAGTCTTGTAATAGGCTGAATAATGAGATCGTCAAAAGGGAAAGATTAAAAAAAGAGAGGTAGAGATTGTTGTTCTGTTATTTATCAGTGTAGGAATAGTTTATGGTAATCATTGTTGTCATTAAAAGAGTCCTTTTTTTTCCCTCTCTTTCCCTTTTTTTCATCTTTTTAATCTGAAAGTGGTCAAACGTCATGTTTAGCAAGAATCAGTTTACTCATAGCAAGCCTGAAGGCATGACTCAGCTAGGTCCAGATCATCCACTTCTTAGAAAGCATATTCCTCCTGATAGATCCAGTACATCTTCTATATGGAAAACAGACGATAACCATTTGGAACCTGAAAAACATTTTGTTGTAAAAAAGTACAGAAACTCTGAATATGATTCTTCCTCAAGACCCCCAAGATCCTCTCAACGATATGCAGGCAGAAGGAGTGGTGGTAATGAACCACAAACCCCATTTATCACCTCTGTTCAACCATCTACAACCTTGCCGTATTCAAGTGAACCTAATTGGCCAACATCAACAACAGGAAATGCGTCTAAAATGTCAGCAAGTGCTTCTGATTCACAACTCTGTAAACCAATGTGGGGACAAGAAAACGCTGAATCATCCATGTGGGGAACGACTGATACTACTGATCAGGCTACGGCTGCAGCTACTTCTGGTCCCTCTAGTGGCTATCCTGTAAGACGATCAAGATCTGATATGTATACTGCTGAAAGAAGAAGTGAGTACCAATTCAAGACTTGTCAAGCATTCACTGCTTCTCAGAATGCTTCTTTCACTGAACAAGCCCCTATGGGCAATGCAAATGAAGATTCCACTTTTATATTGCAGCCTCCATGGGAAACCACTCCTCCCGTGCAAGAACAGGCTGTATCTGCTGAAAATGGGATGGAAAACCTTAGTGCTCAATTCAATACCATGGCTGTACCTTCAAGTGAACCTTTATCTGCAGGAAGAGACGTGTTATGTGAAAATCAAAAAGATATGAGAACGAACGCGACTTGGGGAAACGAAAATGACGTATATAGGGCTCCCCCTTGGCGTGACTTACTTAATGAAGAGCCATCTTATCCTTTGAATCAAGCAACTGATCGTGGACCCACTCATGCTGTTGAACAGCAGACGCTTTCTATTTCAGGCGCTCCTGAAAACTGGCAATCACCAATTGAATATGGCCACTCTACTGAATTGAATCAGGTATCTGAGTCTTCTACTAAAAACCTTGTTTTTCCTTCTGAAGAGTCTCTTGAACAACCAAAAGCCCCTTTTCAAAGTGCCGAACTTGGAGGCTGGGGACCACCATTCGACTTTCAAGAACAAGAACACCCACTTGTTACGTACCAAAGGCGTATAAGAGGCGAGATAGACTCTGACAGTCCACAACAGGTGATCCAAATGATATTTGATCCATCTAAGGCCACCACAGAAGAAGGAAGACCTGTTCATCATCCAGTTTCTATTATTGATAATCTAAATGCATCAGAGAGAGTGCGTGAAGAAATTGATCGGGTTCTTAATCAACAGGCTCAGAACAATCATACGAGTAATTCCCCTGTCAAAGTTCATGAAAATCAAATGGCAAAGAGACATCAAATAAAGTTTAAAGTCAAGCCTCCTTCTGGTGAAATCGCTGAACTTCGTATAGGCCTTGATGACAACGTTTTTAAAGCTGTTGAGGAATTCAATATCAAGCATGCATTGAATTTAACTGACAAGGTCAAGGCTGCGTTGGTTCTAAAGATCACAAAGCAACAGACTGAAAAGAAGTACGCTGTTAAAGTTTAATGATTCATTCTTTTCTCTTTTGAAATCAAAAAATAAACGTACTTACACATCATAATAATTTGAGCTTCTTTTATTCAGTGTTACACTTGACATTGATTGGACAGATAAGCTTCTTTCTTTTTTTTTTTTTTTTCTTAAAATGCCAACCTACTCAAACGTGAGAATCTCATTACTGACAACGCCGGAAGAAAAAAAGAAGGCACTTGATGTCCGCATCGCTGTATTTGTGCATGAACAAAAGTACCCCTTGGAAACAGAAATTGGCGGGTAATTTTTTATAAAAAAAAAATAGGAATAGCCTTTATCTCACTCAAAACAAAAAGAGAAGAACCTCGTTTAGACGAGATCTCTACTCATTGGGCTGCTATTGCTGATAGAGAAAACGATGATGGATCTATAGAAAAGGATGTATATATTGGAACTGTTCGATTAATTCCTACTGAAGGCAATATTGCCAAACTAGGACGTCTTGCTGTCCTTTCTGAAGCTAGAGGGCTTTATGCTGGTCAAAACCTAGTAAAGAATTTCGTTGAATATTGTAAAAGTAACGGGTACCATGCTATTAAGCTTCATGCACAATACCCTCGACGTATGTTTTATGCTAAACTCGGATTTACTATTGAGGAAGGGGATGATGACATTTTTGATGAAGACGGAACCCCTCATGTCAGAATGTGGATGCGTAACTTGCGCAGTTGAAGATGCTATAAATAGATCCATTCATGTCTAAATCCTGGTATGAACCGTCAATTGTGTAGAATTTATTTTTAGAATAAGGTAGAATAAAAACAAAGGGCAGAAAATCTCCGTATGACTTGTCCCCTTCGTTGTGAGCTATCTGCATCCTTTTTGTTGTATCATATAAGCATAGGCATTAGATAGATTGACTTTTATAAATCTTTTTGATTGTCTATAGCTATATTTCCTTTCATTATCCATTGCTTATATTTCCGATGTGCGTACATATCTTTTGGCTGATAAGATCGCTTTACAATGAACTAGAAAGATAGGACCTTGGTCACTTTTAAAAGACAGTAGTAGTAATATATCCAGTACAAATGAAAATAATCGCATGAAGACAGAATGAAAAGACAAGTAGTATATAAAGAGAGGGGGCAAAAGCAATTGCTCTAACAATTTATCTCTTTTTCTCTTTACTCTCATTTTTTCAAAAATGCTCTATTCTCAAAAACTCTCTCAAAACGCTCGCGCCAAGAAAGACAATGTCACCTATCTCAACATTATGGTTGTCGGTATGTCAGACTTTGGCAAAACATCCTTTATTCGCACCTTTTGTGAAGCTTTGAAGCAAGACATGATTCAAGGCACTTATAAGGAATCCAAACACAAGGCTCTTAAAGGCCCCGTCCAGTTAACGGAAGAACTCTACACTATCTCTATGCAGATCGAACAAGATGGAAAGCGTATCGCATTGACTTTTATTGATACACCTGGTCTTACTTCTAGTCCCACTGTGGCTGATCAACTCAAGTACATTACCAAGTATGTTGACCATCAATTCGCTCGAACTCTTGCTGAGGTAAGGAAAAAAAAAAGTTTCCGAATAACCATTGCTCATTTATTATTTAGGAATCCAAAGTTAGGCGTGATGCCAAGGCACTTGACACACACATCCATGCTTGCCTTTACTTTATGGGGGCATCCTGTATTCAAGGTTTAACTGATGTCGATAGATTCATTCTGAAGGTCCTTAGTGCTCGAACCAATGTTATTCCTGTCATTGGAAAAGCTGATACATTGACAACCGCTCAAACCGAGAAATTGAAAAAGACTATAAAGAAGGATATCTTTGACACACATCGTATCCCTGTTTATGGCTACATTGAAGAAGAGAATGATGGCGATGATGACCATGACGAAGATGATGACGATGATAGCGTTTCCGAGGAGGAGAATTCTTATTTGTCGAGAACCATAAATTTCCTTATGGAATGCGTAGAAGAAGACAAGGATGAGGACGCTCATGCGATGCTTGAATATCTCCATGCTATGCCCTTTACTGTGATTGGATATGAAGAAGATCTCGAATCAGGTCGCCCTATCCAGCTCTTGCCAGGGGAGGCAAGCAGTCAGCCATCAAGCGCGGTGAGTTTAACAGATCCAGGATACTATAGTGAATCCATCGGCAGTATCGCTAGTTCTGAAATCTCTCCGAATAGTTCCAAGTCAAGTATTGTAAGTCATGGTATGGGATCCACCAAACATTTACTCGGAAGGCGATATCCTTGGGGCGTTGTCGATTGCTATAATCCTTCACATTCCGACTTTTTGCTCATCAAAAAGGTCTTGTTAAAGACACACAGAGAAATGCTTAGGATTGATACTTTTGAATGCTTTTATGAAAAATACCGAACCCAACAATTGATGGAAAAGCCATCATTAGTATAAAGTCTCTTTTATCCTCTTTCTTTAGAACATTATAAAATTAATAAAAAAGACGCTTTCACTTTTTTCTTTCTCTTTTATTAATGACGAAAACCGTTTTTTAATGATTCAGTCGCCCTTAAACCTAAACTGGTTGCAGTAACTCCAGTGCCTTTCTTCTTGGCCTTATTTGCTTCATTGACTGCAGCTACAATTTCTCTTATATCAGTCTCTAGCACCAATCCACCTTGTATAATTTCAGACAAGATGGCATGAATTTCATCAAAGTGGAATATCTAACGTGTATTAGATCATTATATGTATATATCTTTCATGGTTTACATACCAAGTCTAACTCACACACATTTTCAAAGCAACGATCCAAGCTTTCGACAAAGACCTATCAAGAGTGTTGGTTATTTGAATACAGTTGATAAACATTTTACTTGAATAAGGTCTAATATGCCAAGTTCACTTTCACTCTCGTCAACAACAAATACAAAATATAATGTTGCATAATGTCTATAAATCACGCGTGTATCTTTTCCTCCAAGAAGTTTACTGCCTTCTAAGAAATTACATGATGTGTCTGGTCGTTTTGAAACAAGTGTGAATATTTCTTGTACTAATGCTTGCTGAGTGGCAATATCCTAATCAACTATTAATAACTTGTTTTCTCTTTCCTCTTTGTTTCTTACAATTTGTTGATAAAACTTGATAAGTCGTGGTTTACCGTGATTGTTAAAGATGAGTACAGATTTGATCATTGAAAGGGTATCGGAAAAGTAAAAAAAAACTGTAGGCATTGAGCCAGTTTTGCTACCTTCATTGTTTGATTCTCCGAGATTTTCTCCATTAAAAAAAGTTCTCAGCCCAAATGTAGCTTAGATTTTTTTTGTGTCAGGCACAAAAGAGGGCTGCTGTTTGCTGTGGTTCTTTTATTTTTATTTTTTATTTTTTGATTATATTTTTATAAAGCAAACCCCCTTGAAAGCAAATGAAAAGTTCCTCTACTCTCCGACGTGGAGGAGGAAGCGCAAAGAGAACAGTAAGAACACTCAACCCCGCACTCGTCTATGACTACACTCTTCGTTGTGCTATACGGGCTTGTCTTGAACAAAACAGTAAAGCGTCACTCAAGGAGCCCAAGAAAGATACGAGCAGTAATAGACACTCAGTTCACTTGAGTGGCATGAGTGATGTGTTTGGAAATTTGGCAGATAAAATCGTAGGAGATGAAGGTGGCGAGAAAAGCAATAAACTGACAAAGCCAGTAGTTGTGGGCTTAATGCGACGACTGGACGATATTAAAGATGGCAAAGATGTTTCCAAGTCAGAATATATCGATCGAAGATTCATCTCGGTAGTTCGACACATGAGGGATGAAGTAAAACAACACCGTTTTAGGCCTCAAGGCTCCATTAACGACCTTGTGGTTACCTTCCTCAAACTAAGTGAAGCTGAACTCAAAAAGACAGATCCTAACCCAGCCATATGGTTTAAGGATCTTGATCGATATGTGGTTCGATTTACAGAAATCCTATTACTCGTCTTAAGAGAAGATGCACCATCCGCTGCTTCATCCGAGTATATCGAATCCTTACAGAGATCGATCCTTCCAAAATCAAAGCAACAGCCCGCAACAGAGCAAAGAAATAGTAGCAGCAGTGGTAATTCAACAACTGATACATTAGACATGGTCGAAAGCTTCCCTATGGTCAAGACAGTACAGAACCTGTTCCAAATCGAAAGCTCGGTTCATAGACAAAAGATACGTGACCTTTTACCTGTTTGTACTGAGGCGGTAAGATATCATCTAATAGCTTTAATCTAGTGCTAACCCTTTTATTAGAATTACCTTTTGGATTTAAAACAATGCATTAATGCAATCAATACAAATCAACCTTTTCCAGGCAGAAGAGAGGATTTTGCATCGCAACAGGCTTATGATTTTTGGGTAGCAAGAGAAAAGAAATATCTCAATGGCTTAATGACTGTCATGGTCATGAATCCAAACCTGACACTGACCAACAAGTCTGAACAAGACGTTGGTTCAACCAACTTGCTCGCCGGAAGGAGATCAAGTGATTCAAGAAGAAGTTCTGTTTATAACACAAACCCAACCGATGACAGTCCCTATACTTATATTCCCAATGATCCTCGCTCTTATTTCCGTTTGTTGATGAACATGTGTATGGATCTTGATACCAATATTGCGCCTGATACAGAAAAGGCCAAAACCAGTGTGTTATCACAAGCCTCAGATGATTTATTACGAGAATGCTCAAACACATGGAGACTCTCTGCGCCTTTTAGGTCTGTTCTTTATCTAGAATTAATCAAAACGCGTATGGATACCGAAGAAATTGATATACATGATGCTATCGATGACGCCAGAGAAGCTATTCGTGCTCTAGATAAATGTCTCAAGGAGAATGAAATTCAGAACTGGACAATTAATGATGTAGGTGAAATACTTTTTTCTTTTTGTTTATATTAACCCATTTACATAGAGAGAAAGTTTGATTCGTGTCTTTGAGGGACTAAACCAGACTTGTCTTCGTGCCTTGGCTGAATCACTCAGCAGATACTGGGATATTGAGTAAAAAAAAAAAAAAAAAAGCCAAGAGATATATATGCATATCGACCTAATGACTTTTATACTTTTAAAAAAACACATAGTCCTGCTCTCGTCAAGGACCAGGTTGCATTACTGGATAGTATATATGAAAACCCTGCCTATCTGGAAGACCATGCAAATCCTCTGGAACAGTTCCTATCACTAGAAGAAACAATTGCTGTAAGTAATAATATACATCAAGGATATATATCTATGTACATATTGAAAATGTCAATAGGGTGCAGCTGTATCTCGATGGCGTGTGTTGGAGAAGTCAGTGCTCAATCCTAAAAATGACGATATGACCAATTTGATGAATTTGGCAGATAAATTGATCAAAGAGTTGGTCACTGTAGCAAAGAGGTTTAAGAAACCATTGAAAGGGTAAAGATGTAATAACACAAAAAGGAACGCCATATTGAACCTTTTGATAGGTCTTTACATATTCCAGGTATTATCATGGCTCGTCAAATGCCATTCTTTGTTTTAGAAATGGAAAACTGGGCCTTTTTACCAGAAGCAAAACAGGCGCCCATTGAACTGACATTTGAGCTCTATGACAAAGTGCTGACGCTGAAGAGACTTTACGATCAATATGGACCAAAACAAAAGTCTGCACTCTTCAAAGTCGAATCATGGTTCTTGACCCACGTTCGTCGATGGTTAAAGTCTACAAACGAAGCTACACCAGAATGGGTAAGCAATGCGATTAAACAAGACGAGTTCAAGCCTATCAATGAAACAACCCTACACTCCTCGTCAGTGGTGGATCTCTTTACCATGTTCCATCAGGCTGTTGAATTTGTCCAAAATCTAGAATGGCCTAATAGAATACAAGAATGCAGATTTAATACGGCGTTATCTAAGGTCATTGGTGTTGCTCTTGAACAGTACACGATGGAGCTGGAGGATATGATCACGACAGACATTTACCCTCGAGCAGTACGTGAAGGAGATCCACATGGAAGCGGAAACTTTTTCGACAGAGCTCGTTATCAACTGATTGGGGGACGACCTCAGAGTAAAAGTAGCTCTGATGTCCCTGCTGACTTTATTGCAGAGGTAAATACAAAAATATTATAAAAAGGATAGCCAACTCATTTATATAAAAACAGACATGTGTCAAGGTGAACAACATTGAGGCTGCAAGATTTAAGCTTGACAGATTATATCAAAACATGGACGTGGATGAAATTGCACAAGAAATGCGAGAGTATGGATCTCAATTACCTGCTGAAAAGTCGGTTTCCGAACAACAAAACTACCTGTATTCTATCAAAATTGTCAGAGCCGAGAATTTGCCACCTTCTGATAATAATGGACTGAGTGATCCATATATCGTACTAGAGATCGATAACAAGCCAATTACCAGAACAAAGACTGTGTATGAAACGCTAAATCCTCGCTGGGATCAAGTGTTTGATATTTGGCTTACAGAAAAGACAGTGGACGTATTGGCTCTTGTATATGATGAAGACTTAATTGGTGCAGATGAAGAGTGTGGTGGTGTATGGTTCAAGTTATCGCCCGAGTATTTTGACGATTATCAAACACATGAGTTGGTGTTGAACTTTGTTCCTCAAGGAAAACTTATTCTACGTATCAGTATGGAAGGAGAAAAAGATGATATTCAATTCTGGTTTGGTAAAGCCTTCCGAACGTTGAGAAGAGCAGAAAATGATGTAGCAGGTTTGATTGTAGATAAGGTAAGCCTTTTACTAGCTTTAATAATGTACATGTACTTACTCTATGGTCTAAAGATGAGTAGCTATTTCCGTCAAATATTAAACAGAAAAACCTTGGATAAACTCTTTGGTCGTGATCGTAGCTTCTTTTCTTCATTTTCACGAACTACAAAACACGTTGATCCAACTCTTCAAGACTGTGAAGAAGCTATTGTGCCATTAATAGACTATCTTGAGAGAAATTTGAAGATTTTGAATGATAATTTATCAGAGACAAACATGCAAACCATCGTTTTGAAGATTTGGAAAGAAATTCTTATTGCATTAGAAGGTGTTCTCTTACCGCCACTTTCTGAACAATTGTCTGAATTAAAGCCTTTGGATGATTATGAATTTCATGTTGTATATAAATGGCTAGAGGTAATATTATAACATGTGCTTATAATCAAAATATGCTAATGTCTATATCAAAAGCTTCTTAAAGTACTCTTTAATGGTGGTGAAGACGCTGATGCAGTACCTTTGGATAAACTTGAAAATTCACAATACTATGCGCTCTTAGCCATCAATGCAGCCTATAACTTAGAAACAGAACATCTGATTGAAGGATACAATAACATTGTGAAGAATCAAGTAGAAATGAAACTAAGGGGCGGAAGGAAAGCAGATAGAAGTAAATCTGTCTACCATTCAAAGAACACTGCCAAAAAGAGGAAACCTTCATCCAATAGGAAATCAGCGTCTATTGAATTGCCAAACGCGGATACCATTTTACGTATTCTTCGTATGCGTAAAGGTAGACAAGTCCGAGACTTTCTTCACGCCGAGTTTCAGAAACGTAATTACCCAACTCCCACCGAAACTGCTCCTGCAGAGGGTATAAGCCAAGGCGCTAAAGAGCAAGAAATCCCACCTGTTCCCGAGGTTCCAACAAATGACTTAACGCCCGTGAATGAGAATACGTTACCTCTAAGATAAATAAAACTTTTTCTTAACCTAAAAAGAGACAATCACAAAGCTTTTAAGAGATCACTGGAAGACTTTATTGGACAAACTCCATTTTCAGTAGAGATCATTACAAATTTATAAGTGAAACTAAATAAAAATCCTTTGTGGACCTTTTCAAAAAGAGAGAGTTATAGAGATTTGACGGTGAATATGGACCACCTTATTTACCTTTCCTCATTCTGACTGAAAGGCTGCTGATGAGATATCAAAAGCATATTAAAAGGGCTCTTCTTGATGAGAGCTTTACTCTTATGCCTTATATTATGTAAGCTGACGATCGCATGAATTTAACTAGAAGATATATTGCCATATTAATCAAAATCAATAAACAGTTTGACTACATTATCGCTTTTCTTTTCTTTTGACAATAAAATACCTTATAATTTAGACAAAGTAAGATATTATTCAGTATTCACATATATTTATTAACGTGCGTAATTGAATAAAGCTATCAAATCTTTATCCATATTCAAGTATAAAGTCAAAAAATCTCGCGTTATTTCGAGAACCACTATATTATTATGCCAGCAGAAGAAGTAGGTTAATCACACGCATACAAGGCTACATATACATCATATCTTACGCATCTTTCATTTCTTAGGCAGCTGAAACAGCTGCTTCTCCTTTGTCAGCCTTTAAGCGAATATTGACTATCAAGACCTCGTTATCTACGATTGGATGGAAAGAACAGTATAAACCTGCACTTAAAGAATTAATGAATATCGTAAACGATCTCGTTGGCCATACATTTGCTTTCTCCAAGTTTATTTTAATAAACGAATTCAAAAAAAAATGATCAAGTTGAACTGGAAAAGTACATAACAAAAAGCTTCTTTGAAGAGGTATTTTTGGCCCTAGTTGATTGACAGACCAGAGACGGCAGTGTTACCGGCAAATCCCAACTTTCAGACAAGACACGTATGGCAAGAAGTCTAACATTCCCATATACAGAGAAATATTGTCAACATGCCTCTTACACACCCATAAAATTAACAAATGCCCAGCAAATCACGAAATATGAAGGCACAAAGATTCATACAGCGTATATCAACAATATTACCCTTCATTTTGGGAACCAGCTTTGTATGCTTTTGAATTCTGTTTCAAAAAAGTAAGAAAAAATCAAAAAGCTTCTAAAGACATGGAAGAGAGAGGATGCTCTGAAGAAGAAATAAAGAAGACGATAAAGACTGATGTGCTTGATGTCTGTCATAAGCTCAAAATGGAGATCTCTGCTAAAAAGCTACCAACTCTTACTGCAAACTTCTTAACTGAAACAATCACAAATCAAATCCAAAGCTTTTTAAATGTGTACCCGGATAAGTACAATTTCGCAAAGAACTCCATCTATTATGATGTTAAAGCAAAACCGCAACAACACTTACAAGCATATTATATGCTGGCAAAGATTTGTGAAGAAAACAACTCAAAGTCATTCAGCTGCTTCCCTTTGCGTAAAGGCTTTATTCCTGGCTACATGACAATCGATGCCAAGATCTTAAATTATCACATCCTAAAAAACAAGAAATTCGCTGTTGGTTCCAAGTTTGATATTTGGAAAAGTGTTGTCAATCTTGATTGCAGAGTTCTGAAAAGTAACGATTCTTAAACAATGTAATTTCAGGGAACAATCGAAACGGATGGTGTAGGTGTCTCTATCGTCAAGCAAAACTTTGACCCTGCAAGAAAAGGTGCTTCTAGTGATCGTTGGCGAATGATTACTACGGATGATTCTTTTGTCTATGCTGGAAACTTGTCAAAATCTGAACTACTCAAAACGAAAGATAAGTGCATACTTATCGATCCTGGCCGTGGTGATCTTTTACATTGTATACATGAAACAAGTTCTCCAGAAAAAAAGTCTATTTTCCGATACAAAAGGAACCAACGAGCAGTTGAAATGAAGTCAAGACGATATCGTAAACTCAGGCAAATCTTAAAGCCTGATTATATACAGTCCCTTGAAGACCAGCTCAGTAGATTACCTGCCTCAACCGTGAAGTCTAAAGTATTTGCCGAGTATCTTGAAGTGAAAGCCCAGATCTCAGAATGTTTAAAGGAATATTACTGTAATGAAGATGTCATTTTCGGCACAAGTAATTGTGATGCTATTAATGACGGTAATGCCAGTGATAATATTAGTTATGCTGATGCTGCCAGTAGCAAGGTTATTATTGGTGAAGCTAGTCGCAGTAATGTTGATAGTATAGATGGTATCGCCAATGACGGTGAAGCTAATTGTGCTAGTGACAGTGCTGATGTTATTAGTGATGGTGCTGTCAGTGACGAAGCTGTTAGTGATTTTAACGTTGATGATAAATTTGATACTGAACTCGCAATTCATCAAGTAAAGCGATGCCTCAAGCGTTCTATTGATAATCTCCAATTTATTCTCAATGAAAATAAGACTAAGAACAAGATAGAGAAGCACGAATATGAATGGTTTAATAGTATACTCAAGGAAGCCCAGTTTTTAAAAGTAATTTCCAAGGAAGAATACGAATATCATCATAAAAGGGCCAAAGACTTATCTGAGCTGATTAGATCGACGCTCACGCCATTACCTTTCAGAAAATTAAAGCTGTCCAGCAAGATCAATAAGCAACAGTCAAATAAAAAACTAGCCAATGACTTGAAGAAAAAGTTTGGTAAAGATGCGGTTCTTATCTTGGGCGATTGGATGGTTAATTATGTCGAATTTCATGAACCTATTAGAGAAAAAGGAATGCGACTGATGCTGCGAAAAGAAGGGTTCACTGCTTTGCTAATTAACGAATATAAAACGTCAAGTTTCTGTCCTGAATGTGAAATTGGTGAATTAGAAACCTTTAAAATTGTAAAAAATCCAAGAACGTTCAAGATATAAAAGATGCCTACTGTTAAACGACACGGTCTTTTAAGGTATTATCTCTGAGGGTCGAAATAAAAGAGTATTCTAAATATATTATTTGAAATAGATGTAAAAATCAAAATTGTTTGAAGATCCAACAAACGAGTAGGCTCTGGAACAGGGATCTTGCCGCTGTACTGAATTTTCGTTCTATATTACAGTCACTCAGAAAGACAGGCGCTCGACCTGAGAGATTTACGAGATATACCATGGAAGATAATAGACGAAAAAGAAAGGGAACACAGCACGAAAGTAACAAAACAAAAAAGCCAGACTTGATTCCGCCTCGGTTATTGCTGAAGGCACCCACAGTACAGATAAATTATTGAGAATCTATTTAATCATTCACAAATCATTTGTAAGCGTCTAGCTTCATTGTTGACATTTGCCCTCAATTTTTGTATATGATTATTTAGTTTTAATTACGAGCTGTTTATCTTACTTTTTTAATTTCTCCAATTTTAGCTTAAAACCCTGTAAATAAAACTCAGAAACAATTGTTTGTATGTTGTATCATTGACAGGCGAAGAAAAAAAAATTTTTTTTATAGTTTGCTTAAACTTCAATGGACAGTCGTGGCATTCCAGTTGTAGTTGCAGCAAACACAAATATCACTCCAAGGCATTCTCCTCCAATAAATATACGAAAGAGGTCGCCTAAAAGCTTTATATTCCCTTCATTAAAAAATGAAATATCTTTACTAGAAGCATACGATTCCTTTGCTGATGCCTGCTTTCAGAGTCATGGCTCCTTAAAGGCAAATTTACTTCGGAAATATTACTACTCTATGAATAAACCAAAGAGTCCAGCCCTAAGCCAAAAGCCTCAGGAACAAACTAGACCTGTTCCTTCGAGATCTATTAATGAATCGAGCCAACATATAGATCGCTCCATGCCAGCACATACATTACCCATTCCACAAGTCAACCATGTTAAGCAGCAGCAGCATATACCGCATCAATATCCCATGCATTCAGAATTAATACCTCCACTTCAATCGCCTGGAGCATTTGCTGAAGCACAACAATTATATGCAACACAATATTATAATAGATCGCATAATAACCCCTATTCGGTACCACCTTATCTGGCCATGTTTCCTTCTCACCCACATTTTTTTATGCTAAATGATATGAATATCCAACACCAGCAAATATCACCACAACAGCCTCGACAAGGACAACCAATACCATTACAGCAACAACAGCAACAACAGCAGTTTCCACAGATAAATAATTACTTTGGCGGCCAAAACGCAAATTTTATCTCACGCAGCTCATTACCACCGCCTTTTGTAATGGAACCAAAAGAATACTATAATGAAGCTGTTCCACCACGACCATTGGAAATGATTATAAACTTTAACTCACCCAACATGCCTGCACCAACTTATGAAAGCGAGCGTAAGATAGACAACAAGAAGAAGCCAAGAGCCAGAAGAACACAAAAGAATAATAACAACACTGAACAGCAACAACAACAAAACTTACCAGGTGCTGCAACCATAATATTTGAACATTCGCCACTATCTGCTAAAGAAAATAGTAATCCAAAGACACGAAAGCCAAGGTCTAAAAAGACGGTAAATGAACAGATGGAATCAACTGGACAACAAACCATAGAAGCAGGCACACCTGAGACAACACAAACGAAACCTCAAAGGCATAGGAGACAGGCTCCTAAAAAGAATAATGAAAATGCTCCTATACTTGATCTTGATGACGCGAATGTACCTGATCTGGCAAATGAACAGACACCAACCAGAAAACGCAGAAATACGCGAACTAAAAAACAGCAAACTGAAGCACATGCATCATTAGATAAAGAATGTAGCATGAATGATAATATTATGGAATCAACATCAACAGTAGAACAACAGCCTATAATGCAAGATGTTATCCCAAAGGAAAGCTCTGTAGAAAACTATGTAGTAGATAAGCTTATTGCAACAGATTATATTTCTGAAAAACTTGAAGAAGAGCCACTTTTATTAAAAGAACCTGTTGAGAAAGAGCCTGTTGTAGAAGAACGTGTAATAGACAAACCTATGCCAGAAGAATCTGTCGCAGATGAAGATATAATGGAGCGGTCTATGGTAGAAGAACCTGCAGTCCGTGCATCGATCGTAGAAGAGACCAATTTGGAAGAAACCATCAATGAAAAATTTGTAAGCGAGCCTGCTATTGAAGATCAAGTTGTAAATAAGAAACAAGAAATAAAGGCTTTAGAAGAGGAAGCTTTAATGGAAAAAGAAGATGTCACAGAAAACCTCAGTGTGGAATATGATATCACAAAAGAAGAACCAGGGATTGAACAACATGCAAAAAAAGCTACTATAATAGATCATTTGGAGAATAGCATTACAGCAGTAAAAGTATTAGAAGCTGTCAAGATAGTTGACAGTGCCGTAATAGATGCTGAAAATGTATTGCCAAGTGAGAATGTTATCTTGAATGAGCCAAAGTCTATTTCAAACGATATCAAGGAATTGACGATAAAAGATGTTCAGGAACAACCCACTTTAGGCGACAGCATTGAGAGTGGAAAAGAGGTAGAAGTTTCAGAAGAAGCTAATCATACGACTGAAGCCATATGTCATGCAACTGACGTACCTAAATATCCAATCGAGCAAGTAGAGATAAAAGCTAGTAAAAGAATGATCGAAGAGTCATTGTTTAAAACCGAAACAATGCTAAGCGACGAAATACCAATGTCATCTATCAATGAAAAAAGTGAAGCTAACGTTGAGAATTTGGATGAAGTTGTAGAGACGGAAAGTACACAAAATATCTTGAAAGATGATACCGATAGAGAACCAGGAGAGAATTTTGTCGTAGAAGGAAAACTTGAAGAGATTTTGGCCAAAGATGAAGAGGTTGAAAATGAAGAAGACAAAGACCGTCTTGACAAACATCAAACAGATGAAAATAATGATACCAAAACCGAAGAAGATCTTGTTGATGTGGAAAATAAAGAAGATAAACAAGAAGTGCAAAGACAGGCTGAAGAATTTCTTTTTAAAAAAGTTGATGACAAACAAAATGTGTATACTGATAATGAAAAGCCTACAGAGACTACAAAGAATGAGGAAAGCTTTATTCCAAATAGCCCCACAGAGCAGCGCACTTGTGATGATCATACGGATGTCGAATCAGTCACTACAAGCGTCAGAATGGATCGTATTCAACAAGAAATAGAAACTATAAATGCAGAGTTTCCAGAACTGAAAAATTATTATCAATTACTTGACAGAGCAGGAAGAGGTGTGTATATTTATATAGGTGCTTATACGTAAGCTAACCAATATGATAATAGGTACCTTTAGTAAAGTATACAAGGCACGGGATCTTTTATATGAAAATTATATGCCATGGTCTCTTCAAAAAAAAGTCGAAAATGCAATTGACAGTGATCATCACCTTGTTGCTATCAAATTGATATATGGCATCAGTTCTCCTAAACGAGTTGCTAATGAAATATCCTGTCTTTCCGAGTTGAGGTTACATTAGAAAGAGCTTATCTATAAACAATTACTAAATATGCTCTATAGAGGATCTCCGTGTGTTATTCCTATGATTACTGCTCTCAGAAATCAAGATGTGACATACCTTGTTCTTCCGTTTATCGAATTCGATCACTTTGAGGTAACAATAGAAATACATATTTACATATTTTGTTTAACAATGTAATTATCGTACAAAGGACATATACCCCACAATGACGCTACTAGATCTAAAACATTATATATCAGAGCTGCTTATTGGGCTAAAGTATGTACATGAAAAAGGGATTATCCACCGCGATGTAAAGCCTGGTAACTTTCTTTATAACAAAACAACTAAAACTGGATACCTTGGAGACTTTGGTCTTGCTCAGGTAAACTTTCTTTGTAAAGGATGATAGATCATAGATTTACCATTTGATTAGAGAGTGATAAACTATGACATTCATAAGCCTGGGCACCGACATGCTACTGTAGACCCTATATATACCGAACATCAAAACGGTCCTGCTGGTTACTTTTTACATGATAAAAGGTAAATCATAAATAATAAGTAACTGAACCTGTATGTTCATTTCGTCACTTAGAAAACATATACACGTTGACCGTTCAGGCACACGTTCGTTTAGAGCACCTGAGATCTATTTACACTCTATGCGTCAAACAACAGGTAAGAAAAAGGCATTCAATGACACAGTACTTACTAGTTGTTAGCCATGGACATTTGGGCAGTAGGTGTCATTCTGTTGAGTTTCTTGACTAACGTATACCCTTTTTTCGATCCTGAGGACAGCGCTGCGGGAATTGTTGAGTTGATCTCAGTGTTTGGTACAAAGAAAGTGCATGAGTTTGCAAAATTCTACGGTGGGTTTTTAATGATGTGGATTCTTTACCAGATTTTGATGTTTCTACTCCTAGGACGAAATTTGAAAACAAATATACCTGATATGCCTGAAGGTGCCATAGGCATGGATGAATTATGTAGATATTTTAATAACGGTACCATTGAAACATGGGACAAGCATGATTACCTTCTTGCAGTGGACCTCATGAAAAATTGCTTGCAGTTAATTGATTCAAACCGATTATCTGCTGCTGAAGCATTGAAACATCCCTTCTTGAAGGAGGTCATGGAAACAAAATCTTATAGCTGAAAGAGGCTTGATAAGCTACTCTAGAATAAAAAGCCATTGTAAATATTATCCTTAAGCATACATGTACCTAATAAATAAAGTTTATCAACCAAATCATGGGTTGATATTGAAAATTATGGACACTTCTTTAACAAACATATAAGCGCAAAAATGTTCAAAAAATTTATTGATGCATGAATTATGGAAAATATGCGCAGAAAAAAAAAAAGGCTTATTCACATAGTCTGAAGCCAGCAAACACATATGGATAGCCAGATTGATACCAGTTTCTAAATGTGTCTCGTTCAGCAATACGAGGGTGAGTAGCCCAGCTGCCGCCTAATACAACACGATGTTTTCCATCAAAGAAATCAGCAGAATACCCTGGATAGATTGTGGAAGACTGGAACCCTTCGTATTTATCCCAGATGGTGTCTGTCCACTCCCAGACATCTCCCAAATAATGGACTTGTTCATTATTAACAGGAGTAGGTGTCCAATTGAGGAAGCCAATGTTTGGTACTTTCTTGGAACGAGGACCTGAGGCTATCTCTCGGCGGAATCGAGTCAATTCAAGCTCTGTAGGTAGTCGACGTCCCTTTGACTTTGCATATCCACTTGCTTCATTATAAGACACTTGAACTGGCCAATCTTTTGCAAATTTCATAGGACAGGGTCCAAACACGGTGCGTACATAGAGTTGATCACCTTGCTTCAACCAGGAAGCAGGAATATCAGAAGAGCCTGTGTCCTTGAGATAGGCGAAGTATTCTCCATTGGTAATAGGCCTAGTTTGAATGCGGAACGATCGTTGGTTCTTGTATTCTCGTTGAGGGCTTTCGTTATCCCAGCCAAAGCTTTGAATCTTTTGACAGGATGGGTTATTATCTTCTTCTTCTCTATCATTGTGACCTATAATGACCGAGGCAGCACCAGCAATGTCGACATAGCTAGCTTCTGCTAGAGGAATGATATCAGCTTCAGCTTCGGCTGCGTATTTCCATGAAGGTAAAGAGACGCCTTTGGGTGGGAGCGTGTTTGGACTTTGTACGAGCATATAAAGTATCGTTTCAAGGTGCATTGCTTCATGTTCAAAGCACATCCACAAAGCACGGGCAGGCTTTCTTCTTCTGATAACCTTATCAATCCATGCAGTTGATTGAGCACCACGCGCTTCACTGAGCCAGAGGTTTAGCAAATCTACTACCCTTTTTCTAACATCTTGTTGGTACTTTAGAATACTTTTCACACTTGGCCAGTCACTGTCATTCGTTGGTACTTCTGAGTGTGGGTGACATTGAGTAGGATCATCCATATCAGGGTCAATACCACGTTCGAATATTTCTGCAAAGTATTCTGGTTGAGTAGGGTTTGCTGGGCCTACTTCTATATCAACCTTGTGACGAGAGAGTTGGATGTCAAGAAATGCAGGTATATGACCAAGGTAAAAAATGAAGGGATGACGCAAGGCAATAGGGCGTTCAAAGAGCATAGTGTCATGATTTATCATTTGTTGAGTAACAAGATCCCAAGATTTCCATAGTTCTTTCCACTCCTTCATGGTTGGAAGTGAGTCCATTGGCCATATGTCACTCTCAGACAAGGAAACACCCAGTTTGGTAGCTTCACGTTTATATGCAGATATATCCTTGCTGTCAATACAATGCTGACATTGAATCGACTTTTCCTCTTCACCTAGTGACTTCTTTGAAGGAAAGAGAATTTCACGAACGGCATTAACGTTACACGCGAATTTAAACGGACGAACCTCGGCCAATACGAGCCGATACTGGTCCTTCGAGTCTGTCCAGCACTCAGCCATATCTAAGCCTGCAGCTGCTAGAAGGCTTGTGATCTCTTGAAATGAATACTTGTACGAGTGCTCAACATGAATGAGTTCATCCTTCTTGACCTGGATCGTGCGATCGAAGGCATCACTTCGGTAATTAAGAACCATATTGTCCAGAGCACGGTAATGAGCGACGTGACGACCTTGATTTTCGAGATAGGCAGAGTCATAGGCAAAAGTGGTAGGATCAATAAACTTGTCGCACCCCATAATTCGATTGATGTGGTCCAAACCATTCATGATAAATTCACGCGTGATACCTTTGGGGTCATTATAGGCAGTTTTAATCTTTTCAGTATGGTTACGCTTGTCGAATCCAATGACGCACAGGTCACCTGGTTCCACACACATCTCTTGCAGACGCTTAAGGAAAAGAGCAGATTCAAGGCGAGTTTGGTTGCCAATGGAGCTACCGAGCCATAAGAATGCCTTTTTGATTCCCTTGGAGGTGAAATGCTGGTTAATCCAGGGAATGCCTTGATCATAGGTACCCAAAAGACCAAAGAGCTTGACATACTGGAATTCACCAAGCGACATCAAAGAACGATCAAGTTCATGTTGATCAAGATCAAGAGCATAGTAATCGACATGAATTTGCCTTTTCTCGATAGCTCGTAAAATGACTTGGGTTTTTCGAAGTGCACTAATTTTTCTGTTTAGTAATCGGATATAATCATAGACACAGCATCACACACACACACACACACACTTGCTTCAATTACTTACCCAGCACCTAGTTCAAAGATCATACTACCATTTTCGAGACGAGCTGCGAGTTCATTAGCCTTTCTTTGCAATATATCAAGTTCGGCATTGGTCAGATAATACTCGTCCAAGTAGGTAATTTGGTCGAATAGACGCAACCCTTTTTTATCATACAAGACATAAGTAGGAATTGATTTTTGGTTGACTGGCTTGTCCAAGGAGTCCAATATAGTCTTGGATAAATCCGAGTGATCAAAGGCATCTTCAGAAGCATCAGAAGCATCAGCAGAATGAGGAGGGGAAGGAGGGCGGCTGACCTTGATACCATCATTATCCTTGGCATCACCATTAGTAGGTGTACGGATATCGATGATACTGTATCCCGTTGAGGGAGGAGAAGGAGCACGTACAGACAAGTCGTTGAAAACCATTTTGATTCTGTTGAAGAGTTGTTGAAAGAGTAGAGAGAAGAAGAAAGAAAACTAAAGTTTTATGTTGATGAGAAACCCTTGCCTATTTATATAATCTACAAAGGGTGTAACTACGCAATATTCGCCATCATTCGCCACTGACCCCCTCCATTGATTAAAAAGCGTGTTTCTTTTTGGACTCTTTTTCCCTTACAATTGTGCTACTTCCTGTTAAGGTCTAGTGTTTGTTTCTATGTTATGCGTACACATATACACACACAAATGTTTATCTTTCATCGTTTCAATTTATGCATGATAAAAATGAACTGAGTTTGCCGTGTGAAAGTTGGGAGTTATTTGTAATTATAATGACGTAGGGTAGATCGGTGAAGTTACATCTACAAGCAGTCCCATACACTTGTTTATCATACAAACACTAGGACGGCTTATGGTTAAAGGTGCGTCCACGTGTACATGACATACTCATTGGTTAAATTTGTCTCAAAGAAACCTTAAAATGTTACTTCAATGATGGAAAGATTAATAGTCACTCTAAGGTACCATTACTAATTCACTATTCATCTACTTGCTGCGGCAGGACAGAAGTGGTCTACTTTGATAGATATTAGGGTATTTCCATTAGAATCAGTGGATGCAGTACGATGCATAATATCCCCATAGTTACATACACACATTTCGCGACGACGAACAAGAACATATAGTAAACTGTATACAATCTATCGAAGATAACTTAATATCGCGTTCATTTGATAATGATATAATATAATAGAAAAGATAGGAGCGCGTTTTGTAGCTAGTATGTATCATCATGCACACAGAGGATTAGATTTAAGTTTGGACGAAACCTTGATAAAACTTAAAGATGCTTTACAAACATATCACAATACAATATCCAAATAGTCATTTGATTATATGATTTTTTTCATTTGGGAAAAAGAGTCCAAACTTTTACTCATAATTCATTTTTCAACGTTTTCACTCGTAAAGTATCTTTATGACTTTTTGGCAACCATTTTTGAAATAGTAAAAAGTGATATATATATTCATAATTGTATCAGCTGGATCTTGAAACAAGATTGTCACATTAAGGGAATGTTGAGCAGATCAAGATGCATTACTAGTATTACTACGGCTACTATCATTCACCAATTCCAGTAATGCCAAGATAAATAGTGTGAGATCTCATAAAAGTAAACTTTGTAGCCACGAGTAAGCAAGAATTGCTGTTGCTATGTTTTAGAAGATCTTTAATTTGATTAAAAGAGGTTTTATAAGTTGTACGGTTTATTCTCATAGTAATTCTATTTTTGGAAATTACAAAAGTCACGAAAACATTTCTTTACTTTCATATACCACTGAAAGAGCCAATCTGAATTCTGTCTCATTAATAACCGAGACCCCTTATGATGTTTAAATTTGACGTGGGTATTTAAGCAAAGGATGAGGGATATTTAAGAATAAAACTTTGTTTTCCTTATAAAGTACAACTTAGTTTAAAACCATTAGAGAATATTACTTGTTTGTTTTTACACACTTTATACTACACTTATTATTTGTTATCGCGTCTGTATCAGTAAATAGACGCGTATAGAAAAGTCTCATTTTATTTCAAATTCCGAAATCAGATACAGAAATGATTATATGAACACACATTCCTTCTTTATTACAAGTATCATCACCATCATCTTATAATACTGTCCTAAATAGACTTAACTTATCATAAAAATATACAAAATCATACAAGATCAAAATTGTTACCAAGGGTTTGCTGTACAACTCAATTTTTTTTTTACCTCGCAGGAAAATGACATAAGTGAAGAAATTCTCCGACGTGCTACTGTTTCTTGCTTTGGTAAAGGAGAAATAACTAAACTAAGACAAGGATATTTTCTGCCTATAAATATTCCTATTTTTCCCTTGTCTTTCTTTTCCTTTTTTCTTTTTGTCACATATTTATAAACATGTCTGATTACCCTACACTTCCCGAATTCAGTTTAAAAGGCAAGAAGGCCATTGTCACAGGCGGTGCCAGGTAAGTTGAGATTAGAACCCATGATTGTATACTAAAACGCGTGTTTTCAGAGGATTAGGATTGGAAATGAGTAAAGCCCTGGCTCAGTCAGGTGCTGATGTCGCTTTAATGTATGTCTCTAACGATAAAGCTCATGATTTGGCTGCTCAAATCGCAAAGGAATACAACGTGTTCTGTAAGGCCTACAAGGCTGATGTTTCCAACCCAGACGAAACTCGCAGTGCCATTGAAAATATTGTCAAAGAGATGGGTAGTGTTGACATCTTTGTTGCAAACGCTGGTGTTAATGCAGGAGGTGCAGCAGAGGTAAATATATGATACATTGTGTGTATAGACAACATCTCTAAAGCTATATATAGACTTATGATTTGAAAACATGGCATAAACTCTTTGATGTCAATGTTCATGGTGTATTCTATGGTGTCCAAGCCGTCTCCAAATACATGCTCGAAAAGGGTAAAGGAAGCATCATCATTACATCTTCTATCTCAGGTACCATCGTCAACCGTCCCCAACTTCAATGTGCTGTAAGTTTGTCCTTTTTTAATATATATATATAATTATACTCACCTTATTACCATAGTACAACACAACAAAGAGCGCAGTCAGCATGTTGACCAAGTGCTTGGCTGTTGAATGGGCAAAGAGAGGTGTTCGTGTCAACGCTATTTGTCCTGGATATATGAAAACTGATTTACTTGACAACACAAACAAGGAAAATCCAGATTGGGAAAAGACCTGGTTGGAATCAACTCCTATGGGACGTATTGGTGAAGCTTCAGAATTAAAGGGTGCAGTTGTCTTCTTGGCTAGTGATGCAAGTAGTTACGTTACAGGCACAGAACTGTTCGTTGATGGTGGTTATACTGCCATTTAAAATAAAGACCGTGTGTATATATTTTATTTTTTTATTTTTTATTTTTGCAAGGGAATACACTTTGGCAAGGATATTTAATCTTAATGTTTTTATTAACTGATGAGGAAAGATATTACGTAATGTAACAAGTTACAGTGTTTTAATCTAAAATGAGACGCTGGTAACTAGTTAGTCAAGGTCTATATCGCACCCTAAAATCTAAAGTTCTTTTCCCGCATTTCAGAAGGCACAAGTTGACCATTCAGCATTAAAGCAAACAATTTTAACCATTAATAAGGGATATAAAGCACCGTAGTAGTGTATCTGAGATTTATCAAAGGTATATATTGCATTCATTCACTTGGTTCTTTTTATTTGTATTTAAAAAATAAATTAATCTGTCAATGGTCGGTGAAGATACTGATTGTATGCGAATGTTGGTGTGTGTGTGTGTGTGCGTGTATGTATGCATTTGTTTGTATACATGGGATAATGTATGGATATCTATTCGTGTTATATATTTTCCAATAGTATTAATTATAATTTTATGATGTATGCTGTTTTGTGTATCTTCTAGTGGTGTAATGATCAGTTTGCCGTCTGCTTCCTACGACCAGTAAAGATGGACCATATTTTCCACGTATTTCGTTTCTCTGTGTATCTTTGGTTTTGTTTCTCTTGGCGCAGCGAGTTGATCTCACTTAATCGTTTACATGCAGGTTCATAATTTTCGCTGGCAGCCATCTTGTAATACTCCTCAGCAAGGTCAAGATCCTGTTTCCATCCATTTGAATTAAAAAACCTACACAAGAAAGCTTAAAACACAAATAAAAAAAAAAAGAGAGATAACTTACATTTCGCCCAACATATATCTTGCATAGTTTTGAGGTGCGTCCTGTTGACTTGCTGCCTTTTGATAATATTCAAATGACCGTAGAATATCCTTGGGTACACCTAATCCTTCTCTGTACATATCACCAAGACACGTTTGACAGTATCCTAATCCAGAAGGCCAAAGATCATCTCCTTTGATGCACCAAAAATGAGCCTGCTCATAATCTTGCTTTATGCCTTTTACGTTTCCTTCAAAATACAACCTTGACAATGTCTCGATAGCCAAAGGAAATCCCTGTTCGGCTGATTGGGTTAACCAAAAGACGGCCTGTCTTACATCTTGTTTTACAAAAGACGTTTGTGGACTTAACAGGACATCGCCCACAATGAACTGACAATACTGTTCACCCACAGTCTCTGCTACTCGTCGAGCATACTTGTACGCTTTTTCAACATCTCTTGGCACGCTCTCACTGCCCTCATAATAAACACGGGCAAGGTCAATCAGGGCCTTTTGGTTATGCTGATTCTTGCGTTGCTCAATCACAGACTCATAGAGAGCCAAGCTCTTTTCTATATCGTACTGTTTAGGGTATTTAAATGGGTCTCCTAGAACTCTAGCAAGCTCTATTCCAGCAGCATCATGCTTCATTTCAGATGCTTTTGTCAGATACTTTAAACCACAGGGTACATCTTGTTTGACGCCACCCATACCATCGACTAGTAGGATGCCAAGTAAATAGCATGTATTTCTTATTGCCTTCTTTGCCTTTTTGTCATCCTCTGTTATCTCTTGTTCGGCTTTTTTCATCATTTGATCTAAAAGAGATTCTTCTTGGTTCTCTTCTTCAGCTGTATTGATTATCTGAGAAGCACAAGATGCAACAGCTGCTGATAGCTTTCTATCAAAGATGCTTCTTGCCCATAGGTTAGCTTCCTCTGGTTGTCTTTCGAGCAGAGTGCTTAGTTTTATTTTGGCTTCAATATCGCCCTATAGGAATAAAGTAGATGACCAACAAAAGAGAATGTTAGTATAAACAAAATCAATCGAGCATTATAGTATTCTACATTTATACTTTTGCAGCTTTTATTCGCAGATATTTTAACGCTCGTTTTGCCATCCTTTGAGAGTCTTCATCATTAGCTTTTGCACTGTGAATAAGCTGAACGGCTATAAAGTGTGAATACAAGAACGTTGCCAAGAGCAACAAACTGTTGATTTACCAGTCAGCATATATAATTCAGTTGCTATGCCAGGAAAAAGCTCTTTTACTAGTTCATCTGTTGACCCATCCATCGGTCAAAAGCAAAATAAATAAAACAAGAGTAAAACACGTGAATGGAAGGATACTTTTTTATTAATTTTTTTTTATTGGTCGCACTCATATTTGTTCTAGTTTGTCGCATTTTCTCAATAGATTGCATATTTGGTACTCTTTTGTTTTCTAGTCCATGAAACGAAACAGACAAGCGTCATGTAAACACAATGAAGAGATCAAATCTTATATGTAGTATATTTAAACACTTGAGTACAGTTTATTGAAAATGTTTGTCAGTTCCCCGACAATAAACAAGAAAAGCGCTATTTCTCGTTGTGAGCAGACTGTGCACAAAAAATAGATACACAAAACTTTATGCTTCTTATTACCTGCGTTTTATTGGCGTTGAAAAGCTAGAGCTGTGTTTTTGATAAGGAATGCTTATAAACCCTTCCTCTAATGCCGGAACACCTTTCCTCTGGAAGTGGTGGAAAGTTCTCTACAGCTTCGCCCAACATTACTGATAAACTGAAAAGCTTCAATTTCCCATGGTTTTGTGTCTTCTTTTCCATTGACATGTAATTACGTACATGAAAGCGTATATTTTGAAGAAAACCTTCTTCTTCCGTCATTATAAACTTCATTTAAAAGTATAAGCATTCTTCATATGTCCTTTTTTGTTGTTGAAATTATTGTAAGTGCTGAATTAGTAGATAACTACAATTTAAAGGAGGAAAAACATGAGAATACAAAAAAATAAATTTAAAAAGCCTACAGACGCGGAGTTGGCAGGCCAAAAAAAAGTCAGAGCTACAAGAGACTGAGGAGGAAAAAAAGAATAGAAACTTGAGCTTTGCTAGGTCAGTGATCATAAGGAACGCCTGGATTATATAAATAATATGAATCTTTGTCAAGACGAGAACCAGGGAGTGAAAGGGCACTTGATCAATGTCTTACAGAAGTGGCTGGATGTGTAATGTGTGGTTAAGGTATTCAAGGCCCTACAATGACTATCCATACATTGTTTTCATCTGAAAGCCATCGCTGGTGGCTTTGAGAAGGGCTTATGTGAGAGTTTGCTCAGGTAAAAGGAAACCGGATCATCAATAGAAAAGGGAAAGACTCAAGCGGCCGTGTGTGCAAGATGATGGTTGCCCACATGTGAACAGCTGGGTTTACCACTGTGATGCCAGCCAAGGCATCGACTCCTAGTACGGTTAAGCATGAGCATCCATTGGATGTTTCAGCCAAATTGAAAACTGCTTTGACCCAAGGTGGCAACTGAGTTCGAGCTTATTTCGTCGACCAAATCAGAAAAAGATTTTCAACTAAAAATAAAGCAAGTGAGATTGAGCTTTTGATTAAAATACTTTTTCCTTTTAATGAAATGAACTGACATTAAACTTGATCATGAATAAAGCAAATACCAAATACACACACTGCTGTGTTTATATGTAAAAGTACCCTTGACAATATTGACTATAAAGGTCGACAAAGTAAAGGCTACACTTGATCAACAAAATGACAACATTCGTTGCTACAGTGATAAACTGCTCTATCATCACATTGTTCCTCTTTAAGGCTTGTTGAGTTATCCTTCTACTAGCCTATCTCCATATAGACTTATTTTTATCCACTTCACGCATTTATGTATTCATATTCTTTTTCATGGTCATAAAAATCTTTTTTCTCATTGCCCAATAAATCATATATTTGATAATACCCTTCATTCATGATACGCAAGTATCCATGACAATAAAGTCATTAATTGAAGTATGTCGTGTACCTTAGCAACCCGTCATGTTTCGAGCGCCATTTGAAATAGTTTATGCAGACTTAGAAGATCCATTGCTTTACTATAAAAATCAACGTATAGTCATCAAATCCATCACAATCATAATCGTCACTAATGTTAGTCTACGTTTTACAGGCAGAAGAGAGGATAAGAATATAACAACAGAGAACAGAGAATAAACATTTTACCTTTTATCTTTTTCCATGTGCACTAAAAACAAAAGTAAAAACATTACAAACTCTTATGTTTTCCTAAGCCAGCAACTCAATTGTTTATTTTTCATGCTTGATGAACAGGCTTTGATATATGAAAGCTAAGGTGATTTGATTTTGGTTCTTTTTTAGCAAAAAATTCATAGTGGCTAACCAAATAGATCAATCATGATTGGCTTTCTTTCTTTGATTGATAAATAACAGCTGTAATGGAATCAACTGCATGTGTTCCAAAGAATCGGCAGTCTAGTGCTCTTTGAGAAAAGCTTTATTTTTTTGTTTACTATCAGCTGCATTTTTAAAATATGCTGTTTCCCCCTCAACTCTTTTCCTTGTACATTTAATTCTCATCTTGCTTTTTTTATTCATTCTGAAAGAAAATGACTAGAAAAATAGAAAAACATGTATTGGAAATGAGAAAAGTGAAGCATCCATAATAAAAAAATTATGTATGTAGACAAGCGGCCTTATAAATGAAAAAAGGCCGTGAAAAAAATATGTAAACGAAAGGGGGGCGTTTGGGTGCTCGGATGTGTTATCGTTTATTCATACATTATTGGAGAAAGAAGGAATGAGTCATTTATTTTCAGCCTAAATAATATGATTCATGTAAGCAAAAAAACTATAAAAGAGGCCATCGTTCTTGTCTTTTTTCTTCATTTTTTATCTCTTTTAAAAATTCTCTTATGCTTTTATTATTCCCTATGTTGAAAAGGTATAACAGCATCTAGGTGATCTCAAAGGGCGTATAATTAATGCCATCGTTCAGAAAATTCACTTCTGCTGGCTCTATTTCATGATTCCCGATGTATCTTACTCTATCATAATGACCTCTCACGGAGTGAAGCCTTAAAGAAATCTCTGCTGCTCACTAATACTCAAAAAATGCTTGCTACTGCTTATCAATACACTCAAACACTCAAACAAATACTCAAATACCTACTCATGCTTATCAAATCTCTGGAAAGACCAGTGAACGCCTACTCATGCTTATCAATACCTACAGATAATCATCAGTGACTGAAAATGCTAGTGAATGCCTATCCCATGCTTATCAACGTCGGGAAGCCCCTAAAGAATTTTGCTCATGTCTATCAATATCTGCTGCTAATGAATACTGCTCTGGCGTAACTACAAGCGTTCTTCTAGGCTCAGATTCATATCCATGTGTCGTCTCTGAGCACTATGTCATCGAACTCTTTTTATTGACGAAATGTATTAAAAAGAAAAAAGAAAAAAACTGCATGTTTAAAAACTAATACGCTCAACTGAAGAATATGAGAAATTATCTTTTATGACTATAATTTTTATTCTAAAAGGGGATAAGACCTGCTCCTTCCCTCCCTTTTATTGATTATCATAATCGTTCACTCTTTGGTGTTTCTACGACAGCAATGGGTGACGCAGCTGACTAGATTAAGTGTTATATGGATGCATTTGAAGGATCATACAATGACTTACCTTGATATATTCTTGCTTTAAGGCTCCTTTCAGCTCTGAGGGTAAAGTAGAAGACTTGATATGCCTTAAAGCAATACCCATTGTATCAGGATTGAACTTATCCCAAACCTTTGCCATCTTTAAAAATTCTCTTTTTGGCCAGACGAGATCAAGCTTTCTATTGTTCGTAGGCGAATCTGATATAGGATGAGTAAATCTTGTTCTTTGAGTCTTATCTCCTTTTTTTTTTCTTTTTTTTTCTTTTTCTTTTTACCTTTTACACTCTTGAATTTTAATCCAACATAAAAGGTGGTTGTATACAAAGGAGTCATTGATCTTTCTTGCTCTATCGTCAGCTTCATTTTCCGCACATAATCTTTTCTAGTCAAGGTATTGTCCATAGGGAACGATCTACCATCTATTGAATGACCGTGTGCAATATACCACTGTTCTTCGTTTGATAGACAATAGTGTACTTTTTCGATACCATGCATAAATGAATGCGCAAGCTCTAGTGGTTCTAGTAGCTCTAATTGCAGTACCAATTGTCTAATTTTAGATTCTATCAGTCCAGCCCATTGTAATTGTGTCTTGTGAGATTTTGAACTTGCGGTTATTTGTAAATAATGATTATACATACAAAAAAAGTCTATGGGTTGAAACAAGTCCCTCCATGGACGGACGCCTGACATGATATCATCAACTATTTGGCTTGCTCTGAGAAATTCATTCATCATGATCTTTTTTGTAGAATCTGTCACATTATGAGTGGCACACATAGAAGGGAAGACAGGGGTAATGATTGGCATTCGATGTGCCCTGTCTGCAGGATAGACCTAGTTGGACTGTCTGTTAAATTGGTGTTACTTTTGAAATTGCAGCTTGTTTATGCTTGCTTCTTACATCCGGGTTCCACTGTCTTGTCGGAACGGAACCTTCTTCCATTGGCTTTAAAAACACAGGCTGTGGCCATTTCCAATCAGCCATAATATGAAAGAATCGGGCTACAATTACTGATGCACATGTCTTCGGATACATTTGACATACTTTAGCCACCAACATTGCCCAGGCCACACCACCTAGAAACCCCATGATATTGGAATAAATGCTCCTTTGCTTTGCCCATAACTTGATAGCCCGTAGTGCTTCTCTGAATGTGGGCACACTTGGGACAAGCCGTAATATCTCGTTCGTCACACGGGCTCCATTTACACTTCGGATGCATTTCTCGTCCATTCCGATCAACAGTTGATTATCCGATAAGTCAAGATCTTTTGGTATACTTGGTAAACATAGACGAGCACATACAAAATCAATCTATAGCAAAAGGGACGATGAGGCACCGTATTTTGTTTGTATAATCCAAAACTTACCGGAATTCCTTCAAAGTGCATCTTTATGACGGGTACATATGCCTCAGCAACAGCCTATAAAAAACCAATAAGTCCTCCTTTCTTTTTTCTCTCTCTTTTTAAATAATAAATCTATTACCGTAAGCTCAGACACTTCGGGTATATGGTTCAACATATCATACATGATTGTAAAGAAGTGATCTCTAGTGACATGCTGAGGGAATACACATAATGTGTCAATGTCTGCATCTATCATATATACAGTTATATCCATGCATTCTATCCACGACATTTGAAATTTACCTGCTCCATGTACACCCAGTTGATAGCTTCCAAACGTAAATATTTTTACTCCTGCACCCTTAGCTTCTTCTTCTGGCATTCCCTGCAATCTGCTCACTTTGTACACAAATTCTTTTGCAACTTCATCCAACTTTTTCAGTACTTGAGATCTAAAATGAAGCTCGATGAGGTAAGTCAATAATTTCATATAAACAGTCATGGGATTGCCTTACCTCTTGCTTGATTCATTGGCAGTTTCAAATAAATCATACTCAATCAGTGTCTTTCCTAGGTCATCCGTAAGCTTTAATTCATAATCGCTTGGACCATCTAAGGAAACTGGAGTTGTGGCATCCCACTGCTTTACATTTGACTGAGGCATTGGAAGATCTGGTAGATAATTAAAACAGATAGAGAAGGAGGAAGAGAACAAGTTGTGTTTTGTGACTTTAAGCGGTAATTGAAATGAACACTTTGCATCTATATGGGGATAAGAGCAATAAAAACACGTTGTTACAATATCCTTTCCATGTAGATCCTTTTCTTTTGAGCAAAAATCATTCATACAAACGACAAGTAAAAAGCGCCAATGAATGCAATGGTTAGATTCTTTCTTTTTCAAAGTAATATATAATTCAGTTTACAAAGGGAAAGAGGTTTAGATTCTTGCGATTTATATCTGGTATTATGAATGGGGATCACGTTATGTATTGGATTTGAAATAAAGTACAAATTTGAAGCTAGGAAATATCATCATCATAGTATCTGCACACCTCTTTCATTTGCTCATGTACTCATACATGCTTTTACCGTGTACACATGGCTGATGAATTGCATATGATGACTAAAGTTGGCAGTGTGAATATACTTTTATCTATCTGTAATCTTTGAGAATACATTTCATATGTGTTCAGAGTCAGTAAAGGACCAATGTTTCTCAATGACTAAAATACACCAATCACGAAAGAAAGGCATACAAATAAAAGAATTGTATCTCATATTCATATCCATGACAAGATAAAAACCAGTTTGATACATCTCCTTTTCAAAGTCAACCCTACACAAAAGTGTCACCTTTATGCAACCCAGGCAATCAATTTAGAATTTTCTAGTCTTATCTGTTTATCAAATGACACATATAAGGTTCGTGTAGCATCAAATACTTTAAACTTTCAAAGTTTATGTTCAAAAAAAGCTGTAAAAGATGAGCTGTAAATTTTGCTCCTTGTGGTTACATTCTCCCAGTCACTTTTTATTACTAGCAGAAAAGAAAAAAAATAGATCCTGAGCCTATATCAGAAAAGGCAATTTCATGCAAACTTGTTATCCAATGAGAATGACATCCATGCAACTTCAACATGAGCAAGTCTTTGAACAATCACAACCTACGCCTGAACCACGGCCTATGATAATGCATAAGTAATGAAATATCACATACAAATATACTTCTTACAGCTGCATTGATTGTGATGAGGAAAGAATACTCTTGAGTTATCATCATAGACAGGTGATCCTACATTAGATTGTCTTGGGTTCTCCATAGTATTATAAGTAGGTGATAAGCCATGGTCAATGACAGGATGTCTCTCTCTTCTGGGGGAAACAGTAGCTGTAATGCGTGTTGGTTTTGCAGGAATGTTTATTGGTGAAGTCATTTTATTTTATAAAAAAAAAGAAAAAGAAAAAGAAAAAGTTTGATGTGAACTAAAGTATTTATATAAAAAATAAAGTTTTTTTTATTGCCTATTTAATCAATTGAAATGATAAAAGATATAAAGAATTGACATCCGTTAGAGAAAAAGATCAACTGAATGGTGAACACCATAAGTTACTAAAGGTGTCCAAACAAGATCAAGAAACTGAATGATTCATCAGGATGGCTCGTTCAAATAGAATTGCATTTACTTTGAAAAAAGTAGCTGATCTAGAGTTAATCATAGAAACTTTCTTTATAAATGGGTTTGACTTTACTAATCCCCACATTGGCTCTCTAGAATACCTGTCACTACCCACGACGCCCCCCTCACAATATGACGGGTGATTTAGAAACTGAAACTGAGTAAAGACCTATAACAAGACGGGGATACCTGAAGCATAAAAACAGTAGCAGTAACCAGTAACTCACTGAAAACTTTGGGAGCATATGCAATAAACGAAAAGTTCATCAGTGATGGTGATTCTTTAACCCAAATGGGAAATTAAATTTCGTGACATCTTTTAATTGTTTTTTATTGGCCAATTCTTTAACCTTAGTAATCAAGTGAAAGAGAGAAAAAAGTGTCAGAAGGGATTGCAATGGGGGTATTCACAATACACAAAGAGATACAACAATTAAAAAACGACACCTTTAAGCTCAAATAGACTTGCACTTGCTTATTTAGAATGATAAGATTTAAGCTGTCATAAGCTGGAGTTAACATGGTTATGTTTCCTTTTGAAATAGGAGAGATCTTAACAGTGCAAAGAGTGAACTAGTCTGTAAAGCATCAACAAAAAGTAAACAGTATAGTCTGCGATTCGATCGGAATTTGTAATTGTATGAGCGATATTCCCCTGTGTTTGATAAGCTGAATATTATATTCTATTTCTTTTCTTTTCCAGAAATACTTTTTAACATAATGGTATCAGTCATTCTCTCAGATAACCACAGCTTTGATTCCAAGTTCAAGTACGGTGTTGAATATAAGGAAAACAAGCCAAGCGCCAACCTACAAGACAATCAATGCGCTGTTCAGTTAAAAGCTGCAGCTTTCAATCATCGGTAATAGAAAAAAAAAGATCATTTGTCAGCAGAATGTTGACTTGTTTTTATAAGTGATGTCTGGATTCTTAAGGGTCAATACGGCGGCATCCGTGTAGGCTCTGTCTTGGGCTCTGATGGTGTTGGTTATATCACAAAGAATGGCAATGTCGGTCAACGCGTCTTGATCAATCCTGGTTATGGATGGAAATCAGACGAAAGAGGACCCGAAGACGAATTCCATATCTTGGGACTATTGCCCACCATTGGAACGATGACTGAAGAAGAAGTCATTGTTGAGAAAGAAGACATTGCACCCTGTCCTGAACATCTTTCATTGGCTGAAGCTGCTGCCTTGCCTCTGGCTGGATTAACCGCTTACAGGTGAGATTAAACAGCGACAGCTTTATGATGAGTACCGTAACTCATCATCATGACATAATCACAGAGCCCTGTTTACAAAGGCACACGTCAAAAAGGGAGAGCATGTTTTGATAACCGGTATTGGTGGTGGAGTCGCCCTCTTTGCTCTTCAGTTTGCTGTTGCTGTTGGTGCCCATGTCTACGTTACATCTTCTTCACCAGAAAAAATAAAAAAGGCTATCGAATTGGGCGCAAAGGGTGGTATCAATTACAGAGATGGTACGTTACTATTATTTATAGAAAAAAATGTAAGCAAATAACACTTTATATACTAGATAACTGTATTCAAGAGCTTCAAAAGTTGTTGAACGGTAACAAACTTTCTGCCGTCATCGATGGTGCTGGTGGACCTCTTTATGCACAATATCCCAAAGTCATGAGAACAGGTGGTATCTTGGTAAACTACGGTCAGACAGCAAATATTGCTGAAGGAATCAAATTTAGCATGCACCATGTTGTCAAGAATATTGAACTCAAAGGATCCACCATGGGATCAAGAGCAGAATTCCACAAGATGGTACAGTTTGTGGATCAACATAGAATCAAGCCAATCGTGTCTCACGTATGGAAGGGCTTAAGTAAGTCGTCATTTGAAGAAGCTGTTGCTACTATGAGGTAAAGATCATGGAATGAGTGTATGCACTACAAACAAATTCTAATACAATGCGTTATAGCCGTGGTGAACAATTCGGTAAATTAGTTATTGAATTCAATAATGGTAGCCCAAAGCTTTAAATAATCAATAAACAATACAAAAGATTAACCCGTAACTTTGTATTGATATCGTATGCAATGGGACCTGTTGGCGACAATGCAACAATTCTATAAAAAAATGAGTATACTTAAATTCGGGATTTAAATAGTGGTACACCACCTTTCTTTCCACTTTCATGCTTGAGTTTATATTTGTTTATCTCCTAGGTGGATTCACATTTCTACCTTTAGCATGCCTCATTTACATCCGCTTCTTATCTATAAAACAACAAGAACAAATAGAAAATAAAAAGCAAGAGTATAAACAACATACCAGCGAAGTAAAACATGGTTGGATTCAGTTAACGAATCAGTATGAGCCTAAAATGCCCGAACAAAACGGAATCTTGTCCTTGACCAGCTCTAATATGTACTATGGCGTTCTTAAGCATGGAACTTTATTCTGCTATGAATCTGAAAAAGAAGACAACGTTTGTAAGATATTGCCTATACAAGACTATCTAATATCACTCTATCCTGAAGGAAAACCAGAGAACGAGCTATTTTCTCGCTCTTCAGTGATACGACTTGGCGATATTCAATCAGATACGACGTACTTTCTCAACTGTAGTCGAAAAGTAGACAAAGAGGACTGGTATCTAGGCCTCATCGATGCGCATAACATGCTCAAGGATTCCCCAAATGAAGCACAATACGTCATGATGGATAGCACCCATTTTGATGCATCTGCCATAGAGGATCTTATTTATCATGTACAATCTACACCCAGCCATAGAGAGACAGCTTGGATGAATGCGATTATCGGAAGATTATTCTTGGGCATGTACAAGACGGACATGTTCAAAGAGTGGGTGGAAACAAAAGTGAAAAAGAAGATCAACACTAAGCGACCCCAGTTCCTCGACGAAATTACCGTACGCAAAGTAGACGTTGGTCAAACCGTGCCGTACATTACAGATCCCAAGCTAGTCTCAATCACGGCTGAGGGTGAAATCGTAGCAGAAGCGACGGTGGAATATCAAGGAGGACTTGCAGTCGAGATTCAAACAGACATCAATTGGTCCTACTCGTCCCGTATGAAACCTATTCGGATGAATGTTGTGCTATCTGTTCAGCTAAAGAAGCTCTTTGGACGAATGATGCTCAAGCTCAAATCACCACCAAGCAATCGATGCTGGCTTGCGTTTTATGACATGCCAGAGATGGAGTGGAAGATAACACCGATTGTGGCTGATAAACAAATCACTCTATCGATCGTAACAAATGCGATCGAGTCAAGGATTCGGGAAGTAATGGCAGAGACATTTGTATTACCTAATATGGACGATACACCATTTTGTTTCTCTTGTGGAAAGGGAGGAATCTTTGGTAACAGAGTCCCAGTGATTGCTAAAAAGCAAAGTAGAAAGGCAGAGGTAAAGACACATACGGAGACAATTCAAAAAGAATACAACGATACATCCGAACAGAAGCATTCTCAAAAGATAGAAGTGATTGACACATCAGCAAGCGTCAAATCTGCTCCTGCGTCAATGGAATCTACAGAGAATGAGCATAGATGGTCTAACACACTGTTAAGAAAGAGAAGTAAAAATACAGATGAAGCAAGTGACACAGAAAGTATTAGTTCCATCAAGAGTAATGGTAGCGGGTTCCTTCGTAAGATATCAGATTATTTACCGTCTGAGTCACCATCATCCAGTCACTCTATACGATCAATCAGGCGCAATACACTGATTAACAAGGCAGAAGATTTTTTAAACAAACGGATTACGAAGCAATCATCGGCCTCATTGCCATCATTGTACGTAGGGGATAATTATCAAGTGTTGGATGCTGAAAAGAAGCAAATGTATGAAGAAAGACTTGCTAGCATGCGTAAACGAGCAGCGGCGGCGGCGGCAACAGCAACAGCAGTAGTAGTAGAAGAAGAACAACAACAAGAAAATCATGATTTAGAAGGATCTACAAAAACTCAAATACCATCTATGGCCTCTGTCAAACAGGGCAGACAGAGAGCTACATCTTGTGTGAATGAAGCCTCTGTTACACGCTCTGTATCTCTGACGGTCAAACCACCTCTGCCTCCTCGACGTAATTCGACACACATCGTTTTACATAAATACCCCACGAAAAGTACTGCTTTTTCATAAAATAAAACCACATCTATTACTACCAACCTTTATCTTTGTATTTCTAAATGAGTATTTGATGCAAGTTGCTCTTCATATTTACTACTTGACACAGCTTCTTTATAAAGCTCTTCTACTTGAAATTTCCAAGAATTGTTAACTTTATTCGGTCTTACATTTTGCACAGCTTCTCTTGACATCTTCAGCCTTTCAAACATATTTACATGTTCAGATTGCAACCCTTCATTGCTTGATATCTTAGTATAAATTTGGCCCTTAAAAAGAAAAGTGTTAGTGTTTCTTTTTTACAAACATTCACTTCCTTTACCTCTCTCAACGTCATATTCAGTACATCGCTTTAGAAGAAGTGCATGCTTGCAAGCTCTGTTTCAATATTAAAGATATGAACTACCATAAGCTCTAATCATATTATTTTCAACACAGATCTTCATAGATTCATTGCTGAACCACTGAAAACTTTAAAGAGTACTTTTTTTTGTCAGAAACCATGTCCATTGCTACATGGATACCCACTTCTTCATCTTCAAGCTTTCTCAAACTAGGTAATCTATTCGGTGAACGCTACATGCACCAGAAAATAGGCTAAATAATGTAAATACGAATTTATCATAAGTGGCCTTTTTTGATCAACTGACAACATAAAATTAGGATAAATAAAGAAACAACAACATTTCTTTTCATCTCTTTTTCTTCTTGAAAAGAAACAAAACAAGTCGGTGACTTTATAAAGCCTTGCTTAGCGTGACGCCGCATGTTCAAAGGTTTTGTTGGACGACATCATAGGTAATGGGTAGAGATAGCGCCCGTAGAATCAATCTAACATCTGGTGTATTTCCTGGTGCATGTAGTGTTTCCTAAAAAGAGACACTAGGTTTAAAAGAAAAACTCTCACAAAAGCAGTATTTTTCGTGGAGTATTTACGTGGATGCGACATCCATTCGTACCTTTGAGACATTTACTCAAAGTGATACACTTCAGGAAATTATCACGAATGAAACACGTGAAGAGAACCATCTTGAAGCTATACCCGATATACCTGTATCACAAGTGGATATTAAACCACCATTACCTTCTAGACCAAATCATAACAGCGAAAAGCCACCACTGCCTCAAGCACCTGGACCAGCTCCGCCAACATGTAAAGAAAATAAAATTGAAGCGTGATACAAGATACATAGCTTATTCTACAAGGAGTCTTTCTTTTTTTTTTTAATTATATTAAAGAAAGTAGTTAATATATGTATAATCAAGAAGAAGAAAAAAGGCTATAAATGTATATAATCCGTTGTGTGTTTCTGAAAATAAATCTAGAATTGCTTTTATTTTTATTTTTTCGTATTTCAAATAAGGATTAGCTTCGTTTTGAAATTAGTGAGTATAAAAGGACAAGACGTACAAGTTAAAAAAGGACATATGTACTCTTTCTTCTTTTATTATAATGTATTTTGATTTACCAAAACACCAAGATAGGATAGCACCAAAAGGGATTAAAGACAAGATAATACAAATGGAAATAACTGAAGAAAGGATATCAGAAATTCTAAATAATATCGAAGATCATTGGGGATCACCACCCATACTTACACCAGATACACTTGCTTACATACTAAGTCATCAATGGGAAAATGATAAAAAAGTAAAATGTATATGCTTTATAAAAACGGGTCGAGAATGTCATGTCCATATTAACTACGAATCACAGGCAGATGATAAAACCATTGAAGATCAAGAGAGTCATCGTCCACAAAATGTTCAGCTACTCATTCAAGAATTCTGCAAGTAAGTTATGAGTGATGACATAATTTCCCTTATTTTTAACAAATTAAAAAAAGTACAATTCAAAAGCTGGACCAAAATAAATTATTTTCAGTGACAAATGATATAATGGTAACATTTCCCCCTCTTTTGAGAAAAATGAGTAACAGATGTGTTTATTAACTCTGCATAAAATAATATATATAGAATGATAACATCATTCAACCCTTTATACAACAATCAAACACTACGTCAGAGCAGCAAGATAAGGCAGTCAATCGTCTGGTAGAGCTATTACAGCATCATAACAAGACCGAATAGTACATAGTGTTTTTATTTAATAACAGTTCTCCGTATCTAAAACTGTTACATTGATAAATTGTAGTTGTCATTTTTAAAGAAAAAAGTCGTTTTCATAGCCGGTTATTTTCTGATGTGGGAGAAGCAACTCTTATCATACAGAGCGCTTAAAGAAGCCATGAAGGGTGGTTTTATATCGTCATACATTCATTGTCTTTTTAAACCAGCTTACAACAAGCATTAACAAATTTATGTGCATAAAGTTTATATATTTATCATTATAACAACTCGAGTATGACCTTATAAAAGTATACACATTTCGCATCTGATAAAAAATCATATTGACAGCATTAAATATAAATAGCAGCCTGCACATTCATCATCTCCATCCTCTTCTGCTTCTACGGTACGCTCAACGTCATCATCTTCAACACTTGCTTCCCCACGAAAACATGGTAATGACTTGAGTCAGGAAAAGAGTAGGAATGAGGACGAGAATAAAACCGGCTTGACCCTGTGCCATCTTCATAGTAACATGGCTACAAGCTTGAAATGACTTGCCAATGGCTTTGCCAATTTCAAAAAGTTCTATGTCGGCAAACGACAAAAGATAATTTCATTTGCAAAACAATTTGAATAAAGCTTTTACTATTTCTGTGAGGGATCAAAAAGAAAAGCCCAAAGTGATATATACAACATGAGCTACAAAGTGGTTTCATTGTTTCTTTTTGACGGGTATAGTTAATAATGGCCATGAGGGTTACTACACATGGTCATGCATGTATTGACAGTTTAGACCAGCTGACAACAACAATTGACAACTTTACTGGCATATAGATTTATCATTCAACAAACTTTGTGTTTCATTATGATACCAAAAGCATATATAAGCACCTCTTCTCTATTTCTATTTTCAACAAATCAATCAACACTATGGCATTTTCAAACGGGTTCTTCACTGATGCTTCTCGCGATATGGATCGTATAATGTCCATATTTGACAACCCAAATTGGTTCAATGTTTCTCGAAACTCTTTTAGCTCTGTCAGTAGTTCATTCGGTTCCTTCATGCGTTTTCCTGCTACCGATATTCATGAAACTCCAGAAGGCTTTGAACTGCAAACTGAGTTACCTGGTTATGACAAAAAAGACATCAATATTGAAATTGCTGATAGCCGTACTCTGCTCCTCAGTGGTTCCTCACAAAATCACCATAGTGCTTATTCTTTAGCACAACAGCAACAACAGACTGCCTTTATAGAAACCAACAAGAACCCTAACTATTGGACCAACCCGAGAAGCTCCAGTAGTTTTCAAAGATCAATCAGCTTTCCTGTTCCCATCAATGTCTCTGATATCAAGGCTTCTTACGAAAATGGTGTCTTGAAGGTCTATATTCCAAAAGCTTCTGATGAAAATAGAAGGCGTATTGTCATTCATTAAGTGCTTCTAAACATATTGTATATTTCTTGTTCTTTAATTCGCATCAATAAACCACAATACTTTATTTGTTCTTTGTTTATATTTATCATAATGTTGATATTTCACATACGCACAATTTACTGACGGTATAACCTAGTAAGGACGAGCTGTCAAAGTCACAGTAATGCTTTTCTTTTTTTTTCAATGTTGATAGCTCAGAGTGTGATTGTATTTATTTTTATATGTACTCTTTTATTATTCATGTAAACATTACGTGTGGTGTATGCTGTGATGCACCAGCTATAGGTAATTCTTTTAAAACCCCTACCTGAAATCTTGAAATGTTTGAAATAACTAAACAACTTCTTTTGTACACTTCCTTGTACACTTCTTTGAAAACTTCTTTGAACACTTCTTTGAGCACTTCTTTGTAACAGGAGTCTTTCTTGACAGTAACAAGTAGTAGTAGTTTGAATAATTTACACAGGAAGGTTTGAAGGGATGTGTGTGCGTGTGTGCGTGTGTGTGTGTGTGTTTGTGTTTGTCTTGACTGATTATTTGAGGACTTTGTTTTATTTTTGAAGAGTTTAAAAAAATGAAAAATGGCTTGATTTTAGTTTAGCAAGAGACAGGTTAGGATTTCTTGTTTTAACTAAAGAGAAAAAAAAGTTAATTCTTTGTTTTTCTTTCCGTGCACACACAGCCTCATATTTAACGAGACCAAGATCGGCTGCGGCTTCTTGAACGATAGTATCTTCTACGTCTGTCAAAAGAACGAGAACGACTTCTACGGCTTCGTCTATCTCTAAATCTGCGGTCACGGTCATAGTAGTTGGGTCTTCTCTCGCCCATATACTGGCCAGGGGTGGGAGTATGAGGACGATGAGTGACAGAATAATCAACACGAATTTTACGTCCATCAATGTCTTTGCCATTCATTGCATCACGAGCACGAGTGGCATCCTCTTGATCTTGGAAGTATACGAAACCAAAGCCTCTTGATCTGTCAGTCTATAGATACATTAATCATCTGGCCAAAGAAAAAGTAAGCTCTTCTTTTCTTACCCTGTGATCATAAACAATAGTAACTTTTTCAATGGCACCAAATTTACGGAATTCATCCTCCAAGTCCTCCTCTCTAGTTCTCAAGCTTAAACCAAAAACGCCCAAGATGTTTGACATTTCAGGTGCCTCCTATACAGATGTTAGTATCATGATTTTTCATGTCTTTTTTATCAACTCACTCTAGTTCCATGGAATTCCTTGTTTCTGAAAAGAAGAAAAAATTAGTATAAACTGTCAAACATATTCACACAAGCTACGTACTCTCTGCGAGCGGGAGAACGACGGCGGTAACGTGGGCTACGGCTACGACGACGAGGAGATACGCTACACATAATTACAGGCAAATTTGAGTTTCATCCTTGTAGTGTCAAGTGTCTTGTTATATATACCTTCGTCTTCTGCTACTTCTTTGATCCCTGCTTCGAGAGGGAGAGCGAGAACGAGAACGAGAACGCGAGCGGTTTCTGGGACGTCTATCAGGAGAATAGCGACGAGGAGGAGAACGGGAACGACTAGCAGAGCGACGTTCGTATTTAGGTGATCTACTTCTGGAACGGCTGTGACGGTCCATGTCACCGCGATCCGAAGGTCTGCTGTCATAAGCATCCTAAAATATAGTATTTAGAATTAGAATGAAATGCAGTAAAGTTAATCATCTTGTTTTACCATAGGACTGGCAGGTCTGTCTCCCATTTTATGAAATTTAAAGTAAAAAAGAAAGAAGCAAGTGTAAAAAAGGTTTCAAAAAAAAATTTCAGAGAAAAAAAAAGACCGCAGACGACACTTCAAAAAGCACCTAATTATTTCAGCTCTTTATCATTTGATTGGATAAAAAGCTGATGACGTAATTTTTTTTTCTTTTTCTTTTTGCAACATGCTTATGTGGGCGTATCCAAGTATTTCTTGGTGTCTTTTATGATGAGAAGATTGGATACAGGCTTTGGGTTGACACATAATTCAGTTTTTATAAATTCTAAGTTGTCTCTGTTTCAATATTGTCAACTTGAAGTGCTCTTTTATAATGGCTCACTGTTTCTAAATTCCGCACCCGACTTTTCTGCATGTTAATATTTCTTGATGCTGATTGACGCCATTATGGAGTTCCATAATTATGTGGGCATAATAAGCCCCAATATGGCTTAATAATGACAATGAAAAGATAGAAGACATATGAAGTCTCTTAAGGGAGCACTGCTACCAAAATTGGTAATAATGCTTGTACTTTGGTTAAACAAGGAAAATGATTTAGTACCTCCGTAACTCATAAGGAAAGCATAAACTTGTTCTTTTTCACTCATTAGCATTGAGCAAAAGTAGTCTACGAGGAACAATGCAAATTAAAGACCATAGGAAATACCTGCATCCTTCCGCTTATAATCATATAATATCTTTTCAATGCTCTCTATAATCAAGAGGAGACAATCTTAGAAAACACATAAATGAAACGATCTACAAGGAGAAAATGAGCACAAGACCATCATGTGAGATGAAGAGCTTTATGCTAAAGAGACAGAGTTTGCTGTCAGCCAGAATATCAAAGAGTCAATACAACAATGAGTGTATAATCAACGAGAATAAAGCTTGACAGTTCTCTCTGTCACGAAATGATCAAGGGAAAAGAGAGGATACATGCTTTAGTTCTGATAACAAATCAAGAGACAACTTTTCTGCTTTGTATAATTGATCTTTTTTGCCCTGTACTCGCTGCTTCTCAAAGACACCCTGTCACTTCTCTATAGGACTCGTTTAATCTAGAACTGAATTCATCAACATTGCTACTTTGAAAGGACTATCCAACTTGTGACCGTTTGTTGGTTTAATGAATTCGATGTGGTGCGCATGTTGGTGTGCACCAAGACTGATAAAGACAAAAAATTTTTTGCACTCACTTAAATCACTCCAGGATTTTTTGATTGGATAAGATAATAATGACGTTAGTATTTTCTTTTCGAATCACAATAAAATACTTGCAAGTGCAAAAGGCCAAACTAGTGGCTTGATAGTGCTGGTTAAAGCACCCTACTAAATGCAGCATTCCCTGATTCAATATTACAGTTATTATTAACATAATCTGCAAGAATCGATCAAATGTTCAGTGCTGTGTTGACGCCTCGGTTCCAGACCTATCATTGGATGGAGTTGACAGTATTAAAATAGAATAATCAGTACCTAACTAGTTATAACTAAGCAAAAGTAACTTACTAAGTTTCTACTATAAGCATTACCAGCTGGACACTGTTTGCAAAGTTTCAACGGGTTTACAATGAGGACATAGCCTAATTTGTAAGTGATTAGGTTAGAACATAAACTTTAAGCGCTCAAAGTTTGACAGATATACCTATTTGCGTTTTATCGGGACAAGAACTGGATCGGTTAATGATTCTATTGTTATCATTTACACACCGTTTTACACGATTTTTCTTTAAACGCAGTCTAATCATCTTTTTTCTAAGAATTAAATCGAGATCAATATCTTGTACAACTATGTATATAAATAATACTGGCACACTTATGATTGCAGTCAAATCCTCTTTCAGGCACAGCAATATCCTCTAAATCATTTTTGCAATGGCTGCAGACTTTTGACATCCTGTATTCATCAACTAATATTACTATCCCTTTTTTGATAAATGTCTACGTAATTTCTATTACCTGTATTATATATAACTGCATATTTTTGTAAATTCATTTTACCTTAGAGGGTGTAGGAGTAAATGAACGCATAGAACTTGGAAGGTTTGCGTCGCCATATGCAAAAATGACTCTCCTTTGGGGAGGGCTTGAAATTCAATATTCCTACGATACAGCTGCTTCTTTACTCTTCGTTTTCTGCTTGTGCTCAAGCGGCACAGACGGTATGGCTCGTTTCGTAAGGTTCTTCCGCATAGAGCATTCGTAATATAATCTAATGTTTGTTGTCTATTGCTACATAAATATCCTTTCCTTTCACGATGCTCAAATCCTTTCATGAAAGAAAAAATGCTAATGACAGTAATAGTTCAAGTAAGAGTATTATGAAGATAGATAGCAATTTATAAAACTTACTGAACATGAGATATTGATATGATTTATATGTAGGATATAGAATACCTGAACATTCTGTGACGTTTGGGCTGGAAATAATGCTATACCACTTTTGTATCCCATAAAAACCGTATTGAAGCCTCCTATTCAGCTCGACCTGCGTAACCCAAGCAAAGCCAGAACGTACCCTAAAATTAAGTAATGGAAAAAAAGTTATTAGTGTACCTTCATACACACTCTTTGTGTAATCGTCTTACCTGTAATCGCCGTTTGATATTGAAAAAGTATGAGCTTTAGTTGACTGCTTATTGATTATATATTCATGAGAGACATCAACAGCTGTCACTAAATCACGAAAACCTACTGACAATTTCTTTGTTCAAAAGAGTAGGATTAATCAAACGCAGTATAGTTTATTTTGAATCAAATCGCAAGTAATTTGTATATAAAAAGAGTGCGTGAAGTAGGAGCAGTAGCAATTTCCTATAAAACGTTTCTAAAAACATATACCCAAGAGTAAATATTCTTAAGCTTGTTATATTCGCTTGGTAGAAGCGCTTCCTAACTTGAATTTCTTGCGGATTTGATGCATCCAGGCTCTGCTGGCATGGAAAAGACATCATTGGGTACTGACGGCAGAACCAAAGACTCTTGTAATGGCTGCATGTTCAACGGCGGAAACGTCGATTGTTATTTTCTTTAAGCAAGGAAATTGTTGATCAGGCCCAAGGTTCTTGATAAATCTTAGAAACGTGCAATTGAAATCATTGAATAATCATTCGTAAAGAAAAAGGTGGCTGGGCAATCACTTCCGGTAATAGAATGTCTAACGACAATGCTATATAATATAACATTGGCTATATAGACACACAATGTGTAGTATCCAGGCAAAATGGTTCAGCTCGAACTAGTTACTGTCTTTACCATGGAGAAACAAAGTCGAATGTATAGCTCTGTTCGAAATCTTGAGCAATATAGGTAAAGTAGCCTCGTTGTTGCTGAAGACCTTTCAACCAAAACTTGATTGATTCCTTCTGTTCGTTGTGCTTTTTATATGATAATTCTTGAACCTTTTTATATATGTTGTACACAACATATACTGAAGAGGATAACGAGCTAGCAGCTTCAGGAAAAAGGTCTCTTATCCTTTCATTAAAATGACGTTGAAATGTAACTCTTATGTCTCTTCTACCAAAACCTTCACGTAGCTTTTGCAATAAAGCTTCCTTCGTATTATCCGATAAAGGCAAAAAAGAGGCATCATCAAAGCTTCCAATAAGATGATTATACTCACTATGAAGCTTAATAGTGACCCGATTAGGTGTTATGAAATAGCAGGTGACAGTAACATAGCATCTGCAATCGATCTTCTTGCTTGGTTTCTGAATTGGCCGGCTTTTAGACGATTCATCTTCTGTCTGTACACCAACTCGATTCTTATATGTCTCAGCTCTATGGCATATGTGCTTAAGTTTTTAAACGATGCTTCTTCTTGTTACATGCTTTGGTATAGGTTGACCTTCGTTTAAAGTAGACATATTACCATTCGTGTTATCCTTATAAATCCAACACACTACATGATGGACAGGTAAATTTTCAATGATATTTTTCCAATAGTCGATATCAACAGTAATTTCTCTAGGAAAGGGTATGTATTATTCTAAAACTAAACTCTCAGACATGATTACTATTCTTTAATAAAGGGGAATAAGCGAAAGAAGAATAAATAGTCACTCCAAGAATTTAAAGTTCAGAAGGGGGCAAAATAAGAGCATACAAAATTTTTTTTTGCGTCATCAGTTTCTTTTCTTTCTTGTTACGTCGACATCCTCTTTTTCGTCATCAAAACTGTAAAGTATTCCCGACTGAGTAAGCTTATCCAATAAAAGAGCAAAGTATTGAAACAATTCAATTATAATGAAAATAGTAAAGGAAGATAAAGAGAGAAAGCATATTTTACATTTATAAAAAGAACCAGAAGACTTTATTTTATACAAAACAAACAAAAGGTAAGGAGAGAAAGAAAAAGGTACTGTTTATATCGTACAGTGTTTTATTCACAAGAAATAGCAACGTCATTATCTTTGTTTAAAAATGGCAGACTCAGTTATTGAAGATACCTATTCCAACAGTGAAAATAAACAGGATCTTAAACGTCCTGCTGAAGAGCCAATACAGAAAGAGGCTAAAATAGCTAAACTGAATGACGATAATACAAGTGATACAACAACAAATGAAGAAAATAAAAAAGAGGATACATCAGACAATGTCCGAGAGAGTTCAGAAGCGGCTTCGGTGAATGAAGAAAGTCAAAGCAACCCCAATGCAACTATGGGAGATTCTATAAATAACAATAAATCGAGTGACACAAATGATGAGAAGATGATGAATCATGCTGGTCAATCAAAGGGAGAAGAACAACATGGTGATCAACAATTATCATCAGAACCGACGCCGCAGCTGCAAGAGCAGCAGGCTAAGGAATCACAGGAGAAGCAACCAGAGTCGCTGCCAGCTGCAGAACAAGATGGAACACAAGTGCAGACCAATCCATCACAGCAGCCACATCCACATTCTCATCCTCATCCACATGCCATTTTAAATATTACTAATACACCACCTGTGCCTCCGGGCATGCATCTGTTGAATGAATCTCAACAACATCAGATCATACAGCAATATGTTCATGCACAGGGACACGATCTTGCCAACTTTACAGCAGCTTCTTTAGCTCAAGCGATGGTAGCCCCTATTGCTGTTCCTGCACTTGCATCCAATCTTCTTCAGTTTCAAAATGGTGCCGTGATTACTGCACTCCCAGGACCTCCTTCTCAACTTCCTCCACCTGCAGCCATACCCCATCCAATGCCAGAAGACGCTCAGGGTAGCAAGAGACAAAGTACAAGAAATATGACCAATGATGAACGCCGACAGAGAAGGTTGCTAAGGAATAGACAAGCAGCTAAAGAATGTCGTAAAAAGAAGAAACAACATATTCATGATATGGAAGAAAAGATCGTTCAACTTGAACAACAGAATGCTTTACTGCAAAAAGAAGTGGAAGAGCTTAAAAATAAACTAAATATAGCTGCGATGCAAGGTACCGAAGGATATCGATTGATGAAGGAAGTTGAAGAGTTGAATGCAAAACTAAGCATGGGAAATATTCCAAATACAGCAGCAACGATGACAACTTCGAGCACGACCGTCGCTCAACCAGTTACTACAGACAATAGCCCTGCATCCGTCAACAGTAGTACTAATACTAACAAGGCTAATGACACTACTGATACAGCAATGTCATCACAGACTAAAGTGAGTATAATCAAAGAAGAAGAGCAAGATGCGGCCTGTGAAGGACCAAGTGTTACAAAGAGCGAATTTGATAAACAAGAAAATAGCGAGTCCAGTTTATCAACTGCTCAAGGTAAAATAATTATTCTCTGTTTCTTTGTATTTACTTGTTTTTTTTTTTTATAGAAGCAACCACATAAATATCATATTCCTTCCCTTGCTGTTTCTCTCTTTTTCTAAATCTTGCTTGCACTACCAAGAATAAATACATTTTATTGGTTCATCTGTTCTGTATGCTTTAATCTCAGATAGCATACGCAATTATTTAAATAAAAAATTTTTTCCTTCATTTTCTTTTTTTCCTCTTTTTCTTTAGAACCAAAAAAAAAAAAAAGAACTTTTTTATAAAGTAACAAGCGAGAGAGTTTTACTTATCACATATATATATTCCTCTTTATAGCCTTTATATCTCTCTACCCCAAAACATCCAAACCAGTTAGGACGTACTCACACAAAAAGTAGTTAGCGTTACATACCGTCTTTAATTTCTACTTCTTCCCTCTCTTTTACATTTATATCAACCAAGCACTCAAACCCACTCAAACACAATCACACACTATTCTTTTATAACTGAAAGAAAAAAATATCATGACAGACAACAATAAGCCAACAGTTGTAGATGATTTCTTCTCGGCATTATTTGCCAATGATAATAATAAATTGAATAATAAGGAACCAGTATCTGAAGAACCAAAAGAACAAGAGCCTGATCGTCCTCAAGATCCTTACCGTCGTTTACAGACTCAGCAGGAACAACAACAACATGAAGCAATGCTCCAAGGGCAAGAGATGAAACAAACTAAAAAATACAATTATGCTAAAAAGCATGAAACAGAATTAGATGAGTTTGATGAGTATTCTTTGCTTAGTAGTAAACGTAAACTTGATGACGCTACTACTTATAGTGGTCGTCAAGCGCCATCTAAAAAAAGAGTCGCTGCGCCTGATGCCAACAGCATATTATCAAAGAAAAATGTTGATTGGAGCGATGTCTCTCCTGAGTCCCGTATGCTGATACGCCAATTACCCGCTCGTGTTGATAAAGAAGATGTGATGGACTATTTTAGTGCTTATGGTGAAGTTCTTGAAGTTGTCTTTAAAAATACGTTTGGCTTTGTTCAATTTGATAGTCCCTTTGCTTGTGCAAACGCTGTTCAAAGTGAGAATGGTAAAAAGTTTAAAGGAATTACGTTAGGTAAGTGTGATTGTTCTCGTGTATGAATTGATAAACTGACTTTTTTTTGTAGAATTGGAAATATGTCGTACCAAGCCCTACTTTGCCCGTGAGGATGACAGGCATCGCCAAAAATTAGCAAGACCTGGCCCTAAAATTCACCGAAGAAATGACGATCACTCCTATAACAGACGCCCAGAAAATCGTCATCAAGCATCACAACAACAACAAAAGTATGTAGATAATACCGAATATGACCCTCGTCATCCTGAAATTAGCTTGAATACCCAGATTCCAGTGGTTAAGATCATTGCTTGGAATAACGTTTCTCAACAGTTCATTTCAAACGTTGAAGATGAATTTAGAAAGAAAAATATCTCTGTGGCTACGGTTATTTTACAATTCCCAAATACCAGAGAATCTCTTGTAAAACAGATGGCGATGGAAGGTGTAAAGGCTGTAGTTACTATTAACCGTGATCTTGAGAGTCAGCGAAAAGTTTCTCTTCAGGTATTTACTCCCAATACGACCGGCAGAGGCATTAGATTTGATGGTAAGTTATTTATTGCATATTTGTTTACTTCTAAACTAACACGTAAACATTGTATTAGAATATGACAGTATATTGGGTGAGCAAGCTGCTGAAATTGTGTTACGTTCCTTGTCTCCCTCTGAGTCTACATACCACAGTTCTGCCCTACCTTCTGTTCCTGTACAGAATAACTATCCAGCTGCAACAATGTCTAGTGCTAATAGCAGACAAAGTATTGCTACAAGTACTAGTAGTCCTGCCTCAGCGCCTATTCAGTCTATTGACTCTAATACCCTTGCAGCTGTTTATAGTTTACTACAGCCTAAGCCCGTCCCTGTGAGACAATATCAGCAACCAAACCAGGCCCATACAACTACTACTACTACTACTAATACTACTAGTGCTGCTGCTGCTATTACTACTCCTCCAACACAATATCAAATGCCCCAACAGCAACAGCAACAACAACAGCCTACTGTATCCCAACTGTTAGCCACTCTATTGAACGGTCTTAATCAGAACAATAGTTCTATTAGCTCTCTCAGTTCAACAACTGCAAACCTGTCTATTTCACCCAAGGCAAACAATATGACCATGACAGCACCATTCAATTTGCATCAACCTCAACTCCAAGTGCAACAACAACAACAGCCTCAACAACAGCCTCAACAACAACAACAACCAAACATTGCCCAGCTACTGAGTACCGCTTTAAATGGCAATCCTATGGTAGTACAGTTACTATCAAGCCAACCATCGCTTGCCAATAACAGTAACATGATGAATGATAACCAAATAAGAAATATCCTTGCCAACTATCAAATGATGCAACCTTCTTCAAATCAACCAAGATCTTCATCAACAAGCGCGCCTTCTCCCACTGCGCCTCCCACTATTCCCAATTCTAATTCCTTTAACCTTACTACAATGGCAAGATATTAATAAAATAGTTTACTCTTTTATATAAAATCATCCTCTGTTTTAATATTGTATAAAAAAGAGATCAAATGTGTGTGTGAGCTGAAGAAGGGAAAGAAAGTTTCGGCTAAATTCTATTCCTCTTACTAAGATTTTTATTGAATCTGATTGGCTAGTTTATAAATAATCAAAACCTCAAATGGGTGCATGACTGTAACATTACATCTTTCCCATCTGAGGCAGTTCAGAAAGAGTAATGGTGACTAAAAAACCCTTTTGGGATCAAGGGTAAAAATGCTTTGGAAGGAGTGAATGGGCTCAAATGTAAGATACACTAGTGAGAAGTTAAGAATGAATACACTTTTTTCAGAAATTATTCGCACACATTACAAGATCAATAACAATTAACACTTTAGTTGATTTTCTATGTCTTTATTATTTAAAAAGACAACATTTAATAATACATAAAATGAGCTTGATATTTTGAGTATAAATAAATGTGGTCAACGCATAAATGACACGTAACTGAAAAAGTTGTTAGAGACTCTGAATAAATAGTCTGATCGTGTCTTTTTTATATTTTCTTTTCATCTTTGGACCAAAAAGTAAGACCAGCTATTCCCCAGCTAGTCCTAAGGTATGTTATATGATTTACTCTTGTAAGAAGCTGATATGTAGTATTATAGATCATAAAATTGAAAACAGTACCGGTGCTAGCTAGGGGTAGTTTGGTTCTTACCAAGCTTTGGCTCCATACATTCCTTTAACCCCTTCCGCTCCTTTGACTGCTCTTTCACTTGCTTTCTCTTGCTCTCTTTCTTCCTTACTCTTCTCTTTTCTCGCCACCTTCTCCAGGCCAATTATCGCTGGCCCATTATAGTGCGCTTCAGATAAGATACTAATAACCTCTTTTACAGGTTTACTCACTCTTATTGCTTCTCTTTTTCTCTTATAAATTCTCTCCTTTGTAATGTAAGTGTTTAATATCAATGTAAAAAACTGATTTACTAGTCATTTCTTTATTCATTCTTCTGCTTCTGATGGGCTCTCTTTTATTATTATTTGTTGTCTGAAATTATAATTTTTTTATCAGTGTGCGAATAATATGTGAATAAAGTGTATTACTAAACATGAATGACGCGAAAAAGAGATGGCTCTGAGTTGATATATATATAAAAAAGCATTGAAAGTTTTTTCTTTTCTTTTCTTTTCCATTACTATTTTCTCACATTCAAAAAAAATGGTTAACGCTGTTGCTGTTCTCAAGGGTACCGATGTCTCTGGTGTCGTCAAGTTCACTCAAGCTACTGAAAATGATCCCGTCCTTATTGAAGCCAACTTCACCGGTTTGAAGCCCGGTAAACACGGTTTCCACGTTCACGAGTTTGGTGACAATACCAATGGTGAGTTTTATTTAATATATAAATCATCATGCATTGACAAAACTCTTTAGGCTGTATCTCTGCTGGTCCTCACTATAACCCTCATGGCAAGACCCACGGTGCTCCTGAAGCCGAAGTTCGTCATGCTGGTGACTTGGGCAACATTGTTGCTAACGAAAAGGGTGAAGCCTCTTTGAAGATTGAAGACTCTCATGTCAAGTTGATTGGCCCTTACTCTGTCATTGGGTAAAAGAAAAGATATAAGGATGTAGACATTGTTGTTAACCTATATGGCATGTAGTCGTACCATTGTCATCCACGCCGATGAAGATGACCTCGGTCTTGGTGGCCATGAATTGTCTCTTAGCACTGGTAATGCTGGTGACCGTTTGGCCTGTGGTGTCATTGGTGGTAAGTATTAGGCAATATGCATAAATTTCAATGCTCTAATCCCTGTTTAAACAGTTACTAAATAAAGTGGACACGCTGCACACGCATACCCTTTTTTTTTAAAAAAAAAAAAAAATAAAGTTTTGTTTATTTATGCAATTCATGTATCATGTCTTTTAATACATTTTTTATGGCTGCTTCCTGAGTCAAACCTGTCATGTCCTATGCTATATGTGTTATTTTAAAAGTAAATAAACAGCTTTTTTCTTGCCTTCATCAAGACATCTTGCTCAGGTTGATTTAGGAATCGATAGTTTTTCATAATATATAAATACGTGTCATTACTTAAAAAAACGTTCCTTAACAATACTTTAAAGAAATAATGATGTGCATCCAAGAGTTGATCAATTGAAGGTAAAATATCTTTTGTGTCTTGTTGTGCCCTTGTTCTTATGTGCTGACGCTCCTCATTTGACAATGAAGCTAATTCTGTTTCAATAAATATACACCAATCTGTACATTGTGTTATAAAAAGTGGCTGCCAGGATGCCACATTAGGTTGTCCGGCTTCTTTTAATAATTGGCTGAATGTAAGAATAGCATTTACAAGTGAGGTTGTTTCCATACAAGAACAAGAAAAAATATAAAAAAGAGTGACTTAAAATCTTTCATCTAATACATGAAGCTGTACAAATGTTTTGAGAGCTTTTTCATAGACACCTAAAAAGATACTTCCACCAATCGATATCCACATGATACGAGGACCCACACCAGAGAATAAGGCTCTTGGTCCTTCTTCAGCTACGATACGTTTCATGGTGGAGATGATGCCATCATAATGTTTTCCAGATGCTTGGTTCTAAAGGTACATCATTAGTCTTACTCTGTTTTTTCTTTTGTCTTTACTTTACTTTATGAGAAAGCATGATTCGAGTCTTGCAAACATCCAAAGGTGTTGTCACTCCTGCTGCAATACCACCAGCCACAGAACCCATGAAGGCAGCCTCATAAGGCTCAGTACGACGACCCTTCATAACTGCATAGGATTGTTTAAAGTATTCGTACAATGGGAACTGAATACACGTAAATGGAATTTCTCGAGCCACAGTCGATAAAAACCCACGATACATGCCTAGAATACCTTCGGTTCGCAGCACATGTGAGACGGCGGCTGATGTGGATGTAAATTGCTTGGTTTGCATACGTTGCTTGATCACTTCTGTAGGCACTCTTACTGTGCAGGCAATCGTTTCACCACATGAAGCTGCGATCATGTGCGTCAGAGGTGCATGATCTAGGGTTGTACTCAAGACGCGTTTGGTGGCTTCATAGGTAACAAAAAATAAGGAAGCTGCCCAAATAAAGTCAACTTTCTTTTTTTTGGTTTTGTGCTTTTTCTTTCTTTTGTATTATACCATTAGGTGCACTTCCAATAACTGCACTTAATAAACCAGAGTAAATGCCTCGAAAGCCTCCAGAGGCAATGAAGCCATGTTGTGATTGTAATCTTGTCTTGATCGTGTCTATCTAATATATAAGATATACATACATACAAGAAAAAAAGACACAACATGGAGAAATAACGTTACCCAATGGAAAAAGAACGGTATCTACAGCTGTACCAGCACAAGCACCAGCAAGCATAGCTTGCTTCAAGGTGCCCTGTTGGTTATTGTTGCTCATTACTAGGAAAGGGGGGAAGAAAAGAAAAAAAAAAATTTGAGTATATTTAGGCTCCCCCTCAATATTAACTTTATTTAAGGCCACACCAAGATCTTCTTTTTGATATCATCGTTCCAGCTATTACAGACCTCTTTTTGATCAGGGCCTTCACATAGTTGGCCAACATCCTTTTCGATCCATTGATCTAATGTACCAACAATAGAAGCAACCACTTTGGTCACATAGGTACTCACATCCTTATCTTCACTTAATTGACCTACACCATGCTTAGCCAATGTACGATGGATCGATCTACGAGTATCTTTGGCCAAGTTCTTGACGAGCACACCGTTATCAAAAGAAGCATGCTCACCAATCTCTCTACGCATACGACCGATACAACGTTCCTTTACATCATCTAAAAAGTGGCAAATAGAAGGTGGATTGCCACAACGATAATCCATCTTTTCACCTATCAGAAACAGTGTTACTGCCCCTCCTGTGTCTCATATATAATAAAAAAGGCTTACATTCTTCCAAAGTCCAACTTTCACCCTTGGGTGGCATCTTTCTGGTCAATCTCTTTGGGTTGTTACAATCACCTTTATAAGGATTTTCTTCGTTAAAGATAACTTGATAAAATCCTTCAGCCAATCTGGGCTTAGATAATTCTGTATTAGCAAATTGTTCAAGAGTTGACTTGATGCTCGCTTGTATATCGTCCACAAGTTCTCCATTAGACATATGGGTTGTAATCTTGGAAGGCACCTTGACTTTTGGAATAGAAGAAGTCAATTGGTCTTGTAATCTGTTGACACTCATGTCAATGATGGGTTTATAAACATCAGCAAAGTCTCCAGACACACCACGTCTACAGTCCATTTCACAGGCAAGTGCTGCACTGGTCAAAGTCAAGAACAAGGCAATTGTTTTAACCAACATGTTTTGTTTTGTTTTTTTAATTAAGAGAAAGAAAGAAGTAGATTAAAAAAAGAGAGAAATTATTTAAATTTAATATTCAATCAACTATTAATAGAATAGAATAAAAAGGGATATTATTTTAGTAACAGATTGTGTAACAAAAATTTGCCCTTACATTTTCTTTACAGTGACGCTGGACATTTTCAAATACTTTAAGTAGCTTTCGTCTTGCGCCGAGAGTGTTGACGCCAGCATCGATCATGTCTTGATCCGACATACGTACGACTTGCTTCCAGTCCATTCCTATAAATGCATGTCCATACTTGTGTAATCTGAGGCTTCTTAGCCAAGCCTGAACATCTATTTAAGGGGATATCAGTATATCAGCAGTTTCTATTTTTTATATTTTTTTTTTTTACCCTTCATCAATTCAAAGTCAACTGTTTCTGCCGCAATCTTGTCTTTTAATGCACGGGCTTGTGAAGATCGCTTACGTCTTCTGGCAAGGCCTGTCAAAGGTTGTTGTTGTTGTTGTTGTTGCTTAGAGACGTCATTTTGAACTTCATCTGTTACTACTGCTTGACCGACAGTTTCCATACTAGATGGCTTTTGTATTATTGTTGTTGACGATGATGAAGAAGAAGAAGTAATAGAAGTACTACTAGGAGAACATCTAGGATCATTCAATCTGATCGAGGTATCATTCTTGAGCCTAGCATGAGCCTGCTCGAGCGCATAATCAAGTAAAGGTGATTGTTGTTCCTCTTCATGTATCGTCCACGTATCCTCCTTCTTCTTCTTTTGGCTATGCGTAGTCATCGGTTTCTTTGATAAAGAGCCAAATGTCCAGTTATTCTTTTCATCCAACTTATCTTGAGGGAACGGCCAGTCACTGGTGGTGATGGGTGTTGAGAATAGGGACTTGTGAGTGAGGTCAGAAGAGGCACGAAGTCGGGAGGTACGAGAAAACAAGTCGGGTTTACTATGAAGCGAGGAAGAAGAAGAAGAGGAGATGGTTGAATTTGTGACAGATGAAGAAGAGGATGAGTTGATAGTTGCCTGTAATTGTGCTCGAGCAGCAAGCGCCTTTTCATACAAAGGACCAGGATGACTAAGGCCCAAAGGTTTGGATAATAGACTACGTCGACCCAGATCATCTGGTTCACTTATGGCTGATGTGTTACACATGGGCATGTTGCGTCGCTTATAAAACTGTCTTTTTCTAGACTCGTCTTCGATGACCGAGTGACTATGACCAAACAGGGGCACATCTATGGAGGTGTTAGATAATATATAAAAATTGCCAAGCTTACCATTTTCCTGACCAGCAGAACTACCATAAGGGTTTTGATTTGCTAATTGCTGTAAGACAGTAATAAGGAATCGGATCTGAATTTGAGATGCATTTTGAACGACAGTATAAAGAGCAGCAGTTCTCTCTGCATCCGATCGACATCGAAACCACTGATTGATATGGTGTAACTCATCTTTAAATTCTTGATCTAAACTGGCAGCAGCCACTTCTTCAAGCATTTGTTCATAACGTTGAATATTTTCAAACCATCGATCAATCGCTTCAGCTATAAAAGTTGTCAGTTGTACAAGAACAGGGAACATGCAAAAAAAAACTAACCTTCAGGAGAATAAGATTTCAATCGAGTAGGTTGAGTCTGTAGGATGTCAGATGCTGCTCTTCCCTTATAATAATAACTATTGTTATTGTTGGTATATCTTCTTTGACTTGGTAAACTTAATAAATCAGATGCTGTTAAGGAACGAAAAGGCGAAGGAGGGATATTATTGGTTGTTTGTCTGGGAAATATGTTAAATAAATTATCTTCCATAGTGGTCATTATAAATTATATAGAAAAAAAAAAGAATGGAAAGTATAAAAAATAAAAGTAAAAAAGTAAAAAAATAAAGAGAGAAAAAAAGGGAAAAAAAGAAAAGGATCTCTCTCTTTACTATCTCTCTCTTTCTCTCTTTCGCTATCTTTTTTTCCCCCCAGTTTAGCCCCTGTTTTAAATCATACACGAGGGTTACAATAACAACAACCTTCAAGGTAAACTTATTTTCAGGAGAGAGTTAAAATATAAAAAAAAATAGGGAGAATAAAATAAATAATAATAATAATAACAATCACACCCAAATACACACGCACAACATACATTTACACAGCTGGTTGTTTGCCCATTTTAATGGAAAAAAAAAGGGTTCATTTATTGTTTCCCTTTTCCCTAAATTATTTAAGTGTTGATGACAGTACCACCATTAGGATGGACAACTTGACCAGTGATAAAGGAAGAGTCATCGGAGGCTAAAAAGACAAATGCGGCAGCTACTTCACAAGGTTGAGCAGGTCGCTTGAAAGGAGGGAAAGAACCAAAGTTTTGAATTTCTTCTTGACTGAACGTGTTTGGAATCAGTGGTGTCCAAACAGGTCCAGGAGCAACCGCATTGACTCGGATACGACGAGGTGCCAACTGTTGAGAGAGGGCACGAGTGAACGAGACGATGGCTCCTTTTGTAGCTGAATAATCAACCAAGACGTCCATACCACGATAAGCAGCAATAGAGGCAGTGTTGACAATAACACCACCTGCCTTCAGATGGTTACAGACAAGTTTGGTCATAAATATAGGACCAAAGACTAAGTAAATAGATTAGAACAGACATATAATTCTCCCCTTTTATTATTATTATTATTATTATTATTACCATTCGTGCGGAAAGTTCTCTCGACAACATCACAATTGAGATCTTCAACACGTGTGACCTTGTGTTGTTCAGCAGCATTATTGACAAGAATATCAATACGACCAAAAGTTTTCAAGTGAGAATCAAGGATCTCTTGACAGTTCTTTTCATAGCCAATGTCACGAGCAATCAAGTGAATCTTACAGTTCGTTTGGCCTTCAATCGTATTCTTTGTATAAAGGGCATCATCATCTTCTCTTTCATCTCGATAGACAATCGTGATACCAGCGACACCTTCGAGAGCATAAAGAGTAGCAATTGATCTTCCGATACCACTGTCAGCACCTAAGATACTAATATTAGCAAAGTAATAATAATAATAAAAAAGGAGGGTGTGTATTACCAGTAATCAAAGCATATTTGCCCTCTAATTTACCAGATCCACGATAGGGTTTGAAACAGGGCTTTCCTTCAGCATCAAATGAAGGCAAGTGTTGAGTTACAGGGGCTGGCTTCAACAAAGAGGCTACACCTGTCTTTTGCCAGTTCATGTTCTTTCTCATTTCATTGTAATGATAGACATCATTAGGAAGATCTTCATCAAATCCAATAGTCATTTTTCTTTATAAAGAGGGATATGAAATATGAAAGAAAAAAGAAACGAAAAAGGCCCTCATATTTATACAATATCTGTATCTTGTGGCTCTTTGTTGTTAGTTGAAATGATAATGATATTTTTAAAAGTTGTCAATTCTCTTTGGGGGGTTAACAATGACGATGCAAACCCGTGTTTATTATTATTATCTTACTGAAAGGGTTTCACTCTATGTATGGTTATTGTTTCAAATAACGCTTTGCATAAAGCCACAGCATGAAACTGCAATTGTTTTCTTTTTTTTTTAACAACAATGAACTTTAGAAAGAAGAGTACGAAACGTAATTCTATCTTGCCTCATTTGCCCAAGGCAGAAACCATGCCAAACGCTCAAATTTCCGAAACCCCATTGATGCCGGGCCAAAAGACGCTTCCTTCTGCCGATTGGAAAAATGACGGTCATGGACAGCAGTTGGTGAGAACAGGCAAACAAGGCGTGCCATGGACCGATCGCCAGTCAAAAGTCCAATTAGACTCGGACCTTGAGCCCCCTCCTGTGTTTACTGCCACCCCTAGCCGAGGCTTGACCCTCCGTCAGCCGACCAAATCTCAACGCCATGTGTTTCGTATGGAAAGTGGTATTGACCCTGTTGTTCTCTTGACAAGTCGATTAGAAACTTGGCGGACTGCCTTAAAAAACTTGGTAATAAGTAAAATAATAATAATAATAATAATAAAAATTTTAATATCCTGTTTAGGTTGACTTGTTCAAAAACTTGGCTTCGGTTGAAAGCAAAACGTCCAAGAGCTTCATTCATGCCAGCAAGGTCGTTCAGGTTCCCTTTCGTCACTCCAGTGGTCAGTTTCTCGAATCGGGTGGAATTCAGGATATTTGGGCTGCCATGCGTGACTATACAGTACAGCATGGTATGCTCCATCATGAGGCATCGACTTATCTTACTCGTGCAGTCATCCCGGCCTTAAGGGGTATCAAGGCGGATATCAAGACCATGGTTCATGGTATTCAAAAGGATAAGAATCTCAAAAGTGTTCAAATCTACAAGAGTCGCGTCGAGGTTGACAGACTCATCCGTGAACTTGATCGGACGATCGAACAAGTTCAGATGGCACCGCATCAGGCCGATCACTACATTGACCCTTTCTTGCTCAACCTTTGCGTCATTCATGCCATTCGTGAACTTTGTGACTATGAAAATGAATTGCATGATAATATCCTTAGCCTTCAAAAGGAAACTGGTGTGTTTGAATACAAGATTATCGAAAATGTTCGCTACATTCTTCAAAAGTATCAGGAATACCGTCTGAAGCACAAGATGGAGCACAAGGATTTCATTGGTCATGTCAATGATTTATTTAACCGAGTAAAGCCAAACACTGAATGGGATGAGTTTGTCAGACGTCATCAGTATCATCTAGTGATGGATAACGCTGCTTACAAGACAGAGAACTCTGTAGAGTATCCTCATCAGGATAGCAAGTACGTACGCGCTGTCAAGATTGGCCCTCTTCGTCTCAGATCAGGCATTAGCAGATCCTGGGCCGAAGGTGTTTATATTCTTACGCCAGGTAAAAAAAAAAAATAAAAATAAAAAAATATAAACTTGTGTGAAGCTAATCGTTTTTTTATTATTAGCCGGATTCTTGCATGGTTACAAAACTCCAAAACATTTCCAAACGAACCCTCTTCATCCGTCCTATACGCTCTTTATCCCTCGTACTTCTGTCGAGAATTCAGAGGACGACGATCTTTGCTTTGAGGTATATGAAGAGAAGAGACGTTTGGGTGGTGGTCACTACGTCTTCCGTGCTGGTAAACCTCGTGAAGCACAAGAATGGTTTGATGCTCTTGTACGTATTTCCAATCAACATAGAATCACACCGTTGCTAGAATATGATCAACAACCGGGATTCAGTACGACGTCCAGGCAACGTGACCTTCCTCCATTGCCTCCTAGCACCTGGCCTGAGCCTCCAAAGCAGGCAATCGAAGGATCATCCCAACAGAACGCATTGGGCACTGTCCATGAAGAAAATGGTCAGGATGAGCCTGTGTTGGGTAAGCAAGAACCACAGCCTGAAAGCTCAACGGCTGATCCTCGCTTGGAAGGCGAAGACGATCATTCCTTTATTCTCGCTCAAGGCAAACAACCAAACCATCAAGAGAATTATTCTCCTGCTGTTAATACGACATAAATAAATAAAGATCCACATCTCATGACATTTATTACTGTGTATGTATGGGGTATATATGTACAATGGGGGAAAACAGAGCTTCTCTTTTCTTTTTAGGGCTTTGGGATACGAAGGGTTTTCGAGATCATGAGTGTTCCACTAACAACAAAAGACATTACAAATGGGTGCAGTTCCCATCCTTGAGCCACTTCAACAATAGAACCAGGCAATGCATCCAAATACAAGCCATTCTTTACAAAATAAGCAATCCAAGCCACGAGTGCTAAGGAAGTCGGGATCGGAGTTCCTTCAAAGTGGTGAACCTTGCCTGTGGCGTCCTTTGGAGCCAGGGCTACTGTAGCATTGTAGCGAGCAAGACGAGCGATACCGCAGCAGATAAAGTAAGTTAACGCGACCGTGTCAAGATAGGTGCGCATACCAACTGTATATATCATATCAGTCCACACAACTTCCTTTTTTATTATCTTATCTCTCTTTTCTTACCTGCATAGGCCAAGGCAGCAGGAGCAACACCAAAGGAAATCTAGGGTAGGGTTTTAATGGATATAATATCAAAAAATAAGCTACTTACCAAATCAGCTAAACTATCAAGTTCTTGTCCAAGCAAAGAAGAGTTGTTTCTCCAACGAGCAACTCGTCCGTCCATAAAGTCAAAGAACATTGCAAAGGGTAACAAGATCATGGACAAGTATAAATCTCGAACATTGTTGGTAGTCAAGTAACGCATAGAACTCAAAACAGACTGAACTCCACAAATACCGTTCATTAAGGTGATGACATCGGCCAAGTAAAAGTTACTTTAGAGTTGTTAGCTTATAAAAAAATCATAAAGAAGTAGAAAGACTTTACCGAACCATGGAAAAATGACCGTCTACTTCTCTTGGCGTATCGTTCTTCTTGTCAGTTAAAGCCATGTTTTAATAAAAAGTAAAAAAAAAAAAAAAGACACGAACAAAAAAAAGAACTTTTTATACATTACATCATAAACTCAGCTAAAGATATATATATGTATACGGTTGGTGTCACCGTAGAATGGTCACTACTCAATAGGGTTACTCTCTCTCTCTCAATACATCAAATTTTTTTTACCTGAGTTGAATGATTTAAAGGGGTCATCATCATCATTATCATCAGACAATGTATCTAAAGGAGTTGTCTCTAATTCAAAACTCACGCTTTCCTTTATCCGATTGAAATGGACTGCTCGAATCGGTTGAGCCTTGGACGGGATGATCGGTGGCTTCATATTGCGTAAGAGAGCAAAGTTGATGGTATTAAAGAACGGATGAGACTTGACTTCACTTGCACCTGCACGTGATCCAAGGCGTTTCTTTTCATTCTTATTTAGTAGTTTACGTATAAATGACTTGCAATGACTTGATAAGGTTTGGAAGTAGGCATTATCAGGAAATTCTACTGGTTGATTGAGGATCAGATTAAATGTCTCGTCCCTTGTTCGACCTTTGAATGGGGTATATCCACACTAGAGATAAAGGGTAAGTTGTGTATAAACCAAAAAAGAGTTTTTTACTTACAATCATTTCATATACAAAGATGCCTAGTGTCCACCAATCGACTGTGCATGAATGCCCACTTCCCCTGATAACTTCAGGTGCTAAGTATTCTAAAAAAAAAGAGATCAATTTGAATAAAAAAGGAGAATAATAAAGAGACTACCTTCTGTACCAACGAATGAATTGGTCCTAATGCTCATACGAGTATCGATCATGGGCTGTTTCTGTAGAAACAATGAGTTAGTTTTTTGAAAACAATAAGATATACAACTTACAGAAAATGGAGAACTTGGTTGTACGAATGTAGGCGGTGTAACAGATGAAGATTGAATGGAAAGATCAAAATCTGATAACATGAGATGTCCTGATTCATGCAAGAGAATGTCTATACATACACACGTACACATACAAATATAAAAATGTATGATTAAAAAAACAATCCAACAGTATATCACATCTTATTTACTTTCTGGCTTCAAGTCACGGAATACGATGCCCATGAGGTGTAAATACTCCAATGCGGCTACTACTTCAGCAGCATAAAATCTGGCTTCATTCTCTTTCAATATCCTTCCTGGACGATTCTGTAAGGCTCGAAAGAATTCTCCTCCGACACAAAACTCCATACAGAAATATAAATGATCTCGACTTTGAAATGAATGATAGAGAGGGACAATGAAAGGATGATTGGCTGTCGACAGGATAGCTTGTTCTGATAAAGCTCGCTTGATCTTGTTTCTTTTGATCATTTCTTTCTTTGATAAAACTATGTATCATCATTTAATTACATGTATAATCTATAGAATACACACACTGCACCTTTGAGAGCATAGAGTTTGTCAGTGGTCTTGTGTTTGACAAGATATACTTTGCCGACATCTCCTTTTCCTAGTAATCGAATCTTTTCGAAATCACTTGGACCTACTTGAGCTTGTTGCTTTTGTAGTGAATAGGATGGTTTCAATTTAGGGCTACTGACAGGAGTTGAATGAATGCTATTGGTTGAAGCAAAGTATTCTTTAGTGTTTGGCACAGATGCCACTCTCCTTAGATTTGGCTCAAGTGATTCGAGCGCTTTATTGTTCAATCTAACTTTGGTTTGAAATGTACTGTTGGGCTGATAAATAGGTGCTGGTGATGAAGGAAGTGACATGAAGCAGAGTGAGAAAAAAAAGAAAAAGAAAAACAGTGCAGAAGAAAGAAAGAGAGAAGAAAGGGTGAGTTACCATAAATAGTTGTTGATTTCCCTTTCACTAGTTCTTGATCTTCTCTTTCTCTCCCAACCAATCAAATTTATTAACATAATTTAAGCATCATTTTCTTCAAAAGAGAGTAAAGACGTCGTTTGTTTCGATTTAGTCTTCTTTTTCTTTTTCTTTGGATCCAATTTTGCTGCTTCTTCATCAATGATGGACTGTAATTTACGTTTACTATCTCCTGTCTTTTTAGTTTGTTTACGAAACAGTAATCGACCATTTTCATCTACTGCTGGTTGCTCTTCTTCTTTTTCTTCTTCCTCTTTTTTTTCTTCTTCTTCTTCGTTTTCACCAGTGTCTTTATGTATTTCTTTTTATATAACAAATACGTGTCAGTTATGCATTTCAACTGTACAAATGTGTCATTTGCCTTTTCCATTAGAATCAAGTTCAACGACTTGAGCTCCTTCTAATTCATCGTAGTCATCGTCGTCCTGTCCGTCTTCATAATTCATAAACTTCTTTTTTGCTTCTTCCTTTTCTTGTGTTCTATCTTTTAACTTGGCCAAGAATGGAGCTTCTTTATGAACATAGGATAATCCTTTAGATATTTGATGAGGTGTCAATTGTTTTTGTGGCATTTATTATTAAAAGAAAAAAGGGTAAAAATGCGTCACAAAAAAAAAGTTTATTTATTTAGTTGGATGATAACGAGAGAATATGTCCTTTAACACCTATAAGAAAAAAAAAAGATGAGTGACATAAAAAAAAAGAGAGAAAGAGTATCTGTTACCTTGTCAGAGGGTGTCAGTGTTTCGTATACAGGTGACTTCAAATCAGTCACTTTAAGTTCTCTCAAAAGAATGAAGAGGATATGCTTACAATGAGTTCCTCTCACGTTATGATCTCTGCAAGTACAATGTAATTTGGGTCCAATGGTGACTGTGTACTCCTTTATACACGTTAAACCTAGTTGATAGTTTATAGGTATATCCTTACCGTGCCTGTGCTACCCTTGACTGCATAAAAGAAATGTCAGTAATATTAGATTTCTTTCAGAGTGTACCTTTAAAGTCATGGCTCTTCATGTAAGCTGTCATTTCAGATGACACCAATCTTATATTTTGTTTAGCCATTCTCTCCAACCTTATTTCAAGCTCCTGTTTGTTTGTGTATCTCGTCAATAATAAAAAAGGGCATACCTTCAGTGTAACCTACCTCAGGGACAGTTTGTTCAATATCCTCAATGTCACTCTCCGACAAAAATTGGTCATCGTCACTTAATTCATATGCCTTTTCTTTTCCCTTTGCATAAGTATTGAGTATCTTTGCTGCTTGTTGTTCAGTATCTGAATTATGATTAGACATGAAGAAAAGAGCGAGAGAGAAAAGATGCATAAAAGAACGTCTGCTTATATGTGACGCACAAGTCATCGTGGGAAAATGATGCAGAACTACACTCTCTTTCTCTCTCACGATGCTTATTATAATTTTCTCTTCCTTTTTTTCTTCATATTTTTTTTAATCATGTTGTTAATCAGACTTGCCAGAGTGAATACCGCCTTCCGACATGTTCGAAGCATGTCAACAGCAGGTAAAAAAAAGGAATTAAAGAATAATGACATAATATTGACATATTTTATACATAGTAAGCATAATCCATCACTAAAAAAATAAACATTAAATGACATTGATAGAACCACAGAAAGAATGCGATTGGTCTCATCGGCTTGGGTCAAATGGTATATATATAAAATAAATAAAGAGATTCAATATTTATCATGAAAAACATTAGGGGTCAGGTATGGCCAAGAATCTTGCCTTGAAGGCAACTGGCCCAGTTTATGTCTATGACTTGAACGATAAAGCGGTTCAAAGCCTAACAAAAGAATATGCTCATCTCAAGGTCGCCAAGGATCCCGCGGATATGGCCAAACAGGTTTCGACGGTCATCACGATGTTACCCGAGTCATCTCACGTAGAAAAGGTGTATGAGGCCATGATGGACTATATCAATGAAGAAAATATCTTGATTGATTCAAGTACGATCGACAGTCAAGCTGCCAAAACATTGGCAGAAAAGGTAATGCAGGAAAAGCAAGCGCTCGTCTTTGACGCGCCGGTCAGTGGTGGTACGTTGGGTGCTGAAGCAGGTACCTTGACGTTCATGGTCGGAGCCCCTAGTATGGAAAGTTTTACCAAGGTCAAGCCTACCCTGGAGTGGATGGGCAAGAATGTCGTCTATTGTGGCTCGAATGGAACTGGTCAGATTGCCAAGGCATGTAATAACATGTTGCTTGGTATTTCCATGATGGGTGTTTCTGAGGCCATGTTGCTAGGAACAAAAAAGGGTATGGATCCTCATTTGTTGGCCTCTATCATCAATACATCCACAGGAAGATGCTGGAGCTCAGACACATACAATCCTTATCCTGGTGTTATACCTACTGCTCCTGCCTCAAGAGACTACCAGGGTGGATTCAGTAATAAGCTCATGGCCAAGGATCTTAAACTGGCCATGAAGGCAGCCAAGGACTGTGACGTGTCTCCTCCATTAGGCTCCATGGCATCTCAAATGTATGACAAATTGGCCAAAGACAATGAATTTGGTACTCTAGACTTCTCGAGTATCTTTAAGGTAAGAAGAAAAAAATAGTATATTTTATTCTATTTATTCATTTGTTTATATATAGTTTCTGTCTACACAAAATAAATAAATGCCCTTTTGATAAAAAGAAAGATGAATACGTTTTTAATATAATGACAAAAGTGTAGAATTGCATAATACAAGTACATAAAAAAGAGATGAAGAAGGGGGGGGATCTAATGATATTATAATGATACAATATGAGCTTGAGTATCTTTATCATCTTGAGCATGAATAACCCATTTGATATACTCATAAACACTCCAACTAATGGCTGTACTTGGCATATGTGTCAGCACTCTTGGTTTAAAACCTCTAAAGAATCCCTTGAGACCATATCGTTCCATGATTATTCCTGTTGCTTCTCTAAATCCTGTCACATTTCGAATACGAGGATCATGACTTGTGCCTCTTGTTTGTAATAAAGTCTTTACGACATCCATAGGTGTCGTCAGTGAAGATGCAACTGCACCTGCCAGTGCACCAGCGATGATATGTGTCTTTGGGTCATAGTGTTGTCCCTCTGATTTCAGTATCTTTCTAAAAAACTCGTAGGTTGCAAACTGAATGGATTGAAAAGGAACTGACATGACAAGTGTTGTAGGTAATGAAATATAAAATGCCTTGAAGCCCTCTTTAGTATACACAGATGATGCACACTCTCGAATGGTTCGGTAAGTTGAATCCTTTAGCTGCATACGTTGCTTGACAACTATTATACTCATCAGTGACCATATCCTATCGGCTTTAATATCTTACCATCAAAGGGTGTCATTAGACCATCATGAGCTATCGTTGCACAGGCACCTGCTGCTGCTGACGCTATCGGATGGTGACCGCTGGTCGCATTGGCTCCAAAGTACTCTTTGCAAAACTCGTATGTGGTGAAATGTAATGCATGGGCTGGTCCTGCTCCAAGCACAACTGAATTCACACCTTTCCAGAGATTCATCAGTTTAGCTGAGGTTTGTATAGAAGAAGAAGTGGAAATCACTTGCATTCTAGTCTAATGAAACAGATCTGTCAACCTTTCCTTTTTATAATTAAGCTACTTTCTAAACTAAAAAAAATTTTTATATATAAAACTTACTTTTATACTGTCCACAGGATACATTGCACAATGTTCTGCAATACCTGCTAAAGCACCTGCTATTGCATTTTGTGTCATTGTGGTATTACCACCAAGTGATTCATAATCGTATTCTTCTTCAATCATTGCTTTATGAAAAAGAAAAAGAAAAAAAAAATAACCCTCAGGGAACCCTGTTTTTTTATCCCCGCAAATTTACTTTTTCAAGCAAAATCTGATAAACTCTAATTGTTCCATTTATGAAAAGGGTCTTCCCTATCAGATTTTATTACTTTTTTAAGGATATGTCTGCTTCTTTTACTGTAGATACAGTATAATTCGTAGAAGTAGAATATATGTGACTTTTTTCCATTATATCTGATTTTTTTATAGAATTAAAGATGTGTCGTAATTCTTCATCAGGAGGTGGCAGAATGGACGCTCCTGCTGCGCTCGAGTGATCATCGTCATCATCCACATCAGGACTTATATTGTTATTAGGAGAATAATATTGTTTAGGAATTGATATTTGCTTTTTACTATGTCGAAGTTGCTTAATGACCAAGTAAGATGCTAGATACCCTATGCTGATGATTTCAGTAACACTCTCTTTGATATGTAAAAAAGACAAGGCTTACAGTCAATTGTGTAAATAACAGGTGTATTTCCTCCAATGACTTCCAATGTAAGTAGAATGCCACAGATGATATTAGAAAAGCATACACCAAAGCTTAGATACAAAAAGAAGTCAATGAAAGCTTCGCATAATGACAAGTACACTTACCAATACAGCAAGCCTTCTTTCAGCAATGTCCTTTGAATGCTATTTCCAAAAAGTCGATAATGGCGATAAATGACGAGAATAAAGCATGCAGATAGAAACACATTGGATGTAAAATCTATTGCTGCCTTTATAATAACAATATAAGTAGCTATTAGTTAAGAATGTCAGCTTGATTTTTCTTTCTTTCTTTCTTGATGTTTCTCTTCTTACGATAGTTTGTGAGACAGACGCCCTCTTGGAGAAATGATCCCGATCGTCCAACGGTGAGATTGATGACGATAAAGACAGCGATAGAAATAATGGGTATGGACCCCACAAAAAGGACCAGTTTTGATCGTTCGTTTCCTAAAAATGCTTTCCAAAGTAAAACAAACTGTAACGCCATGTCTCCTACGTTGACACCAACTACAGAAAAGAAAAGTCGCTACGAAAGGATGAGAATGTACGTTTTATTATAAAAAACAAACACTTACAAACGTGCAATCAACTTCTACAATACATACTAATAACGTGACAAATGTGACGACAGCACCAAGGACTGACTGAAGAAAGACTAGCAGAACTATAGGTTTCTTTGATTTATAGACCATTTTTCCAGTCGTAAGTGCTTGCCAGATAAAGCATGAAAATCCAACAGAAACAAACATGATGGTGAAATTGGCTTCCTTTTGGTCTCGTACTAGGTCCTGTGCGCTCTTGTCATCGGTCGATGTAGAATTAGTACTCATTAGTGTAAGATATTAATTTTAAGATGTAAATAAAAAGAAAGAAAAAGAAATGATGGGGATCAAGTATAAAAGCAATCAAATCGATGTTGAGTAACCCTTTTTTATGTTTAGTTTTCTTTTTCTTCAAGGAAAAAAAGGGAAATCTTATTTACAAGAAGAAAATAGTTTACTGCTTACTGCGACTTGTTACCTCTATCCACATCATAAATAAAACACAGACAGACGTACGCGTGTTCGTGCGCACGGACGAACCATTGTCTCAATATAGACACCACGCAAAGTATTATTTTAGTTGTTTGCAACAACTGTTTTCTTTAAAGGACAAAAGTCAACTATTATCTTCCCCTTTTGGATATAACACATTGACTTTTGTTCATTGGATAAAATTGTCAATAGAAGAGCGATTTGCATGCATAACCCATCTATTCATGAAATCACAGACATCGATTGGATAGTTTTTTCCTTTTAAGGGGCTGGGTGACACACGCACACACATACAGAGAAAGTGACTATTTTACAGTCATCTCGCCATCGTCTTTTTTTTTCTTGATTGCAGATGCCAAAGCTACGCTATAAAAAGGAGAAAAAAAGGCATCACGATCATGACAAGAGCAAGAAGAAAAAGCATAAAAAGAGAGGAGACTATCATGTACCACAAACTGCATATGAGCCAGAAGAAGGTTGGGTACCACCGAATGCACACGATCCATGGGACGAAGAAGAAGACGAATGGAGAGCAAAAATGTTTGATGCTATGGGAGAGGACGAAGGTGGAGATGGTTATTTTTCTCGATATGAATATTATCAACCTCAAGAGCAACGCATGTCTGATGAGGAATATCGTCAGCATATTGTAAGGGGCATGTATGAACGAAAGCACGCAGCAGAGATTGAGGCGGAAAGAATATGGAAAGCTGAGCAAGAGAAAAAGAGGCGAGAAAGAGAGGAGGCAAGGAGAAAAGTGATGGAAGAAGAAGCAGAACGAAGACGTATAGAGGAGATGTATCGACAGATAGAAAGAGAAAGACGGTATCAGACAACGATCGAAGACTATGATAAAAAGTGGAAGGATCTTGAAGAGATGAGTGAGATCAAAAGAAAGGATATACCTTGGCCTGTCCAAGGAAAGAACTTCTCCTTTGACTCTGTTCGTTCGTTCTTTATGAACAACAGTAAAGAATCAGTCAGTGATCTGAAAAAACGCGTTCGTCAAGAGCAAAGACGCTATCACCCAGATAAGTTCATGACGAGAGTGATGAGTCGATTTAAAGGATCAGAGGATGACAAACAGCAAATCATGACACGTATGAATGAAATTGCCGGATGGCTGAATGAATTATGGCAAAAATTGTAAATATGTACATCGTTTATTTTACATTATTCTATTACTCTCCAAATACGAACAATACCATCATCGCCTACTGTAGCAAGCCAGTCGCCATGTCTTTCATTAGGAAACCATGATACACCATTGATATCATATACACCATGAGCATCTTTTTCTGTTATTATGTTTTTAAAGATTGGACTGTCTTCATCCGTTGTAGCTTCTGTATCTTTTGCGAATATGCGAATTGTATTGTCACCACTGACACTTGCAATGTAATTATTTACTTTTGACCATGAGACAGAATAAATACATCTATCATGATAACCAGACAAGGTGCAGATTGTCTTCCAAGCGGCCTCTCCATTATGTGTTGGAATGCCTTGAGGATTATTTGGTTTATACATCTTCCAAATACGTATCGTTTGATCATCTGAAGCAGAGACTATTTACCATGTGTGAGTTTATATAAATATATATCTATATATTTATAATTACCCAAGTGATCGCCCGTAGCATCAAAATCTATCGACCAGACAGTCGATTGATGGCCACTAAGGGTGTCAGCACAGTACCAATCATCCTCATCCTCTTTCCAAATCTTGATTGTATCATCATAACTAGCGGATGCCAGTATTTCCAACTTGGGATGCCAAGCGACCATCTTGACATCTTGGGCATGTTCCTGTAATACACTAAGACACTCAAAATCGTTATCTGACTCAACCTCCCAGATCCAGACGCTTTTATCTCTACTACAAGTGGCCAAAAGGGCACCCGTGGCTGACCAAGAGACCGACTTGATTTCATTTTCATGTCCTTCAAGAGTAGCAACACATTCCCAATTATCTTCACGAGCATCATGTTCCCAAATGCCAGTGGTTGCATCGAAACTGGCAGTAGCTAGTTCATTTCCGGTTGGAGACCAAGCAACACTACGAATGGTACGTTTATGAGCGCCTTCAAGAGTCTCTACACATTGCCATTCTGTTGGGTTTGTGGGGGAAATGGGAGCCCACAGACGAACTGTCTTGTCGCCTGAACAAGTGGCTAATATAGTCTTGGTTGGATGCCAAGACGCTTGCCAGACGCGATCTTGGTGACCTATAATGATGTTAATGTTTACTACAGAGATATAAAAACAAAAAAGAACCTTCTAATGTAGCTAATAACTCTAGACGTGGCATAATAACAATAAAAAAAAGGATTATTTTAAAGCAAACAGAGACAATGTGTCACTGGCTGACATGATTTAATTACGCAGAAAGATGATAAGCCACTATGATAGCAGAAGAGTTCATCAAGATCTGATAGGATATGATCAATCGTTCTATATTTGCTTTTATTCACTTTCATTCATCTCATCCATGATATCAATCTTTGTTTTACAAATTGAAGCAAAAGAACTACACCTTCGATATGCCCCCTCCCCCAATCTCGGGATTGAAGTGACCCGCCAAAAAAATAATGGATCATCCCCCCTATGTTGACAGTTACTTTTGTAATACAAGTTGTTCATATGAACAAAAAGGATGAAAACATAATAAACAAAGAAACAAAGAAAAAAGACAAAGGGATAGAATAACATGAATTACGCTCTTTTCTCCTTTTTCAGTATTTAAACTTTTATGCCTACATAGCTCTCCTTTTCCCCTCCCTCTTTTTTTTAAATAAGGGAGAGGGGGGATAAAGAAATGGGTTATTGTTTGTTGATGTAAATAATAAATTAATAATAATAAAGTCATCTTTTTTCTTTTCTTTTCTTTCTTTCTTTGTTTTTTCTATAAAATGTTAAAGATGGGTCATGGTTTAAGCGATGTATATATGTTCAATAAAATGTGGAGGCATAATCATAACTTATACTTCTTATAGGTAGAGCAGTTATTCATACGTGTATCATGCACAAGATTTAGTTCAAGTACAGAAGGCATTGAAGTCTGTCGACAAGTGTACGGAGAACAAGGATTCAAGACACAGCATGTAAAAGTAGCTGATAATGTAATGATTCATTCCGAAAAAGAAATAAACAACTAACTCTCTTGATAGAATATTCATATTTATTGTTCTCGAGAATCAGGAAACCTTCACAACTCTAAAAAGAGGCCATTCAAGGAAGAGCTCAAATTACTGCTCTACAAGAGTAACCATCATGATATCTACTGGCGCATTCAGATGATATGTCCCAATACAAATTGGCCACAGATGATCAAGGAAAGAATCAATCGATTGGTACAGCAAAAAATGCAAGCAAATGAAATCCGGGAAACAATAAAATCAAAAGAATTTCCAGGTATCTTTTGGGACGATCGCTCACTTGAGGGATACATCTTGAAACGTACAAGACAAAATCAAGTGACAGAAAGAGTACAAAAGTTGATCATGGCATCCAGTCGATTATGTTCAGTAGCAGCAACAAGTGAAGAGTGGACAAGTAACGTAGAGCGCGATTTGTACAAGCTCATTTCACACTTTACAAAGATATTGGGAATACCTGTCGAGCTGTTGGAGTCGATGATAGATATTTCAGTAGATGACATACACTCTGATATTGAAAAGACACCCAATCGTGGCAACAAGAGACAAGACACAATGGAAGTAAAGATGCATCAGTCTAGAGAAGAACATCCTAATATACAGACCGTGTCTATACCAAAGCATACATTGTTTGTCAAGGATCAGTCAAGTAGATCCAGCATGATGATATCACATTCACAACATCATGAAAAGATTGAATCAAACGCATATTCGGATCATGGCATGTTTGATCTAGCAACAACAACAACAACAACAACAACACCTACCGTAGCTGCAGTATCTACTTCATCGTCATCGTCATCATCAGTCCCTGTTACTACAGTTCCATCAGTAAGAGGATATAATCAACCCTTTAGCAGTATGTATGACTATTCATTTGCTTCGTCCATGATGATGCGACCTCATATAAATTTGATGTCCCAGATGCCTAAAAGAATGCCACATAGCCATAGTAGCAATGGTAGCGATAGTAAATAATGCCTCTCCTTAATTTCACTTTAGACGCAATACGACACAGATATTGAAGTTGCTATAGTAATAATAGTATCCATTTGTTATATTTATACATATATTTTTATTTAATAAATATCGAAATTATTCAAAAGAGAAAACAATGAAATAGTTATTATGAACAAAGAGACTTTAATTTATTATAAGACCTTTCAAGGGCATCACTCTTTATATTAAATCCACTTGAATGGAATAAATCTAATACTCTTTTACCAGTATTTCTGTCTTTTGATCTATAACAATGATTAAATACGACTAACCAAGTGTCCTTTGTAGGTAACAGATTCATTTTTAACATTCTGTTCAAACAGTTATAAGCGTCATCCACTCGATTATAATTCAAAAATCCAACAATCATAAAAGTAAAAGTCGCTTTATCAGGTTCAAGTCCATTCTTTAAAATAAGTTGAAATGTCTTCATTGCCTTTAACAAATTCATTTCTTCTGTGTATCCTTGGATCAGATTAGTAAAGGTATGTACGGTTGGTTTTAATTCTTTATAGTCTTCCAACATGATATCCAATGTACGCTCAGCTTCCTTGATGTTCTTCTTCTTTATCCATTGATTAATAATCGAGTTAAATGTGTAAATGTTGGGTTGAATTCCTATCTTGTTGAGATATGTGATCATATCTTGAGCACTCCTGGGCTCTCTTGTTTCGAATATTGTGTTTATAAACGTTGTAAATGTGACAATATCTGGTTCTATATTCAGTCTAGACATATCCTTGATGATGTCGAGAGAAGAGGTAAGGTCCTTTGTGATCGTATAGCCCTTCAACATGGTATTGAATGTGACAATGTCAGGCTTAAAGTTGGATCTTATCATTTCATCATAGATCTTTCTCGCTGCCAGTAATTCATTATTGATGACGAGACCATTCACCATCGTGTTTAATATGATTTCATTGATCTGTAATTTTGGATGACTCTGTAATTCTTGAAACACGAGAAGTGCTTTTCTAGTTTCTCTTGATTTGAAGTATACTTTGATCAGTTGATTATATATAATCTCATCTATTTCATGTCCACCATAGACTGTCTGTCTGATCACTTCCTCTGCAGATAGACTGTCTCTTGAGTGTGCAAAAATATCCAACATTGTGGAGCAAATATATCCATTGGGCTTAAGTTTATCCTTTTCTATCAGTTCTGTATAATATTTAACCACATCTCTATTCATTCGTGACTCTGATAATCCTTTGATAATGATGTTGTAACTGTTGATATCCTTTTCATGCTTGTATTCATTCAACAACCACTTTACTTTGTCTACTCGCTTGTCTCTGAATAAATGTAATAAATTCGCGTTTAGAGTTTCTGCATCCTTAATTCCATGATGAGCAATCAACTGTGTCGCCTCTTTTACTATTGCTTTATTCATTGGCAAGCATCGATGCATTGTACGTTCAAAATCTCTTATATCAGCAACAACCCCCCAATGTTTACTCGATTCCAGCAATTCAATCGCCTTTTCTCTTTGATCGCAAAGCAAGTAGGTAGCTATGATCATATTAAAGGTTCCGATAGTCATCTTGATTTTGTTTTCTATAAATTCTCCTTCAAATATCTTTAAGATATCCTTGTGTTCGTCCAAAAACAATTTTGCAGCAAAGTACTCGTTATATTCTAGCACGCTCCATGTATGACCAGCTCGCTTCATATCCTCAAGCACCTTCACTACTCGTTCTTCTCCTCTCCAGGCCTTTTGTTCCCATAATCGTGTTCGAAGCGTAACGAAATCTTCTCGTTTCAGGGATTCAACTGAATTTTGTATCTTTTGGTAACTTTCCCAGATATTGTCACTATTGCTAGCGAGCCGTTGTCTGTATTGCATAATTAAAGAGTTGTTGTTGTCGGTATGACTCGTTGCTGTTGCTGTTGCTGATGCATAAGCTCTCTTTGGAAACTGTCTGCTTATGTTGCATGAACTAGAATAAATCCCTCTTTTACTGCATGCTTTGATAAATCGATGCATCATTGAAAACCTGTCAGAAATCTTGCCAGGGCACACATTTTTTTTGACTTAAAAAAAGAAGCCCAAATTTGGCAGTCACTGCTCGCCAATGCTGTTTAAAGGGGGAAAAGAGGAAGAAAGGAAAGAGAAAGAGATAGCGATGAGGGGAATCCTCTTCAAGTGCATGACAAAAAGCATCAATATATAAGAAGTTATGAGAATAGAAACTTTTAAGGAATACTCGCTAATCCAAGAGATATTCATGTTAGAGCGGGGAGGAACAGCCGGCAAGCGCGGATCTGCGGGCTATTATGAACCAAGGAACAGAACTCAGCAGTTATTCAAATATAAATGCAGGTGTTCTTATTGTTTTGTTTCATCTCTCTCTTTCTCTCATTTGAAGATGGTCTCATTCATGAAGAAAAAACTAGGCGAGTTAGCGGGTATGGGCGATCCTAGCTTACTCCCACCTCCTGAGTACCTTTCGGAGGAGGACTGTTTGAATTGCTCTGAACCTTGCTCTGATCATAAAGAGTACCCTTCTTATCTAAATATTGAGAAGGACTTTCCTATTTTGGGCTCTGTTAAGCCTTATGGTCGACATATTATCATTGCTACTGGTTCATCTGACTGGCCAAAGCATATTGAAAGCGACAGAAATTCATTCGCCGCCAGTCTGTATCAAGTCGAATGCAATTCCAGATCACAGCAGTCATGGAAGAACTTGGTAACGAACTCGAATATGGTTTCCACTTACTCCACACTACCTGATGCATATGACATCCTACTGTATCCAGACAATATTCTGATATCCAATGTCACGCAAGACAAGGCTCAAGATTTTTATGATATCTTTATAAATACCCCTTTACCAACATCACCGATCAATATAGAAGAGATGATGAAACATGAAAAGATAGGTGATATGAAGGTCCAAAGGTCTCCCTACAAATCTACTCTACTGCTTTGCTCTCATAAAAAGAGAGATAAACGTTGCGGTGTTACTGCTCCTATATTGGCTCAAGAATTAGATCATATCTTGAGAGAGAAGGGACTCGATGAATATGATGCTGCTATTATCATGGTTAGTCATATCGGAGGCCACAAGTTTGCTGGAAATGTTGTTTGTTATATAAACGAAGGCTCCAAGGGTATCTGGTACGGAAGAGTCAAGACATGCCATTCTGCCGCTATTGTGGAAGAAACGATAATAAAAGGAAAAGTGATCAAAGACCTCTACCGTGGCGCCATGGATAATAGCTTTGAAAATCAACAGAAACGATCTGTTTTAAAGTGGTAAAATAAATTTGTATGTAAATAAACTTGAAAGTATTCTCTTGAGACGCGTCTTTAGTAGTTGATTGTCAAGTTTACTTTAAAAAAGTAAAGCAGTAATAAGTATGCAAAATCTAGTTGTATAATACATCATTTTATAAGTGTTCTTAATTTATCAAAGAATAAATGTAGAGCGTCAATAGGCTCCTTTTGGATGTATCTTTATGCTTGTAACTCTGTGAGTCTAATTTTCCTACAGAATCTGTTTGTGACTGCGTTTCACCGTGGCACCTCAACTGGGCCGTCTCTGAGACTTGCTTTTCTCAATAAAACCCAGGTTCCTGTAGCGAATTTTTAAACCCTCGCTTTCAACCATGTCAAGCTCCTTATTCAAAACAGTTTGCCAACATGCGACTCCTTTATTTAGAATGGCACCTGCATGGACTCGCTCCATGAGCAATGTGACTATTGTTCCAAAAGACGATGTTGTCAGCCAATTAGTAAACACACTCATGAGAGATGGCAAAAAGGCCAGAGCACAACGTTTAGTCAATGACAGCATGAATCACCTTTCAAAAAAGATTGGAGAAGAAAAAGATCCTTATAATCTCTTACGTGAAGCTATTGAAATTGCCTCTCCCTTATTAAAAATATCAAGCCAGAAAAAGGGATCCAAAGTGGTCCATGTGCCTACACCATTAAGAGATCGTCAACGTCGTCGTCGTGCTATTGTTTGGATGTTGGAAGCTGCATCAAAAAGAGGAGAAAAGACATTTGAAGAAAGGTTTGCCTCTGAAGTGCTTGATGTTACTGAAGGAACTAGCACTGTTTTACAAAAGAAGTTACAAGTACATAAACAAGCTTTGGCTAATCGTGCCAACGCTCAAGTATCTTACGGCGGCCAACGATAATGGACAATAAAACACTGTATAGAAAAGAAAAAGATGTAATAAACATGTTTAAAAATGACCCATCAAGCAGACCAAAAGAGAAAGGATTAATCACCTGTTTATTTTTTATTTTTTCTTTTTCTTTTATTTTTTTTTGGCTGTGTGTGAGTGATGTATGCACGTTTTGAGTCATAAAGTAGAACAAATGCGAAGGAGAGCATATAAACCATCACAAGATGTACCGTATTTACCTCAACCTTCCTATTTGATTTGATTAAGCATGTCCCACAAGGCTCTTAATCCGACTCTGATCATGTACACATGTGACTAATATCTAACCTTGCGTAAAACTATAAAAACGCGACTTTTTCCTCGCTTTTTTTCTTTTCTTTCCTCCCCCAGAAAACTTTATTTTCAAGACAAATCAAAAACATGCAAAACAACGACGGCTGCTGCGGGTAAGTTTTAGAGGTGAATGATGAAGGGTGTTAGGTCTAAGGGTTCTTAATAGAAACTGTGGTGACAAATGTACCTGTGCCTCCTGCTCATGCAAGAAATAAATGCTCACAAGCTCTCTCTTTAACTTTGAAAGAAAAAGATCAAATCTTGCAATTTTTTCTTTGTAATAAATACTTAATTCCTTGCCACCCTTGGGTGACTCAAATCCTGTCTTTTATAAATATCTTTCAACTTTATATATTTGACAAGACACGTCTGTCGCGTTTAAGCCACTTAATAGGGCAGTAAAGTATCCAATGGAGACTTTTTGCTGTAACACTAAGCATAGTAGTCATTGTCATTTGGAAGAAAACATAGGTGGCTGCCATGAAAACGCCTTTACCATAGCATAGCATTAACCAAGTAAATAAGGCCTATAGTAAGGTTTTTATATACAGCGCTCACTGTACCAATTTATGATCATCAACATTTGTTTATGCTAACCACTCTTTTGAAGTGGTAAAAGTTAGTATACCTTTAATGAAAGCACTCAGGGTGAGAGTATAGAAGTTGAGAGGTTTGGGGGCAGAAGACTTTTTGAATTCAAAGAAGGAGACAAATATCGCTGGGTTTTTGATCAGCTTTATGCTTCTTTCAAGCCGGAGCTTTCATTAAAATTTTAACACTGCTTGAAGAAATAAATGTTTTACCTTCATGATCAAAGGTATAGCTAATGCTTTTAATGTTTTCACAAAGCAGTTCAAGTCAGAACCAATTTCATTGTTTTTTTTACCTATTCAAGCAACAGATGTATCCCCTTGAGATGATTGAGCGTGATGAACTCAATGACTAAAGCTAGTACCGGTTGTCTTTAACAAAAAAAGAAATTATAAAAATGCTTACCACTTCGTAGGTGTACACTACGCGCGTGAGGAAATTCATGAAGAGGTCAGTGCTACAGGCTCTACCAGTGAAGTCGTCAACAAACCTTTTCACTATGTAGTGCCATGTTAAGCTTGTTCAGAAAAAGATGTCTTTCCATGTTTCTTGATGTAGAATACGAATTTATTTTTTTTGTTTCTTTCCAAGAAGAAAGAGATAAAAATGTGGCTATTTTATGTCACAAAAGAACCAAGATCATTCAAGTGTAACTATGATAAATCTACATTTTACATCAAAGAGTGAACTGGACAGTCTTGGATTAGATAGTGACTTTGGTAATATAAAGCTGTAAAGTGACATCACAGGTGAAGCCTAGAGGAAGCGCTTGTAGCACTAGTCTTCTCGTGTGCCGTAAATGGTACCGTGAGCACTGTATGCACATGTGTACATCTATATATTTCAAGCGATTTAAGCTTCAGCAATGTGATATGGTTGCACAAGTTTTTATCTAGACTCTTCGCAAAGTAGGTGTATTAAAGCCAGCAATGGATGGGCTAAGCTTAGAAAGAATCTATAGTTACGCCAGAAGTATGCTCTATTTTGTTGTTGATTGTACAAAGGAACAATAAAGCGAAAAGAGTAAACAAAATGATAAATAAATTTTTATAAAAAAAAGGAGGGGAATAGAGCGTAGTTTATTATTATGCAATGAATGTTTCAAGATTTTTAATATATCAACAATGAGACACATAGTCCTCCTTGGACTTTACAGAGCCTGTGCACCAGCTCCAATGATAGTCGATCTACGCTTAGTGGGCCTTGCTGGCGTTGGTGTTGGTGTGAATGTACCATTTAGTATTTTTTCGAGGTTAGCTTCACTCAAATAAGTTCCTGCATTGGACGCTTTTCTTAATGTATTGACAAGTTGGCGCATTTGAGCATTTACAGCTGCCGTTTCTTCGGTACGTTTTTGTATCAGTTGGCTTTGAGTCTCATTCATCTGTTCTAGCTTACTCTTGGCATCCAATGCTGCGAGTTCTCTACGTTTCAATTGTTGTATTTCTCGTTCATAACATATGGCTGCTTCTCTAGCACTATCTGCCTCTACCTTTAGACTCTTTGTCAGCTGTTTCTTTTGTGTACGCAGTCTTTCTATATCAGTTTGTAGTTGACGGATGATTGAATCTGATTTCACTCGTGCTGTACGATTGGCTTGGGTCAATTGTGTATTCTTTTTACGCAACTCTTGGTTTTCGGCTATCAAATGCTTCAACTTGACTTCGTACTGAGACCGCAGCTCTTGGGCTTGCTTATTCTCTCTTAATTGCATCACGCTCTGAGGACGTTCTCTCACGGGGGGACTTATGCCAGAGGGTGCAACCTTTTGCTTCAGGGCTGCATCCCTTTCTTTCTGTATTTCTAAAAGATGCTCCTTGAGTTCGTTCAGCTTGCCTTCGTAATTTGTTCTCATCTGCGTGTACAGGTCCTCTGTCTTTTCTAACTGTCCCACGAGCTCTTTTTTGACCAAAAGGTCTGCCTGAACCTGGTGGAGCATTTTTAATAGTTTCTTGTTGTGTTTTCTATCATTCTTTAGCTTGTTGTAGCTAGTGGATGCTGTAGTTGTTGGTATATCGGCTGTACTCGAATTGAGATAGGAAGTTGTGATTGAACTGTCTGTGTCATCCCACATGGAATCAACAGATATGGATGATCGCTTAATTAGGTCACCTTTGGATTCATCAGACCAAGCAGGTACTTCCTATCCTCATATATATTCATCAATGATATGTACATGCGTATTATATCTAATGAAACTTACAAGAGCTTCTAATCTATCCTCTTCATCATCAAATAGAATATCTCCAGAAGGAGACGATGGACAAATATAAGGAGGAGGTGAAGGAAGACGCATGTGCCTGTTATTCTCGTTAAAGTCTTCTTGTCGAGAGGAAGAAGATAAAAAGCTTTCAAGGGTCGCTTCGACGCTGTCATGCAGTATAGTTTCATCTGTGGACTGTGATCATAAAGTTGCATGTGTGCTAAGTAAAATTTAGAATCAACAAAAACGCCCCTCCCTTTCTTTCCCCCCTTGTTTTTATATTTCTCTATTTTTAATTATATTTCTTCTTATATCATATTTACCTTGTCATATTCTTTTTGTAACAGGCCGATAAATTCGTCAATGTTGTTTTCTAAACCTTGATGGTTCTTCTTGTGCTTATGTACAGGCGAGAATATTGGCTTTATTTTTATTGAGTGCTTTCTCTTAATAAGACGTCGTCCTGTAGATGTTGATGCATGATGTTGTTGTTTCATACTATGTTTCTTTAGGTCATGAAGGTGACTAGTTGACGAAGAATTTGAGATTCGTTTGCTTAGCGATGTTTCGTTCAAGGCGTTATTAGCCGCTTCAAATTTCATTTGCGTTTCAACCACCTGAAGTTTCAGGGCTTCCACTTGAGAGGCATAATCTTGTATAATAGGGTGTGGTTCAATGTTGCCCTGAGCACTGTTTAACTGCAATGCTAGTGTATCTTTTTCACTTTTAGTTTGAACCAATTCATTCGTCAAGCTACGAACATAGGTCCGAATGGCATTCATTTCTTCCTTCAACACCTTCACTTGATCTTCCAACGTGTGGTTGCTGTTTATATCGCTTAGTACAGATACCTGCATCTTGAGTCGAGCGACTTGTGTTCGTAAATAACGTAGCTCGTCAGCACTTCCTTCGTTGTACTCGTGGTTTATCTCGACTCTGTTTTGAATATTGCGTGCTCGGTTGGCGTATTTTAACGTATTGAGCGTTTCTGCGTAATCTGATTCTGAAGAACTGACGCAAGCTAACATAAGTGTATTGCTATTCCCTCCTAAACTATCCTGTAATAATCGAGTTAACTTGCTATCCCTATAGGGTATATGTGGTTGTGGTACGATGGAGGAAGAAGTAGATATTCTTCTCTCGGCCAAAGCTGAAATAACGTTCCCCAAAGCTAATAATCCAGAGTTGATTGATATACCCTCTTTTTGTCGATCGCCTAAAGCGTTTGTTTTTTTGAGCTAAAGAAAAAGTAATTAGGTTATGGTACATACTCCCTATTATATCTTTTTACTCTTTCTGAACCTGCCAGGTCCACAAAATGAAACTTTGAAACAAGACGTTTAATTGATTCACTATCATCTACTACTTCTTTCAAAGCCTCTTCATCCTTAAGAAATTGTTGCTTTAGTATGACAGAAAAGATGGCATGAGAACGAGAAGAAGAGGCGTTTAATTCAGTCGTTCCTGTAGTTCTATGCAGAGAGCCCCTCTTTAGGCACCTAGAAACTATACATTACAGAAAAGATAAAAAAATCATTTTTTATCTTTTATTACCTTAATAACTCTTCAGCTGTTTGTACATTTTCCTCTTTAACATTTGCCCAGTAAATCCTTCCCTGTGTGTTTTCTCTTATAGATGGGTGCTGTTCGGTATCATTTTTTGTAGCTAATAGATCATTAATCTCTTCATTGTATAATTCAAGGTAGGAAAGATAGACTTGATAATTGTAATCCTCTGTCTGCTGCTTCATCATTCCAAAGAGTGAGTGAGCAAAGCGATGGATGATACCTTGATTGTCTGAATTTAGATAAGGTTCTGACCCGGTCCCCATGCTATAGGTTTTTCCAGAACCTGTTTGTCTACATAATTTCTCATGAATAAAAAAAAAATAACACCAAAGGTTCATTTAATAAATACCCATAAGCCAAGACAGTTACGTTCTTTCTGTTGAAAGCAGGAAATAGGGAAACGGAGTTAGGTTTCACTCATTTTTCAGGCACAATTGTTTCTTAGCTTACCCTTCAATAAAGCTAGTCAACAAAGGAGGAATACTAGATTCATAAACTTGCTCTTGTGTTGCGTGGGAAGGATAAACAAAGTCAAAGTGAAAGGTCCTGTCAGTTCCTAAGTAGACTGTGTTTCCGTCATCGGCTATTTTCAAGCATTCCTTTTCGTCATTCTGAGACGGTCTGATCCTCAATGCTACTCTGAGAGAGAGAGAGAGAGAGAAAAAAAAAAGCCATGTTTGTCAGCATGTCAAAGGATTAGGTTGTCATAGTTACCTGACTGCTGTCGTTGTCATTTAAAAAAAATACAGAAAAAGAAACAAAAAATATTCTTTCAATAAGCTGGGTTAAACGATTAAGAAGGGAAATTGTACAACAGTGGATCACTGATTTGCATTGTAAATACGTTTGCATAAGTTATGCAGATATCATTATTGAACTTTATTCAATAGATCTCTTAGCAGCTTAGCCTCATTTTCCATCTCCAAGATGCTTCTATTTTCACGATCTTGACTGTCTCTGCACCAATCTATAAATCTTTTTGGTATTAGATGTAGATGAACATGTGGAACCTAGAAAGGCTTTTTTAGTAAAGGTGCCTTGACTTGTGTTCATTTTCAATTACTGTTTGACCAGCGTCTATTCCATCTTGAAATAACCATACTAATCCTTCCTTTGTTTCAGGATACAATTGCGATATCGCTTTACTTATGCGTCTTGCTGAGAGAGTAAGATCAATTATCTACGCACGTGATGAGTTATTGCTCAAACGGAAAAGAATGATTGTACCTCTTTCTCAAGTAAATCAGAGTATCGAAGCGTCATACGCTTAGGAACAACTAATACATCTATATTACACAAGTTACTTTATAATTTCATAATCAATAACGCGCATCACGCCTACGGCCACTATTTTAATCATAATAAGCAACTATTTCAATACTGTAAAAAGCAGTTTTACAAAGAGATAGGCTTCAAATTGACTAAGCCTACAGTGTGCTCACTTTCATAAAACACCTCTTTTTCGGAAATGTTGAGATTTCCAAATCTGAACATGTAGAGAAGCAGAGAGAGAAATTATAAATTAATGTTCGGGGGTAAAATATCATTTTGATGAAAATGTTTGACTATATAAAAGCTTATCTTTTTGTTCTATAATGTTAACCAAAGAATTCTTTATTTTATCTATGATTTTCTTGCTTTCTTTGAAAGCTTAATCTTGCCTTCCTGACGCTTCTTTTCTTTATCAGCAAGCTGTTGTGCACTTTCTAATTTTCTCTTCTTTGATGATTTCTCGTTCTTTACACTTATCACCGAATTAACTCCACTTTTCTTTCCAGAAGATAAGGACTTTACTCGTTGTTCGGCTGCTGTCCAATCGTCATCTGTACCTCCAATAGCATATTTTGATAGATCAAGAGAGTCAATCAACTCTCTTTGCTTGGATTTTAATTCATCCAGCACTTCATTACCAGCCTTCGCCAAATCTTCATCCACATCCTCCGCCAGTGGTTGCCATGCCTCTTCGTCTGCTATATCACGTTTACCACTCTCATCACTAGTCTCTTTTTTAGATGGCTTGGGAACAGACGCTTCAATTGCTTTTTCTTCGACTTTTGTAAAGTACTGAGAGAACTTTTTCACAATCTTTACAAATAAGGCCAAAACTTGGTTGCTTGCCAAAGATAACTCTTTTTGAAGATCATCTACAGATTTACGTTGCAAACCGATACCAAGTAAAATAGCACTTTGAACACCTGAAAGCTTGATATCAGCAGGCATCTCGCCTCTAAAGTAAAGCTCAGCAACGGTAGGAATCATATCAAGAATAACATGATAGTCGACCATATTGTTAGCATAAGATTCTAAACGCTTCAAGTCATAAGGACTAAACAGTGTATTCAATCTTTCCTTGTCCAATTGCTTTTCTCCTTCGGCTTCAGGGTCTTCACCTTGCTTTGCAGCATCAAGAACGCTGAGTGCATTGACTGCAGTAAAGTCGCGGAAGTTGTATGAGAGTAAGTGGATGAAACGCTTTGAGAAATCGCGAGCAAAAGCATCCAACCATGCTGAATTTGCTACACGAGCATCTTGAGTATCTGTTAATGCTTTGATCATCACGCAGGTATGCTCTCCTGTCAAATCGTTGGCAGTTTGACGCATGTACAGAGGAACAAAGCCAGCACGCTTCCAGAATTTGTGAAGAGCAGGAGTAAGACCATAAGAGACACCGAGATAATCAAGACGATGAGAAGGTTTTTCACTGATTTTTGTAAGAAGAGCTGGCATCTTGCTAGGATCACGGACCTTGATTTGCTCTGTCTTGATGTTTGCATTTTCCAATTCATAATCTTCAACACGAGGCAATGCATCTTCCTCTAAGCCAGAGCTTTCGCTCAAGCTAGAGACCTTTCCTTGATAGAAGGATGTGAGGAGTTCGAGCGCTCTAGAGCCATATCCCATCTTTGCATAGTCTGGATGTGTGGCAATTCGGACGACACGAGCACCGGACAAGCTTGCAAAGTCATCATCTTGGTATTGCTGAGCAATCAACCAGGGGATCATATCGCCTGCAGGACGCTGACCGCGAGCAAGAGAGTTCATGACAGTTTGACGAGAAATCTCACCTTCGAGACAGACTTGAATAACAACCAGAGGATCAGGCAAGCTACTAGTCTTTTCGTTTACTGGGGGAAGCAATACGAATAGATGATGTGCGGGCGCATCACTCATTAATTGTAAATCATTAGGTGAGTTCTTGTAGTGACTTGCTACATAAAGAGACATCATACGTTGTAAGAATGTTTCCGAAACAGGGTGATATGAGAATAGCGTATCACGGTTGACATAATACAGCTCACATTCTGAGGGATGAGGACAGCCTTGGATGTTCTTGGAAACAATGTTGGCATCCAAGCAGAGAACCTTGTTCAACCATTTCTCAACTGGATCGTTAGGAGCATAACGAATAGGCTCTTCAAGTTTGACTTCTTTCAGAGTACGGCCGCCTAAAGACATGGAGCCTTCGGTCTTTTTGACTTCCATGTTTCGTCCTACAACAATTCCATCTGCATCATCATCTGTCTTCTTTCCAACAATACCTCGTGATTGTTCACGTAATTGTTGAATCAGCTTCAAAGAAAGAGAGCGGCCGGTACCTTCATAACCGTTGATAGTGGAAGCCATAAAGACAAGGTACGGTCCCAAGAGCTTACGTACCAGAGGTAAAGGAATAGCTGCAGCTTCATCAATAACAACCAGTTCAGCTTGACCAAGGACGTGTGCATCTTGAGGTTGAATATATTGAATTGTTTGACGATGTTGTTTGAATATGTTCACTCGGACAATGGCCTTGTTGAATTCAGGGTTGGTGGACTGCACAATATCGTAGTCAAGATGTTCTTCATAGCCAAGTGCATCAAAAGTTTTAAATACGAATTCGAATAACGTCTTTAAATTTTCAGGGCTGGGTGATGTAACAAAGATGTTGGAGTATCCATATGCAACAGCTGATGCCATAGCAATACCAAGAGCAGCAGACTTACCACGACCACGAGCAGCCGTTAAAGCAACAGTGCTGCGAAGTGATTTTTCAGAAATAGCTTCAATAAAGGTCAAAATTGCCTTTGCTTGATCAATCGTGCGAGCGTTCTTGACAAGAGAAGCTACAGGTTCTGTTTCCTTTAAAGATTCCTTTAGCTCTGCAAGTTCGATTTCTTCTGGGGATTGTTCATCTGATGCTTTCACTGCGAGAGGCTTCACATTCTTGCCCATGCTGATTGGCAAAACATTTAACTCGTCATCCACAACCAAACAAGTTTCGCATGAGGTGAGAGATAAGATGAAGCGTTCGTTAAATCGAGCAACAACATCGCTATGCGCTTCAGTACGATATCTACTATGCACATCCTACATGGAACTGTCAGGGATACATATGTTGGTTTGGGCTACTGTTATTCTTACCATGGTCATTGTGTATAACTGCTTAAGAGAGCTCATGCTTTTCAATAAGAGTACGACCATACCTCCACCTTCGACAGTTTCAATAGTACGAGCCAATGTATTTGGTGTGATTGCTTCGAAATCTTGGAGAATACACATTCCATAAGTATTACCGAGAATCTTTTGTGTTTCTTTATAATATGCATAGCGAATATTGGTAACAGTAATGAACAGCTCAAAGGGATCTTCTTGATTAACTTCTCTGATTCCTCGTTTAATATCTTTTTTGATTTTAGCTTCACGCTTCTTTCGATGGCTGGAAAAGAACAAGTTAATATGTGCAAAGCTGACTCTAATATATTATTTCTTGTACCTTGTGAAGCCAAGTTCTTTCTTATAACACCATAATACCGAAGGACGAGAGGTGACTTGGGCTTGAGATAAAAGCCAATGTAAGTTTACGACCTAAGCTGTCAATTAGTTTTTTGTTGATCTTGATCAAAATAAAACTCTCTACCTGATCTCTTCCTTTATCACCAACAATTACAAAGAACGATCTATGCTTTGTTTGCACACAGTTTTTGATAAGTGTATGTACACGAGAATCAACAACTTTCTTGACCATTGAATAAAAAGAGGCTGATTATCACAACTATGGGAAGGAACAGTGGGGCTTTTTGCATTTTTACTTTGCAAGCGACAGGTGGCGCGGAATGAATCAAGTAAAGCCTGTCACAATAACTTCCAATTATGGTAATGGCTTTCAGGGCATACAGCACTTTCTTTATGCATCCACTGCAAAGCAGATTTGGCTAAATAAACCAATCAACATCATAAAGATCAACAGAGAGAGAATGTGTGTGACATGAGCTTATACTTTTGTATAAAAAGAAAATCAAAAGTCTCTCTTTCTGTTATTTGGTTCCAAAACAATAAAATTTTATTACAGAAAAATAGAAATTACATATATTGTTAATTGCACAGCATAACGAGGCGCGTAAGGGTCTTCTATCACCTAGTTACAGGTCCAGAAATTCATATGAGAGCAAATTATACGACTAGAGTGCAATGTAAAAATTATCTACCTCCACTGTGTCGTATTTGTAATATGCTAAAGATTTGCATAGCTGAGTTGAATTAGATCTGTTAAAGCACAGCCAATTGACCATACTTCTTTCACAAACCAAAATGACAAGCAGCCTAACGAAATTCGATACTGGTCATGAGGATTTAATACACGATGTAGCCTATGATTTCTATGGAAAGAGGCTTGTCACTTGTTCCTCTGATCAGAAATTAAAAGTATGGGACTTTGTAGAACGTGAGGATTGCTCAGTTTGGGAACTAAGTGACTCCTGGAAAGCCCATGACTCGTCCATTCTAAAGGCAATTTGGGCCAGACCAGAGTATGGCCAAGTCATTGCTAGTTGTTCCTTTGATAGACAAGTTAAGATTTGGGAAGAACAGCCAACAGGTAAGATGTCAATGCAAGCTGATGGGTGTGAACCATACACACACGCGCTATGAATGCATATGCCAACATTGATACAATTTTCTTTAAAAAATAAAGAGCCTAGAAACAGTCAAAAGAGATGGGTTGAAAGGTTTCGACTGGTTGAATCAAGAGGCGCAGTACTCGACATATCATTTGCCCCTACACCAAATTCGTTACGATTGGTATGGTACTCACAGCTATCTGCCGTCGTTTTATATGTATTTATTGTTTATTCATAGGCCACTTGCTCTTCAGATGGTATAGTTAGAATATATGAAGCGCTGGAGCCGACAAACCTCGCCCAATGGTCACAAATGGAAGAATTTGAAATATCTTCATCTATCCCCAACACACCACCAACAGGACAGCAGCCGCAAGGTCAGCAAGCGTTACCTCAACCACAACCACAAGGTCAGATTCAACAACAGTTGCAACAGACTTCGCCCTATCAATCCCAACTCCAGCAACAGTTCCAACAGCTGCAACAACATCAATCTCAACTACAACAACAGTTGCAGCAGTATCAGCCACAATCACAGCATCCTCAGCAACCTGTCAATACCAAAAGTACAAGTTCCAGCGGAAGTTCAATAAAAAGTCATGGTTTATCTACACCGGGCGTGCCTGATGTATCTACGATGACAAGTACAACTGCAGGATTCATTCAGGGAATATCTCCTAGCTCGACAGCAGGCATAGGGGAACAGACAAATGCAGGTAGTATTCATCGTCCGATTGATGCCGATAGCGGATATTGCATTGATTGGTGTCCCAACAGATCGAATACAGCCATGATGGTCGCGGGACTGGGTAAAGAGAAAGGGGCAAGAGTAAGTAAAGGGAGTATATGCTTTAAATGGGTTATTAAAAACGACTTTAGATATTTAAACATGATGGACACAATAGATGGATACCAGGAGAGATACTACCAGGACATACACTAGAGGTTCATGATGTCAGTTGGGCACCTAATTTAGCAAGATCTTATCAACTAATAGCTACTGCATCCAAGGACCAGTATGTTAGAATTTACAAGATAACAGAATCTACACAGCTGACTCAGCAACAAAGGGGAAGCAGTAGTAATCGAATGCCTATATCACCTGCTGGAACACCTACACAACAACAGTTGAATAAACCACTCAATGTTGAACTCATTGCATCTTTTCCTGATCATAAGGCAGAGGTGTGGAGAGTTGAATGGAATGTTACTGGAACTATCTTATCTTCATCTGGAGACGATGGTAAACTAAGGCTTTGGACAGCAGGTTATGATGGAAAATGGAGACAAATGGCCACAGTGACAGCAAACCAACAAGCCCTACCATCAACATAAGCATATACCACAATAGTTTTATTCTTTTTATGAAATAAGATCGTATATATACATGATATTATGATGCATGACTCCTCTTTCTCTGTTTATTGGGATTATTCTCTACTCTGACTGCAAGTTCATCCCCGTTTGTATCATTGTATCTTCACTGATAATATTACAAGGTCAAAAGATGTTCATAGTTTCACATTCGTTTGCCTTTTCTTGTTTTAATGTCATAATCTATGTCACTTTGTTCTCTGTACTTCTTGAATAATTTTATCCTTTTATGATGCGCCTTGCCAGGGCTATGTGAGAAATGATAGTCTTCATTAGGTTCAGGTTCTTCTTCTTGATCATCCTCATCACTCAAGAGTTCACTAAAGTCTGCTATACTACTGCTATCATCATCCTCTTCGCTCTTTGTTGCTTTTGGTGATTTATTTGGCTTTGCAGCATCTTTGCGCGGCCTTCCTCTCTTACGATTTACAGCTTGACTTTCTTCAGAAGCAAATGCTTTAGGTGGTCTTCCTTTCTTCTTTGCCTGAACCTTATCGTTTTCCAGTGGTGTCTTTCGTGGCCTGCCTCGTTTCTTCGAACCAATCTGGGTATTTTTCTTTGTGCTAGAAGTCTGGAATGGGTGCTCTCGTCTGGACCGTATCGAAATAGGTTCTTTAGCTTCTTCTTTAGTCTCTTTTTTAGGGGTCTTTCTTGGTCTGCCTCTCTTAGAGCCTACTTTTGGGTGGCTTTCATCAAAGTTAACTGTAGCCTTTTGCTTCTTTTTATCTGTTTGCACTTTAGACTTCTTTTTGTCCGTTTGCGCTTTAGGCTTCTTTTCATTTATTTGCGTCTTAGGTTTCTTTCTTGGTCTACCTCTAGTGGCCACTCTGATAACAGGTGCTTTTATTTCCTTTGGAGCGTGTTTGCGAGGTCGACCTCTTTTCCGAGGAGGGGTTGATTCATTTACTTGTTCTTTTTTCTCAATCAGTGTTTTAAGAGGTCTTTCTCTTTTTTCAATCAGTGCTTTAAGAGGTCTTTCTCTTTTTTCAATCAGTGCTTTTGGAGGTCTTCCTCTTTTCTTTCCTACGCTTGCTGTAGGTGCTTGTATTGACTGTTGCTTTTTAGGCCTTCCTCTTTTACGTCGAATTATTCCAGAACTAGGATCATTGTCACTTGCCTGCTTTGTCATTGCTTACAAATCCTTTTGTGGTTTTTGTTTTATCAAAAGAAAAAGAGAAAAAGTTAAAATGAGCAATTTCAAAAACACCAACGGAGTCCGTTTTGCTTTGGCATTTGCAGCCTTTGTATGAGTTTCAATCGCGAAACTAACCAATGGTTAGTCTACAATAGAAAGTAACAAGTCAATTTCAAAATGTTTATTAATTATTTCCAAAGAAACGCGTCATGACACTTAGATAGTGTGAGTTTATGGTATCTCTTTCATTTTGATATAACGTCATCAATGATCCCATAGATGCCATAAATAATAGAATGTCACCATGTGGAACACTCTTGACGAGTTTATTCTTTTGTAGAGTTCTCCATAAGGATTCTATTGCTCTTGGTAAACAGTAAAGTCCGAGTTCTGTAAAATGATTAAAGACTGTAATTGTTATGCTGTAATACTATTTACCTAGTTGACGTCCAGGTGCTTCTATCATGACCATACTACCACCTACTGCTCCTGCAGCAGCATAGATCCAAGGCGATTCTCTATTAAGCAAACGACGTAGGGTGCATGGTGTGCATAAACCAGCAACTACATACATGGTTAAAAATAAGCAGGATCTGAAGCATGATAATATAAACTTTTGCAAAACATGCTTGGGACTAAATGACGAGTATTAGCACAAAATTTTACATAATATGCTTATCATTATTATTATTATTTACTCTGTCGTAAATTGCTTGGATTTAAAGACAACGAGCATGATCTAGATACAAAATTATTCAGTAACACGTAGATATGCCTCGTTAATATGTGTGGTTACTTACAATGTTAAGTGGAGCATACAATTTGAATGATCGCAAGAATTCATCCATGAAAAGGCTAACTTTATCCCCTGAACAAGAATCATTATGTGGATGCTGAATTCCACACATAATATACTTGTGATGAAGCTTGGGGCGCATCATGTTTCCAATATTTGGGCTAACATTTTGCAAATAGAATTCTCGTGAAGTGAGGCTGTCTGGTATCGTAATCGGTGATCGATCCTCCACAAGCTGGTTCACGGTTAATCCCACTGCCTCTGCGGCTGGAGCTGCCATTCTACCAAAGTTATTTTTGAATCCACCATGGGTTAATAAGAACGAAAAGTAAGATCTTGGTAATGTATCATGTTGGAATAAAAATGCATAAATAAGTTGCGCGTTTGCGATCATCATGACTGCCACTCCAGAATGCTGCTGAAGAAAGTTTGCCAAATGGTCATCCCATTTAACTTGATCGGGATGCATCGCTTTACGTCTCTTCGCCCACTGTTTCATCAGCCATGATCCATTAAATTGAAGTGCTCTTGTGAATAAATAGAGCATTACAGACTGTCTTCGACGCTTGTCTCTATCAAATGCCAGGGACAATCCTGCTACACACCCTGCTACAAATGCATTGAGTTTATCTGATTCTTTATCTTGGGTCTTTCTAAAATGTCTCATTGCGCACAAGATTCCTTTATAGCCACTGATAAATGAGCCAAGAAATAAAGCAAAACACATCGTATCTCTAAAATAAGCTTAGTAAGCACATACATATTTATCTGTATTCTTTAGTAAATACCTTCCTGCCATTTGCTTTAAAATACCAGGTCTAAAAATATCATTAAAATCATGCATAGCGTATGCGCCTTTATTACGTTACCTTTTTATTATCTTTCCAGTCAAAAGGCTCGGTAAGATAGCAATTAAATACTTTACTGTAAACGCAACACTGAACGCCTTTATAAAACCTCTTGTACAGTTTTGTGTACAAGTTTTTCCCACATGACGACATAAACTAGGTTTCTCTGCCTCTGCAGCTGTAATTTCGAGATTAAGTCGACGAAGATTTTGACTATAAATTGACATTAGAAACTTTCAGGCCATAGGCAAGACAAACCATTCACCTGCTCAATCGCCTAAGTTTCTCTTGAAAAGAACGTATGGACGCGATAACAGCTTCAGTTTCTTGATCTGTAAGTAATTTCGAAACTATTTGTGCCAAGCTTTCCAGAAAGTTTTCATAGTAAGAAGCAGGAATAGGAGGCCCTCCTCCACTACCGAGTGCTGACATGTGTCAATAAATAAAAGAGAAAAGAAAGACAAAAGAAAACAAAAAAGCATTTATTTTCTCATCACATGATGCTTATAGAGTCAATTTAGCCCGCCAAGTGATGTGCTACCCCATACATTTCTCTGGCGAATGGTCTGTGCTCATTAGTAACAATAGGAGACTATTTCTTCTTACGTGTACTCTTTTGGCCTCATTTGGTATTAAATAAAGGCAAGCAATTCCCTTTGAAAACATTGTGCTTCCAACTCTCGAAACTTGAATAGTTGTTATCATTGCTATTTTAGGCCGTGGACGTCTTTTCAATAGTATCCCTTTATCCCATATCAAATGCCCCACATTGGATAGCAAACAGGCCTTCTCCTTTTTCTTTCCTAATAGTATAGTCATCCACTCGTAAAGAGAACCAAGATGCGATTATGCAACAGAAAACAACTTTTTTCACTCGTATAAATAAGATTGGAATACACATTTTGCCCAAAATGATTTCGCCAGAAAAAAAAAGTATATCCAGGAGAAGTTGTCAGGACACCTGAAGGCTGGCCATTACCATGCCTCTCTTGTATATATACCTGGTCACACATTCATATACATTGTCCATTATGCCTCCCATTCTCCATCTTAGATCATCTGCTGCTCCTTCTTCATAAACTTTCTACGAGCCCTCGGGTTTCCCAAAGGTACGCTGATTATTGTTGGCTTTATTGGCCAATCACCTGTTCCATTCTTTCTGACACATATCAGCTCCAATAAGGTTGCTTTCTCAAAGAAACCAAATAAAATATGATCTATTCAATCAGCTACTCTTGCCATTATTGTCAAACAAGCCATGCAAAAGGCTGAAACCAACATGAAAACATATAAACCACACTTTAGTTGATTATCAATATTTTCCTCCAACTTGATAACATGTAATAATACATAAAATGAACTTGATATTTTTGAGAGAAGATAAATGTGGTCAACACTCTGAATAAGAAGTAACTGAAATATTACAGTTCTTTTATATTTCATTCTTTTACTTTTGACAAACTCTCTTTCATCATTTATTGTCTGAAATTATCATTTTTCTATCAGTGTACGAATGATATGAGAATAAAGTGTAGACGACATCTCTCTCAGCAGATACACTAGAGCGATTTTGAAATAGATTCGGCTGTGACTATTTAATCTGGCAATTTAGCGTTCCCGACACTTTAACTAAGAAATTGGTCCTAATGACGAAAGGACTTTTTTCTTTTCTTCTTCTTTACATTATGCAATCCGACGAGATTTCCTCCAATGAAGCCAGAAATTTACTAAAGGAACAATTAAATGAGCTTTTACAGAATTTGTTTGAACTAAGTGTCATTGTTTATGATTTTCAGCCTGACGGAAACAGACTCGTATGGAAGAAGATGTAAATGATAGAAATTGAATAAAATAGAGAAAGCGGTTAACAATATACAATATACAGAAACAGCATAATCGAACACTATAAAGAGATTAATGAGTTAAGAGAAGGGATAACTGAATATATTCCAGAAGAAGTTATAAAGTAAAGTCTTTATATCTTTAGGCTCTTTTTTTGCTTTTTGTTTTGCTAAAGTATATTTATTATATAGTTATGTAGAACATGGTAGAAACCCTGAACTATTTACACAAAACTTTGTAGAAAGAACAGCTACAGAAAATCAGTTTACAAATGGCAAAATTAAAGCAGTTGATGTAGGATATTTTGTTGTCTCGCTCTCTTTTTTTCTTTCTTTAATCTCTATGTTTTAGGAATTCAAGCAATTGTTAACTGAAGAATTTACAAAGTCCTTTCCTGATCTCTATGATTACGAGGATGCTATCGATACCACCACTTCATAATAATCATTTCTATTTAAATACAATAAAGTCGCCCTCAGTCTGAGGATACCTTTTTCTCAGACAGCAACAAGCCACTTTGTAAAGTTACGCCGCCCCATATTTTCAGAAAACGCTACTTTCTTTCTTCAAGATGAAATTAACCGCAGACTTGATTAACAATAGCCTTTCACACATCAATCCCTTAGGTGACCGTGAACTCATTCTTCGAGGTTTTGTTTCATCAAACCAATGACCTATATTACGTATATTGATGACTTTTTTTGTTTTAGATTTGAAAATACCAGCTATTGAAAATCTCGGTGTTACTAAAGTAAAAGAACAAGAACAGGAAAAGACAAGTGTTGACATTATTATTATTCTAGGATTTAAACGACACAATTGACTTTACAAACAATGACCTACGCGTTTTGGGAAACTTTCCACGTTTAAACAGACTCAAATGCTTATTACTTAATAACAATCGCATCACCAGAATTGAAAGTGGACTGGAGACTTATGTTCCTCATTTGCATACCATCATCTTGACAAATAATGCAGTTGCTGAATTAGGCGATTTAGAGCCATTGACAAAACTGAAAAAGTTGACACATTTAAGTTTATTAGACAATCCCGTAGCAAAGAAACAACACTATCGCTTATATGTTATTCACAAGCTCCCACAGCTTCGTGTATTAGACTTTAATAAGGTGAAGCTGGCAGAGAGAAATGAAGCTAAAAAACTATTCAGCACAGAGCAGGGAACAGACAATGATTTGGCTAGATCAATTGGAGAAAGCAAGTCAAAAACATTTGAACCTGGAGAAGGATTAAGCAATGGAACAAAATAAAGTATTTTGGTAGGGGTGTTTTTCCTCTTAGTTTATAGAGATTATATATGTTGACGATTCTTGTGCATAATAGGATATCAAGATGACGCAAGTTTATTGTTCATTAAAGCCACTCAATATGAAATAAATCAAACCTTCTCTTCCTTTTTTTTAAACGATAATTTAATGCTCTTCGTCTGGTAAAGCATTAAATGTCATTTGTAATTCCTTCATTTTCATGCCTACTCTCGTTTCAACTTCCTTACGCATTTCTTCAGAAGGCAATTCACTCAAGAATGCATCGTATGCACTCATTACTTCTTTGACTGCCTTCTCTGCTGCAACCCGCTCTTCGTGATAGTAGGTTGTTCCTTGTGATTCTTCTGCATATTCCAGCTATGATGTATTGTTTGTAAGGAATTATTATATATATATCCTCGCTGTCATACCTCGTCCTTTGCGATGCTAAATAGCTCTTCGATATGATTCATTGATTCTTCCAACTCAGTTTTAGTACTGACGTCGTTCTGTCGGCAATGAATGGTACTTGATATGGCCCTTCTTGTGCCAACTTTTAAAAGTAGTATATGTAGTCAGAACAATGATTTTTGTGATTGTATCTAAAGTATACATATATAGTACTTACTTGCCATAGTATATTGCTGTCTAAATAAAGCATGTTTACTGGTGAATGTAGACAATGAGATTAACCTGTTCATATTATGCCTTTGCAAAGAAAAACATAAAAATAGAAGAAATGAAGTTCCGCTTAGAGATTGCAAAATCTGGTATTACAGTCATATATACAGTTAGGCTGGTGGTTATTGGCGGTTACAATTGTCGAAAGACAAGATTTAATTTGTCGGTTAGTGCCAAACAAATTGTTGTTCAAGTACGAATATGAAAAATAAAAAGAGATTTACTCCATTACACTTAATAATGCGGTGCTTAACTGAATTACATAGTGCTTTACTTTTTGCAACGTTTTCGTAGAGTTGAAGTTTAAAGTAATAAATATTTTATTCAATGTAAATTCAGAATAAGTGTACACAATTACAGGACGATGATAAGTATCTGCAACGATCTGAGGACAGGTAAAACTTGTGAATCACAACGAACGGTTATTGTTGCAAGATGAAATGCGGGAAGAAAGTCTAGCAATCATAGCTTGACGTTCAAAATCTATGGTGCTACTATCACCAACTGCTTTATACAAGGTATTATAATTCTCTTCATGCATATATGTTGCTAGCATATCTTCTTTCATCAGGATCCAGTTGTCTTGGGTCTTGTATGCATCAAAACTTACTGCACGAAATCCGCGGTTGCCATCTCCGCTTACGCTATGAATAGCATTTATAGCATTGATTGGATTTGCATCCAACCACTTGTACGCATCGTCACGAATTGGATTGGTATAAGTGAATACTCGATTAGAATAAGGACATTGTTCTAGTCAACAAACATCATATCATCAAGCTCTGTATTTTGTTACAACTGTTGTTACTTACCCATCATATTGTTGAGATTCACGTTTAATCTCTGACTTTACACCTAAAGAAGGATTTTCATCAATTGGAGTCTAAGCTTCATCATCAGTAGGAGTAATATAAATTCCATCAGAATTTTTAACAACTAGAGTGATCTTTCTTTTCTTTTGGCCCAAGGCCAGATGTATCTCTTCTAATTCTATCAGTCTTTTCTTCTTTTTCTATCTTTTCTTTTCTTTTTTTAATTTCTTTTTGCTAACTTTTCTCAAAGTGCCCTTTATAAATCTGCAGCGTTTGGTTCCACTTTTAACTCCCTTCTTAGAAGAGTGTCTACCTTTTCTATTCAAGTTTGTTGAAGGTGGCTTGAGCTGATCAATATTGATTACTGGATTTTTAATTTGTGAATAAGCTTCCTCTAAAACTTTAAGTGCATCGGCAACCTGTTGTTGAGTTGCAAAATCCCTGATAGTGGAATATGTATCATGATGCAAAGTTTTTCAGCTTTCAAAAAGAGTTGCATCTTGTAACTTAGATGTTCGTTAGCGTCATCTAAAAATTAAAGTGAATAGAAACATTATGGATTAAACATTTTGTTTTTATGTAAATACGATAGTATTTATACATACCTTTTCCTTCATTTGATGGAGATGTTTTGTTTTGAGCTTCATTGCTATCATCTTTAGTTACTACGTCGTCAACATCTTCATTATCACCTTGAGTACTATCTTGTTCTTCATTTGTGGCAAAACTAACTCCATTATCTGTCTTGTCATCATTAAATTCATCTTCATCAGTTTGTTCAAAATCCAAATCATTTATAGTCGTAAAAGAAGAATAGATATCATCAGCATTTAGTAATAAAGTAGAAATAACAACATCATTTTCTTCGAAGGCAATAACAGGTAATTCAGAAGTAAATTTGTCGTCCTTAGCGACTGTTTCCTTACTTTGGCCATCTTTCTTTCAATTAGTAGAAGGAGCTATTATTATACATAATCAATTTGATGTAGTATCCGAATTTATGAAGTATCATCATAATTACACGAGAGCTTTGTGATCTTGATTGTTGTATCATTCTTTATTTTATTAGTTCGAATTATACAACATAAAATAAAATACAGTAATATAAAAGCTTTTTTTTTTTGATCCTTTATCTTCTTGAGTGATAATATAACAAACAAACAGACGAACCGAGAAGAAACAGGGAGAAGAGGGCGGGAACAACCAAGGCCACTTGGTGATGTTGCGGCGAGATTGAAAACCTCGCTGTTGTTGAACAGATTTTGACTGAACAGTAGAAGCGTTGTCAGTAGTGGTATTAGATGTCGTCGTGTAACCACTAAAAGTCGAGCCTCTAATGGATACTAGGACAAGATCTGGAGCGTCTACGTGTAGAAGCTTGAGCTGCTCGAGACAGTTTGATGTGATCCACCATATCTTTGGGGTCCAAGAGGTAGCTCTGAGATTCATCAGAAGGGGGGCCGCAAGAAGTGGAAATACCGCGGAACATGTTAGAAGTACGTTGCTTGGTAATATGCGACGCCAGGTCGAACAGAAGCTCGTGAATAACCTTGACAAACTCCATAGATCGCTTATGAATAGTGTCCAGATTCTACCGATTGTGAATCAGTCAATAAGGTGAGTAGGACCAGAGAGACGATACTGGATATCATGCAATTGAGTATCAAAACAACGAGCGGGACCTGACAGGTCAACCTTATTGAGTTCAGGTGGATCGTAGGCACGAATGGTGTTCTTAGGGCACTCAAAGAGGAAACACCGGCGCTCAGTATCTGGAAGAGGACGACGAAAGAAATCTTCCTCAATGAAGGGGCGACATTCCAAAAGAGCTGAAGAAGGAGTGAAATCAGCCCCGGGAGACCGAACGATCACGTTGGGGTCTTCCTGTAAGAAAGGGGAAGACACGAACTTAGCTCCCAAGGAGGAAAGGCGGTTAAAGGCTTCCATGGCTCATGCAGGAGGCTCGACTTGATCGTAACCATTGTTCTCAGTATTCATAATTTGACAACGGGCTGTCTGGGTGCGTACAAATTTGAAGGAAAAGAAGATGAAGGATCAAAAAAAAAAGCTTTTTATATTGCTGTATTTTATTTTACATTGTACAATTCGAGCTAATAAAGAAAAGAATGATTACAACAATCAAGATCACAAAGCTCGAAGTGTAATAAGCAAATAAGAAAAAGAATTCCACAAACTTAGCATTTATTGTGATCTAGACTCCCCATCCTCTTAAAAAAACCATGTAGTCGTTTAAATAATATCCGTTCACATATTTAGATATAGTATTATATTTCAAAACAGGTACAAAAGATGTATTTATTTTTTACATCTTCTTAGCAAACTATTCCTGGAGCTACATAACATGCACACTCTTTATCACAATCATCAATCCATAAACCCGTATTTAACTTACCCTGTTTATCTTCTGTATTGCTGTTCAAATCCTGAGCTGTTTCAAAATCTGGAGATGTATATATTATGTATTACTAACTTGTAGAATTATAAACAAATTTATAGTGAGGATCTTACCTTCATCACGTTCAAATCTTCAGCGTGGATCAATTATATCCAAAGGCAAAATATTAAAATTATTGGCAGTAACGCAAGGACAAGGTAATCTATACGTTATACGATCATAACAGTTACAGTTTTCACCTTTACTTACAAAATCAGGCTGAAGGACTTTAATTGCGTTGGTTCTAATTATATCCATGGCAAACCTGATAGTGTTAAATTGCAACTTGGAAAATTTAAACTCATTCTTTTCGTCGAAAAGGTTTGAGTCAATACTTGGCCTTTCTACTTGCAATTGACGTTAACGATCTTCTCTCTATTTAATATTAATCACAAGAAAAATCAGAACTTCTGTTAAAGTAAATCAATAACCCTTTCTAGTTTCTTACCTTCTTCTGATAATAGTTATGCATTCTTGTCAAATTCAACTTAGCAGCTGACTGATATCCTAATACTCTTTTTAAACCAGAATGAAAGCTTTCAGCTCTTCCTGAATTTCTGTTTCCCATATGAACATGTGTGTTTGCATAAATACCAACCCAATGTTTCTTTTCCTCTTCGTCTAACAAACTGAAAATTTCTTTAAATATAGGATATTAATTTCAAGTCGTTATTTTAACTTACGTTTCATCTAAATACAACAATGTAGCCTTTCTATTTTCTTTAAAATATGTAGGTGTATTAATAATATTTATTAAATCCTTCAAAGCTTCATCATACCTCTTTTCATTCCAACTCGAAGCAACAGCATGAAATTTTTCTTGAGCCAAAGTCTAAAATAAAAATAAAAAAGTTTAATAGCTTTATCTAGCTAATCTAATTAAATTTGTATATTTAGCAGCGCTCAAAGATCTAAAGAGACAGGATTCGAAAAAAAATTTTATTATATATTATCTGAAAGTAAAGAGTGGCACGAAAGAGCCTTTACCACCTCTTCTTCTTCTTCCACTTCGGCAACTGTTTGATTATACATATCCATGCCATTAGACCATAAGCTAAGTATTATTTATTTGTTCTAAAAATCCCCTCTTTCTACCATCAATAAAGGTTTATAAATTTTTATTTGCTTCTTTTTATTTTTTTGAAAACTTTGAATTGCAACGTGAATGGTGATGACGTGTTTGATGAGATAATCATTATAATAACTTGAGTATAATCTTACAGTAGGGCATACATTCTACTTTACATTCCTCTATTGCATTTGCTGAGAATAAGAGTACTGACAACAATAGTAGCTACTAACATATCATTGATAAATAATCACATTGACCACATTTATCATACTGACAACAATAGTATTCCCTATAAAACTCTCACACAAATTTAATTTAATAATATTCAGCTCTTCTTAATAATCTAATTCGCAAGTCATCGACTTAATAGCCTTTTTTCAATAACACTAAAGCTGAATACAACAGGTGAAAGCCCTTTTCTTCTTGAAACTGATCCAAAGAAATGGGATATACACCAATATTACAAGGATCTAGAGAGAAAAAATCCACTTGCTCCATTCTGTGAATTGATGAGAGCTTTAAAGAAATTTTTAGAAGCAGTTGAAGCTGAAGGAAATGATAACCAACGAAAAAGTGCTAGCAAATGCATTGAAAATTGGAAAGTATGCTCGTATGCCCACTACCTAAGTAAATATAACGGCAATTTCCTAACTTTATCTACTTTCACAGGCATTAAAATACAATATCAAGCATTCAAAGCGCCAAAAAGGCTCCATGGTTACGAGCAATTCCTCTGGCAATATAAACATAAACCAGCCAACTAACGACGTTACCATTTATTACCATGAAGATTCTGAGAGTGATAGTACAATCAGCAGCACTGGTAAAAAAGTTCATGGTCATAGGAAAAAGAGGGCTTACCTTGTGGGTGATTACGACGATTCTGACGCGGAAATTCTTGCTGAAGAAAAGGTAACGAATAGTACTTAAATGTATGATAGTATGTACTAACTCTCAATTTAAAGTGGATGATTGGTAACGAAAATGCGACACATATTGTCAAGGATTTTAAATCAAGGTCTATAAGGCTTGACCAGGGAAAAAATCCCCTTTCAAATGCAAGAATTTTATAAGTTCTTTTTTGTTATTGTCTAAAAGATATTAAAGCGTACATTAGGTCTCTTTCTTCTATTTATTTAGTTTCGGACACAAAAGCGTTTTTTAACTAAAATCAGTCCAAGCAAAAAGAACATGATTTTGCTAGATTCGTTGGCCCCTTTTAAGATCTCAACACTGTCAGATAATATCGTTTATGTATGTCATAAAGTTCAAAGAACTTCACTTCAGCCTTCTGAAGAAGTAGATGGTATTATATTGAATTCAAGAATTGAGGCCAAAACGGACAACGACAACGATTTAAAAAGATGTGTGCAAATTCTTGAAAATTTAACTGAAGCACCTACTATGTCCTTAGTTGAATCAAACATTATTATCAACACGACTAATCTTTTTTTATTTCATTATATTCCTCAAGATAACCACATGGAATGGTAACAATGTAAATTTTTGACAAATACTCAAAATGTGAACAGCTTTTTTATTGGCTTACGTATAATTTGAAGTATGAAGACGCCAAGGGCGAGTATCAAACAGTAAATCCAGATTGTGTGTTTTAAATTGATGCCGATGATAAACAAAACTATGAGATATCCCTTATGGAGGTAAAAGGCTATCCAGTAAGAATTAAACGACTTTGTGAAACTTGGAAAACAGCTGCAAGTAGCTACAACCAAACTTATCAGCGTTGGTGTGGTGGATCCCATAGTTATTGGTTTACTCGTGGAAGGTGAAAACAGGCTAAAACAGAATTGAACATTTACTAACTGTTTTTCAAAGGGGTTCATGCAGAAATGTATGTAATGGATCTTTCTTATAATGGCATTTATAGAATGATAAACGTTGGCCAATTTGATTTTCCAAGAAATATACAGAATGACCTGTTACTTGTTCCCGTCCGTATGGAAAACATGTCGCTCATGTTTATCAGTATTTAAAAGGTTTACCTGCATTCATTTTGTAAAACCAATAGTAAACTAGGACATCATTTGCGAAACACATCAAAAGCTCTACTCGGCATTGGAAGTCAATAATAAAAAACATACAAGTAAAAGTCATTTTACACGGATATTGTGTAGTCAGCCAACTATACCGGCAAGCTCATCCCAAAAAAAAAAAAATCTACGCTTTATTCACAAATTATTCGCACACTGATAAAAAAAAAAGATAATTTCAGATGACAAATAATGATAAAAGAGAGCCCATCAGAAGCAAAAGAATGAGATAAAAAAGAAATGATTAGTAAATCAGTTTTTTACATTGATATTAAATACTTACATTACAAAGAAGAGGATTTATAAGAGAAAAAGAGAAGCAATAAGAGTGAGTAAACCTGTAAAAGAGGTTATTAATATCTTATCTGAAGCGCACTATAATGAGCCAGCGATAATTGGCCAGGAGAAGGTGGCGAGAAAAGAGAAGAGCAAGGAAGAGAGAGAGCAAGAGAAAGCAAGTGAGAGAGCGGCCAAAGGAGCGGAAGGGGTTAAATGAGTGTATGAAACCAAAGCTTGGTAAGAACCAAACTACTCCCAGCTAGCATCAGTACTGTTTTCGATTTTATGATCTATAATACTACATATCAGCTTCTTACAAGAGTAAATCATATAACATACCTTAGGACTAGCTGGGGAATAGCTGGTCATACTTTTTGGTCCAAGAAGTCAAGACCAGACTATTTGTATAAAGTCTCTAACAACTTTTTCAGCTATGTGTTATTCATAAGTGTTGACCACATTTATCTTCTCTTCTCTCAAAAAGACAAAATTCATTGCCTTTTTAATAATAAAGAAGACATAGAAAATCAACTAAAGTGTAATTGTTATTGATCTTGTAATGTGCGATTAATTTCTGAAAATGGTATATGACTAATTTCTTGCTCGCCTCCTAATGCCATGTACTATTGTAGATTCTCTGTCCTTCCTTTTAAGCCTACTACCAACTTACAAACCGCGTTTCTTCTCTCGTGCTTCCTCTTGGCTCTCTCGTTGGCCAATTATATGTAATATCCTTTACGGACTTGATCACCTATGCCACGGACAAGATATGCCACCTCCACCGCCTGACTTAGGGCGAAAGCTCCTCCAATGGCTTCCACCACCTTTTCTCTCCTCTTAACTTCTTACGACCTAATCCTTGCTCTGTACTCTTCTTTTCTTCCTTTTCCCCTTTGATCTCAAACAAGTTTTTAGACTCTATGTACTTTCTTATCTGGCCCGGGCGGGACGAAATTATATAGTTTCAATGCGCCCGTAGTGGTCTTTTTATTTAATTTAATAAAAATGGTTGTTTAATCGTATGACAAATTTCTTTTTTGGTATTCAAACGCCACTTTTGCCCGCGGAGACAGAAAAGCTTGGCTTGTTCTCGGAAAGACCAAATACACCGAGAGAATGAACGAGATTGTTGGTGAGCAATAGATAATTCGATCTCAGAGTATCCCAACTGTACCAAGCTGCTTAAGTATAAAAGAAGCCTCATCTTTTACTGAAAAACTACGAAAATATGCTATTTTTATCAGCAATGAATCTCAAGTATTTAATTTTATGTAAGTGTACTTTGCTGGTAGATCCAATGATTATGTAGGGGTTACTTATACTAATGCGCTTGCGCTAGTGTTTTGCACACTGACCTTTGTATGCGCACAAAAAGGGGTAGCAGATAAACACATCAAATACAATGTCATTGGCCTTTTAAGCCCATCACAATCAATGGCCGTTATTGTGGACAATGTCACTTATGCTTTAGAGCTCAATTCGCCTAGCACAATCCTTTACACTGGTAGTGCACCTGTGGCTCGTCAAGGTTACAGATACACCAAGATTAAAAAATTAGACAACAGCACTATCAGCGAACCATTCCTTCGATCTCCTGTGGAAACAGACACAGTGAACGAATTCTTCAATAGAACATGGAACAAGAAGCAGATTGCGCCACTACCTACTGTATACAAACCATTGCCGTTTATTCATCGCATCTCTTCTAAATTGCATCAAGAAGGAGAGATCCCCACCATACATATTATTGCCAACGAAACAGAGGTCGCCCTAATGCATCGTAACGCAACTCAAGATATAGAGATCAAAACAAGCGTGTCTTATGTCTCTTTGAATGACAGTCTATCTTTCCAAAATGTTGGATTCTCAATTGCAGGTGTCAGCTCTCGAATGATGCCAAAAACCTCTTACAATTTGAAACTACACAAAAAGGACAGGATCTATGGTTATAGACGTATCAAGTTAAGAGCTATGGCAATGGATCCATCTTATATGCACGAGAAGCTTGGTTATGGTATGGTCAAGTCTTTGGGTCTCATCTCAACCGACTTTTCCTACTGTCGTGTCTTTTTGAATGACCAAGAAATCGGACTGTTTGGCTTGATCGAAACATTTCAAGATCCTTGGACTGCTAACGTATTTGCTGATGGTGACAAAGACTACAAGGGCGGCAATCTTTATCAAGGTGTGGGCTCTGGTACGAACAACACTGGAAGCTTAAACTACCTAAGCAACTTGACTGCGTATGAGAATGGGCAATACAAGATAAAGGCTGGCAACAAGAAGGACTATGCTCCTCTTCAAGAATTGACCAAGTTTATTGCCGACGCTCCTGTCAATGGCACTAATGCAGTGGATGCTTGGAAGTCCAAACTGGATATGGATTCCGTTATTCGCTCCATGGCTCTTGAAATTCTTAATGCTTACTCTGACGGATACATATATAATGCCAATAACTATTACATTTACCAAGATCCTTCCTCCAAGAAATACATCTATATTCCATCAGACCTGGATTTGACCTTCAACGTAGACTCGTCCGGTGGGATATCTCTTATATCTGGCAATTACTCTGCCATCCCACATATTTATGACCGACCATTGACAAACAAGATGTTACAAGTTCCAGAGTTCAAGCAACAGTTTGAAGATATGCTGATTAACGTCACCAAGCAGCTTATGAACCCCACAGCAACCAATGATCATATCAATAGTCTTGCTGATATGCTTCAAGAAGATGTCGCTTGGGATGCTGTTGTTCCACGTCTGGGAACTGGTTTTACTAATGGCTTAAAGTTTTTGAATATTACAATTGTCAACGGAAGGGTGCCACAAGACCTTGATGTAGAGTCTTTGGTGCGTAAAATGGCGTCCAGTCTGATGTTTAGTCAGATTCCTTTAAGCAATAATTCTGCTGCTTTAAAAGGTTCAGTTGACTTGATGACATACGTTTTGAAAGGACTACCTTTCTCACAAGCAGTCAATGGTCCCAGTAACAATAGCGCATTTATGGCAATCAAGGAATTCATTTACACCATGAATCAAAATATCTCCAAATTGTACAACCTTACAACAAATTAAGCCCTTATTCTCTCAAGCTTATCTGCATCATTTTTTTACACTATAGATTTTTTAAATAAACGTTCAATTTTTTTAATGAAAGAAGGAGTGCGCCTGTAAAATGAGCTGAGTTCAAATCACCTGACTTCCTCTCTTTACTGCCTTTCATTTAAGTTGCTTCATAAATCAATGGAGGATTTGAAAAAGGAAAACGAATTACTTCGTAAACGAGTTGCTGAACTAGAACAACAACTTTATGCTAAAGCACCTACTGCACTCACACCTCAGCAGAAAGCCGATCCTTTTGAAAAAGTAGACAAACTAACTAATCAAGAAATTTATCGATTTGGACGTCAATTAGTAACACCCAACTTTGGCTATGAAGGCAAGTAAATGACCATGATATAAAATAGAGGACTAAACCATTTATTTTAGCTCAATTAAAGCTACGCAACACTTCCTTTCTGATTGTTGGTGCAGGTGGATTGGGAGCACCTGCTGCGCTCTATTTGGGAGCAGGCGGTGTCGGTCGATTAGGCATAGTAGATCATGATGAAGTGGATATCAACAACTTGCATCGGCAGGTTATTCATACTGAAGCACGTAAAGGGATGAATAAGGCAGTATCTGCTGCTGTTGCAGTCAAGGCGTAAGGAAACACTGCACTAGGGAATATGTGTGATCGATTTTATCTAATCTTTTTTTCTTTTTCTTTTTAGTATATATCCTGATGCTGATGTTATTCCTTATGCATATACGCTGGATAGAACAAATGCTTTGGATCTTATCAAACGGTACTGTGATCACTGAATAGAGTTGTAATCATACTTACCTTGTGTATAATAGGTATGACATCATTATTGATGCTACAGATAATATCACTACTCGCTACTTGCTCAGTGATGCTGGTGTACTTGCTGGTAAACCAGTTGTTTCGGGCAGTGCCTTGAGAACAGATGGACAGGTTAGTTCAACATTAAATATAGCATGCAGCTGCCCTCATTCATACACTATAGCTTACTATCTACAATTATAACAATGGACCATGTTTCCGTTGTCTACATCCAATTCCACCACCTGCAGCTGCTGTTGGTAAATGTGTAGACAATGGTGTTGTTGGCGTAGGTAAGTCCATTTATATACTACGTTTATCGATAGAATCTCATCTCTCTACAGTACCAGGTGTCATTGGCATTCTACAAGCACTTGAGGCCATCAAAGTAGCAATAGGCTCAACAGGTAAAGCTGAACACGATGTGTAACATTTGCTAACAAAAATGACAGCTTTGAATGATCCAAGCTTTTTGATTTTTAGTGCAATGAGTAATCCGATGTTTAGAACAATGCGTCTTCGCCAAAAGAAGAAGGACTGTGCTATCTGCGGAGAGAACCCAACGATTACGGAATTAATTGACTATGTTCAATTTTGCCAAGGCGAAGCGAACGATGATGTAACAATGAACAGAGTTGATTAAAAGGAAAAAAGGAAGACTTATTGTTTACTATAGGTTGTTAGTGAGCATTTATTGAAAAGAGAAGAACGTATTGATGTGGACGTAAGAGTGTGTTTGCTTGGTTGTGTACATTAACTCATAAAAAATGGTAATAGGAATATGATGATATACTAAAAAATAAGCGCCCACACGTTCTACTTGATGTTCGACCCAAAGTTCAGTATGACATCTGTCATTTGCCCAACAGTATTCATATCCCTATTGATGAATTAGATAACAAGATGGACAAAGTAAAGGAGGCAATGAAAGAACACGAAGTGACTGATAAAGATGGTAAGAGTTGTCTATGTAATCATCATAAGTTTAGGTATTGACACACAAACAGTGTATGTTATCTGTAGACTAGGCAATGATTCACAGATAGCAGTGAGAATGATGCAAAAGAAAGGAATTGAACAGCCAAAGGATATCATTGGAGGTTTATATAGATGGTCTATGAAAGTGGACAATACTTTTCCTATTTATTAGTTTTTCCTTGCTCTAAAGCCACCGACAATGTCCCAGCCAAGGATGATGATATATAAAACAAAAGAAACAAAGCCAAAGAAGATGGAGGTATTATAGAAATCACACCAGTGATCAAACCCACCTGGTGGACAACGGTATTTAGCTATTTCGACTATAATACCAATACCCCACAAGAGTGCCATAAATAAATCACATAATATCAGTATAAATCGCTTCATCTTATCCGTTTTTCCAAATCTTCTAAACAAGTAAAAAAAGACATGAAATCCAGAGTAAATGATGGACATGATGGCCTATGTGTATATATATGCAAAACAATCAGCCACAGCTTGCTTTGTTTTTTTGTAGTTAAATACATTACCACTGCAAAGAGGTAATAAAAGCATGCGCTACTATCCAATGGAACAGAATGACCAGAGTACTAAAAGAAGCTTAGTTTTTTATACGTTATTTCCCTTTTTGTTGGATCTTACAGGTGATGCTCCTGCTGCAAAACCCAAGTGTCCGACAGCAAAGATAAACAAAATAATTCTAAGCAACACTCTCAATTTGGATGGCTTTGTTCGTGTGGCTGAAGGTAAATTAACAGATTCTGCCTTGGTATTATTATTATTATTATTATTTATATCATTAATGGTAGCAGTAGTATGAGTAGGCTGAGGAGAATAAGCATTGGCTAGTGTAGGTGAATTTGCATAAGGTGTACCAGAATACTGGTAAGCATTTGTATGATGCTGTGGCTCATCCAATGTCTTGTTGGACTCTTGCCAAGCATTTGCAACAGGTGGTTGTTGGTAAGCTGAAGGAGAAGGCATACGTTGAGTGCCATAAGGGGAGCTGGAGACTAAAGTTGGTGTTTCCTTAACTCTTGGCGGAAGTGCAGGAGAAGAACTGCCTTCATATGCATTCCCATATTTTGGCCCACTATCAGACCAAGGATTATGACTTGTATCTTCAAACGGGTTATTGTGACTCATCTTGAAGAAGAAGAAGAAGAAGAAGAAGAAGAAGAAAATAAAAAATAAAAGAAAATTGTAAAATAGACACCAGTGATCGTACCACGATTTTGCTGTACGTCATTATAAACTATTTCATTCACCGCTCTTTTGTATATATCTCCATGATGAAATATGAAAATAAAGTTTTTCTTTTCTTTTCTCTCTTCTTTTTAAACATAAAAGATGGTCTTAAACGCCTTTACTCTTCAACGCAAATATCCTCAACTACAAGTAAATGATATAAATAGTCTGATAGACCAATTCAAGTAAGTCACTTGACTCTTTTATTGTCTGTTTCTTAATGCATCCTAGCGAGATTGATTTGGATCAAGACGGCTACCTTGATTATAATGAAATTCAAAAGGCTTGTAAAGAAACTGGTTACAGTAGTAACTATGATGAAATTAGAGCTACTTTGAAAGATGTCAGCACAAATACAGTTGGTAAAATTGACGTGGAAGAATTTATCGAGGTAAGACTATAATAAAATTAAAGAAGGGGGTCATAGAAGGGTCTAATAAGGGGTTGGTGAGAGGGAAAAGAATTAAAAAAAAGGGGGAAACTATGTCAGTGCGCTTTCTACAACTATGTCAATATGGTCATTGTCATAGGATAGAACGCGTATGGAGTCATGAAGCGTCGGTTATTAAAAAAGAGAGAAAAAGAGCAAGACAAAGAAAATTCTATGCCAAGAGTTCCTTTGATGCTAATCCTACTTCTTTCTTTTCTTGGCAGCTCGCAGCAAAGTTAAAGGCTGGAGGCAATAAGGGTGCATTTGATGTCCATCAAAACAAGATTAAGGTTCATGGAACCAATGCAAATGTTACACATACCATCAATGACGATGAACGTACAGAATTCACAAGACATATCAATGGCGTTTTAGCTGGAGACCCTCATATCGGCAAGCGTTTACCTATTCCAACAAACACAATGCAAATTTTTGATGAGTGCAAAGGTATTTTATGATGATAATAAGAGGCGTATAGGACTAACATGTGCAACAGATGGTCTCATTCTTTGTAAGCTGATCAATGATGCTGTACCCGACACTATTGATGAACGTGTACTTAATGTCAAAACTAAGCTTAATAACTTCCAAATGGTTGAAAATAACAATATCGTTATCAACTCTGCCAAAGCTATCGGCTGTTCTGTCGTAAACATTGGTCCAACAGATATCATCGAAGGTCGTGAACATTTAATTCTGGGTTTAATCTGGCAAATCATCAAACGAGGATTGCTGAGCAAGATTGATATCAAACAGCATCCTGAATTGTATCGTCTTTTAGAGCAAGATGAAACACTTGACGAATTCTTGAGATTGCCTCCCGACCAAATCTTGCTAAGATGGTTCAATTATCACTTGAAAGCTGCCGGATGGGAACGAAGGTAAGAAAAGCTATACTTAGAAAAAATGATTTTCTCAATCTAGTGTAGAGTTTCCAATTTCTCCAAGGATGTCGCTGATGGTGAAAACTATACAGTTTTGCTCAATCAACTCAAGCCCGAGTCCTGTTCTCGTGCACCATTACAAGAGCGTGATCTTTTGAAGAGAGCCGAAATGATTTTAGATAATGCTGAAAGAATCAACTGTCGTAAATACCTGACACCCACTGCCTTAGTGGCTGGCAACCCCAAATTGAACTTGGCCTTTGTTGCCCACTTGTTCAACACACACCCTGGCTTGGATCCCTTGACAGAGGAAGAAGCACCCGAGATTGAGCCATTTGATGCAGAAGGCGAGCGTGAGGCAAGAATGTTTACTCTTTGGCTCAACAGTCTGAACGTCGAACCTGGTGTATACAGTCTCTTTGACGATTTACAGGACGGTTTGGTCCTGCTTCAAGCCTTTGATAAGGTTGTGCCTGGTATTGTCAACTGGCGCGCAGCGAGTCGTAAACAACCTCTCTCTCGCTTTAAACAAATTGAAAACTGTAACTATGCTGTCCGCTTAGGACAAGAGCTCCATTTCTCTCTTGTTGGTATTCAGGGATCAGACATCGTGGACGGACAAAGAACACTCACTTTGGGTCTTGTCTGGCAACTCATGCGTGAGAACGTCGTTCATACACTTCAATCACTCAACAAGAATGGCCGTCCAGTGAGTGATCAAGATCTTGTCCGCTGGGCTAATGAAACAGTTCAACGTGGTGGCAAGAATAGCAGAATGACCTCCTTCAAGGATCCTTCACTTAGTACAGGTGTATTCTTTTTGGACGTGCTTAACGGTATGAAGCCTGGTTATGTGGACTACAGCATGGTTACGGATGGAAGAACCGAGGAAGATGCATTTAACAATGCAAAACTTGCTATCTCTATTGCTCGTAAGGTGGGAGCTACTATTTTCCTTGTACCTGAAGATATTGTCGAAGTCCGACCAAAGATGGTAAGTTTATATATATAGAAGTATAGTTTGATAAGTGACTAATTATATATGCACACAATAGAACTTGACTTTCATTGGTAGTTTGATGCAAGTCGATAAAGGAATTCAGCATTAAGTTTGTCGTGTATAATATTAATAATAATAAATACTTTTTATAAATCATGTATACATATACGACTTTTTATTTTTTAAACTGTAAAACTCATGATGAGGTCACATATCTTGAGCTTGACACATTTTGGTGAACTCCAATCAAACCTCACTTGTCTAATAATATCAGATGGTGCGAGTGAATCTAGATAGAAACAGCATAAGTAAAAAGAATAAAGAACACTATATCATTTACTGTTGGGCAAAGCAAAAGAAAATATCTTGTCAGGCTTATGAGATCCAGAAGAGCTCTTTCTTTGATGACTGGTGTGTGTTAAGCTACTGGTTAGCATGCCAAATAAGCTCATGTTCGTATGCCATACACGCACGCTTTGATCAAACAATGAACAGGTTGCGACCAATTTTGCATCAGGAGAAAAGGCCAGTGCAACAACGGGTCCTGTATGACCCTCTAATACTACTGAGCGAGTTGTCGTACGGATATCATACACCACGGAGGCCCCCTCTAGTGTTCCGACTGCGAGTTTTTGAGCACTACTACTAAAGTCTACAGATGGATACCTATCACAAAGAGGATGTGTTTAATAATCATGAAGGAAAAATCAGTCTCGTATATTACGTTTTCACCAAGTCATGAAGGACAGATGTTGCAGACTGTACCATAACTTCCCGCATATGAGGAACGTTAGGGTCCAATGTTTTGATGACGGCCTCAACCACATTATGGACATGCGAGTATAAAAGAATAGGCTCCTATAAAGTAGGTTAATAACAATACCACGATCATGTAATAATCTAACCTTTTTGATGAATATTCCAATAATTTTTAAGCAGCGTAAGCGATCTTCAAGTGACTTTGCGTGTGCTGTATCAAATGTTAACGTGCTTATTACCAAAGGCATATTGGTGATAGATATCTGGAATATAGCTGCTTTCGCACCACGACTAATAAGCGCCATCATTGGTTGAGAATCGGTAGCATACATGAAGAGTGTTCGTAAGACCTCGGCTGCATTGATATAGTTTTCCCATGTCTTGAATCCTTGACTAAGTAGTTCCATGGATGATAATGTTCGCGCCATAGACCCTGTCGATAATACATTGTTGTCGCTATTGTTAGTATCTAGATCGACATCTGATAAAAGAATTGTAAGGCTTAAAGCAGTTGACTTGCGTACACGAGGATCAAGAGTTTGTGGTTGATCGCAGCCCATGATGCCTAAAATAATCGATGCTCGAGCCATCATTTGTGGATTACTATTCTCAGAAGATGTAGGCACTATGAACGAAATACTGTTAGTACACATCTTTTAATTATACTTCTCTTTTTTTTGTTTTTGTTCTTTACAGAATGATTCCCAATAGTCAATGAGCGAATTTATATCATCTTGTGATAATCCAGTAACAGCACTTGAAAATAACGATCTCGCTATTTCATCTGTTAGTTAATTTTCTCTCTCTTTCTTTCTATTAGTATTACCTGATGAATCATGCCAGTACTTGCTTAGTAGTGATAGCGAAGGAAAGCAATATCGTTCACCAATGACTAATGGCAAAGACATTGCATACCCAGTGATTAAATCGGCACTTCTACTTTCTTGACCAGCCATAGAAATGACCACCTTTGCGAGTAGACTAATAGAAAGTAAGCGGACTGCGGTCACAGAAGGAGATATTGTCCAAGCTTCTCTCTCGTGTTTTAAAGGTGCAACGACGGATAAGTTTCCGTTTGTTCTATAAACAACGTAAGATATATGCATCAATCTTTTAGTTATTCAATTACCCTTTAATACCATAGCTTATATTCTGGTTCACCTGCTTAGATAAATTTAATGTTTGGTTACAGAGTAGTTCAAAAGCCTCATTTATATTCCATGAAGCAATGATGGAAATGATTGCTGTCATTAACTCAATCTTTTTCTCTTTTAGTTCCTCATCATGTTTAGGCTGATGACCGTCGTGAATATCCAAAGGATCATCCTTATCAGGTCTGAAAGAAAGAATATCTGGGACAACTGCATCAAATGCTGAAGAAGAAGTAGAAACTGATGCTTTCAAGACTGGATGGATCTGGTTATTTTGTTCGTGCACATTAAGTATAGATAGACGGGTATAGATGTCATGCACTAATCGGCGAATACTAAAAATGAATACTTGTGCAAAGTTATTGGGCACTTGTACATCTATTACAAGTATGTTAATAAGCAATCATTCTTTTTGTTTCCTTTCTTACTGCAATCATCGGTTACAATAGATTTAATCTGTACTGTATGTTTTCCATGATTAGAAGTTGAGGCAGTCTTTGACGCGCTTATATGGTTGATTGGCCATCTACTGTCTTCCATAACATCTGTCTTGCTTTTACCATAAAGTATACGATCTAAATGTGCAGTTTGCATCTATATATAAAAACAAATATAAATCACTTAGCTTTTGTCAATAGACCATACTTTACCTGCCACACATATGCACTATCATCACTATATCCAAGCACTACATAATCTTCTGCTGTTCTCCATTGAATAGCAGTTAATGGGTGCGGATGACCGGGGAATATAAACAAGCTAATACGTCATGATTAAATCTGGTTTATTCTAGTACTCATAGACAGTATGTGATAAAAGGCACTTACCACGTCATTGAATCAACCGAAATGAGTGCAACCGAGTTGTCTTGCGCAATAGAAGCTATACATCCTCTCACTCGTATGTCCTTTTGCTCGACTGGTTCAATAAAGGACATGACAGGTGTAGAATGAACAGCACAAGATGCAACAAATTTACCATCGCTAATGGTAATAATAATAAATACATGAAATAAAGATTACATTTCACGCTTACTTTAGATTCCAAATTTTTACAACACCATCAAGACCACCAGAGAGCAGATATTGCTGACCAGAGACTTGGTGCTCTGGAACAATCATGCAGGTAATAGCGCTTTGATGAGTCTTTTTAAAGACTCGTACATCATCTCGTTTGCCCAGATGATTAGAAACATCATTTAGATGTAGAAGAGCTAGTGACAATGGTACAACACAGATTTTTCCAGTGTCTAAAAGCATATAAAATAAGCAACAGCATATCATTCTGTGTGTAGTTTATATTACCGTAACCAATAGCTAAGTGATTTGTGTTTACTGGTTCAGTCACAGTGATACGTCCAAAGTTTGGATCCACTTCATCCTTTATTGGCCATATTTCTTTAAATGATATGTCTATAGAATAAGTCGTGTGTCCTTCTTGCTGTTGATCTATTGGTAAAGGAAGAATCTTGAATCCTGATTCTTCAGGATGATTGCAGACAATAAATGCGTAAAGTTCATCATTATTGGCATATACAGATATCTTTATGGATTTCGAATAAATATCACCTACAGGGCGAACAGAGGGAGGGTTTTCCTTTAGTAAATCACACAACCTTTTTTTTTCTTGTTTCATTACTTTTCTTATCCATCCGATATGTATGAACTAATACAGCACTTTTATAATACGTTAGATGAAATCATTGTATTTATGAGATGTTAAAAGCTTACTTATATTTACAACGATCCGTTGCTGATTCCTTGAGTTTGTAGTTGAATATGTCGCCGTGCTACAGAATATATATATAAGTGCTCCTGCGTTATTGCAAATGTTGTATCTACCTTTGTCCAAACAACCAGCTGATCTTTTGAATAAAAACCTCCGCCTGCCCAGCATGTCTCTGATTCAGCAGGAATAATGAACTGAGGCACAAACTCATTATCATATGATGCTATGACCTAAACCAACGTTAACCAAGTGAATACTAGAGCATAACAATATGTGTACCAGAATGTTCTTATTTGTTAGAACCATAAACAATCTAGGCAAGAATTTGTTTTTAACAACATCAAAGGCAGGAGAACAGGTTGTATCATCCAGTATTTTGGCAGATATAGCTTGATTTTTATACAAGGCATGTGTGCCGGTATCGAAATCCCAGATTTCTAAAACACCCTCCATTGTCACTGTCATCAATTGAGATTTGCCTGTATCTAGTTTGGTATATCAGCAACCCCTTTTCTCTCTTTTTGTTTGGGCTTACTTGGATCATCCAAATCAACACAGGTAACCCAATTTGAATGGCCGCCCCATACTCGAACAACCTAAAAGAGTTTCAGAAGAGTGTTCTCAAAGAACATCTTCAATTTACCTCGAGCGTTGCTGAGTTGAGTATGGATATCTCATTTGCTTGACCACAGCAAAATATGTCCTGGTTCAAGAACTGAAAAAGAAGATGCTTAATAATAGCCACTACCTCTCTTTTAACTTTACCTGAGGAAATACTTTGAGAGCACATGGAATGCCGAAAAACCCGTTTGGATTGACAACTTGACATCTTCCGTCTGCTGCATTCCAACGTATGATTTCTCTTTTTCATAAATTAACAAAGTAATGTAGTATAGACAGAGATCGCTGTTTTACCCGTCATCAGATGCACTAATAAGAACGTCTTCTGCTTTTGAATCTACTTTTGTATTTAAAATGCATAGAGCGACGATTGGCTTTTTATGACCAACTAGAAGTAATTTATACTATTTTCTGTAATGTTGGTACACTTGAAGGATAAATGTATACACATTTTGTTTCATTACTTGTAAAGAGTTATCCTTTATAGTATAAACCCATATATGACCGTCTCTCTGTCCAGCATAGATATTCGGATGGCTGTAGGCGATACAAGTAATATTTGGGTTCGAGAAGCCATGCCACACTACTAAAGGTAATGAAACTGAAGAAGTCATGGGCTGACAAAAGAAGAAAAAGAGAGAGAGATAGAGAATAAACAGTAGTATGGCAGTCAATCGAGGTTCAAAAAAGGAATTTCCATTTTAGTATAATTGTGTACTAGTTGATGGTGTAGCGGTTCCCTTCTTTCCTCAATTTACTAAAGGTAACTCATATCATAAACAAAGTACAATACTACATCAGACCTGCATGATTAAAGTATAGGATGCTTTTCATAATATACATGTGTGGCATAGATGCATTTACCACCCACTTTACTCTCCTAAGCTTATTCCTATCAAGTAAATTTTAGTCTATAGGCCAAACGTGACCAATTTCAGAATATTAAAAACGTAGCTACTAGAATATCAGAAGTTTATGATGAATACCTTTGAGCATGTATGCAGCACTTAGTATATGCCTCTGAAGTTTGAACACTTTTCAGAATTAATAAAAGCATAATAAAATTTATTAAAAACGAAGAGAAGAGCTTCTTCGTTTGTGTTTCTTCTCGATAACCAGCGCTTCTAACTCTCTTATGCTGGGCTCGAACCTCTTCATGCTTTCAAATTCGCCTATTGTAGTTTTTTTTTCTTGTTCTTGTCAAATACATATGCCGCTTGCGTTAAGCACATGAGAGAACGCCGAGTAACCAAGGCTTTCAAAGTGTATACTGAATTTGGAATCTGAATATTGGTCAACTCGGCCATAACGTATATACTATTGAATGCAAGTTCAGTGGTATAAAATGTTACACTAAGGCTTATACTTATAAAATATGAATACTGATACTTCTTCTTTGGTTAAAATCAATCATACCTTTTGATTGAAAAGTGAAGGACAATTTGCAGCTACCTTTGTTGATAGCATTTCTGCTAAAGCAGCCTAATCGGTACAAGTCCCAAGTAAGAGCACAGTAATTTTCTGTGGCCTCTGCAATCTTTGCTTCACCATAGCCAAGGTTTCTTTGCCATTGCGATTGGTTCATGATGGAAACTGTAACATCTGGTCTTTCATGTTCCTCCTGACAGTCTTTCAGGTTTGTTCTATTACATTCGATTAACAAAACTATACCTTTTCTATTCATGATAATATTATCTTTACCATTTAAGATGGGCTCCTTCTTCTATATTGCTCAGGAGTGAATCCAGCACAGGATCAACGTAAGTGCTCCAGACGTCTGTTTCATTGGAGCATCGTTCAATTGGTTCTCTTGATGGCGACTTTTCCATTCTGCAAAGGTTTAAAAAATATGAATTTAAGCATATAACGTCTTATGTAAGTATTTACTTACAGCCTTTTGATACCGTTGACCACGCTTGTCTTTATGCTCCCTATCTGGAGTGTCAAGCTGCACATATTGAAAACACTAACTTTTAGAGATACCTTTTCCAGTTAAAAGTCCTAAAGATAAAACTTAATGGTAAATATCCATTTCAAATAAATAAACAACAAATCCAAGTGCGCTTTTACATCTATAACTACCTGAATTGCGTCTATCTCTGCACCAGTAAACATCGGACAACCAGCAGTCCATAGTTTTATTTGCAATCTGTGTATTTTGTTTAATAGCTCCGTGCTAAACACGTAGAGCATCACTTCATTATTTTGGTATGACTTCAATAGCAAAATGTGTTGAAGTGACCTAACTTTATAGTTTAGTACGTGTCCTTAAGCTTATAAGATATATCTTATCAACGTAGTCCGAACAAGCTTTGCTCTATAGCCAAAGTGTCCTTGGCATTATCAACAACACTGTTGTATTTGTATAAAAAAAAAAGTCGACTACTAAGATAAATAATAACTAAACCAACTTGTTCTGTTTTTGCCATACACCATTTTCAGAAATTAATCGCACATTACAAGATCAATAACAATTACACTTTAGTTGATTTTCTATGTCTTCTTTATTATTAAAAAGGCAATGAATTTCGCCTTTTTGAGAGAAGAGAAGACAAATGTGGTCAACACTTATGAATAACACATAGCTGAAAAAGTTGTTAGAGACTTTATACAAATAGTCTGGTCTTGACTTCTTGGACCACAAAGTATGACCAGCTATTCCCCAGCTAGTCCTAAGGTATGTTATATGATTTACTCTTGTAAGAAGCTGATATGTAGTATTATAGATCATAAAATCGAAAACAGTACTGATGCTAGCTGGGAGTAGTTTGGTTCTTACCAAGCTTTGGTTTCATACACTCATTTAACCCCTTCCGCTCCTTTGGCCGCTCTCTCACTTGCTTTCTCTTGCTCTCTCTCTTCCTTGCTCTTCTCTTTTCTCGCCACCTTCTCCTGGCCAATTATCGCTGGCCCATTATAGTGCGCTTCAGATAAGATATTAATAACCTCTTTTACAGGTTTACTCACTCTTATTGCTTCTCTTTTTCTCTTATAAATCCTCTTCTTTGTAATGTAAGTATTTAATATCAATGTAAAAAACTGATTTACTAATCATTTCTTTTTTATCTCATTCTTTTGCTTCTGATGGGCTCTCTTTTATCATTATTTGTCATCTGAAATTATCTTTTTTTTATCAGTGTGCGAATAATTTGTGAATAAAGTGTAAATGACGATGTAATAAGGAGCTTTCTTTCGTCTTATTTACTGTATTTTTATTGATTATTGACGTTAATTTTATAAAACATTATCGAAAAATAAAAAAATTATTTACGTAAAAAGACGACAAAGAATATGTTTGAATAAAACGGCATCATGTCAAAAGAGAGAGAAAAAAGTATGCTAGTATTAGAGCATACATCCTAATATTAGTTTTGCTTACCACCAAGGTGCATTCTGGGGAGAGTAGCGATAACTACCTAGGATTTTATAAACAAAAAAAAAAAGGAACGGAGGACTGAGAGAACCCAGAGCATCAGACGAGGCAATTGGGAAAACATTCCAGATACACGCCAGAGAGTGAAGAGGGCAGGACAAGCGAGTCAGGGCAAAAGCCATGAGGGCAGGTTAGTTTTGATTTGTGAATCTTTGAACACTCAGAGAGACATTTGATAACTGCTGTAAAGAAGCAAAAAAAGGACTCAAGTAAAATGAGTTTTTATATGTTTTTCTTTTCAAGTAGGGTATCTAGGACAAAGAAATTATGTCAAATAGGAGCAATTTACATCGTGACCATTCAAGAATATGCATTGCCAAATATGACTACATGTTCTTCTGATTTTATGGAAAAACCGAATAAAGAATTTAAACTTTTATAAAGAGACTAAAGAGGGCTATTTCTAATATTAAGTTAGTTTCAACTCCAAGACAGCCCACCCTGTTAGTATTACTGTCAAATGAGATAGTGAGCCATATTCTTTTTGTATTTGTTATTACTCTGACAACATTACAATGGTTTCAATACGACATCTAAATTTGGAAAGCACGACATTCAGTTTCAGTAGCAGCGTCATTATTTTTTGGAAATACAGTATAACAAAAAGACTCTCGTCAACATATATCTTCTTTGTTATTCGAGGTATATCACACCATAGAAGAAATCTGATGGAAGATCCGCCAACTCTGAGACTTTTTCATCGGAGTCAATTCTAATGCATATGGTTTCTCGCTCTTATTAAACAGTTACTGATCTCAATAAATTCACTTGTAATCTATATAGGATGGATAGCTACTTAAAATCTCAAATAGGAATAATATTATGTAGAATAGAATATCTTCTTGTTAAAGCTGAAAGACGAGTGTAACAGAATAAAGGAAGGGAAAGTAAGATGAGCTAAGAGGGACCTCAAACCTTATTTCTGTTACTTCTTTTGCCCCACATTTTATTTTTTTTATTATTAACAATAAATTTTTTTTTCCCTTTTGGCGGATTTTACCGATCAACACACTTCATGAAAAACATTGAAATGACCCCTCTTCTTTTTATCGATACTCTATTTCTTTTTTAAGAACGTGTCATGCCTATGACATCATTAATAAAAATGACATATAAACTCATTTAGTTAAACCCTCTCCCATTTTTTTTATGTTGCGGGAAACGTCGGATGAGGTTCTTGACATCACAAAGAATGATTCGCGCAAAGACTAAATTGAATTCAACATCCGTACGAAAGAAAACCTTCTCCCGAAAAAATAATTTCCCTTCCGCTGTTACCCGGTTATAATACTTAGCCTTGGATTAAAAAATTTATTTTCTCCCTCCTCTTGACTCCACTATCAACCACCTCCCTTTTCTCTCTTTTGCGTCTTATTCAGTCATGCAGTATTCTCGCGTTGCTCTTAGACTATCTCGTGTTTCTCTCTCAAAAAACGTAATTGCTACTACTGCAGTGCGTCATGTTCAAAGAAACTTGCATGTTCAAACCGCTGCTTCTTTATATACAGTTGGTTATGACCGTTTAAAGTAAAGTTTTTCTATACTTTATATACACATGTACTAATTCTTATTATAGACAAAACAGTAACTTACAAAACAGCACCATCAAGAACCAAATTAGAACATACGGTATGCAATTGACTTTGTATTATGACAGTAATATACTTATTCCCGATATTTTGTATACAATATAGCCGACAAAGTAATCAAGGTTCCTCAAATGGCAGAGTCTATCTCCGAAGGAACTCTTAAGCAATGGGTTAAGCGTAAGTATCGAGATTACTGTGTATTAACAACGTGTGTGTGTGTGTGAGAGACCGTGTGCTTATACATTTTCCTAATTAGAGGTCGGTGATTTCGTTCGTCAAGATGAAGAGGTTGCCACCATTGAAACCGACAAGATCGACGTCACAGTCAACTCCCCTGCATCAGGCACTATTGTCGAAGTATACGCTAACGAAGAAGACACTGTTGCTGTCGGTGCTGACTTCTTCAAGTTGGAACTTGGAGATGCACCAAAGGAAGGTTCGTGGGAAATTAAGTCAGTTATCACACGTCAAGTGATACTCATACTTTAACCCTCTAGGTGCTGCTCCTGCAAAGAAAGAAGAGCCCAAGAAGGAAGAAGTGAAGCAGGAAGAAGTCAAGAAGGAAGAACCTAAACAAGAGGCTCCCAAAAAGGAAGAACCCAAGCCTGCTGCTGCTGCCCCTGCTCCCAAGCCCGCCAAGAGCGAAGCCCCCAAGCCTGCTGCTGCTGGCGAAAAGGTCTTTGGTAACCGTAATGAAACTCGTGTAAAGATGAACCGTATGCGTCTTAGAATTGCCGAAAGATTGAAGCAATCTCAAGAAACAGCTGCTTCCTTGACTACATTCAACGAAATCGACATGACCAACTTGATCGGTCTTCGTGCTGACTACAAGGATGCCGTCTTGAAGAAGCACGGCGTCAAATTCGGTTTCATGTCTGCCTTTGTGAAAGCCGCTGCTGTTGCTTTGCAAGAAATTCCTGCTGTCAATGCCTCTATTGACGGTAACGAAATTGTCTACCACGACTACGTCGATATGAGTGTCGCTGTTTCTACCCCCAAGGGTTTGGTCACTCCTGTGTTGAGAAACGTTGAAGACATGAACTATCTTGATGTTGAAAAGAACATTGCTGAACTCAGTAAAAAGGTAATTCTTGCTTTTTGTTGGAAGAAAACATAGGCTCTAACATGCCATCATTAGGCTCGTGACAACAAGATCACCATTGAAGATATGGCCGGAGGTACATTCACAATTTCCAACGGTGGTGTGTTTGGTTCTTTGATGGGTACTCCTATCATCAACTTGCCTCAAACTGCCATTTTGGGTATGCACGCTATTAAGGAAAGACCTGTTAATGTTAATGGAAAGGTAAAAGGATAAAAGAACGAGTATAACAGGATGACTCATGCCAAAATAGGTTGAAATCCGTCCTATGATGTACGTTGCTCTTACTTATGACCACAGACTTATCGATGGTCGTGAAGCCGTTACATTCTTGGTTAGAATTAAGGAACTCGTTGAAGATCCTAGAAGACTTCTTTTGAACATTTAAAACACCCAACTCAATATCAATCATTTGCATCTATACTATAATTAATGAGACAAAAAGAATCAATAAATAAATCTTGTAAAAAACCGAGAACAGCAATTAAGTTATAAAATAAATATCGTTTTTATTTAAAGAGAAAGAAGTGTGATATTAGCAAGCCTTGACAGGAACCCAAGCACTCCAGCTGGGACCATTCAATGAGGGAGTATCGCCTTGAGTCCACCATTGAGCCTTGTACAATTCACCGTTATATACTACTTGACTGCCACCAGTATAAGCTGTAGAAGCATTCCAGGTAGGAACACCATCACATCCACCAGAAGAAGTAGGAGTAGACGTTCCTGCAGTCGTAGTCTTGGTGCCAGTAGCCGTGGCAGTAGCTGTGGCAGTAGGGGTAGCTGTACCGATAGGTGTACGAGGAGGATTATTTGCGATGACGGGGGCTATAGCACTCAAGAGTTCACCGTTCTCTTCTTCAACGCTCCAAGCAAAGAGACCAGCTAAGCCAGTGTCAATAGCATACTTGGCCTTGACACCAAGGGAGATGGGATCGTCATAAGAGATGTATTGTTTGTTGGTAGGATTATACAACCAAGGAGTTTGAGTGACATTGTCAAAGTGACGAATCCAAGGAGAGGCAGCAGTAGTAGGTGTTTGGAGTACACCTTGTGAACGGAGGTTACTCCATCTCCAGACACCTGAAGCGACGGTGGTGTCAGAAGGACAATAAGCATCTTGCCAAGGGCCATCCAATGAATCACCCAAGGGAGGGTTAGGAGACACTGCTGGGTTGTACTGTGTCTCAGGTGCACTGCTGACAGTCAAGGTTTGAGCACGACCATAAAAGGCAACACCACCGGCAATCTTGTTGTAAGGTACACCAGCTGCTTTCCATGATTCAATGCCTTCAACGAAACCTGCAGGATAACCAAATCCAGGTGCGTTGTGGAAAGGTGCGTTGGGGCCGCTTGTACTGTTCCAGGCACCGTTGACATCAAAGGCCATGATGTGGAAACGGTCAACATAAGGAACAAATCCGGATACATCCTTGACAGGTGTGTCACCACCAAAAGGTGTGATATGAACAGCCATTGTGATTTCCTTGTGGTCGTTAGGGAAGTTTTCATCTAAGGCAGCACGGAGTTCCTTTACAAGCAAGTTGAGGTTTTGGACGTCATTGGGATTGACAGCATTACAGCCTGCACCCTTTGCAGTGGGATACCTATGCTATATATGAGATTTTGTTTTTTCTTTCACTTTCTAAATGCAACTTACTCCCAATCAATATCCACACCATCCGTGTTGTACTGCTTGATAAAGTTGACATTCCAATCAATCCATGCCTTACGGTTGGATTGAGAAGCAGCCATAGTAGAGAACTGAGTGGAGCCTGACCAGCCACCAACACTAACCATGACCTTGGTTCCTGCAGCATGAGCTAATGAGAGCAGCTTTGGGAATCCATAGGCGACATAAGCTAGTTTTTAACAGGTGAGATTAAATATAAAAAGCTAAACAAATTGAGCTTACTGTCAAATACACCAGGGTCAGCCCAGGTAGGGGCAGTAGGGGTGTTTTGGATGGCGAAAGCATAATAGATATGAGTATACTTTGAAAAGTCAATCTGAGAAGGAGGATAGCGACCGTAAAGCCAGTTAGGGAAGTATCTATGGAAATAGATAAACATTTTGTTTTGGTAAAGAAAAATCTATCTTACCCAACAATAACTTTGTTAGAGGACGCAGCACGTTCTTGTAAAGAAGCAATAGGTGATGCCTCTGAGACGGAATGTAGGAGACAAAGACCAACGGTGGCAACAAGAGATAAGACAGAAGAGAGCTTCATATAAATAAAGAAGTTGTTTTTGTAAGACTGAAGAAAGAAAGAAAATGAAAGGGGAAATGAGCTACTTAAATACCTTTTTTTTTTTTTCTTTCTCTCTCTCTCTCGTGTTCTTTTCATGATAATGCTTATGAAAAGAAAATTATGAACCAAGGAACAATTACCTAATTCAGGGCCTTCCAAGGGAACCGTGAAACATGTCTGCCGTGTAACATTCCTACTTTTATGAACAAAACAGAGACCAAAAGATAGCTTATACCCTATATCATAAACAGGGAAAAAAGGAAAAACAGGGTAGAAAATGTTACAAAGTAACCATGGTGATGGCGTTAATGTGGTGCAAGCTTTATGTAATCCACGTTGAATAATCCATTACTTAATCATTTAATTGTAACCAAGAAAAAAAAAGAGAGGTTTTTGCATAAAATAATGTTGGTGTCATTCAGTCACTCTACTTTCCGGGGCAAAACAGACATTTTGGTATAATCAGCCGGTATATTGGATGATAAGGATGACGCTGCAAATAAATAAACAAAAACTTGTATGGTAGTCAACCATGGACAATTGCATTTTAATAAAAGAGTATATTGTTCGTCTCACATGCTTTATGGCAGCATGTTCAAATATGGACATCATCAAATCAGAGGACGGGTTCCATTGTGTGGTGCTTGTGCGCTTTGTAATAATTACCATAGTAACCAGATCATAATAATAACATTGATAATAAATGAATGTGTGAAATGGTTCGATGATTGTTCAAAATAAGAAATGAATTATATATTGAGGGGCCCTGATTTATATGTTTCACCAAACGATTTACACTTGTAACTTTTTATTTTTCATTAATCTTGGGCTTTTTTACATTTTGCTTTTCTGGAGCATCTGGTCTATCTATGCTCATCGGACTGTCTTCGTCTTCATCTTCATTCTGTCCTTCTTCTTCTTGTTCTTCTTCAATATCGTCTTTCGTAGTAGTATTAGCTGGTAATGTTTCCTTTTCCATAATTTGTGTCAAGAACTCATTCAACTGATCCTTTAATTGTAAAATTGAACCTGTTATATTTTCTATGGCTGCTGAATCTTGTTGTATTTCAAATACTTTATTGCAATTAGGAGTGGAATAGATTGCTTTCACGTTTGACATTATAAACAAAATAAAGAGAAAACAGCCTTAAAAATCAATGTCCAGGACAAAGAATGATTGAAATTTTAACCTACGCTGCTCTTGAAAGTCTCTCTCTTTAAATGAGCATTTGAGCCATACTCTGTTTGTTAGAAAATCGATTATAAAAAAAAAGCTTATCATCAATGCCTATAATCATAATACACACTGAGCAGGCTATGTTATAAAGCATATGTCGAAAAAGTTAATGGAAGGGATAAAAAAAAGGGTTTATTTAGTTTAATGTTCTATTGAAAAACTTCAAGGTATTCTGACTGACAGTGTTGATGAATTCTTTGACACCCATGCTAGCGCCATTACCAGTAGGTCCATTGATTGCTTCACGGAAAGGAAGACCTTTTGTAACAATAGTGGAAAAATCCAGAGTTCTGTTAAAGTTTTCAGAAACAGCAGAGGCGGCCATATTATTGCCAAACAGTCCATTGCCTCCGTATTTAGAAATTTGACGCAAGGCAGATGCCATATCGAAATCTGGGGGAATTCTTCCGTTTGACACATTAAACATCTTGGACATCTCCACATTATACTTGAGGACCATACGTGGAACAATAGCATCCCAAGCAGCATCTTCTTGAAGCATATCAGCAAGACTATTGATATGGTCATTGGTTGCCGTGGGGTTCATAAGCTTCTTGGTGACGTTAATCAACATATCTTCAAACTGTTGCTTGAACTCTGGAACTTGTAGCATCTTGTTTGTCAATGGTCGGTCATAAATATGCGTGAAAGTTGTGTAATTGCCAGATATAAGAGGCGCTTGTGGAGCAAAAGATGTGCCAAAGGTCAAATCCAAGTCTGATGGGATGTAGATGTATTTCTTGGAGGATGGGTCTGGGTAAATGTAATAGTTATTGGCATTATATATGTATCCATCAAAGTAAGCATTAAGGATTTCAAGAGCCATGGAGCGAATAACGGAATCCATATCCAGCTTGGACTTCCAAGCATCCACTGCATTAGTGCCATTGACAGGAGCGTCGGCAATAAACTTGGTCAATTCTTGAAGAGGAGCATAGTCCTTCTTGTTGCCAGCCTTTATCTTGTATTGCCCATTCTCATATGCAGTCAAGTTGCTTAGGTAGTTTAAGCTTCCAGTGTTGTTCGTACCAGAGCCCACACCTTGATAAAGATTGCCGCCCTTGTAGTCTTTGTCACCATCAGCAAATACGTTAGCAGTCCAAGGATCTTGAAATGTTTCGATCAAGCCAAACAGTCCGATTTCTTGGTCATTCAAAAAGACACGACAATAAGAAAAATCGGTTGAGATAAGACCCAAAGACTTGACCATACCATAACCAAGCTTCTCGTGCATATAAGATGGATCCATTGCCATAGCTCTTAACTTGATACGTCTATAACCATAGATCCTGTCCTTTTTGTGCAACTTCAAATTATAAGAGAACTTGGGCATCATTCGAGAGCTGACACCTGCAATTGAGAATCCAACATTTTGGAAAGATAGACTGTCATTCAAAGAGACATAAGACACGCTTGTTTTGATCTCTATATCCTGAGATGCATTACGATGCAACAGGACGACCTCTGTTTCGTTGGCAATAATATGTATGGTGGGGATCTCTCCTTCTTGATGCAATTTAGAAGAGATGCGATGAATAAACGGCAATGGTTTGTATACAGTAGGTAGTGGCGCAATCTGCTTCTTGTTCCATGTTCTATTGAAGAATTCGTTCACTGTGTCTGTTTCCACAGGAGATCGAAGGAATGGTTCGCTGATAGTGCTGTTGTCTAATTTTTTAATCTTGGTGTATCTGTAGCCTTGACGAGCCACAGGTGCACTACCAGTGTAAAGGATTGTGCTAGGCGAATTGAGCTCTAAAGCATAAGTGACATTGTCCACAATAACGGCCATTGATTGTGATGGGCTTAAAAGGCCAATGACATTGTATTTGATGTGTTTATCTGCTACCCCTTTTTGTGCGCATACAAAGGTCAGTGCGCCAAACACTAACACAAGAGTATTAGATCGACCTATTTCCAATGGTTCATAAACAGATACTCACAAAAGATTATATTTTTAAGGTACACCATGTTCTATGCTGTTGAATGCAAAAAAAGAGTTCAAAATCCTTGGTACCTTTATATATTTTTGATTCATTATAAAACTTTTTGTTTGGCCGGAATAGTGTCCGTTTTTTCCATAAAATGATTGGACAGAATTAATTGTTCGCTGTGAGGCTTCAATGATTTTCAGATCCGTACCTATACGCACAGAAGAGTTTCTTGGCAACAGCGATTAAATTATCAGCGAATCGATTAGAAGAGATAAGAACACAAGAGCTGAAACATGCTGTTACATACAAAAAAGGCAGTAATGGATGTAATGAATTATGCTGATCTAGCAGTTGGCTACAAAGACTTTATTAAGGAACGATAAAAGCGTCAATAAATTTATTATTGTGATTGCTCTCGTTTGGTAAAGTTGAATATTGATGATATTCAGATGAAACGAGTTCTTTGTTTATGATGAGGCACAAAAAAAGAGATTCTGTGCAGAACATCTTGCCAGCGAGTGTCAAGGTTTATCTTCTTCAATGTGCTTTAGTAATCCTAAAGTGCTAATCTCACCATGTGGCCCACAATAAAACAAATTACCTGCTCACTTGATATTATGATCATAACGCAGCACGCTATACCTAAATGAGAACAAAGAACGACTGAAAATGATACAATGTAAAGAAAAAAAAACTTCATGCATCTTTATTTTGCTTCTTTTCAAACATGCATTTGGTTTAAACCTTGTATCACTGTTTCCATGGTGATATTCTTCTTATTGGTAGAAATATGCAGCTTATTAAAAGCATCAATCAGACGCTGCTGCTTTGGCAACGCTGGTTTTTTGATTCTAGAAGCTAATATGGGTATACGTGAAGGTCTAGCTTTACGATGCAGTGATTTATGTCTGTATGGCTTTTTAGGAATGAGAGAAGCCTTTTTCAAATGATGAAATTTCAATGAATGCTTTTGAATGCTAGTTTGAGAAGAAGACGGGAATCTTGGTATAAGGCTTGGTTTGTTAACTTCTTTGCACTTCTCCTTTCTGCTTGGTATCATTTAAGGAAAAGAAAGTTTCTCTTGGTTTCCATGAGAAAAATAAGCAAAGGGTAATTTTTATTTTAGCAAGATAATTTTTTTAATTTGGCAGGAGTCAAAAATCATACCGCTGCCCCGAGTGAAGGTGATGCATCGGATGGTCCTATCCCAGAAGAAAATGTAAAAATGATTTGAGGAAATAGTATTAAAGAAACAATCCTTCATGTCGCGTTATCTGAGCCTATTACCATCTCATAGGAGCCTGGAAGAGGAGGCAGTAAGTATACCTTTTAATTTTATTTTAAAGAAGAGACGCTCTTCAAACCTTGATTTTGGATCCTTAAGACACACTTTAATACAAACAATAGTTATTCTTCTAGTATTTAGAAGTTATCCTCATTTTATTTTATTGTTTACAACAGATCAAAATCGATTTCTTAACATCTTCTGCAGAACAGCGGTTAATATATGGGCATTGCTACTCTGCTGTTTATATCTCATGATTAAAACAAAGACATGCTGACTTTTGGATCATCAATATATTATTAATTTACAATAGTCTCTCCATAATATCTATACAACCACTTGCATAACTTCCCCCAAACATGGCGTAATGATTAAGATGATGGTATAGTTCATATATCATCACTCGCTCCTCTCTTCCTTCAATCACAGGAGTTTCAGATATGTCATCATACGCGTCAAAGCATGCTTGGCTGACTCCACCAAACATTTTCATCATACCAAACTCAGCTTCATTATGTCCATAGTAAACTGCAGGATCAAAGATGATGGGTTGATTGGTGTTTGCATGAACTGCCCAGTTACCACTCCACAGATCTCCATGAAGGAGCGCAGGTTTTATATTAGGTAGCACATCGGGCCCTAGCCAATGTTCCATACGAGAACATAGCTCCTTACCGTACCGATCGATATCTTTATTCCTTCCTCGCACCTGATTGAAAAGTGGCTCCATACGCTGCTTACACCAAAACTGGCACCAGTCGGTACACCAGCTATTGTCCAGTTCTGTTGTTCCACAATACGATGTAACATTAAACCCGAACTTCTCGCTTGTTCCCTTGGAATGCATCTGAGCTAGAGAGATACCTAGCTTTTCTTGAATATCGTGTCCTGATGCCTTTCCTGCCATCGGTACATACTCTGTCACGATAAATGCTTGCTCGTAGTCTGTACTACTTTCTTGATAATGGATAGGTCTTGGAGCAAAGCCTGGGACTGCACGATTGATACGTTCGAGAGCTAATGATTCCGCCTTGAACCACTTGTATGCTTCTGAATCCCTATTTGTCTATATAGATGAATTAAAGTATGTGTGTGCGTACACGCGTTTAGCCCATTTTTGGCACGTACTTTGACAAAAAAGTCTCCTTTATCTGTTGTATATTTTGCAGCTTGGCTTATACTTCCTCCAGAGAGAGATTTTATGTGGTGAACAGTTGAGCATAGACCGAGGCTTTTTATCTTTTCAGTAATATAATGATTTTCTGTCATAGAGTAACGATAATAAGAAGAAAAAAAATAGTGAAAAAAGCAAAAGATAAAATGTATGTCCAATACGTCATAATGTATCCTGCATTTTCGTAGTGTGTTTGAGCTCAGACTTTCAGGTTGTCTCAACTATTGAATGTGAAGAACAATGGCAGTAGGCGATCACTTATAAAAGCCAAGTATTTCGTTTCATAGTACTTTCTAGAAATAAAATGAGAGACGAATATATCAAGTATTTAAAGACATAAAATGAGCAAAAGATTGTTTATTTTAGAATATAAAAAAAGTAGCATTATAAATGTACTAGGGGTATTATATATTACAGCAAAAATTAAAGAGTATGCATAAATCCTATACATCATATGTATATATGTATATAATATAGGGAAGGAGGAATCTGCGGATATATATATTATGGACAAGCAAGATATTCTTTTTTTTTTCAGAGTGGTTACAGATCAAGAAAGATTTCCCTTGTTGGTAGACGATGAAGGCGAAGAATATATATTTGTACGAGTAACTGATGTGGAAGTTGTAGCAGTTGAAGACGATTCAGCCTGTTGAATGACTTGTTGTTGTCTCATTAATATGTAATTAGCCTGAGCAATAGCTTCTTCTACAAGATAAAGGGCATAATCATCAAGAAACAAATGAATGGTATGAAATGAGCCTATTGTAAAAAAAAAAGAAGAATGGTGTCAGAAAGCAACACATCTACAACAAAAACAAAGCTTACTAAAACTTCTCGCATTTTGCCGAGCTAAGCCCTTCATGATAAGAGAAGTGTAAAAGTTCCATTTTAATAGGAATTGCTTTGCTTGAGCAAGATAATGACTTGCATCATTAGAAGAAGACTAATAAAGTGATGAGTATAGATTCAAACAATAGAAAATCCATCTTACAGGAGTAAACTTTTTCAAATAGCTGTCAACAATGTTTGAAACCCAGTTCATCCAGTGATCCAGACTGATTTTGACGGTTAATAAATCATAGATTTCTTGATTCACTTTAATATAGCATGAGTCAATGAATATAATAATATGATGTCAACTTACAAATATGCCTAATGTCTGTCGTGTTGCAATCACAGACCCATAATGTTTGATCCAATAAGCCGTCAAAGTCTAACTGCTCCCAGTCTTTTCTCATGGCTGATAAATACTCGGGCATGTTTAATACAGCTGTGGCTGTTTGTGCTGCATGATTTAATGAAAGATGTCTTCTAAACTTGGCTGCAAATATACGAGCAACTATCAACTTCTTTTTCGTAACTATTGAACAACAACATAGGGAGGGGCTATTTTTTTTTACCATCAAATTTCTTTTGATAAAAGTTGATTGGAAATCGAGAGACAAAGGCGTCAATATAGTTTGATAGTTCACGAGTATAAGTACGAAGGGTGATCATCATGGCTTGACTTAGAGGATAATTCACAGTAGGAAGGAATCTTTCGATTATTGTCTAAACAAAGATATGAGCATTGTATACGTATGAAATATGTCGCTTACATCATAAAATAAGCTATCATATCTCCAAACAGCTTCAGTTATTTCAGGTACTTCATGTATCATGAGTCGAAAGTTTTCAGGCATACGGTCATAAAATAGGGCCATTACTTGTTGAATTTTATCAACTTGATGATGTGTAACCAGATATAATATCTGTCTACAATGGTTCTCATAGGCAGAAATAAAAGAATGAACGGTAGCATCCAATTCATTTGTGTGAGTATAAGATAGGATATTTGGTTTCATAAAAGAAGGTAATTGAATAGAAATAGATGGATCCAATATATTACTGGCAGTAGGGTGAACAGAAGAAGCAGCACTTGGGCTTGTTGATATATTATCTCTTGTACTGCCACTGTTATCCTCAGTTATTGTCAAAATTTGATCATTTCTAATATATAAAAGGTCAATGATAAATACTTAATCATCATGCAGTTGCTTTACGTCTGATTAGGTTCATTGCTTGCCCTAACTCTTATTCCACAGTAATGATATTTTGATTGACCTCGAACACCCAATCGTCTCGTCTTTAAATCAGGAAATACGACTCTAATTAACTTTCCAAATGTTGCTGAATTGACAGGTGTTAAATTACGAGCGGCACAGTGAGCCTTATAGTGCTCATACATATTTCTCCTAGGTACATTATGATCTCGCTCTTGTACATAATTGCTTCTAGCCCTTCATAAAAAGCATACAGATTAATACAGATTTTATCATATTTATAATACTCACCAGGTGGTAACATGCATATTTGCTTCTCTATCTGTCATTATGGGATCCAATATATCACTTGTATCGTTATTATTATTATTAACATTTTGCGTTGCTCTAGTGGGGTTGTTACTACTGCCAACAGCACTACTTTGTTTATCTTCCCCTATAAAATGTTTATCAGAACACCCTTTTCTTCTTTTTATAGTAACACGCGCATACCCTTTGAATCGTCATTGTCGATTGAGGAATGTACACTCGGTAACATCATATAAAGTGGCCTGATCAAGTTGAATGTATCAAAAAGAGGAGGGAAATTTTTATCTCTTTTCTTTCTTTCTGTCAAGTCTTTTTGCTATATATATATATAAAGAGTAAAGAAAGAAGAAAGAAAAAAGAAAGAGAAAGAACTCAAACCAGAAAAATAAAAAAGAAGTGCGGAGTGTACATAACAATTGACAACAAGACAATAACTTGAAAAATGATAAATTTAATCTATAAACACTTTGGCATCAATATCAGGGAAGAGTTCAAAGAAGGACTTTAGTAAGTCAATGCCATGCTTGACATCATCTACACCACTAATTTCCCTAATAGAATGCATACTCAGTTGTGGATTGCCAACATCTAAGAAGGGGAATTAAATATATTGTTTCATTCGTTGTGTTTGCATCTACTTGCCTACTGTACGTAACCCTAATTTAGCACTCAACATAGGCCCAATAGTAGAGCCACACGGAGAGTCATTACGAACGACAAATTCCTATGAGCATAATTGAGTCTTGTATCTTCGTTTATCTTTCTTCGCGTTACCTGAATAGGAATACTTCTTTGACGCGCTATTTCGCGTAAAATTAAGCTTGTTGCTGCAGTAGTTGCATATTTCTATATTCATGCGGTTTAAACAGACGTGTTCATTAGATCACATGACAGCATACCTGATTCGCATTTATTTTGATGACAGTTCCTTTATGCATCTGAGGTCGATGATTTTCTTCATATTTCTCCCTACATCAATAGTCAGATTAACCCACATATATATATTTCATCTCTATTACGCATAATTAGGATGCACAGCGTGCGCCATATCAGCACTAACAAGCATGCTCCTGTGAATCGCCTTTTCAAGTGCAAGTTTGGTATTCACTGAAGGCTTTATCGAGGCTACTATTCTTTCTAAAGTACTAGGTAACAAGTTCGAATTGGCTCCATGGGCACTCGTACTGCCAATTTCTTCATTATCAAATAATGAAATCAGTCGAATGTTCTTGTCCTCCTGAATATTTTTGGATTCTATAAGTGCCATCAATGAACAGTAAGTCATACCCAAGTTGTCCAATCTGGCTGAATAGATAAATTCATCATATATGCCACCCAGGGTAGCAGCTTGTGTGTCAAAAAGGCAAAGCTCAAAATCATGAATTTGACCAACTATATAAAACACATGTTTGAAAGATATCTTCTTTATCCAATAGATTCCTTTTACTTACTGTCGACATTCATCTTGTTGGACAGCAGGTGCATCAAAGCAGTATGATGTTTATCTGTCTCGTCGTTTCCTTTTTTTAACTCATTCAGTGCTCTATTATTTTCAAAAGCTATCAGTCAACAGGATAGACTTGTATCACAGTTTCATATTACGATTTTGCTGCGGTTGCTAAAATAGGCACCATGTGAGTTTCCTTGTTAAATTTAAACGCATCATTGACAGATCCGTCCAGATGAATAGCCAATGTGGGAACACGTAAGATAGGTCTAAACAAAAGAATTATTATTTTATGCATTGTTGTGATCATATGTAATCAACTTACTTTTTTATGTCCACAAGTGTATGTCGAAAAGATCCATCTGCTTGCTTTACCATCACTCGTCCAGCAATACCCAGATCACGATCAAACCAGGTATGCCAAATACCACCACCATATAATTGAACACCGACCTCCAAGTACCCTTGTTGCTCCTTTTTACTGACCGGTTTGACCTTCAGACAGGGTGAATCCGTATGTGCACCCACGATAGAAAACCCACCTTTATCTACATGATATTCTCCGCCGATAACAAAGGCAACCAGTGATGACCCGTTTCGTGTGAAATAATACTTGCCCTTCTTTTTCAAGTGCCATTCATTTTTTTCACTAATCTTTTGAAATCCTGCTTTCTCTAGGCGAGCAGACGCTTCATGTACAGCGTGGAAGGGCGAAGGTGAAGCGTTTAAAAAGTCAAGGAAGTCAAGTGCTTCTTTATTTGTAGTGGAGTAGTCTACTTTATGTGTAGAACCAACGATCGTGGCTGTACTGGAAGATAAGCTGCTTGATCTCTTGAGTGAACGCGAGAACTGCTTGAGTAGACCACAGCCAACCATTTATCTTTAAAAATAGATAGGAAACAAAATCTAGTAAAAACAACGCCAAAGAGTGAAAAAAAGATAACAATGTGCGGATTTTGAAATTCCAAATGGCGGTCTTTATTTTCCCATAAGGCGGTTTTCTTGACGCAAGTCAAACTCACAAAAAAAGCTTGTTACTTTAACGTGTTTGATATAAATCGTTATAATACTCTATATTTTACAGTAGAGCGTACATTCTACTTTACATTTCTCTATCGTATATGAGAAGAATAAGTGTGCAAGCAACATTGATAAATAATCACATTGATCACATTAATATAAGTAGCAGCCATAGATTCTCGCTCCCTATAAAACGCTTATGCGTCTTATTTTAATAATACTCATCTCTTTTTAATGAAGAATGGAATTCGCAAGGCGTCAATTTATTGCTTTTTTTAAAACTGCAACTAACTGAAAGTATGGGCATTTATGAATGATGAGGGTATTAGTAGAATTATATTTGAACCTACAGATTTCATGGATAAGACAATAGTGGCAACTTGTGATAACATAATAAGGAGACTGAGTGTGTGGTATACTGAGTGTGCTGGATGAAAATGGGTTCATGGTGTATTCATTTTGCAAAAGTAAGTAAACCTAATCTTTTCTTTCACTTTCTAAGTCATTACCAGAAATTTGGAGATAACAATATTACTCAGAAGCAGACTGCATGTATCCTTTTTACCAAAGAGTATAATCAAGAAAATGTGAAAGAATGTTTGGAACTAGTTGAAAATAACAGTATAAAGGTGCATATTTGCCATTATGGAGATCCTGGCCGCCCAGCTTTGGTACCAATGACATACATTAACCGTCACCCATGGCACTTTCACCTATACCTTTCAATGGTGGCGAATTCCACTGAAAATACAGCCCTAGAGAATAGCAGAATTATGCCAGGAGATCCAAGACCAGAGCACACACTGCTATGTAAATAATGCAGGATATATATAGACTAAAGAAAATAATGTCAGTGAATTCCCACTACTATTGCTTTTAGATTGGGGGATCGTGATCTAATTAATTTTTTAAATATTATCTTCCGTTGTGAGTCCCCTGACAAGAATGACGAGCGTAAATACATGTACGAGGACTTGACAATGAGTGAAATTTACTCACGTATCTCAAAATTTACAGCACGTTTCAGAAACTTGGAGGATGACACTTCTGCGTTTCAATCTTGGGTAAAAAAAATTGAAGCCTGATTTTATGTCTATATCAACAAAACGCAGGAGAATCAAAGACAAGAAGAACTCTTTGATAAGGAGTGTTAGAACGCGCTCTCTATTTGTATTAGATGAGAGTTACTGGGGTGAAGTATTTAATAGTATTTAAAATAAAGGTATAGTTTTAAATTTTTAAACAGAACAAGTTGCTGATTCCGCAGTCAACCAAATGGCTGCAAACTTGGCAAATCTGAAAAGATAAAACTGGAAGTAAAGAATAAAAATTACAGTATGGAGTATATAATCGATTATCGCTGAGGCTAGGTAAGGGCTAGGTTTGGGGGGACCGAAGGACGTAGAGAGAGCATATTCATAAGGAATGACAATGGACCTCGTATAGTTTCATGTATAAAAAGACGTTGATGCATATCAAGGCAGTTAATAGTGTAATTCTTAGATTGCTGCTGCGTTGTGTGCTTGAGACATGGTCGAGGTTTACCACAAGTAAGCCAGCCTAACCTCCAGCGTATACAGCGACTGCGCTCTGATTTAGACACGGGCAACTAGAGTATAGGATCCAGAAAGATCGATCGACTGCAGTTAGAAAGTAGTCTTGAGTTTCGGTATCGTTGGTGGATCTCTAGATCCTGCTGCAAAAAGTGTCGTTTAGCAGCCTTGAGTGAGCGAGTGTCGGGTTCTTCAGTAGTAGACAGTGCCGTTTTTCAAAACATTCTGCTTCTGATTGGACGACATTTTATCTCTGAAAGAACGACATAAAAACTGAATTTCTTGATATTTGCGGGTTATGCGTTGGGATTCATGACATAATCAGCCAGGTATAAGTACAAGTATACTCCAAGCTTCATCTTAATCAGGAAAAATAATATATTAATAGTTTATTAAGAGAAAAAAAAAGAGAAAAGAAATATAATAAAGGTACAAGTACATTCTGCATAAATTCGAATGCTCGGTGTCCAATCACAGATGGTATTTACACCGAATAATGGAAAGCGGAGCTGTCCAGGTAATCACTACCATGACTACTACCACTGCGACCTTGAGAGATGAAGGAATATTGTTGAACAATACGAGGAGCCTGATCTCGCTCAGTGGAATGTATAGGTATGTGATCTAGCTCGATCAGCCTTGGACATTCTAATATGAACAGTGATCGGTACACAGCTCTCCTTGTCTTCCAGTGATCGCTTAATGAATGCACAAATACTTCGTCATCAGCAGCCCATTCGTTATCTAGTGTGGCCGCAATATAGGGAGAAATCGGTATCTCGTCAAGCTGATGATCATTATTTTGTATCGAGTGTGATTTTACAGCGGGTGGATTTAAAGGAAGATAAAAGTTGGTGCACATTGGGTTTTGTCTGTTGTTGTGTATGCGTTAGATGAACGTTACCTACATTCAATAGCATTTTTTTACCTTAAATCTAAACAGGCTAGTCTCTTCATCTGCTTCACAACACCAAGCACTTCATTTAAACTTGTAAGTCGATTATCGATCAATACCAACTTTTTAAGGTACTTTAGTTTCTTTAGCGGACGTATATCAGCAATTCTATTCATGCTTAAATATAGTGTTCCAAGGTTAGGCACTTGTTTACTAAACTGGGAAGGGAGCTCCTCTATATCTGCAGCACATAGCTCAAGGTACTCCAGTGAGTAAAAGTCAACCATTTGATGTAAGCTTTTAAAAGGACTTCCTGATAGGTATAACTTTCTTATACCACGTAAATGCTGTATATTCATTTCACTATCAAAAAAAAAAGAGAGAGATAAATATACAGTAAAGGAGGGAAGTATCGACATACTTACACTTTAGTCTTTCCTTGGTCTCTGAGAGAGAATGCATCCATTCTCTTTGTGCAAGCAGCACCCATGATTCTTTCGATTTGGTTGTCGTCTAGATAAAGTAGTCTAATATCAGGAAATAGTGATATATCAAATGACTTTAATCTGTTGTAACTAAGCTTGAGTTTGCAAAGCCGTTCCATTGGTCTATTCAAATTGACTATTTTGACATTGTTGTGATCTATATTTTATGAGTATATGAAATAATGACAATTGCATAAAAATGATTACCCATATTCAATTCCCTTAGTTTAGTAAGAGATTCGATAGATTCAAGACGCTCGATCCTGTTGAATGATAAATCCAAGATCTCAAGATTATTGCATTGACTATGCCGTTTTATTAGCATTTAGTTTCTTTTTTCCATAAATATCAACTTACCTGAAATCTTGGAATTCGTTCAGGCGATGAATATCATTTGACTTTAACGATAGACTGACGATCCCCTCTAATTTTCCAAGCGGCGAGTATGATCTGATGAAATTATGTCCAAGGTCCAGTATCCTTAATGATTTTAACTCTGATAAGTTTTCCAACTGAGAAAGATAATTGTAAGATAAATAAAGTTGTTGTAATCTTGTGAGGTTATGCAAGTCTATTGAAGTAAGTCTATATATTAAGAGTAAATAAGCCATATTTGTGTTCATCCTAAAAGTACCTGTTATTATTCGCATAGAGATAACAAAGTGAGTCGGGTAAATCATGTAACTCGGTTAGTTCATTATGTGATCTATCAAAAAAAAAAATGAGCAAGGATATCATTGTATGATGCGAGTATAACTTACACTCTGAGCTTTTCAAGATATGGGAAACACAGGCCTAGGTTATTGAGTGCTGTTATTCCTTGTCTATTCAGGTTCAAAGACTTTAACTTGTAGCATTCACTAATCGCATGGTTCTTTTCAATCTCTAAATAGATTCCCGCCAAGAACTCTTGTTCTGCTACTCGGATACAATTTGACAACATTTCTTTAGTGACAGCCAATGGGTTATTATGATCATTGTCATCATCATTACTATCATCCTGATGTATGTCTATAGATGGCTGCTTATGTTCTGTTAAAATGATGGCTGGTTTTCTCTTTGGGTTTTTTATAGGGCGACTACTCGATGGACTTGGTATGGGTGAAGTAGCTGGTTTAAACGACGCAAAGGTCTGTTGCTGTTCTGCACGTTGACTGATATTGTCAGTGATCGTCTGTACAGCTGGTGCTTTCTGAAATATTTGAGTCGGATCAAACGTAAAGCCAGCCGTAGATGGTTGTTGACGCATCATGTTTTCTTCATATTGTTTCAAATTATGACCTTCCTTTGAATCACTAATGGCCTTTATTGGGTTTGAAAGGAAAGGGGAGGATGGACCTTTATTTATGTTCTGCCAACTTGCTTTTCTATCAGCGTCAGATTCCCTTGTTGATGGTGGATCAGAAGACATGATAAATAGTGGGAAGAAAAGCGCAGAATGTATAGGATCATCATTGTTATTTTTATACAAGGATTGATGATATATTATGGGCTCATTATTCATATCGTGATTGACATAAATAGTATCTGCTTCATTATCAGAGTGACTGTTGGCTCCTTCTTCATCTATTACAATGTCATAATTAGGCACTTTATTAAACCGCTCAAAATTAAGTGCTAACTTTTTCTCAAATGAAGAAGAAAGCGGTGATTCTACTATTTGCCATTCTTCTGGTTGCATTGCAATAAAAAGAAAGAAGAAGAAAAGTGCAAGGAAGAAAAAAAGAAATGAAAAATTAAGGAACAACTTTAATTTTTACTGCTTTAAAATCTAACCAATCATTGCATGTGTATGCTAAAATCTTGTGTACATAAAAGTCAAGTTTAAAGCAAAAAGAACGGCATTTAGTTAGTAAACAAGTACACCAAAATGTTGTCAAATTATTTCAGTAAAGTGACTCTCTTTTTTTATTTATTTGTACAAATATTACTATTATTACTACTACTACAAGTTGTCAAAATCAAGTTCTTTCCCTTCCATCAACTCTTGTTCAACGAGTTTTAATAATTCTTCATCTTCGTCATAATCCTTTAATGGCTTAACCTTGTTCACGGGCTTTAATTTAGGCAAGGTTGTTGGTATAGGTGGCATCATCATCTTTTGCTGGTTGAGCTCTTCATTCAGCTCTGCCTTTTGAATGGCTGCTCTTTCTTCATCCGTAAATTGTCTTTCTTTAGCAGGTTTCAAGAATTCGTCGAGCTTTTCATCATCAATGGCTTCAACTAGGTCCTTGAGTTGCCCTCGATATTCTCCTCCAACAAATACCTGTGGAAATTCTTTGATTCTGCCTTCTGAACTACCATTGTTGTTGGCTCGTTTAGCATATTGTCTAGCTGTCTCACTAGAAGCAACATCAACCAGACTGAATTTGATATTGTTTGACGTAAGCAATTGCTGGATCTGCTCTTGATTTCTCTTGATCTAGTTACACAATAAGCACGTTGTTATTCTAATGACATTGTTATCCTTACCACAGGGTTAGCGCTTACAGATGAGTAGTAGATTTGAACCTTCTTAGGATCTAGTGGGGTCAAGATAGGTTCGGGCTTTTGATATTCAGGCAAGCTACCTAATACTCTTAACAAGGTCTTGCTCTTGCTTTCTACAAGAGAGGGTGTAGGACGTAACTTGGGTACGTTTGCAGGATGTGGCCATGAAACAGCCTCTGTAGGCAAGTAACGTTCAGTCCAAGTCTCTCTCTTTTGTCCTTGAGTCTTTTTCAACTTGTTCATCTGATCTTTTTGATGGTTTTCAAGATTATCAAGTTCATGTTGATGAGATTCTTCGAGATCTTGAATTTGAACAGCATGTGTATGCTCCTGCTGCTCAAATTCTTGCAAGATTTTTTCTAAATGCTCATTAATCGAGTCAGCTGTAGGATCCTGCTCAGCCTCCTTTCTTGCTTCCTCCAATTGCTTTTCAAGCTGCAATTTGTCTTCTTTATGCTTCTTTTTAAGGGCAAGAATACTAAAGCTCTGTGCTGTCTTTAGTTTGCGTAACTCTTCTTGATGATTGTTTTCTAATTCATCTATTGCCTTTTGTTGCTCTTGTAAGAGTTGATCTTTTTCTGCTAATGCTTGTTCGTGCAAGCGAAGACTTTCTTCATGTGCCTTCTTTTGAATCTATTTTATCATTTACGCAATGTTATGCACTGTTTCCCTGAATTCATGTACAATCAGTATTACCTCGAGCTGTTGATTCAAGTCCTCGATTTTTTTAAGGGCTGCTTCCTTATCTTCTTCCTTGTTTATAGCCTCATTATCCTTGATCAACGAACGAAGCTCCTCCAACTCTTTTTCTTTATCTGCCAATTGATGAACAGCTTGAAGATTCTACAATAGTGTGTCATTATATGCTTGCAGTGTTTATAACAAAGTCACTTGCCTGTTGCTTCAATTCTTCCAACTGTTGAGCTACCTGGTCAATCTCTGGTGCCTTTTCTTCCATCAACCGCTTTTGTTCCTCCAGTTCCGCTTCCTTTTGCTCAAGCAACCTCTGTTTCTCGGCAAGCTCTTCTTCTTTATCGGATTGGGCAACGTTCGAAGGCGGACTTGTGTTTAGCTGTTCTAATTTACTGCGAAGTTCTTCGATTTCTTTTTCTCTTTGTAGCAGCTGCTCTTGTTTGCTTTCCTGTTCTTGTTCTTGAAGTTGCTTTTTTAATCGTTCAAGTTCCGCTTGTTGATCAGCAATCAGTTTCAGGTTTTCTTCATTCTTAATACAATCAGAATTAATATTCTCTGCGGGGGATGCTTAAATGATATAATGTACATTACCTTGGCTTTTAAATCCTTGACTTCTTCCTTCATTTCACTGATAGGGAACTTTTTCGTTGTGGATGCTGCACTACCAGTGACACTTGTACGGTTTCCTGCTGTACTAGCAACACTCGTGCGATTTCCTGCTGTGCTAGTGATACTTGTACGGTTTCCTGCTGCACCAGCGACACCTGTGCGGGATTTGGCTGTTGTTGTTGTTGCTGTTGTGCCTTTTACGGAAGCTGCGATACTCGTGGGCCTTGACGTGGGTGGCGATTTCCTATTAGGGCTCTTACCACTAGCGAGAATCGAGGTACGTGAAGTAGGTCTAGGTAAATGACTATCTCCTGGAGCAACAAGTGATGATCGATTACTACTGGCTACTGTCTTTCTTGAAGCAACAGAAGGTGTTAAACTATTGATGGCCTTTGAATTTTTCAGCCTTGAAGTAGCTGTCTTTTTGACACCTCTTTCCTCCGAACCATTGGCCTTTTTTTCTTTTTTCCTAGGTCCAAGGCACACCATGATCTTCTTTTTTAGGGACTCCAAAAGAGAAAAGTGAAAAAAAAAAAAATGAAAAAAAAGGGGGAAAAGTGTAAAAAGAAAGACTGAACACACACAGCACACGTTTTATATTGGCTTTACTCTTTATGGATGCTCACCACGGCGCACAACAGCTTATTCATTTACCTTTTATAGTGTACTGCAATCGGAATTTGATTTGATTGATCTCACCTTTTTTTTTTGCCTCTTTTTGCCTAGAAAAATCTAGAGGGCCAAGATCTTTTAAAGTGATATATTGTAAGTATTGGTTTTTTTTTTTTTTTTTTTTTTTTTTTTTTTTTTTTAGTTTTGATTTTATTTTATTTTTATTTTTTTTTTTTTTTTCCTCTGTATTTGACATTGATCCCAAGGATAGGTATCTGGTAATTTTTTTACTTTAAGTTTGCGTGTGATAATATTAAAAGTAGTAAGAGGCAATAAGATACAGTAAGACCGAATTCATTCTTTTATTGACAAAGAATGTTGCTTATTTATACTTTAAGTTTACTTTAGGATTATATTCGGCAGTTGTCTTGCGGTAGAATAGCTTAAGGGTTTCCTAGTTTTATTATTGTGCCATTCTGAATCAAGAGATGATGTTATGTACTAGTATCTGCTACTGTAATGATAATTTCCTTAGTTTTAATAAGCGTGAATTGTGTTTGGATACGACACTATAAAATCGTTGTCTTGTTAGTCAAAAGTAAAAACAATAGCAGGTGTAGCTTTCTATAAAATCGTATAGTAAAAACTTTATTATCAATATACATTTTTTTTCTTGTATAAAAAAGTAATTGAATTAAGATGAAGCAGATGGAGGAGGAGGTAATGACGAGCCAGTAGGAATGGAAGAGCTTCCTGGCGGAGGAGATAGTCGAGCACTGGAAGCACTGCTACTTGGAGGTGGTGGTGGAGGGATACCAGATGAACTGGCTGGAGGAGGAGGAGGAGGAGGAGGAGGCATACTTCCAGCTGGTGGAATTGATGTTGCAGCTACGGTAGCATCAGCAGTACCAGCTGTAGCAGGAGGATAGCCGTAATAACTATAGTAACTAGGATCATACTGGTATTGACTACCATCTGAGTTATAATAACCACTATAGTACTGGCTATAATCATAAGCATATGTATTTCCATCTGCTGGCGCACTAGTAGGAGCGCTGTAACCATTGTAGTACTTTTTTGAGAAAAAGTTAGTTTAAGAGAATGTATGTTAGTCTTTCATTTTGCGTGCTTCTTTTTTTTATGCTTTATAAAGTAAAAAAAACTGTATGTTATCATCACACTTACTCCGTTGTAACCTGGACGACCACGTCCATATCCATAAGATTGTAACCTTTCAGCTTCTTGTCTAACCGTAGCCAATAAGTCCTCAGTCAATTTAACTGCTGAATCCAAGCCATCCTCTTTAAGACAACTATATGATATAAATCAACATTCCATTTAAACGTTATCTCAGATGAATGACTTACGTGATATGGACATGCAATTCTTCCTCTGATTCTTTACCAGTAGTTGCATCAATAAACCCAGAACCCTTTCCCTTTAATTGCACACGAGCTCCTGTTTCTTGAACAATATGCTTTACAAAGGCACCTTGAGGACCTACAATTTTGGCGCGAAGGTTGAAAGGTGGATTACCAGGTACATTCACAGGTATCTTCTTTTCAAAGAGCTTGCGTTCAAATCGTTTTTCTGGCTTCTCAACTGGCTGAGCCGAAGGAACTTGTGCAGTCTCGATCAACTCCTGTATCTTTTTCACAGCTTTATCCAAAGATTCTCTTGTTTTTGCGCTAACATGTAAATAGAGTGGTGGTTCTCCCGGTGAGGCTAAGGATATATCTGGATAATACTTTCCTCGTGTTGTCACATCTGATTAATGGTTAAGATGGGCAACTCTTTATTTTCTTTTTATCATTATACCTGCTCCGGTTTCCTGATGAATCTGAGATTGAGTTGCTCCACGAGTTAGCATATATCTATTCTTCAAATCATTAATTGGGATGTTCTTTGTGAATTCACCCTCTTTGCTCTCTTCAGCATGTAGGTTGATTCCTTTCTGTTGAAGCATGGCATTGATTCTAGCTGCTGCTTCACCTATACAAACTAAGTCAGATGTGCCCTCAAGATAGCCGATTAAATACGTTACTAGCTACTTTTGTAGGATCAGCATCTAGTTTTGTTACTTTCTTTTCTGGTGCATTTTCGTCCTTTTGATCTTCTTGATCCCACTTTCTTTTTCTTAAAAAAGCCATAGAGATTAATATCAATGCTGTTGTAATGATGCTAGTTACTTACTTTATGTTCTCAGTCATTATTTATTAAAATAGATGAATATTAAGTTTGGAAGAAATGTATAAAGAACGTCTTGGAACAAAATTTTGAAATACGCAGTCACAACATAAATCAAGCTTGATACAGCCCGGCTGGTGGACATTGGCGGTTACAAAAAAAGTAATTGTCGAAAGACAATGCATCGATATTTTTGAATATTATAATTCTCTTCCTATTTGCTTGATCATCAGTCAACAGAAAGCTAATGAGAGCATTTTTGATCAAACTTCACAATGCCAAGGGCTTTCATTTCTGAGAAAAATACAATGTGCATTTTGGGCGAAAAATGTTTACTGCTATCAGAAGACAACACTAACAAAAACGAAATGAAAAGTCACCCATTATTGAAGATAGGGATGGCCACTAAGTGTCATATAAAGATCAGATTGTCAAATAAATATTTTATTCATAAATAACCACTTTTAAGGGATTTAACAAGTGTTGGTGGAGAGTATAGTACTAGTATAGGCAGAGGACATGGTATTGGTGGCAAAGGACTTGACACGTTTATTGTATTGAGTTCTCAGAATTTTACTAGTTGAAAATTGCATGACTACTGCTTTTTTGTCTTCATGACCTTGTTTGAAGCATTGTTTCCAGCTGACTCTACCTGATTTTTTATTCTGAAAACGTTTGATATGATCATTTAATTCAATATAATCGTTATACATTGTTAGATTTGATTGTGTTTTCAAATATTTAACTGAAGGAGTATCAGGAATGGGTGTTGTGTTTCTTCCTATTGTGTGCTTTATTTTTTGTCGTCTGAGATACTTAGATGCATCATCCAAATATAGCATTGCTTTTTCGATTGTGGTTCTATCCTCCTGTTGCATGCATCTTTTTATTTTTTCTATTTGCTTCTCCATACTATCACAAATTGACTAAATTGCTTCTACTTTTTCTGTTTCCTCGCCAACTAATTACTGCACGTAAGTATTTACCACTTTATATAAAAGCATCATTGTTGAGTCACCAGAGCCGCAATCAAGGTGTTTTATCGAGAGTTTTTGTGAATACAAAAACATACCAATAGCTGCTAATAGATCTAGCTGCTCAGTTGATTTAACTTTTGATAATGTTATTGAAGACATCATTAATCAGCGCTTGGCTCAGAAGAGACACGAAACATCTAGCCTGTATGGATAAGGTGTAGCTGGAGTTAGCTTACTTGTTACTAACGTGGTTACCGTAGACACACCAATTATTAAAATAACCGGGTATTCGCTATATTCCTCAGACCAATGGGGAGTAACGTGCAGCGCGAGACATGTACTTTTCATTAACATTTTTTTGGACTTCTATTATTATGGGCGGGTATTCACTAAGAGCCACTTTTGGGAGATATAGAACATTGCAGGCGTTTTTATCCAGGAATTCGCTAGGGGCGGCCATATAATGATCCTGTGGACTATTGTTGAGGCTTTTGCATATAATATTGATAATTCTTTTATCAGCTAGGACGACCTTGCTGATTAAATCGCTACCGGTGGCAAACTCTTCTGGCAACAGGTAATCTATTATTGTATATGAGAAAAAGTATTTTCATTTACACAATATATTTTACCTACCATTAAAGGGGATCATTACTTGTTCCAATATGAATGGCAAGCACTTGGTGCACTCAAAAATGCACCAGAAGTTAGACTAATACTACAGGCGCTACCTCTATTCACTACCAATGACGAAGTCCAACAAAACTATTCAATGTGTAGCGTCAAGCTAAACATGACTTTAGAAAGGTATCATCTTGAATTGTCTCTTTTCAAAAAGAAGAAAGAGACAAAAAAGAAATGTTGTTATTGCTTTATTTTAGTTTTATGTGTCAGTTTGATCAACAAAGATGCAAGAGCACGTGTAGCTATGATGATATCGTATTTTATATCAGAGAGAGTAAACTGAACAGTCTTAGGTTAGGCAGAGGCTTTGGTAATGTAAAGTTGTCAAGCGATGCCACATTTAGCGCCCCCAAGGAAGCGCTCGTACCATTAGTCTATTTTTAAGTGCATTTTTGAGTGCACCAAGTGCTTGCCAGATGAATAGTTGATTCAGACATGGCAATGAAGAAAAAAAAGCGTACTGTACCGTACCAAAATATCAACCCAGACTAGTTAGATGCATAGTCCATATAATATTTATAATAGTTGCATATGGTGAAGCCACCACATGCTACCACTGTGATAAACATGCTCACTTCATCTCAATTACTTTCAAGATATATTACTTATTGATAATATGCAAAGATCATAAAGAGAACGTGATGTTTTAATCATTTCGTTTTTCCCCAGGCCAGTTTGAGGCGTAAAAGAGTATATAAAAACCCTTTCTGGGATTGAGGGTATAAAAAGTTAGTGACGCTGTTATAAGACTGAACAGGTCAAGGGACTCATTTTCCATTGTAATGTTATCAAAGTAATAACAAATACAAGAGAAAATGGTTCACTATTCCATTTAACAGCAGTATAAACAGCTGCCTTGTTTTGGTGCTGTAATTAACTTAATGTTTAAACTATCCTGAATAGTTATTTTACGACAATGTTTTATAAAATTAACGTCAATAATTAATGAAAATATAGTATAATATGCTACCTAGTTACAAGAATGATTCTTTTTTTCACCCCGAATGATTTTAGCCATGGTTTATGATGTAGCTCATGATTCAAATAGACCGCCTAGTTCAAAAAAGGAAGTTAGGTGCTAAAAAAGGAATCTTTGAATTTAGATTAGGCATTTGCCCAATCACATTGTTACCTTTAAAAAGTCGATTTTTTTTTAATGCCATTTTTTTTTTTCTTTCTACTTCAGCCCTGTTGTTGTATGCCAATTGTTGATCTCTATAACGAATGTCGACGAATTCTTCGGCTAGAACACGCGCAGTGTATGGCACTTCTTCAGTAGAATCTCGATCTATCTTTGCAGATAGTCCTAGAGAAGCACAACACCCAACCCGAAGAGATTCAGCTGCGCCTCTTATTCATACACCTCCTGTACAGCTTGCCGTAGACAACGATCCTCTTGAAGTAGGCTCCTTGCAGTCTCACTCTCACTCGCTTTCTCGCTCTACAAGCTTGCACAGAAGAATACGGAATAGTGGTTACGGTGAGAGTTCAAGCGAGGATGATAGTAGTAGTAGCAGCAGTGGCGACGACAGCGATGCTGAGATCAATTCAAGCGACGAATACCCTAGTGACATAGATATTCCAGGGCATGATATGCATGCTTTTAATGGAAGAAATGATACTCGTATTCATGGATTAAACGATATACCCCAGGATAGCTGTCATGAGCAGGTATTGCTCTTAGAAGAAGAAGACGTTCAAGTTTATATCTATGGTTACAGATACAATCGACTACACTTGTTTCTATACAGAGTCTTTTCTGTCTTGTCATGTGGTATTCTTTGGCTTATGTTTAGATGGATACCTCGGTGGTATATATCCTCCATTGGTATCAAAGTGCCTCTGAAAGATGCAGAATGGCTTGTATTTGAGGTAAGCAAAACAAGGATACCCCCTTCTTAATAAGGTCCTTTATTAAAAAAAAAAAAAACATATACTCTTAGAGTCAGTACAAGGAAATAGAGATCATCAAGCCAAGACGTGAGCTGTATGGTGGAACCATTGGATCTGTATTCTCATATGATCAATTGAAGCAGGAAATATCCCATTTGAGATCACATACGAATGCTTATCAGCAGTATCTAAATATGGAACAAAAGATGACTCATATTATAATGGTAGACTATCGATACATTCGACTCGTATTTCATCCTGATCTATGCAAATTTCTTATTGTCGGGTAAGCTGAGAGAAAAAAAAAAGGGATTGACCGTGTCCCGTTGACATTCTTTCCACACAACAGGTTTTGGAAAGACCAAGCATGGAACTCAACTAAGAACCTAAAGACAGGACTGACTTACGAAAAATATCGTACTCGATTATCAGTTTTTGGCCCCAACTTGATCAACATCCAAGAGAAGCCAACGTTGAAACTGCTGACAGATGAAGTATTGAACCCATTTTATGTGTTTCAAATTGGAAGTATACTGCTTTGGTCTATGGACGATTACTATTATTACGCGTTCTGTATTTTCATCATAAGCGCCTTCAGTATTATTTCGACGCTTATTGAAACCAAGCAAGTAAGTTGCACATTTCTCTCACAAGAGAATAAAGGAGAGAGAGAGAGAAAGGCATTAACATGAGTTCAAACCTTAGACAATGAAGAGGATGAAAGAAATGTCTTGGTTTGAATGCAAGGTTAGAGTATTTCGGGGCGGTTCATGTAAATATGAGTGTAGACACACACACAACATGTCAAACTAATCCATTTATACACAAGGGCAAAACACTAGCTCCATTCAGCTTGTACCTGGTGATTTAATTGACATTGCCAATGTCCATACTGTTCCATGTGATGCCATGCTCGTATCTGGAGACTGTATACTGAATGAATCCATGCTCACTGGCGAATCAGTCCCTGTATCAAAAGTGCCAATCAATGATTTGACCCTTCGTAAGATGAACCTGTCTTCGTCGAGTATACCAGCAGAAATTTCCAAACACTTTTTGTTTATGGGCACTAAAATGGTCAGGGTCAGAGGCAATGACAATGTGTCTTTGGCTACAGCCATCGTCGTTCGAACAGGCTTCAATTCCGCCAAGGGTGGTCTCGTCCGAAGCATGTTATTTCCAAAACCAAACAACTTCAAGTTTTATAGAGATTCATTTAGATTTATTGGTGTTTTATCCATGATAGGTAAACAAGGTTTCATTCAAAGCAATAGAGAGATGCTCATGAGATTTTTTTTTTTTTGTAACCGCAGCAATCTTTGGCTTTTTGGTATCATCGATTAATTTCATTCGTTTGGGAATCGATAGTACGACCATGATTCTCCGTGCACTCGACCTGATCACTATTGTTGTTCCACCAGCCCTACCTGCCACACTTTCCATTGGTACCAGCTTTGCTATTAGCCGATTAAAGAAAGTAGGCATCTTTTGTATTTCTCCGCCTAGAGTCAATATTGGAGGAAAGATTGACTGCATGTGTTTTGACAAGACAGGAACACTGACTGAAGACGGTCTAGACATTCACGGTATACGTGCTGTGACGATAGGCGAAGATGGCAAAAAGTTATTTGAAGAAGAGTCAAAGTCGATCAGCCTGGTTCATCCAAATGATGATGAGACACTATCTACCAAGTCTAGAATTTTGCGAACGATGACTACCTGTCACTCCCTTAAGATTGTTGATGGTGAGCTCCTGGGTGATCCTCTCGACTTGAAAATGTTTGAATTTACTCGCTGGGAACTTGAAGAAAGTGGTGGAGCATCTTCCATGGGGTTGAAACCTAGAAGTGAATTGGCTGCATTACAAGCCAAAAAGAGCGCAAAAGTAGGTATTATGCCTACTGTTGTACGTCCCCCTGGAGGTGGAAATCATGAATTTAATTTTCAAACGGTTTGTTCTTTATTTAAACCCGGGAGAAAAAAGTAATTAACCGAACCTTATCATGATATAGGAGACACCTGTCGAATTTGGTATTATTCATACATTTGAATTTGTGTCTGCGTTGAGACGAATGAGTGTCATTGTAAGACAGTTGGCAAATCCAACTATGGAAATATTTGTGAAGGGGGCACCTGAAGTCATGAAGGATATTTGTCTGCCCGAATCAAGTAAGCTGAGTATTTATATATGTATATAGATACTGATTTAATATTTGTATAAATAAATAGTTCCAGAGGATTATGAACAACGATTATACAAGTACACTCATAATGGATACCGTGTTATTGCATGCGCCTCCAAGCAATTAGTAGGCATTAAATGGCATAAACTACATAAACTGAAAAGGTAAATCTCAAACAAACCAATCAAACTTGTTTACTTATCACTTTTTATTTTAGAAATGAAGTAGAGACTGGTTTAACCTTTTTGGGCTTTATCGTGTTTGAAAATAAGCTCAAGCCTCGAACGACTTCGGCTATAAACACATTAAGGAATGCCAATATTCGTCAAATCATGTGCACAGGTATTTATATATAAATTATGTGTATATAAAAATAGAAGAAGGTTACTTACATATTATGCAGGCGATAACGTATTAACTGCCATCAGCGTATCAAGAGAATGCGGACTAGTGGATCAGTCAGCTGAGGTGTATATACCTCGATTTTTGAAAGGATCATCTACTGAACCTGACTCTGAATTAGTCTGGGAAAGTGTTATTCAAGAAGGCCGTGAATTATCCGTTGATACTTTACAGGTAAAACATGCAAATCAGCCTGCAGCTTTTTTCTTACTTGAAAAATGACAGCCCAAGACAACAAACAACAGACTGCATTATGCAGAAAATCCTTATGATCATAGTTTACAAGACTACCATTTAGCTGTAACAGGCGAGGCTTTTCGGTGGATGGTTGATCACGCTCCAACTGAAGTATTTCAACGAATGCTTGTCAAGGGGGCTATTTATGCACGCATGTCACCTGATGAAAAGCAGGAATTAGTAATTGAACTTCAGCGTATTGGTTATTGTGTTGGTTTTTGTGGCGATGGAGCAAATGACTGTGGTGCGCTTAAGGCAGGTGATATTGGTATATCCTTATCAGAAGCAGAAGCCTCTGTAGCAGCCCCTTTTACGAGCAACACGATGGATATTGAATGCGTCATTGATGTGATCAAGTAAATATTACAACAACAACAACAACAAAAAGTACGTCAAACTCATCATCTTTCATAGGGAGGGACGAGCAGCGTTGGTGACAAGCTTCAGCTGTTTCAAATATATGGCACTTTACAGCCTCATCCAGTTTACTTCTGTGACACTGTTGTATGCCTTTGGAAGTAACCTAGGTGACTTTCAGTTTTTGTACATTGATTTATTTTTGATTTTACCTATTGCAGTCTACAGTAAGTATATTCAATATAAAATATAGCGTTTGCTTAAATATCTCTCCATAGTGGGCTACACAGGTGCATGGCCACATCTCTATCATAAACGACCGACAGCAAGTCTCGTATCTAAAAAAGTGTTGGTGTCACTTATTGGGCAAATCGTCATTACTTCTGGTTTTCAAATGATTGCCTATTGGGCCGTTCACCAACAGTCATGGTAAGAAAAAAATATGCAATCTGAGTTTGTGATAAATGCTAATGCATAATTAAGGTACAAGGAGCCTATTTTTGACCCAGACGGAGAAAATATTACATGTTTTGAGAACACAGTACTGTTCCTAATATCTAGCTTCCAGTATATCCTTGTCGCTGTTGTGTTTAGTGTTGGCCCACCCTATAGAAAACCACTTTGGACAAATGGAAGATTAGTGGCGACACTTGTCATCTTGGTTGCTTTGACATGCTGGTGTGTTTTGGCTCCACCGGATTCACTCGAAGATCTATTAGAGTTGGAGGTGATACCTTTCTCTTTCAGGGTATTCATCCTTGCATTGGCTGGACTTAATTTGGGAGTGAGTTTGATGTGCGAGAAATACTTATTTGGACGATTTGCAACCGCGATATCGAACTCTAAAAATAAGATAAAGTCACTTGGCTCGAGACAAAGATATCATGTTGTGGGGAAGCAACATAAAAAGATTTATAAAAAAGTGATGGATGATATGGGCATCCATGATAATAACAAATAAAGTCTACACACATTTGAAACACTTTTATGTCGCGCAAGAAAGAGAATAATAATATAAAAAAAGGGGGGCAAAAGCTTAATAATACTTCATTAGATGATGAGTGGAAGAAAGAAAGAGAGAGAAAGAGAGAGAGCATGTGTGTAATAGAGAGAGAGAGATAGAACGAGTGAGCGAAGAAAGAGAAAGAGAAAGAGAGAGAAAGAGAGAGAGGAGAATGACGCAAACAGGAGGTAATCCCATACAATGTTGCTTTTTAAACTTTAAAAATCTGTAAAGTAATAAATGTTTTCTTTTTTTCTTATTTTATATTTCTTTACTCTTTTTCCTTCTTTCAGTTTTTATATAAAGAAATAAACAAATAATAACAACCAATCACTATTTTGATGGATCCAGAGCTTCACTACATGTCAATAGACAGTATACCATATTATAACAATCTTTGTAATAATAATAATAATACACCATCCACCTTATCCTCGCAGTCAGAAACTGAAGTATACAAATCTAGCGGCATGATACTAAATCATGGTTTGAATAATGGTACGATATTCCCTACAGTGGTTCATGACCATCCCGAACGGGGAATAGCTGGATTTGTATCGAAATTATACCAGTAACTATCTTATTTTCTCCTTGTGTTTATGCGTTAATCCCTTTTTATTATATTAGATGTCTACAGGATAACGAACATAATTATGCTCGCTGGTGTAAACATAATGGCATTGATATGTTTATAATAGACTGTATACCAGGTATTTCAGTTGACTTTATCACCCTAGACTTTAACTAACCTTGTATACACAACATCAAGAGTTTACAGAAATAGTGCTGCCAAAATTGTTTAAGCATTGTAAATTTGCTTCATTTGTCAGACAGTTAAATGTAAGCGTTACACAAAAAACATCGACAGTATGCATAAGCTTACAACCCCTTTCTTTTTTTTATACAGATTTATGGTTTTCAAAGGGATACAGATGCACGCAAGTCCAAGGATGGCAGAGATAGAGACTCTTGTAGATGGTATCATCCATACTTTAAACCAGGTCGTCGTGACCTCTTCCATTTGATACGTCGAAAACCACCTCGATATTCTCGAGGAAAGCGAAGACGACCTGAAAATGACGTGGATACGGTACTGAATGTATCAGAAGATGAAGTACTTACAAACAATGAAAATGAAAGGCGGAACTCTGTCTCCTCAGTCTCCTCCTCTTCCGTGACCCTGCATTCGACTGCCCCTCAGCAGATTAGTCGTGAGGGATCACAAGATACCCGTTTGCCTCAAGATCTGTTCATGTCATCGTCGTCCTCATCTATCCTTACTCCTACTTCAACTATTCAGCCAGAGCTATATTACACGTATACCAAACCTGGATATGATCTCGCACTTTATAATCAATCACTATTACAAGAAGAATATGAAATTTATCCAATTTATCTACAGCAAGATTATGTACAAATGTATGATACGCTAGCCACAAATAATAATAATAACACCTATGGCCTTTTTCAAACTCAACATATCAATCTCTTAGAACCCCCTTATCCACCCTATCCTTCAATTATCGAAAATAACCTTACAACCCATCCATCGGTTGAGTCCAGCCGTTTGACTCCTCAATTGACAGATATGATGAACCCCGTTACGCCTTTATGCACCCTTGAACATTATCCTTATTTTACAACAACAACAACAACAAATAATAGCTCTATGCCTATGCCATCTCAAAATTACTCTAATCCATCCATGTACTCAAGCCCTTCATTTGAAAAAACAAGTGACTTTTTATTATTATAGCTATAATCTACAACTTTCATCTTAAAGGAGGAGGGAAAGGGAGGAGAAGAAGGGGGAGATAATAAATAAAAACAATTCGTTCGTTTTCTTTATTTTCTTTGTCCAGAATTCTCACATGTTTATTTCTATGTGTGTGTGTGTGTGTGCAGCAGTCATTTCAAAAAGCCACTGCTTTTTATGCAAATCCTAGCAGCAGCTCAAATAGACTTGACTACAATATTTTTCTCATTATTATTAAAGCATACAAGTAGCTCAAACGTTTTATCCAATAAATGATACAAGTTCTTATTGTCTTGAGTTTTTATTCCAATCTAAAGCCCAATACTTTGAAGTGAGTCTACTGGATTCCATAATAGGATAGATCCTACGAGCGGTCCTTTTAACTATTATGGGAGGGATCCTTAGTAGCATATCACTGTACTACCGCTGACATGATACAAGTTTTATAGTAATCAATTAAAAATCATTTCTTCCCCACTGTAGAACATTGTGTTTAACTAGAATACTGGAGCAGTTAAATGTTTTACTTATAGTCAAAAAGTGATAACAGCTGACACATTCATTAAGCATACAAAGTAACGCAGATCCATATACAACGACTTATTCAAAACGAGACGAGGCAAGATCCAGGATCGAGATAATTTTGTAGTGTTGAAACTTTGACGGCTTCATTGGCCTACCCTTTAACAACGAATTCTGGCTCACTCACGTTTTCTTGCCTTGTCCATCCAGGTATGAACATTCAGCATCGTAGACTTTCAGTTTCTTTAAAGCCACAATAATGCGATTCAGAAAATGCTAGCAAGACGTTACGCTAATACGGGAGCATATAGTATTGAGATTTTGTGGTTAGACTAATCAAGCACACGTACCTTGATTCTCCAGCCCTGGAATCACAGGCTAGACCCTGTCGCTGTACTGGCAACGGCTTTTAAAAATGGCTTATTGCATAATTGCAATACATGTTCGCAGATTCTGACAGATTACTAGGTCCCCGTCCAGCGTATGGACATGATCCGAGCTGTCGATTAAATAAGTGAAATTAGTCCTCTTCTCATCTTGGTAGCAACAGATAAGAAATCAAAATACGACTTGCTATGCCCGTAATATTCGTGATATAATCATATAATTGCTTGAGTTTTACGTCGACAGGAACATGCTGCTTTGAAAATATACGCAACACCCTCATCTTGAGTTCCTCTGCTGTAAAAAAAGGAAATGAAGTACTCAGTTATCGAATGAAAATAACAAATTATACATATGCTCCTGAATTCAGAATGGAACTCATGTAGTCCTTTCCAAATAAGCCATTGAAATGCAGGGAATGGTCATTCATAAGTGACGTGGCTGTATACTTCTGCAGGTATATCGTCAAGTCGCTGCAGGGATTTTCCACATTGGATTATTGGCAACGCATTTCAGTCTGCCCAAAGGTGATACTGGTTTATGATCTAGTCAAACTACATTATCATCATACTATACTTACCTATAAGCGTAAGTGCTGAGTGTTTGAGTTGAAAGTGGGGCATTGAACTAAAGAAAAAAGGACAAAGTCGTTCATTCAGGATATTTATATGCGCTACACTGCAACACACGCCACTCGTGTGATATCACTTTGTTTATGGACTCTTATTAAATCATATAAGAGGGCTATTTGCTCTATGATTTTTCATTATTCTTTATAAAAGTAGTTTATGAGTGCTTTGCTCTTTCGTGCCTTGTTCATCTCCTGTATTTAACACATAATGTTTCCCCCTTTTTTTTTTGCTGCAATTCGTCTGTTTTCATCTGAGAGTTCAAGCTCCAAAATGATATATGTATCTTGGCTTACTGTCAGCATTTATGGACTTGGTGTATGCTCAAGTCCTGAAACGATATCTTTTGCGCGACATCTATTTACACTTAGTGCAAGCCAACTTCATCGCCTTATTGTCACTGACAACCCAGAGTAAAATAGGATTCACCCCAGGTAGGCTGGAGAAGCTAAAAAAAAAAGTGCATTTGAAAGGATTGATCGTGCAACAATGAACAACACTTTTATTGCATTTGCATATGAAATTTGTAGATGTATGGTGCATTTCTTTTTAACTCGACAGTCGGAGCTTGTTGTTGGAATTTCGAAAAACGATTAAAATTTCGACGATTGCCACTATTTTACAATTTAGTCTACATGATGCTGATAATTGCGGACAACAAATCTTTAGTACCTGAGCTGATAAATTGGCACTTGTAGCAAAGACAAATCTTTTTGATTTGTCCCTCGTGCTTGTAAACGTTATTTTAAAAAAAGGACAAAGACGCATACAAGCGATCTGTTTAATGAAGTGAGTATGTTTTCTAGTTTAATTGAGTTGTAATAATAAATTGATTCTCTCGAGTGAATACGCTTTTGACAACATGCGTTCTAGAGCTGTTTTCGAAAATAAATGATTGATTGTGTTCTTATTTAACAATAATTGCCAAACATAGTCATCATTTGGATATATTATGTAAATCATTGAATGTATTTCCCTTTCTTTAACTTTTTCTCTTCTTTTTCTTTTGTCTGGCTTATAGCCTTGTGTATACGCTATGCCTTCTCTTACAGTGACACATCATCTCAAAGAGAAATACAGATTAAAACGACTGGAAGTAGAAAATGGCTTGTTTTTACTCTATGTATAATATATACTTTGTCTCACATAATACCTTTATTTTTAACCTGATAGCAGATGTTGAAAATTGTGAAGATTGTAGCCTGCCTGGATATAAGAGTAAAGGCAGTTATAAATACTCGCTCTACGTAAGCAGTAAGTATACACATACATACATGCATTTCAAAATATTTCAATATAGCGTTATTCAAAATGACAGAGAAAAGAAAGATTGGCTCAAAATATAATGTCGAAACAAAGATAGAGAAAGGAAAGGAGAAAAAACAACGTCTTGAAAAGGCCAGTAACAGTAAAAGTAATGATCGAGTCTAGATATGCGAATCATACGACCAAATGGGCCATAAAAGTGCAAGGACCAAAGAATGTAGTAATTGCAAGGCAATACTAGATGAAGCGCTGAAAAATAAACTTGAAGGCAATTATGAGCGCTTTACACGCAAAGTCTACCTTGAAGCTGTTATAAGACCAGAATACAAGGAATCATTTACGAAGAAAATCATCAAATTAAGCGCATTCATTAGAAATGTCCTTTTTCGGGCGTAACTGTTTGTCAATGCATATATAGTTAATAACAAAGATTCAACTGATTTGGTTGCTATAACCCAACAGAGCTTTTGGTATGCTATCACACAACTCATTATGGGCCAAAAGATTATAAGCAAAGCCTACATTTCCAACAGTGTCGCTCTTGGTTTCGAGGATTTTAAAGCAGAGCACCCGTCTATCGTCTTTTCCCTTAAAGACAATCCTATAAAGGGCTACAGTGATGCTTTGTCTGCTGCTTGTGTTGTTCTTGCTACTACCTATTTGAACCACATTGTAGAAAATTTTCAAAGAAGAGTTATATATTACTTGACTGTCAGACTTGCTATCATTTATCCAGTAAGTTTTTAGTTATATATGCTTAGATGCGACATCGACGTTCATTACGTATATAATTAGGATAAGCCCAAAGGACTTCTGCACAAGTTGGCTGACGACTTTTGTTGGCAAATTTTAATAAATGGAGAACCCAAGTGGCTCATCCAGTACTTTGACCTTGTTTCAACCCAGAATATAGCACAAATACTTCCTATTTGTATTGGATTACAAGCTAGACTTTCCATACCACCTACTGTCAAGTACCTTGCCGCTTCTCCAGCAAAATTCGTGCCTGCTTTGGCTGTTATAATATCTGAACTTGAAGAATTTTGTAACGAGCGCAAAGACGATAAAGCAAAAATGCCTAGATGCTTTTCGTTAATGCCCACACCGTCTATGCATTGGCGATATATTTCTATAAATGCAAAGGCGTTGCAAGCAATTACAAAACACAAGAGCGATGGCACTTACGAAGGCAACGTAAACTTGTTTTATTCGATTTTTAACTTCAAGAAGTTTGGCTACGAAAGCCTGGACAAAATTCTTGAAAGTCAAAACAAGTTTACCTGTTGCATTCAAACAGATGGTTTTGGTGCATGCTTCGTGTTTTCAAGAAAGGCAAAAGAAGAAAAAGGGACAATACAACTGGGTTTGGAAGGCTTTTCTGACCGAGAAGTACAAGAGTGGTTTCAGCCCTGTACTGTAGATCTCGGAAGAACACATGTATTCACAGCAACCATACAGCATGAAGGGGGCAATCTAGAAACAAGAAGATGTAGCGAAAAAGAGAGGCAATGCTACAATGGTGCAAAAAGAAGAGCATGCCAAATAGAGAAGCTAAAATTAAGGGCTGGTATAAAAACAATAGAGACAGGCTACCCTTCGGAAAAAACTGTCGATATGGAAAAGACAAATGCATATGTCGCAGATGCTCTAATCAGCATACCTCGCTTATTCCGTTTTTACGATGAATGGCCAGCACTATTTCGTTTCTACGATTACCAAGGCAGACAAAGGTCAAATGCAGAAATAGCCAACATACTGATCAACGGAGGAAAAAAATACAACAAAGCAAAGCAAAATCGAAAGCAGCGCGAAAAGAAAAGAAAGAAGAAACAAGAAAATAGTCAAATGTAATTATGGCAATATTGCTTAATGTTTAAAGGCTATTGACAATGATATAGTTGGGCCATCTGCTGAAGAAAAGGAAAGAGCAGCTCGGAAAAGCAAGTTCCAATATTCTGATTCAATTCTTCTGGTAGTTTTTGGAGACGGCATGAAAAACAAAGACACTGTTGCTATCAGGGACCATGTTAACGGCGTCGCGGGGATTCTAAAATCTGCTATATGCTGTGGAACAGAGATGTAAACGCAAGTAAAAACATGCTTGATATCTCCTGCGCCATTTGGAGAGGCGAAGGAAGACCTTCGGTTTTCCTTAGAGAAATCACCGTCGAGAACACGGTTTCCTCCAACAGGGTTTAGATATATACAAGTAAATTTATTCAAACTCAGTATAAAATACTAAAAGGGTACGAAATCTAGGTATATATGACTGTAGATGCATATTACACATTTATTAGTATTTTTAAACAAAAGGTTCAATATTGATTTCAAGGGCAGTTGTGGGATTGGTCAATTCAAAGTTCTCCAAAACAGTGGGGTGAAGAACACCAAAGGAACCAAGCTTACACTCCTTACGTTCATGGGATTCAGAATCAATATATCTCAAATAAATGTAAGCTGATCGACCAGGGAAATACGTGGGATCCTCTGCTTCTTCAATCCAATAACCCAGCTCATTCTTGTCGTTCTTGTGAATTCTAGACGTACTGAGCATAGCCATGATACGATCCAAGAGACCATGGATGACTTCGAAGCCAGAGGTTTTGGATGTATAAGTCGCACAAATGTGTCTTTCATTTCTAGATCTACGGTCGCGTGTCTCATCCTTAAAACCGACATCAGATACTTCAAAAATTTTGATGGGCAAAGCCAATTTTTTGTTGGAGTTGAGTGTCTTTAAGATACCAGGTAAAAGTGAAGTTCGGACTACTTGGTATTCAATTGTCTTTGGATTAGCGAGTTTGATGGCTGTCTTGTTATCGTCTACTCGATTAAGGAACTTGAAGTTTTCATCATGAGAGCACTTTTTATTGATGTCAGTTTATCATTCAAGATTTTGTTTATGTTATACACTTACTAAAATTAAAGGAGCTACTTCGGTAAATCCAGACATGGCCAATTCTCTACGGACACTGTCGCTCAGCTTGTTCAGGGGCAAAGGAGCACCAAAGGTGTTGACACTAGGCATCTTCTTAGTCAAGTTGTCATATCCGTAAGAGATGGCTACATCTTCCATAATATCACAAGCGTGTAAGATATCCCAACGGGTAGGTGGAACGTTGACCAAAACTTGGTTGTTGTCTTTGGGGTCTACACTGGCATCTAATGACATTCTGTTCAAAAGTCGACAAATTTCTTCACCTTCAAGGTCAAGACCCGTGCAGGAGTTGATGTAATCAACCTTTGCGCTGGCCTTACGAGGCTCTAATTCAGGGAAAACCTTGGTGGTGTTATCAGGGTAAACAACTTCGACAGGCTCAACTCTAGGAAAAGGACGTTAGCAAGATAGAATCGATGCCATAGCTGAGAGAGAGAGTCTTACGTGAAAGGTTCAGCACAGTATTCTGAAAACATGGTGACAAGTGTGTTCAAGGCAGTGCTGGCTTTGTGTTCATCAGTGGCGGTGATTTCGATAAAGACATTCTTTGTGTTCAAGGTGATCTTTGAATGGTCAGAATTGATGATAGGAGGAAGAGAACAAACAACACGATTGGCATCAAAAACAACAGGATAAACAGGAGAATCGCGAATGATGTGCAAGTATTTGCTCAAATGCTTATCTTCCTATACAAAATTGTTAAAGTCTCTTTTTTTTTTTCCTTCATCCTTTCTTACAGCATAAAAATCCATCAGCTGAGGTCCGTCCATTTCAGCTGTCTTGTTTAATGGAACAAATTTGATATCCTTGGGAGGTAAAGCTTCATAAGAGAAGGGACCTTGAATGGTATCTAAATCGTGAGTACCCATTGAGGCAAGTGTTCTCTTGCTGTTTTTTAAAAAATCGTCAATCTGACTGGACTTTTAATTTATGACTCATAGCTACACTTTACCGACAAATATTGTTGTGAAGCTTGTCCTGGAGGTCAATGAAGGAGTCATAGTTTTCAGCCGTGAAGGTAATGTTGCGTAAAATGGCAGCGACAATGTAAGGACGGATTTGTTGAGTCTATGTATATATTTTGTTTTAATATTTTGTTTTGAGCTCTCATTTGAAGTTCTTACTGAAGATTGAACATGAAGTTGTTGAAGCTTGCCGTCTGCTGGTTTGACAATTTTGTAAGTAGGTGGTTTAGCCTTGCCTTCGAATACACGAAGAGCACGAGCCAGACCTTCTTGACATAATAAATCGTATCTAATATTCTGTTTAACACTGAACACACAACATCTTCTTTTGGTTGCAAGTTGCTGGTTTTTTTTTTTTACCTGTTGGCAGGAATGTCAATTTTTAAGGTAGGTCGTTCAGGCACATTTCCAGTATCTTTAGCTCCACTCTTTTCTACTACTTCCTTTTCAGAAGACTATATATATTTTTCATTAAATAAGTTCAGAATAAGTTTTGAAAATAAAGAAAGCTATTACGTCTTCTTCAAGTTCGATACCAAAACGGAAACAAAGCTCAAAGAATTCTTGAGAAGCTACATAGTTTTATGTCTTATTAACAAAAATACACAAACAAATTGGTTGTATAAAAAAGTTGAAATTACTGTAGTTTCTTCCGAGGGCCTCAAAAAGAGCTAACTTGTCAACGTTGACGGTAGGCATATTGAGCTTGTTTTTGCACTAAACAATAAAAAAAAAGAGCGACAAGTCAATAAATTTTTTAATATTTTCAACCTGAGTTGTGGCTTAGATGATCTCTCTCATCCCCTCTTGAAGAATAAAAGGCTCCTGTTTTAGAGTAAACAGCTTTTTTTTTATCAAGGCTTATAAATTGATCATATCATCATAACGAAGCAAATTTAATTTCATGCTTGCACTGTAACTGAAAGCATTTAAATCAACACTTGTCAAATATTTCCCATTATTTAAACACGTGTGCCCAACCGTAATGACAGATTGATCTGCTCAAAGATAATCTCATGAGCTTCTTGAACTTTAGCGATTACAAATCGAATAATTATCTCTTTTGTAAAAAGAGAAAGAAAAAGGAAAAAGGGTGACGCATTATTCTTAATTTGGTAATACACGTAATTTGGATTGTTCGTGATAAAATGATAAATGTAACTTTTATGCATATAAAATCAGACCATTCATATTGGCCTCTTTTCTTTTATTGTTAAATTAAGATAAGCAAGTAATCCTACAATGCGTGGTGTTCTATTCATTAAATATGGCTCAACAGATGAAGCCCTTCAGTATAAAGAAGATATCCCAAGTCCCAAAATCAAGAATCCACATCAAGTTCTTATAGAGATTAAAGCTACTGGTATAAACCCTGTTGAACTTAAAGCCACAACCGGTTCTATGAAACTCATGACCTCCATGGTCGTCTCTTTTCCTGGTATTCTCGGTGCTGATTTTGCTGGTGTGATCGTGGAAAAGGGACAACAGGTTACTGACTTTGAAGTTGGAGATGAAGTATTTGGCTGTTTGCCTATACCTTTAGGACCTAATGGAACTTATGCCGAGTATACAGTTGCGGATGTAAGGCATTCAGCTATTGCTAAAAAACCAGGGGATCTATCTTTTGTACAGGCCGCATCGGCTGGTATTGCGGTATTGACAGCTTATGACGGTATTGTCAAGTTTGGTAATATAACTGACCAAAACAAGTCTGAAAAGAGAAGAGTATTGGTCATTGGTGCCTCTGGTGGTGTAGGAAGCTATGGCGTTCAGCTTGCAAAAGCAGTGAACCCTGATAATTATGTCGTTGGTATTTGCAGCTCAAGAAATGCGGATTTTGTCAAGTCTCTTGGAGCTGATAGCGTTATTGACTATAGCAATGCTGAAGAATACAGCTCATTTTTACAAGACCGAAATGAGCCTTTTGATATCATCTTTGACTGTGTCGGAGGTGACGATTACTACCATAAACTAGCTCCTCTTTTAAAGCGTCATGGTGTTTATTCTACTGCTGTTGGACCTATTAAACATATTGGGTCAGAAAATATTTCTATTCCAAACCTTTTCAGCACTGCTGGCAAGCTTACGTACAGGAAACTATTTGCTCCTCATACATATGGTGTAATCTTTTCTCTTCCTCACTCAAAGTTCAAGACTCATATCGCACCACTTTTTGAATCAAAGGCTCTCAAGGGTATGGTAGTGGATGATAGCAATGTCTTTTCATTAAGAGATGTACATAAGGCGCATGAGAAACTGGCAACACATCGAGTCAGGGGTAAAATAGTACTTGATATCGAACAATAAAGAACCTTATTGCAATAAGCATTTTACTTTTTATTTAAAAAGATTGTATACATCATTTCCAGAAAGAAATGTCGCACTGGCTTGTCGCTTTTTCATATAAATTGTATAATGAAAACTGCAAAAATACCACTTTATTTTCTAAAAAGGCTGTACTCTAATAAAGAAATGTAATAAAACATAAAGACTTGTTCCTTGCACATTTGAATGGCCCTCCTAGATTAAGCACAAGTTTCTTTTCTTATCATTAGTCCTGGTGATGACAAATGATTTCAGTTCTAGACGCGTAAGCGCGTGGTAAATGATATTTTCCTCGTTTTTTAGGCACTATACATTATGATACTATGCTTTATCAATACCATTGATGAGCAGATTTGTTTTTAATGTGATGTTGGCTTTATATATGTGGTGTTATTGGTCAAGACGAGGCCACTTTGGATTATTTGTTCTATGTGGATTTAGTGCGTTTAGTGCAGCCACGGCTAGATTCGAAAGATCGGGTGCAGTAGGCATTCGTAAGCAACTTAATAAGCAGCTTAATAAGCACGGAGGTCTGGCTTATTTTACCCTTGTTTTATTGTTCTATTCTCACATCGAAGTTTTAATTTCTAAGATTATCCGTAACAAATGGCGAAAGGTAATGTCGATCATCAGTTATTGGTTCGTGAAGGAAAACGCACGTTAGTTCTGCAATATTATAAAGCCGTATTGTTACATGTATCTGCTTCATGTTGTGCCGTAGATGCACAGTAGCAGTTTGATGTGATTTATCAGTTAAAGCGAAGGGGTTTGTTGCCAATCGGAAAATGTGGCGAATGCATGCTTTAGAATATGTCCAAAGTTTTGTTTGTTTTTCAAAAAGTCATGTTTAATTCAACAGAAGTTAAGCCTATGCCCTGAATACACCATCCATCTAATTAATAATGCTCATCTTTTGTGCGGCGATGGACAATGAGCTGATTAGTTTTACTAAATTTAGTATTTAACGGATCAATATTAGTGCCCAGAATAAGAACTGGAAAAAATTTTGTTATCTTTAGCCGTACAAATTTTTATGCATATTGTTTACTACTTCCCTTGTGTCCATAGCCTCACAATTTCGTCATTGGGATATCCTTCACCTTGTGTTACGCTTCTTGTTAGCGTGTTTCTAATAATACCCTGGTTTTCTCTTTATTAAAGAACTAACTTCTCTCTTGTTCTTTGTTTCCCTGGTGCCTGTAACCCCAACAAAAGTATAAGTGACTGTTATGTCAGGGATATAGAAAGATTTTAATCGATGGCATCATGCTATGACAAAAAAAGAGATTAGGTTTAACCTTTGTGTTTCGCGTTTGACAATGATGGCTCGTGTGTTTATGAGCGAATGATAAACCGGAACAACTATATAGCCAATACAATTATTAATAAGCATGCGTGAATCTATAGACGGCCCTTCTATTTACACAGCCTTTTTGTTGAATAGTAACAATATCAAGTAAAAGATATTGATATACATAGGCTTCCTTCTTTTTGCCCAAATAGAAACAATATTAACCGAGCGAGCAAGGCTGCTGTATTACTTGCCATAGTTACACATATTATACAAATATGTCGTTTTTTAATATGCGTCCCGTCCATTGATTGAATATGAGTCATGTCAGTGATGGCTCAAGTAAGCCATATCTATCCATTGGACGGAATATTTATTATGTCTATCAGCTCATTTTAGGGGCCAATAATCAGCCATTGTAAACTAAAAAAATATGCAAAAATGGATAATTGCCGAAAGGGAAAAAGAATTTTTCCATATCCAGAGGTTTGATGTTTCCTTTTTGAGAACTGTGTTCAACTAACCACACGTGAGGTCAAGTGTCTTTATAAATGTGTACACTAAAGACTAATTTTTGACAGGCAAAGCTTGGCAATAGTATCTATTCAAGATATTTCCATGGTTACATATAATCGTTTATTTTATATTTACATATATCTCATGCATTACGCATACCTTCATTTTTATTGTATCTTCTCAAAAAAGGAAAAAAAGGATTACGAATTAAGCCATTAGTAACGCTTACCAATAATTATCCGAAACTGAATTTTAATAGTAAAACGGATGTTTGCGTGTTAACGCATGGGGAATTTATATTGTTAAATGGATATCGAGAAAAGAATGTCATTATTACAACAGAGATAGTCTATCATAGTATGACATGTTGTCATTTTTAATAATAAAAAATGGTACCAGGAAGCAAAAAATGGCTCTATAATATTCTATTTTGGGGTGTATTTACGTAATATATTTATGAAATCAAGTTACACACACTGACGGCTTTGCTTGGATATTAAATATCCATTGTTGCCATCGTGAATCAAACTCTTATCAGCCTTTTTCTTTTTCTTTTTCTATTTTTTTTTTTTTTTGGATATGGGCAAATCAACTCAAGAATTAAAATATAAACGACTTAAAGTCGGTCACGCCTGCTATGTTTGCAGAAGTAAAAAAATAAAGGTATATACATATACCTTTGTTTTATCATTTATACTAAACTTTCCCTTTGTAGTGCGATGGATTACGACCTTGTATGCAGGTAAAATATTATGCGATACATTATCGATTGATTACTAATCTTTTGTTTACATTAGTGTAAAGGTACATAGTCTCTTTTCTTTTTCTCGAAAATTTCAGTTTCTAACTTCAATTATAGCTCGTGGTAGAACTTGCATAGCCTCAAAGACAGATTCTGCTTCTCCGGCTGCATCGGATGCCAGCAAAGATGTTTTAGAAAGTAGTAACAGTAGTGGTAGTGAATCAGACGACGAATCCATTCTTTTCTCATGGTCCCGAAAGCCTTCGCCAAGCAATACCAATATATCAATCTCGCAAAATGAATCCTGGGCAAGCCATATCGCAGCTTCAATTGCTGAGTGTATTAAAGGGGAGGATCAAGATATGCTCAGCTTTGAATATCCTTCATTTGGAAACTTTGTTCGTTGGACAAATGAGCCTTCTTTGCCAACTCATTATTCTCACCCTATCGAGATGCCTACAGCTGATGTTCAGATGAAAATGATTGACATATTCTTCAAGTCATGTTATTCTATTTTACCAATCATTCCCAAAGAGCTTTTCTATCAGCAGCTTCGCGTCAAGGGTCCACTGATAACACCCCTTTTATTAAACGCTATCTACTGTATCGTTACTAATAATGTTGAAATACAAGATGCTCCAAAGGCAAGTGTCTTCTTTAACCGAGCCAAGAAGATGGTAGATGATTTTCTCGACATTCCACGTGTAAGCACTGTAATTGCACTCTGCCTTTTGTCGTTATATGAACCCGCTCCTTCAAGAGGACAAACAGCAATAGGTACACGCCATTGTCGCACCTGGATTTACTGCGGTATGGCTTCTCGCATGTGCCTGGAACTTGGCTTGAATATAGATAAACCAGAAACACGGAGAAACATGGATTGCCAAGAGATTGAACTACGACGAAGAGCCTTTTGGGGATGTTACATCCTCGATAAATTTCAAAGCCAGGAGTGGGAAAGGTCCTGGATCCTACCATCATCACTATCAAGAGTATCTTTACCCAAAGCGATGCCTAACGACGACGAGATGGAGCAAATAATCATTCAAGAGTTCATTCAATCCGCAAAGCTTGCCATGATTGCTGAAGAAGGCCTGCAAATCCGTGCCCTATTTGCTATTCACGATAACAGCAATCCGGCTGTTATCCAGGGTCAATTTGAGCAATACTATGCAAGAATTATGCATTGGAAGCAAAATTCTCCGTTTCCGGAAGATTTTTCCTGTCCAACGACAAACGAAACATTAAAAATCTTTGGCCCATCCTACAATCAAATATGCTTCTATCTTATGGTTGTCGAAACTCTCCACTTTTTACCCCAGAATGCGGAAAGAGCTGCTGAGCTTCGTACCTATGCTACCAAACTTGTAAATTACGCCGAGAGAATTTATCACCATTCTTCCAAAATAGTTCAACACGAATTCCTGGCTCATGCAGTCGGCGCCGCATTTCGTGTACACAAACTTTATTTAAAAAGCGAAGATGCATCGATTGCAAAGGACTCCTGTGACATGATTGATAAATGTCTCAAATTGCTTTCAAAAATACAAGATCGTGTGTCCATTCCCCATTTTCCTGAAATTATTCATCATTTGGTTTATAAGCACCAGGCTTTTAAAAAGAATCAGCACCTGGAATTGACACGAAAACCGACAAAAGATCAACCTACTGCGCCTACCCCGCTTGTACTATCTTTAGAAAAAAGCCACCCCAACAACAGCAACAACAACAACACATCCGATACTTGTCAGCAGGTGCAATCTCCAGCCACAGAAATTTCGCTGCGCGAAGACATCAATCGCCTGTCTATCAACACTGATTTTCGTGATCAACAACAGCCATGGTTACAAGCACTACAGGATATTGCAGATATACAATCAATAGCAGGTCCTACTACAGCCATGGAAGATTCTATTCAGCAAATCAGCTCTTCCCCTAGTTCTCTTCAAGGTGAACTGTCGTGGTCAGCGCCAATGATTCCAAACACTACATTTCCATTCACTGTTGCCGAATTATCCTATCAAGAACAATCTTACCTGAGTTCACCAAGCTTAAATTATTTAACATCCAATTCTTTTCATCAAAATATTCCCACACTCTATACAAACGAACCATACACTTACTTGTTATCAAGCCCAACCGATATCTTTCCAACCATATCAAATACTCCAACTGCTTTACAGCAAATATCCTATATGAACTAACCGAGAAACTATTTATGTATTTATTTATTTTTTTCCCCTCTTCATCTCTTCAAGCATCCCATATGCAGGCCTTGCATTGTTTTTTGAATATATTAACCTGTTAATAAATTGTACAAGTATATTTGCACATACGCTTAATTTCAGTGTTCCACAGTATCATATTTACAGGAAAGCACAACCCCAATTTCTTTTAAAAGTAAGTTATTAAAAATAAGATTGCAAATTAGAAAGTCAATATTTTATTAGTTCATCTTGTTTTAACGCTCATTTTACATCTAAAAGAGGAAAAACATCTTACTAGGATCAAAGAAATATGAGAACAGTTTAAGTAATACTTGCCTGTGTCAGTATATTGAGTTGGTTGTCTGCAGGATGATCATAACACGTAATATCATCTATAAAGAATATCTAGGATCAAGGGTACTTTGTGTTTATAATAGTTATTTAAAAGACTTGCCTATGTGGTCATTTGATACCATATTATGACTAATAAACAAAGGATTGGCTGTCATTGAAGAGCAGTCTGTATGATAATATGTATAAGAGGTCCACTACTGCTATATATATATTCTTACACTGTGTTAGTTGCTTATTTTCTTCAAAAAGTCTATTCGTTAGTTTTCTTAAAGAATGAAGTTCTTCATACAACTCTAGACACTGTCTTTCTGCCTTTTCTGCACGATGAACAGTTCTTTCAAGTTCTTGATTTAACCTTTTGTTTGAATTGTTCATGCGCATAATGGATTCTTCTAATTCCTTAATGTATTTTTTTCGTCGAAACCGAAATGCTGCTTGAGATTGACGATTGCGCTCCTTCCTGTTTCTTGTAACGCATTTCTGTTCTTTGACTGAATTCATTGGTAAATTAACAAAAAGAAAAAAAGGAGGAATTTTTTCAGCGCTGTTATTCTTAAAGTGAGGTTAGCATATATCCTGCATTGGATGTACGACTCTTGTATTCTTAATTCTGATTTAAACAGAACAAAAGATGAGAAAGAATAAAAGTGACATTGATTTAATAATAGATAGAAGACGCTTTTGATGGCTCTGCATTGTTTTCTCCAAACGTAATACGAGATCCGCCACCGATTGTACTTGCGAGTGGTTCAAAGTTAGTTTGCTGCAATACAACAACACTCTCCGGTCTGTCCTTTTCAGTAAACACAGCTGTGCTTCCATGAATGTAATTTGCTACAATATCACGAGCCTTGTGTAGTCCCATTTGGAAGAAGAAGCAGATAATGATGAACAATGAAATGATCACGTACCAAATAATTGCACTAGGACCAACTGACCAATCCAAGAAGGAATACACCCACCATTGTTCACTATCAAGATATCAATAAATTGCTGTCGTTTCAGATGTAGAACTTACACAGCAAAGATGATAAAAGTTAAAAACATGTAAAAGACAACTGTTCCATAGACTAAGAAGACCATGTTTCTCTGAACTGCCATCCTATTGAATATAACTTCAACCACCAATATAAATAGGGTGACCGCGTGCAATGAGATGCTTATCCAAAAGTCAATTGGACTCAAATGCGCTAAATACAATCATATGAGTGATACATCTTTGCTTTAATAAAGTATGGTTACCATTAAATAATCGTTCCTGAGCTAGCAATGCCCAAAACACGACAGGAGTTTGAATACTAAGGAGAAAGAAAGTCCATGAGCAATACAGAAAAAAGGAGCAAAAATGCAGTATTACTTGAAGACAATGATTGTATGATACAAGTATACATATAGGTAATTCAATACAGGTGCTTGATCAAGAAATGAATTAGGACGTTGTGATGAAGACGAAGTAAACCACAAGTACTTTGCGTGATGGTACTGAGTCGTCTAGAACATACAAGTTAACCATAATTATATTCCCCTTCAAAAATCAAATTACCACAAGATAGGCAGTAAGACCAATAAATGTTAGATCAGTAAAGTAAGCGAAAAAGTGCCTGAATTGATCTGTTTTTATAGACCAAACGATGTCAATCCATAAAACTACAAAGCTATATAATACAAGGGGCAGTCGAATAATAAACAATGTCTTTGATGATACAAAGTTAGAACTGACAGCGCGTTCTGGTTCAAACTGATCTAGCCCAAACCATTGAATGATGGTATTGTTTGATCGTTTTATGGGTTCATCGCGGTATTTGGACATGATTAAGAAATAAAGAGAAAGAGAGAGAAGGAGGTAAAAAAGGATAACTTCTCCTTCTGCGCTTTTTCTCTTTCTCTCTGCCTTTTTCTCGTTTATTCTCTCTTTTCGTTCCTTTTATAGTAACCGTTCTTTATCTCCTTTATTTGTTTACTGTTATTGTTTTTACACAATTTATTAGATTCTTAGGGAGTTAAACAAACAATAAAATCAAAACTATATGCAAATGCAGCTTTTTTAATATATCATTCATCTCCTGCTGTTGCATTTCTTCTAGTTATACTTGCATTTGAGGTATCACTTGATGAGTCTTCATTATATTCGGCTAAAGGTGGATGCTGCTCATTGCTATCATACATTGTTCTCACATTAAACGGTCCTCTAGCTGTCTCACCTATAGCCTGGCAACAGGACTGACAGATATCCAAATGTTGGCCAATCGCTTCTCCTTTTTGATTGGCTTTGATCAAGGAAACAATCCCGTCTTTACCATAAAATAAGACAATAGTAACTCCCACAAGCCACCAGACGAGTAGGTTAAACGTGAGCATTGACCATGTGTCACCATACCAGCGAACAAGCTCAATGAGATCTGTGACACGCCAAAGAAAGTACAGGATGACAAGCAACTGAAACCATGTACGGTTGCATAATGACGTTCGACGGTTTTTTCCTTGACCTAGACCTTTGCATTCGAATAAATACTGATCAGAAGACTTCCAAATAAAATACAAGATGAAGCCATTGACAGTAAAGATGAGCTCAAATGCAGTGTATAGCCATGTGTCTAAAGGAACCCATTGCTTGCCCGGAAAATACAAACCCCACAAGAAAAAGTACCCTGCACCTTCATCATCGTTGCTTCCATAAGGAATGAATTTTGCATAAAACCAAGGCATAGTGAGAAAGCTAATAAGAAAGATGAAGCACATGTACCAAGTATTTGGTTGCTCCTCAGAAAACTGCAAGAATCGATGTGTCCAAATGTATATCGTCTTTTGGGCGGAAGCGTATATGCTTTGGTATATTCCACAGTCGATTTCGTGTACATATAATAAGAGCATATTTCGCAAGTGAGTATCTACAAGGTGACGTCTTTCATAGTCAAGGTATAGTTTGGGTATCAATATGGCCAATAGCATAGCAACTATAGCAAAAACACTTAAGAAGCGAAGCTACATAAATGTTTTGAGTTAAGCAAGAGGTTGATATAATAAAGAATTCTTACAAGCTGTAATATATTTGACCAAGTGATCCATTCACCAATACCACTTTCAATATTGATTCTCAAACGATCCATTCTAAACAACGCTTCTCCTACGCCAATTTGTCCATCGGGCGCTGTTACTTCAATACGGATAGAGTGTGTCTTAAAATCATCAAAGTCATTGGGTTCCCAGCTAGATGTCCAAAGGGGCAAACTGCTGTTGTCTCCTGTAAACTGTGCAATAAAGGGATGACGCATATCGTCCACAAAGATCTTGGCTTTTAACTGCGTATATTCATACTCTGAAAACACCAAGAATCGAATGTGGGTACTCGTTTGAGCGATTTTTAAAGGTTCTTTTGATGGTAAAGCATATCGAGCATCTTTAGGATTTGTGATCAATACAATCGGAGCAGGTCGTAACTTGCTGGATGGCCAAATGATTTTCAAGTCCTCTGTGAGAGGAACACGCTTGTCCTCATTTGTAAGTGGTGGTATTTGTGGAATAGGTAAATCAACGTCCACAAATGAAATCAAGTCATGATCAACTGCGACTATTCTGTATGATCCATGATCTTTCATGTCTGATAGTTCCAATTCTAATGAATCTGTCTCTGAGTCATATGACTTTAAAGTGACTCCTAAACCTAAAGTACTGTCATTTCAAAATATGCCTTGGAGTTCTTTTTAATTTTACCAGCATTAAATCCATGTAGATGTCCACAAAAATAGGCACTGATGTAGCGTGCTAGATCTTTAAACCCATATCCATCATCAGTTGTGCCAGTGGATAGTGTTATTGTAGGATAATGCGAAAACTAAACAATGCATAAGTGAAGAAGCGGTGGAATAAGAACATGGAATGATTACTAGAAAAGTATGATTATATCTATTTGAAATGACAGTTGATGCCAGTTTATCCATAGTATTTGCCGTAAGATAGCCAAAAAAGTCAAAGGGTCGTGATGGTCCCTTTATTGGACTGCAGAACCTTACATTAATATTTGCTAAAACAAAAAAGGGAAATCTTACTTTACTTACCAAGCATCTGCAGCGACAAAATTATATTCGCCAAATTCCTTTGATAATTTCCAACTGTAAACACCTTTGCCTTCTTTTAATAAATTGGCGCTTCTGCCATACGTCTTGTATAGATTATTCTCTGTTTGCCAGGACAATAGGTCGAAGCAATCATTACTTCCTATGTCATACCAGGGAATATCAGAGGCTCCTTCTGTTATAGCAGCCTTGTAGACCTGCCACTCTTTGAGATACTGAGCAGACCCGGTGCGAGTCCTATCTACAGTATCAATCAAGTCACCTGTTACCACGACAAATTCTGGTCTATATTGATTTTGCTTGTTACTTTTTCTTATAAAACATGCTGTGCCCCCCTTTTTTACCTAATAACTGGAAGTACTGATTGAAGGAAATGGAGGAAATGGGTAGTATGGCCTTTAGACTGAAATTTGGATATGTGAAGGTCAGATATCTATCGAAATGAAAGCGGCTGAGTATTCTCCTGTATGTGTCTTTTTATAAAGCGTGTTTTTTACTTGAACAAAATAAAATAATCTGTCGGGTGAATCTCCCAAAGAGAAGGTTTGACTGAGCAAATCTAGAGGATTCCTTTCGAATGTAGACTGGCTAGAGTACCATGATTCTATGAGATTAGGAAGCTTTAAATCTTTTGTGGAAGATAAGTATAATAAGAACGCTCTCAGGAAACTAAATAGTGTTAGTAGTAAGCATAATATGGATGAAAAAGAAAGTTTCATAAGAGAAAAGCAAAAGGCAGGTATAACGACTTCAAATTCAGGAAAGTAGAAATAAATCCTTCCACTGATATCCCTTTATTCGTTTCCATGGCAGTCAGCGTGACACATACAGTCGTCCCACTGCCAAAATTAAATATTACCAATGATTATTGTTGTATTTCTATGTTCATATTAAAGAAGATTACATCTTTTGACGCAATATAACCAAAATATATATCTCGTACACAGACCAAAGTCATCTTGTTTATAAGGTATTATTATTAAGCCCACAACACTGATTCGTGGCATCTGTAGTCTGTAATAGTTGATGACGCGTCATATCTAAGATGTAATTGGCTGACAACATTTATTCTTGCATATAAAAGATCAGTTTCCCCCTTTGCCACGGATTTCTTTCTTTCCTCTCTTCATAAAAAGGCTTATTCCATTTTGTCGTATTCCTATGTTTTAGAGTTAAAAACCATTTATTCGACAATATCACAAGGATGGCGAAGAAAACGAAGGAGTAGACAGTATTTGGGTGAAGTGGAAGCGGTTCCTTGTTGATTCTGCAAATACGAGACATCTTATGCAATTAAGGTAAAGGGCTGCAAATTAATGCTTTTATGTTTAGCTATTAATCATCATCTCTGTGTAGTCCCGAAAATCATGGCATCATCTGGTACGGGACGCCTCTGCGTCGGCGAAGTTGCTTGCTATACGAGCCTTATTTGAAACTCATTAATGAGGTTCTTTGCGTTGAAGCAAGTATATTCACTCATGCTTCTTCAATGCGTTCATGACTATCATAGAGGCTGTATGCTGCTATTCATAATTTATTTAAATTCAGAACTAATTTTACTATTAGGCTTCTCGTGAGGAAATGGCTGTAAGAGTGGAAAGTTTGAGAGCAATCTCTATAGAAGAGCAAGCCTTAGCCGCTGAGAAGAAGTCTCTGATCTCAATCTTGGAAAACTTGTAAGTTTAAGTACTGTAAGGAATATGATAACACAAGTTAATATATTTCTGTAATATCAATGACTAGTGAAGGAGAGGTATACAACAACTGTGATGCCACACTGCTTGCAAAATCAGGAATATGTTATCGGCAATATGTATTTGATAGAAGCATAAAGACCTGTGTAAAGTACCTACGATGCAAAGGGAACAAGGTGACATTTCTGCCTGGGGAAATAGAACTAGAAGCAGCGAGAGCCCAGTTAAAGAACAAGCGGATGACGGATGACCGTTACAAATATAACGTTGATGGAATGATTTACGCTGATGACTTCTCCCATCTCGAATTATTGTTAATAAAGGTTTCCTCTGAGTATGTCAGCAATGACACCGGAAAGGTCAGCTTTGACCATTACAAAGCAATGTTCGGCATGCTGGCCATAATCCGGAACATTGCTTAATAATATAGCAAAGGAAAGTTTGATACATTCCGAAAACTGAAAGTCCACTTTTTTCATGGACATGATAAGCAACAATATCGCTATTTTTTTATACCCATCTTGGTTAATTAATTGTATCAGGCGATGATATACGGTACTGGAGCATCTCTGTGCAAGCACTGGGAATCTATCTCATGAATGAAGAGCAGAGAGTGATGGTCTCAGTTGACTTTAAACCAAAAGACATCACAATGATACCTTTTTTTTAGCTTTTTCTTGACGCTAGAAGCACGTAGATGATGTAGAAAAGAAGAAAACTTGCATGTAATAAAGCAGCTTAAGAAAGAACATAAAATGGCTGTTAATGCTACAACAACTTCAAGTTTGAATTGCAGCCAAAGTTTGTTAAGCTTGGTTAATCCAAGCATAATCAGGCTTAACGAAAGAAAACATATGACTGTTATTGCAGAGTAGATTCGACGAGTAAACCTAGTAGCCCTGATCATAGTTGAAAATATACTTTTGATACAGACTTTAAAATAAACTTAGGGAGATTTCCAAAAAAAATCATCGGTTGTTTGAAGTTGATTTCGCGGACTGCGAGCAACTGTTTTACAGCAAAAAAATCCAACTTTTCGTCTATCACGTCTATAATATTTTCCTTGCCATCTTCTTTAAGAAGTCCTCATTTTGGCAATGGAACGACTGAATCGCTTCTGACGTTTCCCTAATTATGCTCATTCTATATACTAACAATATTTAAAAGAAATTTTGTCCTGAAACATTTATTTAAGGCATTATTCTATCTATTTCCGTGGATTATTTGTAGCATAATGAAGTACGATGTATTTTCATGTAAAATAAACATATTGACTGGGTATTCTACTACATTTTGGCGCCCATAAAAGCGCCAACCTTTACTGCTTGACGAACGCCCAAGTCTAGCATGATTTCTATGTATAAAAGATAAGCATCCGTCCTGTAATTGATTGAGATGCGTGTATTCTTTACCTTCCGAGCCACCGGGAATAGCAAATGCTCTGACTTCGCGGTAGAGCCTTTCAACTTTTTCTCCTTGACCACCACGGGTGTAAGCTAGACCACCAAAGATCTGAGCTGCTTCACGAGCACAGAATTCGAATGTACGAGTAGATTGGGCTTTGCAAAGGGCCACAGGCGCACCAAGTCTTAAAGGAAGTAGATGAATGGGCATCTTTACAGATTGATATACCAAGGATTCTATCCAGGCATGAGTTGCTTCTACTTTTCGAATCATGTGTGCCAGTTTGTTACGGATGACGGCATGCTCAATGAGCTTCTTTCCAAATGTCTTTCTTTTGTTCGCATACTATCATATGCTTCATGTAAATTTACATAAAAATTAACGTAAAAGAAGGGTTGTCGTTACCTTCATCGATTCTTCAACACATACTCTTGCAAACCTGTTGGCTTGAATAGCAATGCTCATTCGTTCGTTATTAAAATTCCACATTATATACTTGAACCCTTTATTTTCTTTGCCAATAAGGTTTTCCTTCGGAACTTTAACATCTTCAAATGTAACGTAGGCAGTACCAGATGGCCATACTCCTGAGCACTGCATCTGACGCGTAGACACGCCTGGCATACCTTTTTCTACCAAAAGAAATGAAATACCTTTAACGCCTGGCCCACCAGTTCGGCATGCTACAGTAAAGTAATCTGCAAATACACCGTTGGTAATCCACTTCTTCTCACCATTTAACAAGTAATAATCGCCCATGTCTTTTGCTTCTGTTTGGAGGTTGGCAACATCAGATCCGCCGCTAGGCTCGGTTATTGCCAGACAGATAAACTTTTCACCCGCAAGACAGTCCTTGACAACCTTTTTCTTTAGATAATCTGATCCAAAATGGAGTACAGGTGGAAGACCGATGCCCAGGCCACCGCACAGCCCCCAGAGGACGCCACCAGATCCGCAGCGTGACAATTCGTCTGTTGCAATAAAACTGTGGAACGCATCCCATTCTTCAGGGCGTATACCAACGGGAAGGCGATACGGAAGCAGCTCAGTAGGGACATGACCAATAGAGCTAAATAAACCAGCTTTGGCTGCCTTTACAAACACTTCTTTGGGAATCTTCTTGGCCTCATCCCATTCGTAGCAATAGGGCATAATTTCCTTGCCGATGAATTCACGCATGAATTTGCGTAGATCCCGGTGCGAGTCGTTGTAATAAGGACTTTATAAGCTTAATTAAACGACAGGAAAGATATATTACAATTGAAAATACTTGTTTACCTATACCAATCTTGATACCACATAGGATCACCAAATGGGACCATATCACCAAAAGGTTTGTTCACAACAAGAGGATTTACTGTTTCTTCTTCTTCAGCTTTCTCTTGCAATTCAAGAATCTCACCGATCTCTAATTCTTTTCCTAGTTTCTGAAGAATACCAGAGTTGTGAAATGTGTCAAACTGTTTAGTGGCATCAGTTCCAGCAACCTTTAGGAGCACTTTCATTCCACCAGGGTGTCTTTTTAAAAAGGTTGTTATATCGTACACTTTGTTGTGAATAATAATCCAACTTTCATATATTATTTAGTGGTGAGATAAAATGAAAAGGAGTGTATTCACGTATTTATAATTGCTACCAGTCATTTTCACTAGAATGCTTTGCAACTTCGTCTATTGTAAACCTCTTCATCTAACCAATATCAGAATAAACAGATAAAAAGAAAAGCCGAAGTAAAACACAATTTTATATTTATATCTTTACGTACGTATATATGTGTACCGAATATGTTAAACAAAACAAGTAGAGACAATATATTTCGAATGGAACAATTTCGGATAGGTATTAGTAAAAGTGGAGGCTGGACTCCTTGTTTTATTCACCGTCTGTTTACAAGATATTCAAGATATTTTCTTATGGATAATATGTTGTTGGTTACTATTGTAGAAAGAGTTTTCACATATTAATCATTATCTATTTGCTTTCTCTTTAAGCTTTCCCACAATGGCAAGCATAAAGTACCAATGTAAAATTCATCATGATTCAAAAGCCTATTTAATTTAATTTTTACCAATACTCGGTAAGATCAATACACATGACTGCATCCTTTCATATTAATAAAATTAGGCATATTCTCGGCTACTTCCATATCTAGTTCACATTTGTCTGAAAGGGGGAAAGAGTTGTCCTCTTTCATCCAACAGCAAAACAAGTACAATTCAATTAAAATGATCAACAGATCAATTAGCATATAGGCCCATATCAGTCGTATTTTTCCTTTATTTTATTCACTATACGATTAAACAACTATTTTTATTAAATAACAAGACTATTGTGGGCGCATTGAAACTATATAATTTCGTCCCACCCGGGCCAGATCAGAAAGTGCATAGAATCTAAAAACCCTTTTGAGATCAAAGGGAAGAAAAGAAGTGAAGGAAAACGAGTAAGAAGGGTACGGAGCAAGGATTAGGTCGCAAGAAGTTAAGAGGAGAGAGAAATTGGTGGAAGCCATTGGAGAGGCTTTCGCCCTAAGTCAGGTGGTGGAGGTGGCATATCTTGTTTATTCACTACACTTTTTTCAGAAATTATTCGCACACATTACAAGATCAATAACAATTAACACTTTAGTTGATTTTCTATGTCTTCTTTATTATTTAAAAAGACAACATTTAATAATACATAAAATGAGCTTGATGTTTTGAGTATAAATAAATGTGGTCAACGCATAAATGACACGTAACTGAAAAAGCTGTTAGAGACTCTGTATAAATAGTCTGATCGTGTCTTCTTTATCTTTTCTTCTTTGGATCAAAAAGTAAGACCAGCTATTCCCCAGCTAGCCCTAAGGTATGTTATATTCTTTACTCTTGCAAGAAACTGATATGTAATATTATAGATCATAAAATCGAAACTAACCCGGTGCTAGCTGGGGATAGTTTGGTTCTTACCAAATCTTGGCCCCATACACTCCTTCAACCCCTTCCGTTCCTTTGGCCGCTGTCTCCTCTTGTCTCTTGCTCTCTTTCTCTTTTTTTCTTTCTTTGCTCTTTCCGGACTGGTTGTCGCCAGCTCAAACCAGGATACGCTTCGGGTAAGACATTCGCAATCTCTTTATAGCTTTACCCATTTTTCTTGCTTCTCTTTTCTCCTATAAACTCTCTTCTTTATAATGTAAGTATTAATATCAATTTAATGATTGATTTACTAATCATTTCTTTATTCATTCTTTTGCTTCTGATGGGATCTCTTTAATTATTATTTGCAATCAGAAATTATCATTTTTTTTAATCAGTGTGCGAATAATTTGTGAAACACACTTAACACATAACACATAACACATTAACATTAACACACTTTAACACACTTATATTAACACACTTATTAACACATTAACACATTAACACATTAACACACTTATCACTCTAATATATCATTCTAATCACTCTAATATATATCACCCTAATATAATCACTCTAATACAAGGATCAGTCCAGTTGCAACTATTACCTGATCCACCTGAGTACTTTAAGGACTTGCTCGAACGTACGGACACTCAAGGCCGTCACTTTAAGGACAACCTTCGCCAGTACAACGCTGCCTTTGCCTTTACTTCGTTGGGCTGCGAT